TGGGCGTACCACTGGAGGTAACCACTTGAGTCACCGGGCAGGTCGTCAAAGTCTCCCAAGTCACGACTGTAGTTGTGCTCTCAGGGGCGGACGCAGGACCGGACACAGAACTCGAGCCCACAGGAGCAGCAGACGTCGGGACGGGATAGGTAGACACTGAGGTCACGGTCATCGTCGAGAGAGTGCTAGTCACAGAGGTGATGGGTTTACCGCTCGAAGTCACCACTTCAGTCACTGGGCAGGTAGTCACCGTCACCCAGGTGACAACGGTGGTCGTGCTCTCCAGGTCCGAGGCAGTACTCGAGATATGTCCAACGGGGCCAGAGGAAACGGCAGGGATAGTAGGAACTGGACTAGAGCGAGACGAGGTGACGCCAACAGGAGAACTGCCAGACGGAGTGCCAAGAGGAATGGGGATCGGAGTCAGAGTGAGTTGCTTGGAACTACCACCAACGTGGGTCGAGGACGGAGAGACAAGAGTACTAGAAGACGAAGTGTCCACACCAGGAGAACAGTCAAAGTCGATCTCGTAGATACCCAGGTCACAGTTATCGGCAGTGTCATCAGCCAGCTGGAAGTTCACCGAAGTGGCGCCACCGCACTGGTCATTATCGACGTAGGTGCGATCTTGAGAGCAAGCAGCAACAGTATTACAGGTGGACCCATCTGGCATGTTATAGACTATGCGCACATTGGCCGTCTTCGAGGTGGCAAGACTGAATCTGGTGACGGAGAATCCCTTCTGGTCTTTTGCGTAGGCCATCTGGGGGCCCGAGTTCTTGCTGAGTTGTCCAACGATGCATTTATCCTATACTGGTCAGACATTGTCACACGGCAGTCAAACAATCAACCAAACTCACATCATCAGAGTCAGAACCACCCAGACCATTCTTAACAGCAAAGCCAGAGAACTCAAAGCCCGCATACGCCGAGAAAGAGCCAAGACCGAGGTCAGACCAGTTAAAGCCAGTTTTCTGGTTACTGGAGCACTCGTTGTCGGCCTTAACAGGACTGGTGTAGCATTCGTCGGTTCCCCACCACTAGAGAGGCCAGAGGTCAGTCAGTGTTGACATGGATACGGACGGAGAGGAGACTCACCAAGCCCTTGGGATGAGCAAAAGCCAGAAGGGGGAAGAGGAGAGAGACCAGAAAAATGGCCCTCATTGTTGCTGATGGGAAGAACGATTGTAGAGATGGGTAGAGGACAAAGAGCAGGGTTGTTGATAGGTATGGAGGGGGGGGTTGGTGTTGAAAGAGAGAAAGAGAAGCACAGGGCGCAGCGAGAGAGACGATTAAGTAGAACGAGTGTCTTTATGTATGGCAAGTAACCGCGACAACAAACGACGGCAAATAAGTAGTGGGTAGTATGAGGAGAGAAAACAAGCAGACCGGGGGGGGGGTGGGGGGAGCTTTAAAATAATAGCACAGGCCGGGCAGTGGAAAGCGCCAGAGACAAAGGCTGCCGCCTGGCATTGACTTGGCCCATCACTTGGCCCTTCACCGGCCAGCACTCCTTCACGGCGGGCAAAGAAAGGCATGTTGATGCCTGGAGGGAGGAGAGTGAATGAGGGTGGATGGCCGTGGATGGCCGTGGATGGTGGCACAATGCCCTCCTCCCAAAGCAGCTAGTGCAGGCACCTCCCCCAGACCCTGGCGGGGGCGCCAACCGACGCCCAATCAGGGCTGCGGCCGGCGGCTTTTGGCTTTGTCCCAAAGAGGCGAAGGACCCTGAATCCGCATCTTCATTTGGCGGGGCAAAAGACAAGACATTTTTGATAAGAGGGGAGAAGAACAGTCCATGAATGTATCTCACAGGTCTGATGAATGAGGCTGATCACCATCGAATGCACACACACACAGAGAGAGAGAGAGAGAGCACCTCTGGAAAGAAGGTAAAGTAAAAGTGACTTGCATGCTGTCTGTCATGTGCCTCTCGTGCTCAGTCAGTACTATGTCTCAGTCAGTTCCACGTCCGCCTCCCTTTCCTCCCCCAACCCATCCATCGATCTATTTCCCATCCCCAGAAAAAAACCTCCAATATCCACCCTCCACGTCAGGGTCAGATCTAACTCAGCCACACTCTCCCACTCCCAGGCAGAGACCTCCCAAGTCCGAAATTATCCCAATCTTCACCACTTAAGCGTGCATGCAGCCGGGCTGCAGTACAGCGAGCGTCTCGCCCTGAGACCCCAATCCTAATAGCACGCTCGGATTGGTCCCGTCTCTTCCCACAGCATTAAATGACACACTACCACTACTACCTAGCTAGGGACCTATAAATATCACCCGGAGGGGGTTGGCCACCCACCCAGCCTGTCTCTACCGTCAGATGAAGATGAATACCAGGGGCGAGGGACGGGATACCTAGGTAAGACCAGACCGACTGTGAGGTAGGAAGAGGTAGATAGGGAGAAAGGGAGGGACGAGGTGGTAGGCTTTGTGTAGCATTACCAACCCAATCCAACCCTATTCACCCGGCGGGAGATGGGTAGAAGGTACGGAGTACTACCTAGGTGCTTACGCTTACTACTTACCTATCTACTACTGGTATGTAGCTAGGTAGCTGTGGTTGTAGCCGCCGCAATGTACGAGATTACAATTTGGGCTGTTTGCCGCCAGGGTCCATTAACATAGTACATAGTATATACGGAGGACACCCATACACAACACATATAAAACAGCCGAAAAGGACGTGCATCTATGTGTGCAGCACTGTCAGAAAAGAAAAAAGGGCGATAGCAAAGTACCAACAGTGGCAATGGTAATAGCAGTGGCAGTAGCAGTAGCAGTAGTGCTAGTACAAACTCGCGGGGGGAATAATACAACCTCACAATCTCACAATAACTATCAGACAGACAGCCAGCTAGCCCGCCAGCAGCTACCTACCTATCTACCTACCTACTCACCTCCCACCCACTTACCCACCTAAGGACCAAGCAAATCACGCAAGTCAGCTCAGCTAAGCTCAGCCCAGCCCAGCCCAGCTCAAGTCACTCACTCAATCACTCCCCATCCCATCCCATCCATCCACCGGCCCCGCCGTTAACAACAACAAAAACAACAACAACAACGTACGAAACACCACCAAACCAAAGAATATGATTTGCAATCAACCAAGCACAGCCAATTTCCTTCCCCGGCGTCGGATTGGATACGACTCAGAAGGACCCCCTCTCGCCATGACATGGCTGCGGAGCGGGTGGGATGCGCGTTGCACAAGGGCTGTCTGAGGTGTGGCAATGGCTGGCTTGTTGACATCCATCACCCATCATCCATTATCCATTACCCACCATTCATCATCCATCACCCATCACCCATCATCACCACTCACCAAGGATCCGGGATGGCGTGCTGGCGGTGGTATCCCTCCCTCCTGTTTTTGTCTTCTGCTCTTCCCTTTTTTACTCCGTACAAGCTTCTCCAATCTCCCCCCGCCGCTGGTTTATGGTCCGAGACATTAGTATTGGCATTGGCATTGGAATTGGAATTGGAATTCACTGCAATGGTCAGTCAAGTCTAAGGTAGTGACTACTACGTACGTACGGCAGGGAGGGGGGACCATGCCATGGTACAAGCACAAGGCAGACGGGATGTCCTCCCATCCCCCTCCCCATCCCCATTCCCCAATACGACCGACCCCAGCAGAGACGCATGACCCAACAAGTAAGATTGAAAAAAAAAAGCGATAACATTGGTGGTCTTTTAGATTTCTCGGACGCCGGAGCATTGCATACATGGACATGACAAGAGCGGGAAAAGGCAAATCAGACAAGACAAGATGGAAGGGAAGGGAAGGGAAGGTTTAAAAAGACCGGCCAGCGAATCGACTCTTCGTAGCACTAGTAGCACAAGGTATATCCGTTGGGCAAGAAAGCAACTCCGGAAACCCCCAAACCAAACCAGCACAGCGCGCCATCGAACTCGAACTTTTGTCAAGGTCACCACATTAGAAAATAATAGTAGTAGATGCCTATGCCTGGTCCGGGCCGGCCGAGATCGCTCTCGCGCCGGCGCACAGCTAACTGCAAAGGAAGGCGCGAGGCGGCGGGATCGACCTGCCGCGTGCGCTCTCCCGCTAGGCAACACAGCGAGGGGTCTATGCTAGCATGTCAACAAGTCAACACAGACTTTTTTTAAAAAATGCATTTACAGAGAGATCTTGTAGATATGTCTTCGGATTTAGCAGCGGAAAATCCATGGGGTTATGTTCGTTCCTATTAGGAGAGAGATAGAGAAAGATGACATGTCGGGGTATCGCAGGAGGGGTGGGTCTAGAAGGGCAGTTGCGTGCGGCGGTGCGCGTCCATCAGCTTGCGTCGGACCGCCTCTTCGCCATTGTATCCGTTGGCTTTGCGTTTGCGCGTCGGCGTACGCTGGTCCGCATGGCGTGCGTGTCGGAAGACGCTAGCAGGCCGAGACGGCGAATTGGCCGGCATGAACTCCCGATGCTGAGGGAGGCGCAGCAAGGCCTGGTACCGGTTGTGATTCCGACGGAATGCCGTCACAATACCGCGGTCCAAGTGGTTTAGGAAGCGCTCCGCGCTGCTGGCCTGCTGGGATTCCCCGCCCCGGTTCGGTGTCGGGGTGCCAGTAGTGGCCTGCAAGGTATGAGCCGTCATCGGAGACATGAGCGCCTCCTCATCGAAAGCCTTGTCCATTTCGTCATCCGACGATCCGTCACCGAAGTCAATAAAGTCATTGACATTCAATGCGGACTCCGGATCATCCTCTTCATCGTCCTCGAAAGAGCTGTCGATGGCAAATTCGCGGGACGGGTAGAAAGCCTCAGGAGGTCCCATGACCTGACCGCCAGGGGCGATATCGTTGCCAAGCGCGGTCATCATAAGGTTGGCGCTGGAGGCCAGCATGGGGCTCATGTCAGGATGGCTGGGAGATGCCAGCGCATCCGTATCGCTCTCGTCGATAAGATGCATCGTGGTGGCACGGGGACTGTTGTGAGCCGTACCGCACACGCTGTTGGTGGCTGACTCAAGCCAGTCATGGCGGGACGAGGCATAGGCGGGGATAATCACCAGATGCTTGCCGGTGCAGTCAACCAGCGCGACGGGCTTGTGAGGGTCGGCGACGAAAGTTCCCATTATGGGTCCTCGCCGGCGTGTAGCGGTTTCAGTTTTCTCGTCCGCCGTGTGTGCTAACGAGGCGGAAGAATCACGACGCAGGATCGATCTAGGATGCGTGATGGTGGCCGGAGGGGGGAGGTCTTCATCTGTAGTCTCGCCATCATCGGCTTCAAGCGGGTCAGCAAAAGGATCATGGGGAGTCGATGAGCTTCCTTCATACTTTCATAGCCGCTGGACTCCGAGGCTTCGGATACGGCATCGGATTCTACATGATAGATGTTGGAATGCCCATAGTCGGAATCGGCAAACATCTCATCGGACTGCCGCCGCCGGCGGGAGTAATTCCCGTTATCACTCTCAATCATGCGACGCAGCTGGGGATCAAGGCTGTCCTGCTGGAGAAAATCACCGGGTATCTCATCCTCGGTGTGTGAGTCGCTATCGGACGACGAATCCGAGTCTTCTTCAAAGTGCACCCGACGGGGGACAGGCGTCTCGAGAGCAGTCTCGCTGGCCATGTCGGTCTCGCCGAAGGTCTCCATGGCAGTGTAAAGCTGCTCTTCGTCAAAGAAGGAGGCAGCCGACAGGATCATATGATCGTCGAACACGTTGGGTCCGGCCCAATTATCAGCGCCAGAAGCTGCCAGAATGCCACCGACGTTGTGTTCGTTCTCAGACTCGACAATCAACAGCTCTTCTAACTTCTCAACGTCCTGCTCCTCGTCATCGTCGCCGTCACTGATGTAGTCCACCGCCGCATAGACATCATCCGAGCTCTCATACGCCTCCTCGTTGTCATCGCTACTCGGTTGCCCGTCGTAGCCCTCGTCGTCGGAGAGTTTCATTTTCTTGGCCCTTTTCGTCGGCTTCATACCCGTCTTATGGGCCCGGTCACGGCGGCCATAGGACGGGGCCCGCACAGCCGGTTGTTCTTGCTCATCATCCGCATCATCATCTTCATCCGAGTCATTGGCCTCGTCGCTCAGTTCCTCCATGGAGGAGACGGACGATACGCTGGAGACAGACGATGCCCGCCTTTTCCGGTCAGCATTTAGGGAACCGAGGGAAACAGACTTGTTCGACGTTCTGGGCGAGCGGCTCGCGGGGGACTCGAGGTGCTGTGTGATAGACCGGGGGCTGTTGTTGCGGTGGTGAGACGCCTTGGCGGCACCCTGGGGGGACCACTTGGGGGAGTGCATTGTTGGCGGCATTGTGTCGTCAACAATCGATTATTGATGTTCTTGTTTTTAAATCTGAGCTCGTCCAATTCCACTTGGCACGAGCGGGGGGGTTAGGTTCAAAAGAATTGTGGTTCAACAAAGTTTGCTACCCGTCAACTCTGCCGCAAATAATCAATTGCGTCAGTGACTCGAGAGGACAGGTTCAGGGACCAATATCGAAATTGTAGGGAGAGTGTTCGTCCGTGAATTCGTAATATCGTAGAGGAGATCGAGGAGGAAGGAAGAGGGGTTATCGTTATCGTGAGGGGAGAGAGGGATCCGGATCGATGTTGGGTCACCGGGAGGGAGGTCGGAAGAGGGGAGGGAGAGAGGGTAAAGGGGACGAAGGCGCGAAGACTTTTCGTAGACCGTAAAAGCACCTCACCGTCCAGTTGGGACGTCCAAGTGCTTCTCGTGTAAGTGAGCTTAGGGGCAATTCCGACGCGGGGCTGATGTTGCGTCGAAAGAGGAACAGATAAATCGTCAAGTCAATTGGAGATAGTCGGAGCTGAGGGACTGAGGAGCATGGAAAAGGCAGCCGTGCTCCCCAGCGGGGAATCTACAGCTCAACGAAGGCCATCCTGGCGCGGAACCTTGACGATATCTGGATAGTAAAAGGATGGAAAAGGGGGTAAGAAAGAGGGGGGGGGTGGGTTGGGGGAGTGGGAAGAATCTGCGACAGAGATGGCAGCAGGAGATGAGGGGTGGAATATGTTTGGAAGAAGGAGGGAAAAGAGAGCAGGGGAGAAGATCATCTATCCATCCGTACGCCGTGGTACCGCCGCTGGCTCGTTACGTGACGGAACGGCCTCGGACGACTGGGGCGGGCCAAATTTTCCAGTCACGGTGGGGCTCGCCTCGGCCGGTCGCAGTCTGCGGGGGCGTGATTGGCCAGGAACCACGAAAGCAGCCGCGGTCATTGGCGGGCGGGTGTTCACCGCATCTTTTTTTCTTTTGCGTTTCTTTTTTTTTTTGCCTGCATCCACCCCAGGCAAGCTGTTCTGCTGGTCGGACCCAATCACCGCCCGGGGTCTGTAATGGGTAATGGGTAATGGCCGGGGGGGGGGGGGGGTGAAGGCGACAGTGATATGACCCATTTAGTACCACAGTCATGGTCCACAGGGGCAACACTGCCTACAGTAGATACTCAGAAGACTGCTGGCATACATACATACATACTTAGCTGTATACCCATAATGCCATAAGGCTGTTCGGAATGGAGGGCCCGGCATGCATCAACTACTGTACTAGCTGATATACTTGGATACCAAAGTACTTGGGTAGTCCCTCCGTTGGGTACCTGAAACTGCAGATGGCGTTAGAAGATCTGCCCTCCAAGGTGATGATGGTATGACTGGGTACGGAGGGCAGACGGTAAATTGAAAGTGGACAGCGCTTATGGCCAGGAATTAGGATAGGACAGTACGGAGTACTCCGTGCTCCGTAGGACTATGATTTGATTGCCATCCAAATGACTTGGCCCGCTCTTCCACCCTGGCCTGCAAACCACCGGACAAATCACGGAAGACGCTGGCTTGCCATAGACGGAGTCACCTTGGGAGGAGAACAACCTCCATGGTGACTCACCCTCTTTGCCCCCCGAGACGTTGCACTCATGCATCATCGATAGATTATCTGAGATAGTCATACATGGCAGCTACTTATCACCTTACTGCTGTCGGCTGATTGTGACGTACATTGCACGGCATTACTGATACATACATACAAACAGTAGCCAGTACAGCAGTAGCCAGATGCAATCTGTTAGATCATAGGCATGCAGGCAAGAACGCAGATCGCTTCCGAGCCTCTGATAGAGAATGAGGGGGGGGGGAGGGGGGTTCTTGTCCCGAGTCGAGGCATGTAAGTAAAGCGGGCCGGCCATACCTCGATATGCTATGTCCGGAGTAAGAAAAAAAAGCAAATCTTCAAGGCCCGACTCCTGCCACTAAGGCAGGGAGGGACAATATCTGAACCGTGCTCTGCTGCACAATGATACCCCTCTCACATCATCTCACTGACAGACTGTCAGTTCAGACTGTCTAAGTTGTGATCCATCGCATGCACGGGTTCTGATGAATCATAAAGCTTGACGCTGCGGGCAACACGAGACTGCTGCCCCTTCAGCCTTTCAGGAGGCCGGCAGCAAGGGAGACTGACATGGATGGATGGATCCGGCAGCTGGGCCTTACCGGATGAGGTCAATCCCACCCCTCGGATTGGCCGAGCTCGTCACTGGCGGCTATGCTTTACCCGATGCGGTCTAGCCCGCGCATGGGGAAAAGTGCTGCCTCGCCGTTCGTTTTCATCGTTCATACGGAGTACTGGAATCTTCCTTGCTGGGCTTCTATCTTGGGTATATCGCAGTCATTCAGACAAAGAGCAGCAGACAAAGAGTCGACAGGAGGTCTAGTAGAGAGCACTCAGTAGCTTATATCGTTCTCTTGTACAGATGCAGACTCACCACTTCAGTGCGCCCCTGCCAGAGTCATCCTTTATCCTGCGATGCGATACTTGGCCGTCAGCAGGATTGACCCCCCTTCCACCCCTACAGCGTACCACAACCACCTCCTCACCACCGACGCTCCAACCGACAAACCATCCCACGAACTCCTTCTTTCCCAAAACACGACCCTTCATGGCCCATATCCCATATCCTATAGTCACAACAGACCCTTCTCAAGCCCCTTAGCAAGTCAAGTAATCACCGACCGAACCTCGGCATCCGCGGCTCTAGCCCAGTCTACTGCCTATCTACCAGGTAGGTAAAAAGTACACACCAGCCACCATCCACCATCTATCTACCATCCATCAGCGGGCTGCAACTGCAATCTGCAAAGCGCTGGCCAAGCCAAGCCACCAAACGATCAAAGTATGCATTGGCCGAAGTGTAACTAAGCAGCAACGAGGCCATATTGGCCAGCCGCGGGCGGTTAATTTTCCTTGTCCACCGTAGCCGTAAGGGTAGGGAAGGGACTTGGGAAAGCCACCGCATCAGTTCAAGGCGTGAATCTCGAGCGACGGCGGCGGCGGCGGCGGTCCGTGACATTTTGGTTTCGGGTTCGTCCCGAGACGATTAGCAGAAGGAACATATATCCCAAGGTATCTAGGCAAGTTAATCCCTGTTGTCAATGGGCGGACGATGTCCAATGGATGTTGTTTCAAATTGTTGGCTGCGGCTAATGCTATCGGGTCTGTCTGTCCCTCACGGTTACGTACTGATTATTATTCTTACCTTAGACATTGTCGGCTGTTTGGACGTCTTTGGAGGGGAAAATTACTACCCCTCCGTATTCCCTACCTTACTTTTATGGTACTATCTACTTATGGATAGAACGTGCTCGTAACTCGTATATTCCTCCTCTCCACAGTGGCGAGAATGCCCTCGACTCGACAGACGAAGGAAGCAAGACAGACGATCAACCCCAAACAAGAGAAGAGGGTCGGTCCGTAACTGCAAACCACCATGACGTCCCTTTTCATCGAGATACATTAGCTTTGTCTGTACACAAGGTACGACTGCTGGGCCCGATAGCTTGGGTAGGGTAGATATCTAGGTAGTGGTTGCGTAGCAAGAATAACGTTAACTTACCCACTTACTGTTAACATAACCATCTATCTAGTGAAAGTACCTACACTCTACTACTGTACTTCGTTCTCTCGGGCAGTATGCCTTTGGCATCCATACATGAAGGCCATGCAGGTCGCAATTGGCCCAAAGGAGCGGTAAAGGGGGACAGCTGGCTACGCTACGCTCCTCCTGCTTTTTTTGGCTACAGGTAAGTGGGTAAGTACAGGTAAGCAGGCCGGCCGGCAGCCGGGCTGGATCAATCAATCTATCAATCAGGAGTCAGGAGTCAGGACAACATCCCATCGCTACTGTTATCTGAATCAGTGCTTTGTGGAGAGGAGTGCATGAAGCAGGTTTTCTGCCAGATGCGAGGAGATCGTTGGCTACTTCTGCTGCTGCTGCTGCTGCTGCTATTGTTGTCATTATTAATGGCGGCAGTAGTAGTTAGTAGGTAGGACACGGGCGTGGGCTGATAACCACATGTCCCTCCCGGGCACTGCGAGAAAAGCACAATGTAAGGTGGGTGGGTGGGTGGTACTCCTGGAGGACTCTATTTTGGGGAGCAGTCGGGCGTCGAATCGGCCACTAGTAGTAGATAGATAGTTCTGGCTCCGCTGCCAATTCTTTCTTCAATAATCCACTGGCACGAGATTCGATCCAGGTTCTTCTGGCTTCTAGGTACTATCTAGTAGTAGTGATCGTTATCAACGATTGCGATTACGATGGAGATTGCCCGCCCGTAAATAACCGTACCAGTAATACAGTACCGTTGACGGAAGGCAGTACGGTACCGCTAGTCCCGGCAGGGAGGTGGAGCCGGCTTACTCAGGATCGGCACCCGCCACAGACCCCATTGGCCAATGCGTGGCTCGGTCCAGCTGTCTGATTGGACTGGGGTGCTGCACCCCGCAGTCTCGCCGATTTTCTGGCCCAGAGAGTCGTCAGTCGTCAAGTCACATCATCATCATCATCATCCTCCTGTGCTAGATAGGTGGGCCAGGTACCATGTACAGCTACCCAGATGGAGCGGGCATCGCATCGCATCGCATCGCAGCGCATCTTGCGTTGTCCCCTCAGCGGTCTAACCGCATGCTACGAAGCGGGCCCTGATTCGACGGGCCGGAAAGGGCGGGTAGAAGGCATAACAATAGTAGTAATAATCAATGGGAGGGTTCCCGTCGGAGGATGGATCTGAGATGAACGTTTGCCACCGCACCGGAGCCAAGTCGCCCGCAACCTCTTCTGTCCGGTCCGCTCGTCAACCAGGGGTCGCGTGATGTTGTTTTGAAGATAGACTAATCATAATAACAATAGTTCATGGAGCTGGAACCGAACCAAGAGGCCAGGTGGCCAGTGGCCCAGTGGCCATGGCGTGTACTGTACGTCAAAATCATTCAATGGATATTAGATCCTGCTGGAGAAAAAGTGGACAGATGGTATCATCAAGTGACTCAAAAGAAAAAACAACCGGGTCCCCCTCCCCCTCCCCCTCCCCTCCCTTTCTCTTCTCTTCCTAAAACGCAACGATTGCGTACTCAATGGTCACAGTAGCTCTCATGTCCCTGGGTAGGGTTCGATTTTCGCCGTTGGCGGGGTCGGTTTGGGATCCGACCTAGACCAAATTGCCATAATGGACTTGGATCGCTTGGGTCTCGTGGACGAGTTGTTTTTACTATTAGCACTACTCTCGTTTTCTGGCTCCTTGGGACTGGTGGCAGCAGTTGCAGCGGCTGCCTCTCGCGCCCGTTGTGCTTCTTTGACCCCCTGGCGGACTTCTGCTGCAGAGGCTCCCCGAGGAGCCGTGGTTGTCAGCGTCTCAGTGGTGCGGATCCTCTCTTCAGATGATTCCTCATTCAACTTCCCGATCTCGTCTTCTGTGACGAGACGCTCATTTTCGAGTCGGACCTCCCGCCCACGTTTATGGCAGTACCAGAGAACAAATAGAAGGACTGTCGAAGCCCGATTAGTGTCCTACCTCCAACGTATATGAAACAGTCGTGCAACTTACTGAACAGCCCCAATGACCACAGCACGTTCATCCCCAGCACCGCAGGGAACCGTGCTCGTAGGAAGGCCATGATAGACCGTAACATCCCGCCGAGCGCGGCTGGCTTTCCAACCAGTTCCTTCAGCGTGGGGACCTTGATCCCCATCTTGCTTGCTGTCGCCGCGGCCTTGCCTACGTTGTCCACGTTGATGCCGCTCCTGCCAGCCTTCTCGGTGGCAGCCGCGAGAACCTCGGGGGCCAAGGTCTCCGTCCATCGCTCCGGAAGCTTCTCGATCAGACTCTGGATAAACTTCGGGAGCGTGGAATAGGTGCTCTGCAACTGTTTATTGCCGTTCTTCAGGAGCATCTCTAGATCGTGATAGGCAGTGGGAACACCGTTGATCAGATCTTTGAAGATCAACGTGAACTTGCGTAGAAGCTCCCGCGTATCGTCACTGATGGAGAACACCCGGTTGTTCTCCGCTGCCAAGTTCAGACGCTCGAGTATCTCCGTCATATCCTCCTCTTCCTGTTTGGCGTCCTCGTCATTTTTGTTATCGGAGACCTGCGTGTCACTCGGGGATGTTGCGACTGCTTCATCGATGGTTTCCTTGCCCTGTCCAACAAGAAATCAGCATCCATCAACAGCTCAACTCTAATAGTGTGAATCCCCACCTTCTTATCAACCGTACTTTTTCTCCGAAACCAACTCCACGACCTCTTCTTCTGCGAGGGCGCTTCCGCCTTCGATCCCTGGGAAACACTCTGAGGCCGCTCCGTCCTCTCCCTCGCTTTCCGCTCTTCCTCCCCTAGCTCTCTCCCAAACTCCTCCACCGGCGACACAGGCGACTGCACGGTATCCAAAGGTTCCATGGGCATAGGAGAAACGGGCGAAAGCTGATGATCAGCCTCGGTGGGCGACACAGCGGACTCCTGGTTCGCCGGGTCGGCCATTATCTCCTGCAAAAACGCCTCATCCTCCGCCGTCAAGACCGGATCGTGCGATTGCCGCTGAGACGGCCGTCTCCAGTGCTTCAGTTGGGTGAATTGCTGCATGGCGGGCTATCTCATCCCGGGGGGTTCTCGGAGGATAGGTACGTAGGATGTAGGTAGGACGTAGGCAGGAACGTGGGTGTTTGTGTCGTGTCTGTCAAAGCTCCCTTGGGACCGGTGGGTGTAAGTTTGTGGACAAAGAGCGCGTGACGACGCGGATAAAGGAGCCGCCCCTTGAGTATGCAAGGTGGTGATGGGAGGGGGGGGGGGCGACGGAGTATGCACTCACTCACCCTAGATATATGTCGAGTTAGATTGCGATCCACCAGGGCAATACTGGAATCGATCACGGTGATAGATCGACTAGATGAGGCCTTGCGACACGATATATGCGTCAAAATAACGATCCAAGTGTCGGTAAACTCAGCCTGGGATACGAGTCAGGCGATGATATCACCGCCCCGGACGTGTCACATGTGAAGCCACCCCGCACTGGCGCCACAGCACCGCCACGCCTGGCCACCGCCACGATCGCGATCGAAAAAGAAGGGTTCGTGGGGTTCCTTGGCGATCATTGGTCCGTGTCGGGGCGTTGAACTGCTTCCTGAAGATCATCACAGTGCTGCTGGTTTGACCTTTAGGTGGTGGGATCATATATCATGGTTAAGCTCTAGACTCATGAAGGACTTGGCTTGTCTGAGGATTTACCTGTACTAGCATGAAGCTGCCTCAAACCGGTAGCCTTAGGCTTCACCTTGAACAATATATTATTTGGGTTGACAAGTAGATCTAACAGGAACTGCCTCTACTTCAATCTCAGGCTGCTTACACTGCATGCTAAAGACTGCATACTTTATCTGCAGGAGGAAACCATACTGGTACTGACCTGTTTCCAGATTTTGTCGAATACCAATGGTCCAGCCACCTACTAAGGTACCTTATGTTTGCTGCCTTCGCCGGCATGCGTATGCTGGGTTAACGCCACCAGTCCAAAGCTTACAGATGCCTTGCAGAATGGACTCACCACCGCGCAGCAAACTGGCTTTAACACAAACAAGAGGGGCCTTGCATTCTCAGTGCTGGATTCCTGGTTCTGCATCTCGTATGCGGTGAAGCAGCTGGGGTACTTGGTGTGGTCTCTTGATCCTAGGTGCATATGTTCAGGGGGCTGAGAGTCAGACCACAGCGTTTTGTCGCGTAATTTCAAATATGCCGGCGAATTACGACTACTGTTATTGTTGAGTTCTTTCTATCTCCTGGATTTCATGCATCGTCCAACTGACCATCACAGTAACTAGCCAGTTTCGAATATCACGATTGCTACAATCTCCTGCCCATGACCACCTACGAGTCTTCTACATCTGTCCACCCCTCCACCTTCTGAAAGTCCATCACGGCATACGGCCCCCCAAACCGATTCTGCGTATCATCCCAATCGCGATCCACCGCCTGCTCTGGCCTCCACCGAACTGCCGTCGCAATCCTCTCGTCCATCCTCCCCTCCAGCCGATCGACAATAAACCCCCCAATGGACGGAATATGTGCGAACCCCCGACCCGACGCCCCAACCGCTAGCAGCAAGGACGGATAATCGGGGTGATAATCGATGAGAAAGTTCCGGTCGACAGTATCCGCACACCAGCAAATCCGGGCGAACGAGAACGGTCTCTCTGCCAACTGAGGCATCGTTGCTCTCAACAGGCCGCGGATTCGCTCGGCGGACTCTAGGGGGATCTGATGACGCGCGAAGGGGACGCTTCGGCGCTCTCCATCCGAGGCATACACCCAGTTGCAGTAGCCCGGGTGTTCGTCGCAGATCTTCAGCTCGTGGTTTTCCTCGTCGGGCTCGATGAAGAAGCCCTGGTCGGCGTTGAAAAGGACAGGCAGGTTACGGTATGCTTTGGCTTCCTCGGGCGACATGCGGATATGGGCTAGCGTCCAGGCGGTCGGTCGGAGCTGTTTCTTGAAGTCGAGGAATTGGTCGGCGTTGGCTCCAGCGGCCAGGATGACTTTGGATGCGAGGTGTTGTTTCCCGTCTGCTGTTTCGGCGCCGATGATGTCCTGGGCTCCATTATTGTTGGATGAGAAAAGTAGCCGTACGACCTTGCCTTCCGACTCCCCTCCGATGAAGGTCACGCCGAGTCTTTGCGCTTCTGTGATCGCGGACACGAGCGCATTCCGTGCGTGTACCCACCCGGCCCCGTTCTTTCGCCAATACCCTTTCCATCCTGGAAGAGGCCCTGACAGGATCCCCGAGGGGAAGGCCGACCGGAAGTCTTCCGGGCTGTCCAACTCCACTATATCGGCGCCTCTGCGGTCCCGTCGTCCGATGTGCTTGAGACCCCCCGCGGAAAAGGCCGAGATGATGTTCCCGACATTGTGGAAATGGGGCTTGAAGACCGGGTCATGCTGGAAGCCTTTGGTCAGGGCGGCGAAAAAAGTCTTGTTTACGAACTCCGGGTCGTCGTCCGCGGGCGGGTCCGCTGCGTGCTGGTTAGTTGTGATCGAGATACCGTGTGCTGTGGAGGGCCACGTACTGAAAGAGACGATCTTGTTCACGTCATTTCCGGCCGAAATGGCGGAGGGCTGGGGGTACGCATCCAGGACGGTGACGTTGGTATAGCCGCGTCGGGCGAGGTGCAGGGCAGTCGAGGCCCCCCAAGTGCCTGCTCCGATGATCAGGATGGGCCATTGCAGCATTGTGACGTCTGCAGGGTATGTGGAGTCGATGCGAATGACAATTGAGAGCGAGGGTGGCTGCGACGACTGATCGGCGTGCATTCCGTCGAGGGGGGTTGATGATTATGGGTTGATGTCGATGCAATGCGGATGGGAAGGGGGGGTCCACGCTTATCAACTTTTCATCCAGGGGTTAATTTCATCTCAACTATGGGCAGAGCCTTGGAAGTTCGACCCGAAAGCAAATCACATTATATGTTGATAGCGACGTCGTGGTGGTTCTGAGTTAGTGGCTGTAGCGTCGCGGCTAGCAAATGTTAGCAAGACCCTCCAAGGCCTCGCTCGCTTGGACCTGCCGCTCCTCGTGCCATTTGGTTATTCTCATGGCTCGCCTCCATAATATTGATAATGCCACTGATAGTGATGACACTGCGACCCTGGGGGAATATTGACCAATTCCAACAGAAATTTGTCGATTACGCACTGTTGTGGTCGCAAATTATCGCATGTTCCAATGTCTAAAAGGCCGAGGAGTTCCAACCTCAGATCTCAAACATCTTCTCGTGATATCAGCATCATGCCAAACTTGAAAGCAGAGGTCTTGGCCCGAGAAAAGGTAAATTTTCACAGCCTGGATATTGACACCTCTGATATTGTTGTGCCCACTCTCTACACAAAATTCTACTTGGAAGAAGGGACCAAAAATTAACATTCCTGGTGGAGGGGGGATAATATTGAGTCTGAACTGGCGTGGTAAACCCACGGGGGTATAGAGAGGATGCTGTCGTGCAGTGAAGTCTACCGGATCTTCTCGAACTCAGGCAGAGCCCACTTGACCATCCACTCAGATTCAAGAATCTGCCTGGCAGTAGGCCGGCATTCAGGCCTGAACGAAAGCATCGACCGCAGCATCGAGAAAATGGCATCCCGCTCCGCCGATTCAATTCGCGGCATCTTTTGGTCTTGTCGAGGCTGCTGCACGCTGTTCTCAAACCTATCCTCCCACCACCGATACGGCTTTCGATTGATCAGCTTCCCATCTTCGGTGAACCAATTGTGTCGCTCCTTCCATTGATGCCACCATTCCGGAGGTAATATGCCAAGTGCATCGACTTGCTCACAGGTTATGTCATCCTCAGTTGCAAACCAGTCTTCGAAAAGCGAACGTTGGGCGATGATATTCCAAATACAGCAGTCAAGGGACCAGATGTCCGATGGGAAGGAAAGAGGCTTGTGTGGTTCGAATCGAACCTCCGGGGGGCGATTCACGAGTGGAGTGTGGGATTCATATCTTTGTTGCTTGGTAGGAGAGAACGCCTCGCCAAAATCAGAGAGGATGATCTTGGCTTCTGGGAGTGTGAGGGCATCGCTTGCTTCTCCGAACCATATTGGTATCACAGCATGAGTCGGGACGTGTGACGAGACGGGCTCCCCGTCAAAACGTCTTATTGGCTCAAGCGGCGGTTCTCTGTACTTTTTGTACAGCTCCTCGTCAGAGATCCGATCCAAAAAGAACGGCAGCCGAAGGAGGATATTCCCGTAGTGAAGATCTCCGTGAACGAATCCTCAAGAGTGCACATATTCGACCGCGACTGCCAGCTGTGCCGCCAAAGCCCGAGCAACTTCCAGCTGAAAAAGACGATTATATGAACCATCCTTGGTCTGCGAGAGACTCACTCTGGCTGGGACTGTGACATAGCAGGAGTGTGTGCCATTAGGACCCTGGATACTAAATCTATCTAGCATTGAAGGGATCATCGTCCTTTCCAAGTTTATGCTCGCGGTTGGTTGCGAGCTAGCAAGTTCGGAGAGAACATCAAATTCTAGCGGACTCGAATCCGCTATACACACTTTGACGGCGACATATCTGCTGAGCTTTTGATCTCGAGTCAGCCAGATAGTCGAGTATGCGCCGTGTCCCAGCTTGTGAGCCACCCGATAGCGATTATGAAGATGGTCCCCGATCACTATGGGGTGATAGCCCCCCACGCGGTAGCCTTCCAGTCTCTCCACGTCCTCGATGGGCTCGTAAAGATGGTGGAAAGAAGTGCCATTCTCTGGTGTTTGAGTTCGGAGCGCAGTTGTACAAGAATATCCACGAATCCTATGGTAGTAACGCTGGGTCTCCTGGGAGACTGAGTAGCGGTGGGAGAATGAGAAGCATGGGCGAAAAGACCTAGGGCGGAAAAGTAATGGACTTCTCATGACTTGATGGGATATGAATCTTCAGTGTATCTATTCAGATACACCAAGTGGAAGACAGGGTGTCTTAGTTGATCCCAGGTGGTTGACGTTGCAAGGAGGCGCCAAGGCAGCCTGTCACCCTTGGGTGAACTTTCTTTCGTGCAGATGATTCCCAAAGGGAAACTCCACATTGTACATGTACGGATAGTTTCGAGCTCGAGTAAGGCATGTGAGGTGTAAGAAGGTAGGACATGTTAAAGAACTGTTGGCTTATTATGGATATTGGTTATCAATGGGTTGGGTTGGCATCTGGATTGCTGAAGCCTAGCAGGCTGCCAGATAGGGCAACGCGGGGCGGGAGCGGGTGGATGGGAGGGTGGCATGCAGGCATATCCGAATGGGATGCAGGATGATATAATATCGGAGAAGGAACAATAAAACTCGGCTCGAGGTCATAACACAGCCTGGTATTGCAGTTCCAGGCAACCGAGTCAGCAGCAGCAGCAGCAGCAGCAGCAGCAGCAGCAGCAGCAGCTTGGTTGTCATCCCGACCAGTCATCAGCTGTCTCCAATCAGCTGCTCACCATCACATGATCATGTTTCTCCTCGTCCTATTTCTTTTCCCTTCTCTTTTGCTTCCTCTCCTCTTCTTTTCTCTTCTTCTCTCACGCTTCCCGAGTCGACCACCCGCCACGTCCATCTACCCCCGTAGGTGAGCGCACGCGCAAGCCCGGCCCAAGATCGACCACCTCCAGCCCAGCCGGTCTTCAACCCATGAAGACCAGCCAGTGCGAGAGGGACTCCGTCTTGGAAAGGCTTCCAGGACTCCTCCGCTCATGCGACCCCGTGCATGATCCGGCGGCAGCGTCATTCGCTCCTTTATCGTTCGACCAGTTCGCCCGCTCGTTCCCTCTGGTCTGGATCTTCCTGTCCCTCCTTTGCCTCTACACTTGGCTGTCTCTCGCCTCGTTTCTGGTGCGCTCGTTGGATATTGACGGCAGCACCATGTTCTTCAGGAACCGCTCGTTCAAGTCCAAGGATCCTCGCGTGGGCAAGTCTGCCCGCTCGAGCCGGAAGAAGCGTGAGGGTTACACGAAGATGATGTCGCAGGAGGAGTCGGGTCGTTCACGTCCGGACAGGCGAGTATACTTTCTTCATATCATATCATGCACCATGCACCATGCACCATGCACCATGTATCATATATCATGTATCTCGGTGCATTGCATATCCTGCAGCAATACCGCATTCTAGATCTTCTGTAGGATATAGTCATACTAACCGTACCCCCATAGCCCCCCCGTGAGCCCCATAGTCAGCCTGATCGTCGGCCCGGACCAGCGCATGTTCGTCGCGCACGAAGACGTCCTGTCCCGGTCTCCGTTCTTCAGCGCCATTCTACGGGATTATTTCGTAGGAGACATTCCAGGGAAGACCAAAGTGATCACCCTGCCAGAGGAGTACGCTACTACCCCATCATTACCCTCATCCCAATCAACTAACTCCCAAACTCAAAGAGAACCCGAAATCCTCTTCTGCATCCTCGAATTCCTCTACAAAGGCGACTACACCCCACGTCTTGTCCCGCGCCAATCCCCAGACAACAACGATAACAACACCAACGACGTCAGCGGAGGTAGCACCAGCACCAGCAGAGGCACAAACAGCGCCTGGACCCTCGAACCCAGTACCCACCCCACCACCTTCAGGCACACCCCCACCTCGACCCCCATCCTGCTTGATACCGCTATCTACTGCGCCGCAGACAAGTACTCTCTCCCTCCGCTCAAGCGTCTCGCGCTCCGCAAACAGGGTCTCCGGTCTGGTATCCCCATCGACGTGATCCTGCGGTCGGCGCGCTACGCCTACGACCACACCCCGGACTCGGAGTACCGACTGCGTGCGCATTACCTAGCGATGGTCATCCAAGCGCGGGGTGTGTTCAAGGATAGTGGCACCATGCAGTTGGAAATGGAGATGGGCCATACGTTCTTCTTTGATTTGTTTGTGGCTATGTGTAATTATGTGGATGATTTGGAGAGATGGTTTGTATTCCTTCTTTCCTTATCCTTCTTGTTTGGCTTCAGTCTTCAATCCGCTTCTGTGGATGGGAGAGAAATAGAGAGAGAGAGAGAGAGCTAACAGATCGATTATCCAGCGCGAGAGATTAACTTTTCCCGCCCATCTCCTACAAAACCAACCATGTGAATACCAAACATGGCCCTCCAATATCCAAGAAAAGAAAACAAACAGAACAGCAAAAAAAAAAGCAAAAAATGAAAAATCACAGCACAATACAGTACTTGAACTGAACATCCAGTCCAGTCCAGTCCAACACAAACAACATCTTCACTTCTCGAGGCCGGGTCGATTAACCAATTTACCTTACCAGGACACTCACATTCACATTCTCAGCCTTTCTTCAGGTATGGATGTGTATATCCTGTCAACTATCCTGTTTTAATTGGCTCTTGCATTGCTTTACACTTGCGTACTTACTTACTTACGGGTTTGATTGGGTGTTTGCGACTGAGAATGTGAATGAGATTGTTAACTAACTATCTGACTATCAAGAACGTGTTTTTCTGTCTTGCTTCATATTTGTGTTTGTGTTCTGCTTTCTGTGTGTGGATCTGTCCCATCTTATTTCAGACTGTGGATCGATAACTGGGTTGTTTAGCTAGCTGCGTACCCTGTTGATGTTGATGTTGATTGTCGATTCTTGATATTATGTCTGACCGGACCAGATCCAATCGGATCTCATTGGCCAGATCTGGTCTGGTTAATCTATCTATCTGTCTGTCTGTCTGTCCGTCTATCTGTCTGTACATATTAATCTTGTCATGGTCACGCCATGAACATGGCATGGACAAAGACTGATTATCATTATCGTTGATTGAAGCGTGAGCGAGGAGATGAGGGATGTACTTATATCCAGAATGAGATTTTGTGATTCGGCCGCCTCAATATTTCTATTTTCTTTCTCTACTGTAAAGATTTGGTACTAGTGATATACGCAGGACAGGGGTAGATGACGTAAGTATGTAGGATAGGGGTAGACGTAGGATAGTACCATCACTATACCATCGGCAATTAATAGACTTCATGAAGTATACCATCTACCAAGGGTAGATTTTGTACATGTACACTATCTATCTACCTACCTACCTACCTACCTACCTAGAATTGAATGAGATTAGATGCAGTAAAACTCTCACCCAACCACCCACCTATGGATTCTAGACAAAATACGAAGATATCTGGATGGAGAGGTGAAATTGATATAGACCTGCTATTATTACAACCTATCAACATGAAAGGCAGCGACATAGGACAAAACAAAACAGAACAAAATGGAATGAGATAGAATAAAACAAGACAAAATTGAATGAAACCATCACCCCGAAACACCAGCAAGAGTACGCTCACATCAGATCAGGAGATAGTAAGTAAGTAAAATAATAAGCAGTGACATGGGAACCGGAATATTCTCCAGATACAGGTTGGTCGGAATTGAGAAAAAGCAAAAGTGACAAACAGATACGCACGCGAGATGGCAATGACAATAACAACAAAAATGATGAGGATGATGATACTAGAAAAAATGAAGATAGAAAGAGATAGAACAGAGAAAGAAAAGAAAGGAAAAGAAAAGAAAAATTAAAACAGCCGACTTCACCCTATCACACCAACACCAACTAAATTAACCCACCTGAGCGCTCAAGCAGACTTGCGCCCCTTCTTGGTCTTCGCAGGCTTGGGCTCAGGAGCAGCAGGAGCAGCCGGAGCAGCCCCGGAAGCCTTAGCGCCAGCTCGGGTGCGGGTGGAACGGGGTCTGGTGGGCTCGGCGGGGGTTTGGCAGCGCGCTTGGGTTTGGCGGCAGCCTTGGGCTTCGGCTTCTTGTCGCCCTCGTCGGCTTCCTTGGCGTTCTTGCGAGCTTTCTTGGGCTTGGGCGCCTCCTCTTCCTCTTCCACTTCCGCTTTCTTTTCTGCCTCGGGCTCGACGACGGCCTCGACTCCTTCGTTGATTCCAGCCCCAGACAGAGACTCATCCTTGATTTTGGGAGAACGGGCGCGCTTCTTGCCCCTAGGAGGCTCCGTTTCAGGGCTCTCCTCGACCTTGGGTGCAACTTCGGCTGCGGGATCAGGTTCGGCCTTAGCTTCAGGTTCGGCCTTAGCTTCGGGTTCAGCCTGAGCTTCAGGTTCAGGTTCAGGTTCAGCTTCAGCTTCAGTCTTAAGCACGACTTGATCGGCTTCGACCTTCGGTTCGGGCTCGGCTTCCGGCCCAGGTTTCTTCTTGGGCTCAGTGCTCTTCCGGGACTTCTTGGACTCGGTACTCCTCTGGGACGTCTTGGACTCGGCGCTGCTCTTCTGGGACATCTTCGACTCGGTGCTCTTCTTAGACGTCTTGGCCTTGGGAGCCTCCTTCACCTCGGCCTCCTCCTCAGCCTCTTTCTTAGAGTCAGTGCTCTTCCGAGCCTTCTTGGCCTTGGGAGCCTCCTGAGATCCATCCGCGTCAAGCTTCTTAGCCTGGGCGGGGGAACCATCCTCCTTGGGGGCTTCCTCTTGCTGCTCAAAATTAGCATTTGACGCGCATGGATACAGCTTCCCCAGAAGCCCAGAGAAATAAGACAGAACACATACCTTCGCAACAGCCTTCTTCATCGCGCGCTTCCGGAATCCCGTCTTCCCGGGTCGGTTGCATTCAACGTCCTAAAAGAAAGAGAAAAAAAAAGTCAGGGTTACACGTGCTAAACCGCGGACGGGGGGCTCCCGGCAAAGCAAGAGGAACAAAGAAAAAAAGAATAAAAAAAAAAAAAAACGTTGTCATGCATAAACAAAGGGGACGGAGGGTTGAACTTACACCCTTCCAATCCTCGTCGTCGACGTGACCCTGGTCCAGGGCTCTGCGAACCTTCTCCTGGACATCGGGTTCGAGATCTTCGTAGCCGTCCAGGGCCGTGTAGTCTCTCTGGCCCTCGGGGCTGCCTTCTTCGATGACTGCGTTCATGTTGGCGATCACCTTGGGGGTGACGCAGCCCCTGCGATTGGATTAGTGGTCATTTCATTGGAGAGGGGGCAGGGAGTTCAAGGCCAACGCACCAGTGACGCCACATGAAGGATTGGAATTGTCCGGTGTCCACCATGGATCCGTGACGGAGCTCGCCCTTGGCGATCTTGATCTTCATGTCCTTACATTCTTTGTTTTGGCAGCCCGCAGCGCGGGATTTCGCGGCCTCTGTTTGATGGTTAGTATCTGTGACAGATTTCGGGATGATTGCGGGCGGGAAGACAGAAGAATAAGAATGGCAGTGCCAGAGAGAGAGAGAGAGAGAAAAGTTGCGAGCAACAAAAGTGCCAGTCAAGAAAGGAGGAGAAGAAGAACAAGAGGAAGAGGAACCTCAAGAACAGGGACGAACGAACCTCCCCTCAAGCTGAAGTCCGAGTTCGCAAAGGGAATAGGCAAAGGGTAAAAAAGAATAAAAGAGAGTAACTCACCGAGGCGATAGGCTCCCATGGTTGAGCAATAGCAACACGACAGAGCGCGGTGATACTACAGTAGTGAGGAGATGAAGATGAGGATGTTTGTGGTGGCAGTAAACCTGGGATGTGATGGACTGCAGTGAGTGAGTGAGTGAGTGAGTGGGGGAGAGCGAGAGAGAACAGAAGAACTGATAGTAAATACGGCGCAGCGACCGAGCCAGGCCAGGGCCAGGGCCGGGACTAAATACCGTCGAAGGCCGCGCCGGGAATAAAGAGAAGGAGAGGGGGGGAGAAAGACTACCTACCAACCAGCAAAGAAAAACAGAGGGAAAAAGAAGATAAAGAGCGAGAAACGAAACAGGGCACGCGAACAAGCGTGTGAAAAAAAAAAGAAAAAGAAAAGAAGTGCAAGGAGGAGAGTGTCGGAGAGTTAGAAGAGAAGAAAGAGAGAAAAGGAAGGAAAAGCAAAGAGGGAGGAAAGAAGCGGAGAAAAGTGGTGGTGCAGCTGCCAACAACAACAACACCACCACCACCACCACCACCACCACCCAACGGGTCCCGCCAAAGACCACTGCCGCAGCTCGGAATCATCCAGTTGCTGCTATTTTCAGAACAGGTTCGGGGCGGTCGGTTGATTTCTCATCTCTGGATCGGGAGCCCCCGTTGATTGTTAATTGTTGTGTTCTTCTTTCACTGGTCTTGAGGCCTGAGCTGGTCGGTTGGTCGGTCGGGGACTGTCTGGCTGTCTGACGGATATACTCCTGCCAGTGACGGACGGAGCCAGCCGCCGGTATGTCCCTACTGTGAAGTCACTGGGATGACATAGTCCGTGAATACACCCCCCCCGACTTATGATATCCGGTACAATGTAGAATATGGCAATGCCCATTCATGATGTCTAAAGATTCGCCCCGAAGAAAAGCCATCAGATCAAGCTACTACACCAAAGCCATGCAAATAAATCCTTCTCTACATCTGACCAGATCCCTACGCCGGGTATAACATCAGCAGGCCTGAGATGTCAGGGATGCCTCCATCTTCTCCAGATCAGTGATGTGCTTCCGGAGCATCACCACCGCTCCGAGACTCAGGCGCGAAACAAACGCAGACGCCCGGCTGTCGTCGCCATCCCCACCCGAGTTGTTGTTGTAGTGCTCGATCATCCTTAGAGCCGCCTCGATCGCGCGACGTAGCAGCCAAGGCCGGCTGCCATCACTCGAGTCCGCCGGGTTGGGAAGATAGTTCCATGTTAGCACGTCCTCCAGCCCCGGAATCGGGTGCTCCAGGGCGTGTTTGATGAACTTGCGCGTCATCAGAAACGTCCGCTCCGTGTATTGCGTCGACTCCACGCGCCGATCGCCCTCCGCGGCGAAGGCTTCGTAGCCGGCCTCATCTGTAGGCGGTTAGTACGGAGGACGAAACTGCAGGGCAGGGGCTAATCGTACTGTAGAAGGGGTCTTTCACCAGGACCAGCCCCATGATCGAAACCAGGACCTGCAGGACAGTGGACTTGGACGGAGACCACTGCTCCTCCGGATTCTGCGTGGGCCACGTCCCCAGGATACTGAGGCAGATCTTGCCGTTCTCGTACAGGTTCGGGTTGATTCGTCCCTGTCCATTGGTCCACGAGTGGAAGAAGGTGGCCGGCGGCTTGTGGGGGAAGTCGGGCGAAAAATGCAGGTCGATCAGGATAGGCGTATACTCATACGGCGTCCCCTGGGGGCCGATGATAAGAATCCGTAGAAGGTCCATTCGCGACTCCCACGTTCGCACAAAGATTCCAGGCGGCAACGATGTGCCGAGGATCTGGAGCTCTTTTCGGATCCGCTTGATGCGCGGCCCTGAAGCGCCGGTGGCGTCTTCGGAAATGAAGTGGTGGTCCGAAGGAGGGAGACCCTCCAGCATGAGAAACCCCGGAGGGCTTGCAGATGGAGTTAATGGCGAGGCATCCGGCGTTTCCCGATCCTGGGCAACTGTGTCTCTGTCCTCTGTATCATCTGGATCAACCTCACTCATTTCGACGTCGGCGTGGTCAGGAAGCCTGATCTCTGCCACGTCAGGGGCAATGTGATCTCCTTGTACAAGGGGGGCATCGTTCATGTCGTCTGCGTCATCTTCCGTTAGCCACTCGTCTTCCTCGCCCTCGTCAAGGCGCTCTCCGCCTTCATATTCATACGTCGCCTGTAGCGAGGGATCGTTTTGCATGTCCCACGGGTTAAGTGCTCCCATTTGAAGTAGCTCGGCGGGGGAAAGCGGCGGGGGGAGAACTTCTGTATCGTCAATGACCATCATGATTTTCTCGAAAGGGATACAGATGTCACGGCATTCCGAGCCGGCCAGTCGGACAGTGATAACGCCACTGGTATCCGTCGAAACAATCTGTGCCACGAAGCTTCCGGAAGCTCTGTTGAAGTTTCCATCCTGATGGAAACTATATCGCGACGGGAGAGGACTATCGTCAATGGTGGTCGTGCTTTTGAACCATTCAGTGTTAACCATATCCTTTTTCATGAGCTCGAAGTAATAGCATCTGTGCACGAATTCTATCGGAGACAGGTAGCTGAAATTACCAGACCCGGCGATTCTGGGTTCGTCCTGGAATTGTAGCGTTCCTAGAGTGGCCCGAGGAACCGTGCTAGGAGGCAGAAGCACTAGATCGCCAGGGACCCTGCTCAGGCAGGCATGCGTGCTTATTTCGTAGAGGGATACTTGGCTGACCGTCTCATCAAGCTCCCCAAGGCAAGAGCCCGGTCTTAGCAGCTGCCCACCGTGCAGCAGGTCAACATCTGGTTGTTTATACCAGCGGACAGAAGCTATCTGTTCTCGGCTATCAACAGCCTGCACTACGCCAACGGTCCGTGCCCGCAGGGTTTCCTTCATATGGCCAGTCAATGACTGAAAGAATGGGAACCGAGGGTTCGATTCCAGCGGTGGAAGTTCCTCAATTCCATCTTTCAGGACGACAAGCTCACCAACCGCGACGTCATCATTAAACCCGTAGAACCTACGTACGGATATAGAATTTTCAGTGGTGATGCTTCCATCCTGCCATCGGACTGTTAACTCTGTCATTGAAGAAGTGACTCGAAACACGTTCAGATCATAGCCAAAGGACTCTGCGGTAGGGATAGGATGATAGGAGGGATACTTCTGCGCGGCCTCGGCCGGACGCCGGAACCGAACCCGGTCTCCAATCTTGATCCAAGTATCGGATTTGACCGCACTCCCCGTGGGGACCAGTCCGAAATCGCACTTCTGTGCCTTTCCGAGTACTGCAGATGCGCGGAGTCTTTCCATGTCTTGGTGGACGTTTGTCGCTGGCATACCAAATACATTCGGAGCAACCCACTCAATCTCAAACTCCGTTGGCGGGGTGGCCAGAACGTGGCCAAACGGCTCGAGATCAAAGTCCGCTGTCAAGCCATGGACGCTGTCAATTACGCGCATGTTCTTGGCCGGGGTCCTCACGCATTGGCCAGCGCACACGTAATCATACTCGAAAAAATACTCCAGCGCATCCCAGGTTTCTGACGGTTGGTGCTTGGGCATCCATATGAGACCTTTGTCTTCGAACCTCACCGGAATCTCCAGAACACTGGGATTTACGATCCATACGGGCTTGTTTTCAACGCACATGATAGCGTCTCTTTCGACGTGCCGTATTATGCCCAATTTTTGCTGGCACATTATAAAGTCGCCTTCGGTATACAGTTCATGGTCCACGAGTTCATCTAGGGGAATGTCGTGCAGTAGAAGGGGGCGTGGGGCGCCCTCTTTGGAGCTGTTCCCGGCGCGTTGCTCTGTAAATTCGAGCGAGCCGAAATCTCCTATTGACGGGTCGTGTGGACGGAAGGCGATCGGTTCCAGGGTGCACTTGGCAGACGCGCTTATGACCATGCCGGTCATCGTGTCGTCCGGATGACGTTTGACAACCTCGCCAATCTCAATCGGCCGGTCGATCAGTTCAAGGTCATCCTCGTGAACGAGAGAAAACCCCTGGGAAAATTTTGCGAAACCAACGAAAACGTACCCTTTGGGAGGCTGACGAGGTAGAGCATTTAGTAAACTACATCACCTCAGGACATATACCGGAAACCTACCACGCCGGTCTCCAAGAACCCAGCCAAGACGTCCCCCGAGATGGCTGTGTATGAGACAACCAGGTAGTCGTCTGGCGGTTCATGAGTATTGATCTTGGAGCGAACAAGTTAGCCCATTCATTCATTATCTAGCGACAGTCAGATGGGGCGGGAGAAGAAGGTACATCATGGTGTGTTTTCTGGAATCATTATCAGCATACAGCAAGTTTAACAGCTTGGACGAAGACCATACATGGACGGCTCCCACCACCGAGGGATTTGATTTCAGATAGCACGCATCATCGAGCTCGAACTATGGACGTTTGGTGAGCACTCAGTCGGGGCCGACAACATCACTCCACGGGGGCTCTTGCTGACCTTCGGCGCACGTGCAGCCCCCGTAATCGGGGCAGCAGCAGGAGACGCGCCAGTCGGGTCCATCTGGACCAAGACGCGGGGGGAAATTTAGACTAAACAGAAAGTCGAAGTCAAGCGCACTCCTTCGTGATAATCAATACAGGGAACAAAGAAGATGAGGGGATCGGCGTTGCGGGATGAGGGGAGAGGGCTGAGCCACCGCGGAGAGAGAGAGGGAGAGGGAATAATACGAGCGAGCGAGTGAGGGGAGATCCGCCTGATATGTCCGGGGCTGTCATGTGCTGCAAGCATTGGGGACTCTTATCACGGGGGGCCTGTATCGCCCACCAGTTTTCCCTGGTCAAATATATACATGGTATTACATTGGAGCAAGACTCTAACTACTCTTTCATCATTATTATTCCCAGTCCATAAATCTGTATTAACCTCGGCGATTCTCCGCTTGGAATGCAGCTTCCGTCCAATCGATCGGTCCCAGGCCCCCCAACACGCGCGCCTCACCGCTCGCGATTTATCCGAATCAAGCGACGGAGCACTTTTCTTCCTGCATACTAGTCTACTACTCTACCTTCTAGCTACATGATTTCTCTCCGCTGATCCACCTACAAAGTCCAACCAATCTCGGAATACCCTCAAAGCAAACTCCTCTCAACCTACAAGTGCGCCCCGAATCCCGCGTCGCAACTACGCGCAAGTGTCGCAACCCCCGGAAATCCGACCGGAAACAACCTCATACCTACTCTACCTCACTCATCTCACGGCTTACACACACCCCTTACTTCACCCCGACCAAGCGACTCACAACCCCCTCAACCTCAAATTCAACCCTGAAATAAAAAAAAAAAAGCCACCATGTCCGAACCCATCCCCGAATCCATCCCCACGAGTGCCGACCCGCGCAGCAAACGCCCCACGAAACGCCGCGCCATAACCGCGCAATCCTCCCAAGCGTCGCAAATCGAATCGCTGTTCCGCGACCCCAGCAAAGAAATCAAGCTGCCGAATGCCCCCACACAGCGGACGGCGGGCTCGATGCCAGCGCCACCGGAGATCGTGGCCAACGTGCAGGGGTCGTCGGCGGGCGCGGGGTCGGGCGAGTTCCACGTGTACAAGGCCAGTCGGAGACGGGAGTACGAGCGACTGCGGCTGATGCAGAGTGAGGTCGATAAGGAGAAGGAGGATCTGGATTGGGAGAAGAAGAGGGAGGAGGCGAGACGGAGGGATGAGGAGAGGACGGAGAAGAATCGGAAGAGGAGGGGGAAGAGGAATGCGAAGAAGAGTGGGAAGGATAAAGCTGGGGCTGGTGGGGAGGGGGATAGGATGGTGGTGGATGAGGATGAGAAGGCGAGGGGGCAGGAGAGGGGTGGTGAGGATGCAGGGTATGGGGTTGAGGGGGGTGAAGTGCCTGGGGTTATTATTCATGATGACTGAGAGAGAGAGAGAGAGAGGCTACGGTGGTTTAGGAGGGGCGGAGGGCGTGTACGATATGAAGATACCCATGTAATTTTTGTCTAGGATATTCATACAGAATCAAAAAGGTAGTCGTGCAGCATTATGTACGCAGTTTTAATTTCCGTTCTTCATATCCTTTAATCGTCACCGCCGCCGACACCGGCGCCCGCCTGCTGGGCAGACTTGCCGCTGCAGATGTCGTCGACACGGAGGAGAAGGCATGCGGACTAGAGGTATAGATGTCAGTTTGGGCTTGAATGGGAAGTAATAGGAAGGAAGGACTGCTCACCTCGACCGCAGTCTTGATACTCTGAAGCTTGACCGCCTCGGGTTCCCAGACGCCGTACTCCTTCATGTCCACCAAGGCACCGGAGTCGCCGTCCAGACCCCACGTGGTCTGGCCCTCGACGTGCTTGGCCCGCATACGGGTGAGGACGCGGATAGGGCTGGCGCCGGCGTTCTGCGCCAGCGTTCTGGGGATAACCTCCATGGCATCGGCAACGGCCTTGTAGGGCCATTGTTGGACGCCCTCGATGGACTTGGCCAGCTGGCTCAATCTGACGGAGACAGCCATCTCGATGGCACCACCACCGGGAGACAGGCGGGGGTGGAAGATGACGTTGCGGGCAACGGACATGGCGTCCTGGAGGTTGCGCTCGACCTCGTTGATGATGTCCTTGGAGGGGCCGCGGAGCAGGATCGTGCAGGCCTTGGGGTTCTGGCACTTTCTCAAGAAAGTGAAGTATTCGTCACCGATCTTCTCGATCTCGAACAGTCCACACTGGGTACCGACGTCAGATTCCTGGAGGTCGTCGACGCGGTTCACGATGGTGGCGCCGGTGGCACGGGCGATACGGTTATTGTCGGTCTTCCTCACACGGCGGAGGGCTGTGATGTTGGCTTTCATCAGGAAATGCTGGGCAAGATCTGTAGACAGTTAGTTAGCCAAGTTGTTGCCGACAGGTCGGACCCGGTTCTTACCGGAGACACCCTTCTCGGTGATGACAATGTCGGGCTTCAGGGCCACGATAGCCTCACACATCTGCTTCACCTGCTCCTCCTCGATCTGCAGGATCCGGTTCCAGTCGTCCTCCTTGGAGATCTCGATGTTCGTCTGTGATTCACCCTTCTTGTACTCCAACGGGCAGTCGAGCAGGACGACGCGAGGGTTCTCTATCCTTCTCCGCATCTTGGGGTGGGTGATATCCTTGTTGATCATCACACCGTCGATGACCTCACTGTCCTCGATCTGACCACCGGGGATCTTCTCGATACGAGCGTACCGCTTGATGTCGACCTCCTGCTTGCCACCACCGGCATCGAAAGACACGGTCCGGACGGCCTTCAACGCCAAACTGCACATGAGCTCCGACCACCGGGAAACGAACTTTGTGCCGATGGAGGACTGAATGAGGGTGTACATGGCCTTGTCGTCGTCAATGTCCACGGGTATCGAGACCTCCTCCACGATGGCAAGGGCGTCCGCCAGAGCACGCTTGAAAGCCGAGATGATGACAACGGGGTGGATGTTGCGTTCGAGTTGGGGGAGGGCCTGGGCGAGCATCTCACCAGCTGTGACGGTTAGAATTTGATCGAATCAGGAGCACAATCCACGTAGTGTAAAGGGAACATACCCAGGATAATGACAGTCGTCGTTCCGTCACCGACCTCCTCGTCCTGGGTGCGGCTCAGCTCGATCATGCTCTTCGCGGCGGGGTGCGACACCTCGATTTCTCTCAGGATAGCGTGGCCGTCGTTCGTCAGGACAATACCGCCCATGGGGTCGAGCAGCATCTTCAACATGGCCTTGGGTCCGAGACATGACCGGATGATGTCGGCAACACTGCAGTTTCAATCCCCCTGTTAGAACCGGAGCGGGGAAAGGTGGGAGGCTCACGTACGTCTTCGCCGCGGCGATGTTCGACAGCTGGGCTTTACGACCAACCTGTCTCTCACCCGCATTGGTGTCTATATTATACGCATGTCAGCAATCGACGATCGCGCCCCGGGCGGAACCAGGATCCGTCCCCTCGAGCAGGAGCAGGGCAACATACTCATCACCACCACCGGAGCCTGCATGGTGTCGGCGGTCCGTTGACTTGCGTCGGATAGGGAAGAAGGAAATTAGAAGAATCAGAAGATCCCGAGGGCAAGACGGAGTACACTCCAAAACCGATGGGCAAGCGGACAGAATAGGGGCCTTCTCGTGGAGGGGAACTGAGGTGTTGTGCCCGCCGTCACCATCAAATTTCCAGCGCTGCTCGAAGTGGGATTGCGGACAAGAAGCTCACCGCCACCATGCTCCTTTCGGCCTAGTGCCCCTTCCCCTGATCTGTCGGCTTCTCTAGATATCAAGTCGGTTTGCATTTCCTTTCCCTTCCATCCATCCTCTTGCCTTCTGTCTGTATGTACATGCATCTGTTCTCTATGCTGCCGTGCTTTTTAATAAATACATTTTGTCCTGCCCAACTCCGGGGAGCCATTCCGCAGATAAATATCCTCCCATATGTCATCGATTCCATCCACCATTCAAACCATGCCCGTAACTTCATCTCATTTCATTTCTTCAAAAACTTGCTCAACTTCTGAACACTCTTCCGCACACGACAGCGCATATGGGTAATGATCGAGACGGACAGGTTCCTCTTCCGCACCCGCGCGGAAGCCTTCGGAACCAGTCGCTGCCGATCGCTGCTCTCCCGTACTTCAGTCTGATATATCTGACACCCCATGTCATTCGACACCGGTGCGAGCATGCCACCCACCCGCGTCGTTGTCGCTCGACTGCTGGCACTGGGGTAGCTACTGAAATCATCACTCGCCACGGTGGCGTGGTTCGAGAACCAGTCGTCGGTGAACTGCAACGACGCTCTTAGATCGCGCTCCGTCATCTCGCGCTGTGTAGTCGTCGTCCACTGTCTCTGGATCATTCCCCAGGTGACGTCTTCCTCGTATATACTCGGTGAGTTGCGCAGGTCGTGTGCCTCACTCATCTCCTGATCGGCCGACAGTCGCATCATCATATTCTGGAACCAGGATTCCGCGTATGGAGTGGGACGTGAAGGTCTGGAGATATGCGGATCCGTGTAGGTGTACTGGTCTTGCAGTTTGTACATCCGTTCTAGTTGGAGCTGGCGCATGTTGTCCTGGAGGTGCTGGGGGAGTTGGGCCAGCGCGGTTTCGTCCAGATCGTAGAGCACTTCCTCTTCGTCGTCGGTGAAGTCTCGCATGTCCATGTTTAGTCGGTGGCTTCGCCAGGATTCGGAGCTGCTGGGCCAGAAGTATTCCGACTCCGAGGAGCTGCCGAGTAGAGGCATGTTGCTGGCCATGGTGACCATGGTGCACGTGTGGTGATGCGGTGGTCTGTCAGGAGGATGAGAGGGGGAATGGTTCGTACATGGGCGTGTGGGAAGTTGCTTGTCCGCTGCCGTATGAACCACGAGAGGGAATTGGACTGGTGAGTGTACGCCGTGTAAAGGGAAATGAAGTACAGAGTTGAGTCAGCGTAGAGGATTAAGTCCATCTCATTCCCCTGTCATTTTTACTGCTAATGTGACTTACTAGCATGCACGTTGACTGGGGTAGTTGGTCAGTCCTGCAGGGTATGCTTGCATGAGAGTTGCATTTGGCCTGGGGTCCAAGAGTGGACATAGTCGCATGCGATTTCCAATGCAGACAATGGGCTAAAAGGGCTATCTATACGCCTGGCTGGGGTTCCCGTGCAGGCCCATTTACTATGCTAGGCCATAAATAGAACGGTCATCTTGTCACATGGCCAAGAGTCCCTAGGGACGACCGTCCATCTTATAAAAGCACTGGATGCGCAGGAAGGGTTGATCTTGAAGACTCATCACATGTACGAAAGACGGTGAGGGAGAGAGAAAGTGAAAAGTACGGATCTAAAGTTGCGAGGGTCTCCGTGGGTACATAGAAAAGGATCAACATGCAGGTAGGTATCTTACACGGCAACATTAAGGTCATTGGAACCACAACTCCCAACCCTTCCCGGGGGCCACATGATCTTCACTCAAACTCCCGACTTTCGCCAATCTGGCAGACGTCAAACACTCCCACCTCAGGAATCCCATGTCTGCTCAGAGCCTCCTTCAGCTTTTTTGGCGGCTCCAGAACCTCTTCATTGGTCAACACCCAAGTGCCCCAATGGATGCCCATGGCCTTTTTGCACTTCGTGTCTTCAAATATCCGCACTGCGTCATGAGGGTCGGCGTGCATGGTGCTCATGAACCATCTCGGCTGATAGGCCCCAATCGGGATGAGCCCGAGATCGAAGGGTCCCCGGTACTTTCCAATCTCTTTGAAGGCAGGGCATGTGGGGAAGTTATACTCCGGAGCCCAATCGTCGGTATCAGCTGGGAGTTCCGGCACCGTCCTGTATCCCGAATCTCTGTGATGAGGCAGTCTTTGTCAGGACGCTGTCGGAAATACTCAAGAACCAAGCACTTACCCTCCAAAATATAGTTTCTTCCCACCAGACTCGATGTACCAAGAAGCCCACAGGGTTTTCGACCGATCAAAGATGCCTCTGTTACTCGTGTGTTGCGAAGGCAAGCAGCCAATTCGTGCTGTAATATCTGACGGCCCGGAACCAGCGCCTTCCCCGGCGCCCTCGACCTCAGGTCCTGATCCTTGCGACGGTGAAAGGACAAGGTCGCGTTCATCCCACCAATCCAATTCGGTCACGTTCTTGATGCCAATGCTCGTGAACCAGTCCTTGTTACCGAGCGGCGCAAAGAAATGGCAATTTGGATGGCGTTTGGAGATTTCGGTCACAGTCGGGTGCGAGAGATGGTCATAATGGTTGTGAGAGATCACCACAGCATCAATGGTCGGGATCTCATCGATCTGGCAAGGCACGTCGGTGTAGCGCTTTGGGCCCATAAAGGATAACGGGGAGCAACGGTCCTCAAATACAGGGTCGAAGAGAACCCGTAGACCACTGGGGAATTCGACGTAGTAACAAGCATGACCGAGCCATGTCGCCCGGAGATTGGGTGTTTCTCGCGTTGGCAGGAAGGTGGGTTTCTGAACAATCACTGTCGGGGGTGTCGTGTCTGGGAACTTGATTTTCCCGGTTATAAGTTGTCTTCAGCCGATGAAGACGTACTGGTCAGTCTATCTCTAGAAAAGCGATTCCGAATCCTGGTCTACTCACCTCCAGAAGCGGGTTATGTCTCCGAATGACGGGGTTCTCCATGAGCTTCACAGTTGGGTTAGTACCTAGATCCCGACTTGCGACAGCGGCGCGACGCGATTTGCTTACTCCCAGGGGTTCTGGAACCCATTTTTGAGGTGATGGGTCTTCTCCTTGATGTCTTCTGGTCCCGGAGACACGGGAGACAGCATGACCGTCATGGAGAAGAGGGCGGCCGAGGTAGAGGAGCTCATTGTGGTGATGTTGCGTCTCTGCGGGGGCGACACGCGGGGTGCAGAAATGCTGCCGACCCGGAAATACTGCAAGCTTCGTAGGGGTCGCATTGTTTCCAACCGTATGTAGGGGTGGCCGTGTCTTATCTACCAAACGTACCAAGGTTGGTGGCGTTGGGATCCCTCGATAGTACGACTGCCCACCTTGAAGTCAATGGCAGCGGGCACCCCGGCGATTGACAGGTCAGGCAGCAAATCAGCAAGACTATGGATCAGCGGACTTGTAGGCAGAAGTGTCTTACGCGCCCAGTCCGTCCGGATTTACTTTTGCGACAGTCTGAAGGATGGAAAAAAGAAAAAAGACAGGCGAAAGTCAGGTAACGCCGAAACCCCCGTTCCTAAGCCCGTTATCTCCGGCCCCTGCGGCGGTGGATGACAATGAATGATTCACAGCCATGGCATTGGATGCGCCCATGCCCAGGGAGTCCGACTCTATACGTGGCGTCGTAGAGTGCGAACTTCAAGTCGGCAGGATCCGACATGACAAAGGATTGGATACGGGGATAATTGTGTAGTTTGCAGTTCGTACAAGTGTAGCAGCGCGTCTTGTTCTCATGGGATGCGGCGTCTCGGCCCGTCATAAGTCCGTCCTCCGCGGACTCGACGCGGCATCCGTGCTGCTGCGGTGTTGCTGCTCCGACTCCCCGGCCACTTTCGGAGGAGGTGCAGCCTGATCGTTTACCTGTTGGCATGGACCCCAATGGACCGTCAAGCACTCCAGGGCTGCCTTCGCCTGGCGAGCTGATTGCGCAACAGCGGCAAGATGCCATCCAGGCAGCGGGGCAGCCTGCATCCGACGGTGGGCTCCTCTCCCAGCTCACCAGCAATCCTTTCTTCACCGCGGTAAGTCCCATCGTCTGTCGCTAAGACAACATGCGCTGGAGACTGGATGCTGACCATGCGATCGATTACTAGGGGTTTGGTCTCGCCGGTCTCGGGGCAGCACTGGGCCTTGCGCAAAAAGGTGCCCGTCATGGCGCCGCTCTTCTCCGGCGGCGCATGCTCGTGGACGTTGAGATCAGCATCAAAGACGATTCCTACCCGTGGTTCCTTCACTGGATGACGCTATACCAACAGTCGCAGGTCAATGCGGCCCGGTCCGCCAGCAGGTCTGGCTTCATGGAGTCCGTGCTGCAGCGACTGACCCCCGGAATGCGCCATCTCTCCATCCAAACGCAAAAAGTCGAGCACACCAACGGCGCGATTCATACACACTTTGCACTGGTTCCGGGTCCAGGGAGACATGTTCTGCGATATAAGAATGCCTTCATCTTTGTCAATCGAATGCGGGAATCTAAGTCGCAGGACCTTCACACGGGCCGCCCGTGGGAGACGATCACACTGACCACATTGTATTCGCACCGTCACGTCTTCGAGGAACTGTTTACAGAGGCGCATGCGCACGCGGCAAAGTCTCACGAAGGCAAAACCTCAATCTATAACAGCTGGGGCACAGAATGGAAGCCGTTTGGAAAGCCACGACGCAAGCGCCCATTGGACTCTGTCATCCTCGATGAGGGCGTCAAGGAGCGGATTGTGGAAGACGTCAAGGACTTTGCGTCCAGCGGGAAGTGGTATCACGATCGGGGCATTCCCTACCGCCGTGGCTATCTTCTTTATGGACCGCCTGGGACGGGCAAAAGTTCGTTCATTCAGGCCTTGGCGGGCGAATTGGATTATGACATTGCCATCTTGAACCTCAGCGAACGGGGGTTGACCGATGATCGGCTGAACCACCTTCTGACCATTGTCCCGAACCGCACACTAGTCTTGCTCGAAGATGTGGACGCCGCATTCTCGAACCGCCGAACTCAAACGGACGAAGACGGGTATCGCGGAGCCAATGTGACCTTCTCGGGTCTTCTGAATGCTCTGGACGGTGTTGCAAGCGCCGAGGAGCGGATTGTCTTCCTCACCACTAACCATGTTGAACGGCTCGATGAGGCGCTAGTCCGACCCGGTCGGGTGGACATGACGGTGCGCCTGGGCGAAGTCACTCGTTATCAGGTTGGGTGCCTCTGGGATCGGTTCTACGGAGAACTCGACCCGAGCGGATCCCACCGACAGATCTTCCTCAGTCGGCTACAGGAGTTTGGCTTGATCGAGGACGAAAACGGCTTCAAGGCCGACCGATCGAAGAACACGAGTGCTGCCGCTCTGCAGGGGCTGTTCTTGTACAACAAGGACAACATGGAAGGAGCCATCGCCATGGCCGAAGGACTTACTTACCGGGTTCATGACGAGGCTATGGAGAATGCGAACAATTAGACTGTATGATAGACGAGTGCCATGTATATTAACTGTGTGACGGCACATGTACCATGGGGCCAATCAAATCCCATCCAGCGTAAGGTGAGGTGATATCGTCACCTCCATCCTTCAACCACTCCACAGCCATCGCCTTATCAATCACAGGGTTTTTCTCCGTATGGTGGGACACCATTTTGCGTAGGGTCTCGCCAGTGCCGAAGGAATGGCTAGGCTATCGAGGCCCGCGTCTTCCCCACGACATCGAATCAGGCACGCATCCCAGTGAGAAAACAAGCCGATCGTCAGCTCCAGCGCTATCCTGCACCGAATCAGGGGGTCTGTCACTCCGTCACTCCGCCGACGCGCTGTGATGACGCTCCGCCACACCGCCGGCCAATCATGCGGCGGTTTCCTGGCCCAGCGAGATGTCGCCGTTAAGCGCCCACCACCACCTCCTCCAAGTTTCTTCACCCCCGTGCATATTCTTCACACTAACGCAGCCTGTCATCGTTTAGACCCTTACCGCCGCCAGTGTGGACATTGCCAGATATGGACAGGATTCTAGGTCTGTGTCCTATCCACACGGGCTGCCGTGTGAGGCAGGCGTCTGCAGCTGGGCGTTGGGATGGTTATATATGGTTTGCGTCGCCATGCTTTCATTGATTCCTTGCCTCTTGACGGCTGAGACACGCTTACAATATTCCTTTTTTGTTGTTTTAGTGTATGACAAAAGTGCCTGAGCACACCGGCCTGCTTGCCCTGGAACTAATAACAACACCTTCATATAATCTGCACTACCAGCACAATGAGCCAATTTCAACTCTTTCCTTCCCCCACTTCAGACGCAAGAACGGTCAAGGACTCGATTCCAAGAGGCAAACAGAAACCAGTTCTCAGGACACCTCCAGAGTCGATACCTCTGGAACCTTTGCGCGACAAGAGTAGCCCCACGGAAGCTGTCATCTTCAAGCTCATCGAAGACACCCACAGTCTCAAGACACCTCCCAAGGCACATGCGTCCACATCGACGCCAGTTTCCATTCCCGAAACGATACAAGAACGTGAAACATCCCGGTCACCCATGCATCATGCTATGCGTCAAAAGCGTCCTGAGAGAGTTGGATCTCCGTATTCGACCAAAGTCAGCGAAGCTTCTTGTCCTCAGAGCAGCTCTTCAGTCACCACTGCTCCAGCGGTGCAAATGAAGTCCATGTTTCCTCGATATGACTTTGATCTTCCACCGAACCAGCAACACTACTATCCAGAGCCCTCGTCTCATCGCGAGCACCCCAGGCCTCCGGATATCATGCTGTCGGCGCCAGAGATTGATCGGGCCCTGGGGCCCAAAACCGTCCCCGCGAGCGTGATGGATTTTCCCACTGGCGTTCTTGACCCACTGGAGCCGTATTCCGCGCGTGAAGAACTAGAGAGCCTATGGGAAGCTGCCAATGGGCAACGCTCACGGAGCCTTCCGGGAGATTTTCACTTGCTTATTGAACGGTAAGCATCCTATAAGCTACGGAGTTTTCGTTACTGATATCCTCTAGGATCGATTCCAAAACATTTAGCTTCGGAACACCTAATATACCGTTTTACACGCTCAGCACCTCTGCAACAAATGACATAACTATCACAAGGAGGAACCCCTCTAGACCAGATAGCAGTGTTCCTGTGATGAACTTCAAACTTGAAAAAAGGTCGCGTCGCCAACCACCTTACGACGGGCTAGTCGCTATTTTGTTCCCCCGACTTGCTGCAATCCTGGCCATTGACCAGGCCATGGAGCTATCGAAAGAGCTCCGGCTACCCCCTTCAGAGGCCGCTGAAGCCGAGGGGGATGCTCTTAAACGAGTAGCAGCCCAGGAGTCATGCAAGCTCCTCTGGAACCAATCCAAAAAGGTCTATGAGTTTCAACACCCAGCGCTTTGTAGGCAGCAACCGCCCGCTCTGGTCGGTGCGGCTGGCGTGCCCCTGTCGCCAATGCGGTCGAAGTATTCTGGTGTACTACATATCACAGTATCGAGCTCTTCTGAGGGGACAAGGGGCAGCCAGCCTCCGACAATACTAGTCACGACACCTCTACCAGCCAATGCCGTGGAAACAGGCAGTATGGTGGCCACGCCTCGAACATCCACGCTTCCGTTGACAGACTTGGACGAGCCTCTGGCATCTCTCGACCTAGCAACTATGATATTTTCTATATCTACTGCTTCTATCATCGCAACGGTCCCCTCTTTATTTGCAATTGATGCCGTTGTTTCCGCCGTACTAGCCGTGGCAGCCTCAGACGAGTCTACCAAGATTGCGCTGGAGGGGCTGGAATTCACAGCAGCAACCCCCAAAAGCCAATCATCTTCTGGAAACACCAGCTTCCACGGACCCTTTGTCACCACCCTGGCAGAACTAGAGGATGCCAAAGAAGGCAGCCAGCTCTGGGCAAGAATCAAGTCTGTCCAATCTAGTTCGGACAGTGACAGCGAGAAAAGGTGGTACCAATTCTGGGGTAAGAGAAATCTCAAGCAGCCCAAGCAGCCCAAGAATAGGAAGATTGTGGTGGAAGAGTTTGACATGGCCAAGTATGGGCGCTACCGTCGGGGCGCCCGGGAGGGTCAGAAGCTCCCCTGGATTACACGCGCGTGCCTGCGGATTCTGTTTTTGTCCCTGGATGTGATTGTGCACGTGCTTACGCTGATTGTCAAGGTGATTGCTTGGTTGATGGTGGGCATGACCCGCTGTGTAACCAGTGAGAGGGTCTAAGATATATGGGTGAAAACCGGGTAACGATGTTGATCTTGATTTTGATGTCACGGAGTACAGTCTATCTTTGGCTTGCTGCATTACAATGGAATTTTCCCTGTCGATCGGAGGTAATCTTTATTGGGCTGCTGGCCCATTCCATTGATGTCATGGGTTCAAGGTCGCCCTCAGTCGTGTTTATCGCGGTTCAAATAGAAACTTGCCCTCGATCCGACAGCCCTGGAGCCGGGGTGTCTATGAAGAGACAACTATATCCAACAGCAATATGCATCTCTTTCAGCTCAAAGCATTGAAATTATCACACAAGAACAAGCATCAAGCCACAGATGCATCTTATCAACATCAACAAGTTAAACTTTGCTAGAACATTCATACATACCTCGCCACACCCCTGGCCAGCACAGGGCACATACATTCCTGGCATTCCGCCATCCACCACAACAGCACAGCCCTCAAAACACCACAGCGGCCGCCTGGCATGGAATCCCAAGGGATGCAAAGGGAGTTATATAGACGTCGAGTCCACCGGCCATCACCACGATAAACACCACCTACCGTACGCCCAGTTTCAACCACAGCAACTTGCACCGCAGCGATTTTATACTACTTGCCACCGTTCACGGAAACAAACATAATGCGCACCCTTCTCTTGCTCTCCACTATAACCCTGGCCACAGCCACCAACACCGGGCTGGGGTATTTGGAGTGTGCTGTATGTCTATCATATCCATCCATGTACCTGGAAGCATGAGACACAAACTGAGATCGGATAGTCTTCCATCGCCAGCACGTACCACTCAACCGCGTGCACCTCCACCTCCAACCTTGACTGCTTCTGCAATGCGCCCTTCAACCCATCCGACTTGGACCAGGCCACCCTGGATAGCTGTGCGACCGCGGGTGTTCGTATGTTCCTCCACACTCCACGCCCTCCCCCTCGACAGCGCCTACCCTCTCCAATTCACCACTAACAAATCCCATACAGCCACCGCCAACATCCCCGACTACGTCTGCAACAACGCCGAAGCCCCGTCTCCGCGCGCAAGGGCAGCCAGCCCATGATGAGGGTGGCCAGTGACGCCGACACCACCAACACCGACGCGAACGCCAACGAAGCCCACGCCGACATCACCGTGACCATGGACACGACCACCGACGGCAGCACCGGCGAAAACAGCAGCTCCAACTCGACCGCCTCCGTTGTCGTGAACAAGCCCGCCAACATGGACGCCAGAATCAACCTGAACACCCCCCGCGCCTACGCTCCGGACCCCACCGCCGAAAGCAAAGTCCACATGACGGATGCCTCCAACGCCGACGTCGTGTACAACGTGATCACGGAGACGGAGACCGAGTGTGCATGCAAGGAGACCAAGGCGCCTGTCCCCGGCGCTCCTGATGCTGATACCGGCGTCGACGCGACTGAGACGGTGACTTCGGCTGGACAGGATGTCCCGGCTACTGAGGCGAGCACTGCCACTGCCACGGCTACTGTCCCTGCTGCTGTCCCTGCAACTGGCACTGCTACTGCAACGGGCACCGATACTGCTACGAAGACGGAGACGGCCACCGCTACAGCCACCGGATCCACCACTCCCTCCGCGGAATCGGAAGCAAGTGCAACAACCTCCTCACCGAGACTCTTCACAACCTCCACCGCGACAGCTACCTCCACCGTCGTGGCCTCCGGAACACCAGGCCCGCTACCCAGCGGGGTGGATCCCACCCGGACTGAGACCGAGGATGATGGCACTTTCTACGATGATGCCAGCAGCCCCGGTACGAGCCAGAGTGGAAACGGACAGGGGGGTGAGTTGTTCGAGGGTGCGGCTGGACGGTCCGTGCCGCAGGCTGTCGGTGTGGTGATTGCTGCAGGACTGGTGGCGTCGTGGATGTTGTAAGATGGTTTCTTGGGGTTCTGGGATGATAATGATGGGAGTTTGGGACGTGGGAGAGGGAGACTGATACCTGCTTTATGTTTCTCGGGTCGGGTCGGATTGATGATTTGTGATGGTTAATGGCTGCGTATGATGTCATGTACTCCTTGTAGATTCAGTTTTGATTAATATGTGATCGTTTTTGAACTTTTGGTGTTGTCTGGATGTTTTGTGCCTGAGGCAAGTATAACAGGCCATGAAGCCTGAGGCAAAGAGTCTTTTATATAAGGCCTGAGGCAATAACTCCATGTATGAGGCCTCAGGCATATCCGTCCCATCCAGCCCTACGTCATGCCTGAGGCACACAGGCATAAAGTACAACCGGGCCTGTAGCACCTGATAAAACACGAATTAAGAGAGTGTTTGAACCATTGAAAGTCACTGACTCGGTATCAGGGAACCAGGCACCTCCGGCCTTGCCGGCAGAAGTCTAATTGAGGTTTGTTCGCTCTCCTGTCAAACCTTCCAGGTATGTATATCGATGATCCTGACTAGGATAAAGTTTGCCGATCCAATGGATCCAGGAAGGGTCTGGAGTCAATCGTCTCGTCAATCATCGTCAATCATCGTCCATCATCTCACCATGACGCGCTCTATGCGCGCTGGCAGCAGCTGGTTGGTGGGTGCTGCGTCTCCGCTTGCTTGCTGCTCAGCTGCAGTGCGGATGCCGCATGCGGAAATGCCGTCTTGGATGTCCCTTGCGCCAACTCACCACTTCATCTACCTGATTGCCTCCCCGTGCCTGCAATCGACCATCTGGATACATTCCTCCTCCTCCTTCACGTCTGATCGTTCTCCTCCCGCTGTGACAGCTGCCCATCATGAGTGGCCAGGCATCCAGCTACTACAACGCCAACCAGAGCTTTGGCGACGCGCCTCAGCAACAGCCACCGCAACCACATCCTCAATACCAACAACCTCCCATCCATCCGGCCTACAACAACCAGAATGGCGGCGATTATCAACGCGCACCTGAACCAAAGCCACCCCAGGGCCCGCCGCCCACCTACAACCAGGCTGTGTACGGCTTCGACGAGGCCTTCAAGGTCGAACGGCCCAAGTACAACGACATCTGGGCAGGACTGCTGGTAAATCCAACCACCATCAAACCCAACTGGGTTGACTGATTGACTGTGATCAATTGACTAACCCACCCAGCTCATCGCCGTCTTCCTTGGCTACGTCGCCGTCTCAGGCGTCGCCATCCACCGATACGCGAAATACAAAGGGTTCAACGGCGGGGGCATCTACGACTCGTCCAACGACTTCTCCCTGGACACCAACACCCTAGTCCTCTTCATCTTCGTGCTCTGCGTCGCGCTAGCCTTCTCGTACGCCTACTTCCTCGGGGCACGCTACTTCTCCAAGCTCTTCATCTGGGTCACCGGCATCCTGAACATCGTCTTCGCCCTCGCGACAGGCATCTACTACATCGCGCGCAAGCAATACGGCGGCGGAATCGTATTCCTGATCTTCGGAGTCTTCGCCATCGTCTGCTTCATCAGCTGGATCCCCCGCATCCCCTTCACCGCATACATGATGGAAGTCTCGATCGATGTGTCGCGACGCTACGGCCACATGTTCCTGGTCAGTACCATCGGCGGCATCGTGGCCGTGGCCTTCGGCGCCTGGTTCTCCGTCACGCTGGTCTCGATCTACGTCGCCTTCGAGCCCGACTCCTCCGGCACCAACCCGTCCTGCGCCAACGGCTCCGGCGGCTGCAGCACCGCCCGCGTCATCGGACTGGTCGTCTACGTCACCTTCGCGATGTACTGGTTCAGCGAGTGGCTCAAGAACACCGTGCACACGACCATCGCGGGCGTCTACGGCTCATGGTACTTCTTCAACAACTCCCCCGACGGCCTGCCCAAGGGCGCCACCCGCGGGGCGTTCCGTCGCGCAATGACCTACTCCTTCGGCAGCATCAGCTTCGGCTCGCTCATCATCGCCATCATCAACATGCTGCGTCAGGCCTGCTCCGTCGCCCAGCAGCAGGAATCCGCCCAGGGCAACATCGTCGGCTCCATCATGTTCTGGATCCTGGGATGCTTCATCTCCCTCCTCGACTGGCTGGTCACCTTCTTCAACCGCTACGCCTTCTGCCACATCGCCCTCTACGGTAAAGCCTATATCCCCTCCGCCAAGGATACCTGGAAGATGATGAAGGATCGCGGAGTCGATGCCCTCGTCACCGATTGTCTCGTCGGGCCGGTTCTGACCATGGGCTCCGTGTTTGTATCGTACGTCTGTGCGCTTCTGGCGTATCTGTATCTCCAGTTCACCAAACCCGGGTATAATAGCAACGGCGACTTCACGGCGGTTATTATGGCCTTTGCGTTCGTGATTGGGCTGCAGATCTGCCAGATCTTTATGACCCCTGTCGGGAGTGGCATTGAGACTATCTTTGCCGCTATGGCTTGGGATCCCCAGGTCTTGGTGAACGATCATCCTGATATGTATTACCGCTTGGTGCAGTTGTATCCAAAGGTGCAGCAGGCGATTCATGCGTAGGTTTTGAGAATGAGTTTGGGGGGGTCTATATAAGTTCGATCTAGATCTAGAGTTCTCTTCTCCAGATTTCATATCAATGCAGTCATATAAAGAATAATATGAATATAATTTCAAGCTCGATGAACCCTGTCATCCCAGTAACAGCTCATTAGAGTAAGCGTCACCGTTCTATTAACTGGTGCAATTGTAGAAGAACATACGTATAGTATTAGTACCTGTATCAGGAAACTGGCCCTAGCATTCTGTAATATTCATCGCAATGAACGGTTAAACAAATCAACCAGACAATCATTCCATAAACCCTTTATTCCAACCCCCTTAATATCCTTGGATGTATAATACTATACTCACACGACCTGCCTCATTTGCTATCTTGAGCCGGATGTCGTTCGCCTGCGGTTTCAGCATTGTAATGTCATCATGTGTGCCAATCCACTTTTTCAATTTTTTCCAATGAGAGTGTAGTATTAGTTCTTGCCCAGCTCGCTCAGTTTCATGCAAAGTGGTCGTCACGATATATTTAAGTTACTCTTACTGGCAGCCAAGAGCCCAAATGGATATTCAGTTACTCGGGACAGCAAGGACACAGTCAGTATCCGGGAAAGCTGGTTCAGGGAAAAAAAAAAAAAAAAAAAAAGGCAGATATGCCCTGCCATAGTCCCTCTTCAATGTTTTTCTTGGTCTGTTCTGTTTGTTTGCTTGCCTGGAGGAGGATGGCATTGCAACAACAAAAAACAAAAAAAAAAAAAAAAAGAAAATGCTTTCAAGGCACAGATGTAGATGATTACAGTCTCGTATCAGTGTTCTTTTCTCTGACATGGCTGATCCTCTCTTCAAATAGCCTCCTGTGGGGGGAGGGGAGGGAATTCAGCAGACGAGGTTAATATTGAAGATCCCGCACGTAACTAACAGAGACCTTCTGCAACGGTCATTTATCATTGTCCTTTCAATTCAAAATCGGGTATAGCGGCCCGCCCCTAGTAATCAGCTATAAAATTATTTGAAAAATATTTACTTCACCGCCTTAGCAGGCAGAAAATATTCTCAATTTATATATAAACATATATATATATAAGCCCTTTAGGGCCCTCTAAAACAGCCTGTTTTAATTACTTTACTAGTACTCTATATTACTTTATCAAGGCTTCTGCCTGATCTTTATATACTATTATACTTATCTATCACGCTTGTTTATCACACTTGTCTATCACGCTTGTCTATTATACTTGTTTAGACTGTTAAGCGTGTACAGATAGTCTGAATAGCTTTAATTCTTCTTAAAACAGTAATTCTTAATAGCTGCTGATTACTAACTATTTAGTAATCTTTACACTAGGCCTAATTCTTTGAATGATAATTGCTAGCGCTTGTACTTTGTTCATGCACCTTATAAGTAATTAACCACGGAGGTTCATCCTGATTAGGCCTTAGCGGGCCACTAAGAAATTGACGCTAACCTAATATGTTAATTATAAATGTAAATGACCGTTGCAGAAGGTCTCTAACAGGAAGGGTCGGTCTTCTGGCAGAGGATCTCGAAGCCACTGGGACTTGATTCAATACTTATCGCTTGATCTTGCATTGAACTCCCGTTGATTCCGGGAAGTATGCATCATCATCAACCCAACCTGGCGGACAGATAAGTAACGGTTTTTTTCCTCGTAGGTAGAGAGATAAATCCGTTTGCTTCAGGATCAATGGCTACATGTATATAGTAACGGGCAATCTGTCCTCGATAATGATTGCTCATTAGTTGTGTGAATACGAAGTAGGTCGTTTCTATCTGTCCGCCCTTGGGTTTTTGTAGGGTTTAATAAGGATGGATGGATCCATCCCCATAAGTTGGAAATTTGGCCGATCTGATCTGCGATGGCCGAACGATCAGCTCCCGTAATCCTGTCTATTCAATCCTTAAAGGGAACCAGGATGTTCTCTATCCAGATTCCGTCCGAGTGCTGGCTTGCGTCGAGTGTAATGCTATGCTGTTGAACTTCAGGTGGCCTCTCCGCCGCCTAAAGATCGAAATGTAGACAATCTCATGGAATTGCCCGAGGGCGGAAAAGATGAAGACCTCGGGCTGGGCGCGCAGCTCCGGCTTTAACTCACTCTGATTGACTAGGCGAACTTGCATATTGCTTTGCTGGGCATTGTTGGCCGCTTGTCTGGTGGTATCAGGTGGTAGGTTTGTAGGTAGGGAGGTTGGGAGGTACCGTAAATCTCTCATCGGCTTTGCTTCTTGTGTATCTCTCTCTCATGGTATATGATCGTATATAGCAGGCCAGACGAAGCCAGCTTCTTTCGCCGTATCTTTGTTTAGATAGAATAGAAATATCATATAGCATATCTGGATAAATGGCGCTGGAGCCAATTCTTTATGATGAATACAAATAGGAAAGTATTCGAGCCAGATACATCAGAACCCGATTATCGCCGTCATTGTAAAACTGAGCATGTTATTCTCCACATCATGACTGTCATAAATCCAGTCCCCGAGCGGTGCCGCGTATGTCCTTTTTCGGCTTTATCGGCGCGCGCTATGATTCCTTGCTGGTGGTTGATACATGCTGGGTAAGGTACGTGCACCAAAGATACCCCGAAGTTTACTTTAGTCTGTTCTGCTCTTTGTAAACATGACTAGCCCGAGGAACAGCAAATGACTCCGGCGAACACATCCCCTTGGAGGATGAGCCTGTGGGAAATATGTCTCCCTGGATCTAGTCAAGATCGGAGATTTTCCACGGGATAGCGAATAGCGACAGCTAAAAGCACTGTCTTCTGTCTCGCTTGTCGTTTGCAGTGGCGAAGAATGGTACAGTTCCCCATTCCACTTGCCTGGAGTATTCTCTCGATGTATAATCATGGAGATAGAGACTGGATAGATAGGTTATGCTGTCCACAGTAGATCTTCGGGATATCCGTCTTTCCTCGACGGAAACCTGGGAAGCCTATGATGAGCCAGAGGAACATGAGGACTGGCAGGTACTATAAGTACTTTCCATAATCTGTATCTTTGGGTTGTGCACAGGGAGGATATAGTGTTATCTTATATTGTTATTTTATACCATTTAAACCAGGTTAGTTTGAAATGTATCGATCCGGTAATCAGAAAATTGATATGTTTTTTTCAAGAAAGAGATTTTGGTGGGAAAGAATAAAGTCGGTGTTGTTGGACAATTCATGTTCATGTAGTTAAAACCGGGGGTGCGGAACCAGGAAAGCTGAGGATCATCCTGAGAGGAGGATGGAGAGGATGGAGAAGGGGAAGAAGGAGAATAGGATGGGAGAGGGAGGATGGGGGGGGTTATATAGTGGTGTCATGGCTTGGTTATCAAGATTTGGGTGAATAGGTGCTGGGAATGAGGGCTGAGGATGGACTTCAAGGTTGAGGATGTGTAGTGAAGTAGTCTGTGATGAAGGTGGATTCACCAACTGATAGTACAGGACGAGTATCCTCCCATCTTCATGGTTTGCTTCTCCAAGAGAAGATAGCCTGTATCAGAGCGAAGTCGATCTACAGGTAATCAGAGGGACTAGAGCCATACAAGACAGCCAGGATACCGAGTAATGGTAAGTAGTTTTGGATTTAATATAGACACTAGAAAAGGTATTCAAACATATAAAAGCTGCTGTGGGTATCAATAAATACATAGCACGCCTACCGACGGACTCCACCACTCACTGGTTCCCTCGCTCACCCTACCGAAATGCATGCTGCTTCATGTGTCGCCACGAACCCGCGATGCCGCGCTCAATGCCCGGGATCGGAGTCCGCGACCTGCCCGGCCACTCGTCTGTCGCCGCCTGGATCTGACCCTTGTTCCACGCCCGCGAGCGACGCATGTTCTCGTGCCGAACGGCCGCCCGACGCGCGGCGCGCAGCTCGTCGATCCGACCCTGTCCGACGCGGTGGCGCCGCACGAAACAGTCGTCGAGCAGGGCATTGGCGTCCAGTAGCTTCTTCGGCACCGACTGCACTACCTGGAACACCTCCATGGGATCCGACACCGCCATGATTTCCCGCTCACACGACTTGAAGATGGCCAGAGAGACTCGGAAGAACGTCTTGGAACCCTCGTAGAAGAAAGCATCCCACACGCGCAGGGTCGTCTCTAACGGCAGGGTCCCGATGAAGACTGACATCAGCCAATTGGTCAGGCCGAGGGTGATGTCAGGCAGGCGGGAGGTCACTGTCAACGCTGGGGCCCGTGAGTTCCCACCGAAGCCGGAGCCGGCGATCTTGTTGTACACATGCGGCGAAATTTCTTTGAGCAGGACCATCAGAATCCACAGATCGATGTTCGCTCCCTCCAGGCTGATCTCGTGTGTGCTGGGGAGGTAGACAGAGCTGATGATGTGCAACATCCAGAACGCCTTCTCCTCGGGCAGGAACAGCAGAAGCATACCCGTGATGAAGTTCAGCGATTGTGTGTAGCCGATCTGTGGGTTGTGGATGGCAAATGCATACAGAACCCGTCGTAGGGATTGAATCATTTGGGTCTCGACTATGACTGACCCGTGACCATGCTTGAGGTTGCTGCTACCAGCGCTAGCGCCTGCGCCAAGTTGGTCGGCCGATTCGGGTTTGAAATGAATGTTGTCGGGGAACGTCCGGTGCAGATCGCGTTCGATGTGCTCCTTATCGTCGTTGGTCGGAGACATCATGGACTGCTGCACAAGCTGCTCGTAGAGCCCGGGGTTGCGGTTGAGATGTTCGTAACCCCCGGCGTAGAAGAACCAGGCCGCGCCTCGGTATTCGGGCGGAATACCCTTGCGCACGAGCTTCTTGATCTTGTTCGACTTCGGGGGGAAGGACGAGGGGTCTGTGACTGGCAGCCGGTTCTCCCGAAGGAGTTCCACCCACTTCGTCCTCCGGGTCGCGGCAAAGCCGACGTAAGTGCGATGCCATGCCTCGTATTGCTCGAGAGTCACATGGTGAGTAGCCTTCCGGAAGCCATAGCAATCTCGAGTGCTGGTACCCGGCAGTAGCGGAGGCGGTACAGCACCAGGGATCACGACTGTGGTCGATTGGTCACGTCGTTGAAATTCCGAATGGGCTGGTGATTTCAAACTCGAGAGATCGTTCCATGGCTGATCTGGCATGTCCTCACTTTCAGGCGGTCCCTCGATGGGCCTTGGTTCCGGGGGATCTAACTCTGGTAGCGGCGGCACGGGGGGAAGGTCCTCTGTAGGATCAAGGTCGGGCGAATGTTCATCGGAAGTATGTCCGTCCATCGTGTATTCAGTAGGCGGACATGGACTCCACGGTCTTTTGCTATCACCATACAGGCTAGGGGACCCCGGCTCCTCTGTCACATCGCTGAAGCCGTCAAGGTACATGGAAATGGCATCTTCCACGCTCATTCCCCCATCCTTCTCGAAGGGCCCGTCGGGAGTGTCGGGGGACATGTCAGTAATCGAGCTACTCTTCGTGAGGACACTGCTGCGCTCCGTTCCGCTGGCATGTTCGATGCTGGACCGCGACGTCATGGCGGAGTTGACGCTGGAGCGGAGCTCATCTTCTCCGTGGCCATCTGCATAACTTCCGGGAGGGGGAGCACGAGGCAGTGCCAACCCATACAGGTCGTCTGGCTGTCGCTCCCGGGACCGAGGGGGCCGTGGGCGTCGGTTGTGCAATTTCGAGGTGGACATGGATATGCGCAGCCCTGGTGCACCAGGGGGGATCCTTCGGGGTGGGGGATGCTCAAAATCGCCTGCCTTGGCAGGGTATCTTGGGCGATCGTTTGGGGTCGCAGGGAATGTGGGGGTCCGGCAGGTGGGCCTTCGGGGCACAAAGTCATCGTCGTCGTCTCGGGGTTGGGGCGAAACAGCGCGCCGTGCGGGATCTGCTTGCGGAGGATAGGCATGATGGAGTCGGGGTGATTTAGGGACGGGGGGTGGCCGTTGGGGGGGAGGACGCAGGCCATCAGCCGTCGAGGGGCGTGGGAAGGGAGGATTGAGTCTCAGAGGATCGAGGCGGGGGGGATTGGGGATCCTGCGACGGCTGGGGATATCATGCGTGCCTGCAGGGGGCGGCGGATATCGAAAGTCTCCATTTCCTGTGACCATGGCCACGAGATGATAAGCCCCAGTTCCCGCTGGACATTTGTCGAGAAGTAAACAATTGAAGGTCAACGGATGCGAAGTGCGAAGACAGGTTCGAACTTTAGGGGGGGGGGGGGACTGGTTGATAAAGATGGGGGAACCGAAAGAGGACCCGCGGGAAAAGCAAAGAAAAATACTAGGCGCTTAAGAAGGGCTGCAGGGCAGTGGTAACGAGTGAAGAAATGGGTCGAGAATCAAGCTACCCGGTCAGGCGCGAAGTGAAACGAGTGGAGGGAAAAGAAACGGTTCAGTAGTCGCCCCGGTCCCGCGACGGTTCAATCCATGGGCCAATCTCACGATCCTACCAGAGGGTCACTTCGAGGCTTCATCTCACGGGGGGGGCGAGATGAAGAGAGAGACAAGACGGGCGAGAGGGAAGAAGAAAAAGAGGGAGAGAACCGAGATTGAGATTGAGGGCGCCGAAAGGGAAAAGGGGAAAAAGGCGGCGGGCCTCGATCGAGGCTAGCGCCGTGCGATGGGACGGTATCCGAGATTACGCTCGGCTGGGAAAGACCCTGTGTATGTTGTACGGCCTGGTACTGGTATTATTATTCTGTGGTTTCACTCTGACGCCAGGATGATATCAGTTGGCACTAACGGCGTCTGATGTTGATGATGATGATAGTGATGTTACCGAGAATGTAGTAGCTATATGAGCAGATCCAGGTAGATATAGATATACATATAATGGGATTATCAACCTCCCACACTCCTCTTCTGCATACCGTGGTTACACAACGGTTGCATCGACGATCGCAACCGCCCCTGACGACCCAGGGGCCTTCTTCATGCCGACACATAACTGCCCCGTTATATCTAACTTTGGAGAACTTTAGAACGGATCAGGTCCGGAGTACTTCGGGTCATGACAGGTCACTGCAGGCCCGTCGGAGCTGCATCCGCGGTGACGTTATGTACGAGATGCATCTGAGCCAGCAGCGAATGCCGTGGTTGGAGGACGCGCCCCGGTCCGCAGGAGACCCGATGGATCCTGAATGGATGATCCTGGAATTCTGGATGCATGGCTGGCCGTTGGATGGATCAAGGATGGATCAACTATCTATCAAGAGAGCCAGGTTCCCTGCCGCGAGATGGCGACACATCCTTGGTACGGTACGGAAAAACCGGTTTGCAGCCATACCGGGCGGCGGAACGTTGAGTGGGAGGAGTGGGAGTTGGTTTCAGCTGCCCCTGGTCGCGCCCCACCATCCGCGACGCCAAGGGTGGCATCGAGACTCGCGACAGCTGGTGTCAAGTCTAATCCTCCAGATGCATTGGACTGTCTGTCCCTCTTGACGTCTCCTTTAGAGGGAAAATAGGCCACAGTCAGGACATCTTCTCCTTCCCCTACTTCCCTCCAGCCACCTACAGTGTGTATCTGAAGTTCCGTCCAGCTTCCATCAGTGATTACGGCGGGGCTTTGGATCGTCCCGTGATGCTGCCGGCCCCACCAGCACCTACTGCTTCGGGTACTTTTCCCTTTGCCCAATGAGATAGACTTCCATACTTCAGCCTCAACGCTCCGCATCGCTTCACTTTCATCGCAAAGGCAACCACGCCGTGTGGATGGCCACTGCTGCGAGTCGTCGCACTCGGAGACATCTGATCTATCGTTTTCGGCGGTGCTCTCGCGAAGGTACGAGTGGATGGCTGTAAGTGTACCGCGCATGCATGGTCGGAGCTCCCAAAATTGGACCGGAAGATACTTTCGCTAACGCTGGCGCGACGGCGCTGTGCAGGCTGTCGTACTCCAATAATCCTCGAGGCCTCGACACTACAGTCAACACAGCCGGATTGTCAACAGACTACTGAGGCGCTGCAGGTCGAAGGATGCGCTTGATGATCCTTATCGATAACCTCAACAGTTCCCTCTATAGCGTCCGAAATGGGATAATGCGCCCTGTGGTGGGTCGCCTGCGTGTCGCGGAAATGACGAACGTGTTCTAAGGAGCTATTTTTATGGGTAAAGGGCGGCACAGTTAAGGCTGCCCCATACTAACGGTTGCTTATTTGGATGCAATATTAATGGGCGGGCACCGTGGCGACCTCGTCGAGATTTTCAAGGCGTTGGAAGCTGGAGCTTGGAAGGCATGAACCGTGGGCTGAAGCATCGCACTGTTCCACATGCATCCCGCGAAATCGAAGGTTCTTTCATGCTCAAGCTCGCAGATCGAGTCACACTCGTATTCCGACATACAGATCGACTGCACAGCTCGAGTCCCTCTCACAGCCATCTTTTACGTCGCACGAACCACGCATTGACCACCTCCCAGTCCCAATCGAGCTCACCCAACTGACTAGGATAATCGACACATCAGCCGAGTTCTCTGATAGATTAAAAATGCCGTTACTGGGACAGTCTCCGCGTCCAACGCCGTCCAAAGCGCACATACCTCATATTCGGAGAGCACAGGTGGCATCGGCTTGTATATCTACAACAAACTGATGATCCTCATGCATGTCGGGCCACCCCCAGAAGTCAGTGCCCCCCTATCATACCGTTACATTCTGCCTGCGCGCTTGGAATCTGTTTCAGAATCCTCCTTACCCCGCAGCCAACGCTCAGGGATGAATTCCTTGTCAGAACAGCGTCTGATGGATAGTCCATGGATTGAGCAGCGATTTCCGCTAGACGGCCACTAGGCAACTAGGGCAATTCTAGAATCGATATGTCGAGGCTTCTTGCTCATTTATCGAATGGTTCCTGGCCTTGCGTTCACGGTACGGGTGTTTGATCGTCTCGCCTGAAGGGCTCCATAGTTCGTCCAGAAATTTGCGGATACTCTAATATGCATTATACGTTGGCTCTGAGTGAGAAAGCGGCAATATTGGATTCTACTTAACACACTGACTTGGGAGACTCCAGGAGCTTTCGTCAACATTCAGGAGTATTTCCCTCGAAGCGAGCTGGAAAAATGGCGATATCGTGAGACACAGTGTGTTTCACTACCTGGCGCACACTCGATCATCTGGTCTCGCGCAACGCCCAACTACTGTTTTGGAGGGGGTTGTGCGAAACGGACCAGCCAGAGGTCTGAGCGATTTGGATCGTAAACCTGAGGGCTTGTTCGGCTTACCTTCCCAGTATAATCTAACATGTCCCCAACGACGCTATAATTGTCAACATCGCACCTCTGCTCCCGCTACCTTTTGAGTATGAGCGTACTAACGACATCGAAGGGTTGCAGGCATCAGCTTGTGTCTAAACCAGACTATGTCTGAAACGTCTCAATAAACAGAATATGCAGTAGAACTGTAAGCATGCCGCGATATCGAACAGCCCCCCTTGTAAGTCCTGAATCGTGCAATTCACAATCAGCATGCTGGACCTTATTACTTAGCACTATTCCGTCGACTCGTCATAGATAAAAGAAATCTCGAATTTTACAGTATTCATTTGCACAATATCTATATCATATCTACAATTTAGCAGACTACCGCGTGACAATTTACCTAAACCAGAGGCTACGGGAGCTCCTACTATATGTGTCGCAATGCCAAAATCCCAACTACCTAAGGTCCATATCCCTCCCTGAAAAAACACACACATGTACGAAATATCATTTGTCCATCCGTCTGCCATAACTCCCTCTCTCAATCATATCAATGCAATAAGTAGACTCGTGGGGTGGATATAAAGCTGGGAAGTTGAGGTACCATGACTCCATGCGACGACACTCGGACTCAGATTGAAGATTTTACTTCTCTAGAAGGACCTTACTATGGATGAACTTTCGGTGTTATAGAGATGATGAATGGGCGTTTTATGCTGATATCGTGCGTCCATGGAGAATGCATACATGCACATACCCTTGAATTTAGTCTTGACTTCAAATAAGGGGAGGGAGGGGGGGGGGGGGGGGGTTGGAAATCTGTTATCAGCGTTTGTGTGATAGTATTTGAGGGGAAGAAATAGTAGATAGTCTGGAAAAGGAGTGGCGAGAAGAGCTTGTAGTGCTTTTACGGGATGTAGAACTATGCAGTATCAATAAAACTCCCTGAGAGAGCGAGAATCTTTTTTTTTAATCACGTCCAACTAGAAAGTACTAATAAAGTAAGCACCATCCCGACACTCAATAACAGAACACCTAGATATCATATGATGTATGTATGCATTTCCAATAGTTCATCTATTCTCATATTGTATTTCCCACCCAAACCCAGCCCAGCCCATGCTACCCACCATAGGTATGCAAAGTAAATATGCAGCTGAATAGTATGTACCGTGCCGTCCAGTCCGGTCCAGTCCAGTCCAGTCCAACTCCCCTCATATCCTAACATATCCTATCCTATCCCATCCTACTCTATGCATGTCATGTCATGTCAAACCATATCAATCACATCATATCACATCACATCCATATCTACCATCAACCCCCAACCCCAGGATATGATCCCCACAACTATCCCAACATAAGATCCCCACAGCTCCTCCAAGCAATATCAAGCAGATGCTATTCACGATGATTCAACCGCATACTTCCTCGTCCACTCCTTCGCGACCTCATCATACCTCTTCCGATCATTCTTATACTGCTCGGCAATTCGCCCCTCGATCGCATCATCCGGCATCGGCTCCGCCAACAGCTGCCGCGCGAACTCCAGCACCGCGTGGATCCGCGAGCTGGGCTTCCATTCGTCCGCCCGCAACATCCCCAGACACATGCTGCCCTTGTCGTCGTTGGTCACGTTCGGGTGGTAGATCTTGGTTTTGAACGACACCGTGGGCGGCTTGAAGGGGTATTCCGTGGGGAGGGAGAGGTTGAGGAGGAACTTTCCGTTCTATATTCAAGAGAAAGAAGGGGAAGAGGGGGTTAGTTGGGGTTTGGCACTGTTGGGGGTGGGGGGTTGTGCTGGGGGGAGAAGGAGGGGGATGGAGATGGGGGCTTACGTGGTATGGTGAGCCTTCTGGTCCTTCCATGTATACTTTCCAGAGATATAGATTCGATTCGTCGGCTAGTTTCACCAGGATGCCGTCGGGGGGTGATTCGACGAGTTCGGCAAGTTCCTGTGAGTGAGTCGTGTTAAGTCGCTGTTTTTTTGGTCTTTTTGGCTTTGGTGGGAGGGGTGTGTGGTGATGGGTGAGAGGCTGTCTGGCTTACCTTGGCTATCCGCTTCTGGCTTCCCATGGTGGATGTTTTGGTGTAGGGGGTAGAGAGTAGGTTGTTGGTAAGGGGGAGAGCGGGGTAAGGAGGTCGGTCGGGGACCGGTCGAGAGGGACGGCTGGCGGGGTGGGGTGGATGGCTGGATGGATGGGTTATTTCGAAAGGAGATCAGGACAGAGAATCCACCAGATGCTAGCTATACAGACAGATGGGACAGAGGCAGGAGAAAAGATGGAGCTGGTGGGATTGGGCGAAGGGACAGAACGGAGGACGGAGCTGACCCCGAAGCTGTTCGGCATGGCGGGGCGGGTCGGTCAGGCGGGGCGGAGGATCGCCCCGAGTGGACGACGTCAGCGCGGCCGCTGCTGAGGTCTACACCGGTGGATGGATTATGTGTTGTTATGTTGCTGGTGTTGTTTTCTTTTCTGTTATGAGAGTGGCAATTTACTATAATTCACTGGACAAAGGAAAATAGAAGACATTTATGCCAAGAAACATGGTGTCAGAGACTGTGGGAGAAAACAGAAATATCATATACGGAGGAGGCGAAGACCGAGCAGACAACTCAGTCTAAATACAACACAACACGGGATTACACAGCAGAGGAGACCCGAGGAGTGTCCTTCTGAGTATCACTCGCAGGCCCCGTCTCCCAGTATCTCTCCTTCCTGCCTTTGTTCGCGATCAGTCCGACTATGTCGAAAGGATCGACCAGGGTCACAAGGAAGGGTCGATTGTCCTCATAGCCAGGCCCCTCGATCTCGGTGACCCCGTCCGGCGCGAGGTAGATTTTGATGGAGCATGGCAGCCATCGCATTGGATGGAAGACATTCAGCAACGTGGTGTTGGCGTACATGACGGTTGTTTCGAAGACCCAGAAGAACCACTCATCCTTGATGATCGGGCTGACATGCGTGCTGGAGGCACTGAGACTTGCTGCGCTGAAATACTCCACGGTCCGGTAGATCGTGCGCACGGTGATTAGGGAGCAACTGCAATACAGCACACACAGAGCCCGCTTGATCTTGCCGTTGAGCACGCCCCCGCGAGAGCAGTTGTAGTAAAACCTGGAGGTCAACGCGAGAAATCCAACCATCAACGCGAGCTGCAGGATCAGCGCTGCTTTGAGCAACGCCTCGCCCGTCTTCCGTTTGCTCTCCGTGCTTCCTGAGTTGGCAACCAGCACTGCGCCATTGGCGGTTATCGCCTCCACCACGGCCCCCAGAGCAACGAAGGTGGTGAACACTCGGCCGGGATGGATGGGTGAATGGTACGGGATGTAATAAAGGATGCGACCCAGGGTAAAAAAGTTGTTAAGCTCGTAAACTGGTCTAGATGCGGGTTAATGTTGATCTCATCTTTGCATCGGCCGTACTTACGGTCCGGCTAGTAGAAGAACAGTGCTCGCAATATACACCCCGACGTTGCCCCATTGCCCAAAGGCGCCGATGGTCCGCATCACGAAGCCTGCCGTAAAGAGCAGAGCTGACCAGGGCAAAAGTCCGGTCACCTTCCAGGATTTGTACTTACTGCGGCATGGTTAGAGCTAGTTCGGTTATTGAGGCAGCATACGCACAAGCATTGCAAGATATGCAGGACACCAGATATCGCGGACAGGGTTGCGAAAGCGATGGGTGCGCCTTTGTTTGGTGCATAGTACCAAAGACTCCCCTCCTCTTTGTGATGTCAGCATTGATCTGGCAAAAGAGTGGATGCCAACATACGATACGGGGATCTCTTTTCCATCATGAATGTCACTTGACTTGATCTAGCTGATTGAGACAGACCGGATGACGAAGCAAGCCTCGAGCCGTTGCGACAATGATCTTAAGACTGGCTTCATCTTTGGAAGGTCTACGGATTTTATATAACGTCCCAAGACTCCATCCCATGGCAGTGAGGGTAGGCGAAAACGAGCATGCCTCATTAGGGAACCGCCTGAGATGTCCCTGGTTGGAGGATCCATTGTTCGGTGGGTGTTTAAGGATGGCACGAGATCTGGGGCCAAGGCATGGATCTACTTGGTGTTCCTCGCCTCTGTTGGTTGGATTCCGCTGCAATATAGCGTCATTTTCTTAGCATTTGATGATATGGCAGCCTGACAAGACCCTGCAGGCTAGCGAATACGAGCAAGGCTGAGCGTCGCCGTCGCCGCGTTTTAGCGGCCGACAACTGGCCGGCGTGCCTGTCAGCCTGAGGGGCCGGGCACCAACCCCGGATGACCTGATTACCTCATCGGGCGCCTGTTCCCCCAGCAACTCGGGGCTAACCGCAAGAGGCAAAGGCAACATCCCGTGATGGGGACTCTCGCCTTCTCCAGCTTCCATCGATCTTCTGGATCTCATATCCGCCCAACCACTACGACACCCCACACTCAGTGACCCCCTGCTCCTCGAATGTGAAGGCCCAACCGACCGTGTGGATACCGCCGCCATGAACTCGCCAAAGCCCTCCCCAGCATCCCTGTTCCAGGTCTACCTCCGCCTGCGCCCGCCCATGTCGCAGCAGGCCGAGGACCAGGCCGAACGATGCTTGACAATCGAGGCCCCGGAGCCCAAGCCCGCTCTCGACGACGGCCTGGAAGCCCCCGCTGCTCTCCCGACCCATATCACCCTACAGCCACCCTCCGACTCCAGAAAGCGTGCCATCGAGCGATTCGGCTTCACCAAGGTGTTTGAAGAGTCCGCGTCCCAGCTAGACATCTACCAGGGCACCGAGCTGGAGTCGCTGGTCAGAGGCGTGTTGATGGAAGGGAGAGATGGACTCATTGCGACGTTGGGTGTGACGGGTAGCGGGAAGGTCAGGTCTACCGCAATATCGGGGGTAAACATGTACTGACGCATAACAGAGCCACACCATCCTGGGCTCGAAGACGCAGCGAGGAATTACCCAGATGAGCCTTGATGTCATCTTCAGATCCCTGGCCTCGACAATCAGACCACCCGACAACTCGATCAACCCCCTCCTCCTGTCCACCGTGGCCGCGTCTGACGCGTCGGAGTCCCAGATGTTCACGGCCCAGACATTCCTGGAGGCCGTATATGGTGACCCCGCCGACCGGGGAAGGAATTCTAGAGCTCAGACCCCGATGAGCACCGGAAGAGCTCACACCCCTTTGACGGTATGGCGCCTTCCCCGCACACCATTGCAGGGGACCCTTCCCTCGATGATCCCTCGTTCCCGACCATCCACTACCCACACTGGACCCTATTTGAGACCGTACAATGGACCCCCCCCAATATCATGCTATATCAATCCCCTTGTTTTTCATCCAAAGTTGAGAGACAAAATGAAAGATGGTGGAATTGCTACCCCCATCACTCCGTCCAACATAAAGCCTGGTCCAGGTCAAGTGCCTCGTGCTAACATGTCTTATCCCATTTTAAAGGAGCCGATGCCCGCCCTGATCTTCCCTCGTCGCAACATGCCCCCACGCTCTGCCGCCGCGCCCCGATCGCCCGATGTCAGCCATCTCACGGTGGACTTGAACCCCCATTCCGAATATGTCGTGCTGGTGTCGATGTACGAGGTTTACAACGACCGCATCTTCGACCTTCTATCTCCTGCTATTGCCCCGGGCCAAGGAAGCGCCATGTCCCGACAAGGAGGAACTTCCCTCAAGGATAGACGCAGACCCCTGTTCTTCAAGTCGACAGAGGGCTCCCCTGATCGGAAGGTAGTTGCGGGACTGCGTAAGATTGCGTGCAACACTTACGAAGAAGCGCTATCCGTACTTGAAGTTGGCCTCACCGAACGCAAGGTCACAGGAACCGGAGCAAACAGCGTCAGTTCCCGCAGCCACGGATTCTTCTGCATCGAAGTCAAGAGAAGAATGAGGAATAAGAGAACCGGCGAAGAGACTTGGATGGGTCATACTCTGACAGTGGCAGATCTGGCTGGTGAGTGACGAACCTTCCTTGTTCCAGCCAAGCTAATAGAGAATAGGCTCTGAGCGCGCAAGAACCGCAAAGACAGCTGGTTCCACCCTTGCGGAGGCCGGCAAGATCAACGAGAGCTTGATGTACCTCGGACAGTGCCTGCAGATGCAGAGTGACATCCAGGACGGCAACAAGGTACATACCACAATCCTCGGGACCCACTCCTATGCTAACAAATCCAGGCTGCCATGGTCCCCTTTAGACAGTGCAAGCTTACCGAGCTACTGTTCTCTAACTCTTTCCCCTCCTCCACCTCTGGCCTCAACCGCCACCCCCAGAAGGCTATCATGATTGTGACTGCCGATCCTGCGGGGGACTACAACGCCACATCGCAGATCCTGCGCTACTCAGCCTTGGCTCGTGAAGTGGCCGTGCCCAGAGCTCCCTCCATTGCCGAATCTATCATGTCAAGCACACTGGGTTCTCGTCACGGCTCTGCCAGTGGACGCAACACACCAAGTCTGGGTGCGAACGAAGAGCTCGAGAAGGCACTCGCTGAGATTGCGCGGTTGACAATGGAGAATGAGTCCCTGTCAGTTAGGCTTGCCGAAGAGGAAATCATGAGGTCCGACCTCGAGATCCGACTGAGAGCTAGCGAGGAGAGATCCCTCATGATCGAACAAGATGTGCGCGAAGAATGCTGGAATGAAATGGACGAGCGGATGGAAGAGGAGAGGAAGAAATGGCAAACTGCATGGGATGAGCAGGTAAGTCATCAGCAGCCCCAATGTAACCTCCTTACTAACGAACGATTGAAGGCTGGCTACAACAACGAACACCTTGACAAAAAGATCGAATTGGTCTCCCGAGGCTTCCAGAGTAAGTCACAACCCTCCCCTCTCTCCCCCAGTCCAATAGACTAACACCACCCCCAGTCCACGAAGACCCAACCCCCTCAAATGAACAGATTGAAGACCTCGAGTTCGAGAACGACCAGCTCCGCAGCAAAGTCGCCTCCCTCGAGCGCGAACTTAACTGCCGATCGCCGACCAAGAAGTCCAAATCGAAGACCACACTTGAGTCGTCTCGTAACTCCAACATCCTCGGCCGCGAAAGCGACATCGAAAATGCACTCAAGCGCATGGATCAACTCAAGCTCGCTGACACCATGTTCTCGCCCGCTCCGCCTACCACCACCACCACCACTTCCTCCGCCCCTGGAAAGAGACAGAGAAAGATGGCCACCAGGAAGTGGGACTTGGCTCCGGAGGAGAATATCTAGATTCCTCATTCTCACTCACTCACTCATTCACCCTTTCATTCTTTTTCAATGGAAGAGTGCTGGAGAAATGTTGCTGTTTTAATTTCTGGTTTATGGATACCTGGACACGGTTTCGTTCTTATGTTATTTATGTTATGACTTCGGGATAACCAGGGCTGGTTGGCTTCAGGGCGTTTGGATGTGGATGTGGATGTGGATACCACTCATTATTTCTTCTCATGTTAATAATATTAATCTCTATGGTACATGCTTTCATTTCATTCCACTGTTTTCATTCGCCACACCCTAGACCCGAATACTGCACCAAACGCCGCGTCGCACATTAAAGACCGGTTGATAAGGAACTCATCTGATACTCAAGGAACTAGCTGAGCACGATCAGCTCTCCATCGGCTCCGGTTCAGGTTCAGTCGCATTGTCGCTGTCTTGGTCCGTCCCAGGGATCTCAGCCTGCTCGGTCTCGTCTCCATCTTCGCCTTCGCCTTCATCTTGCATCTCGATAGTGTCATTCCCGATATCGGCTTCGTCTCCGTCGACTCCTTCCTCCCCTTCTCCTTCTCCTTCTCCATCACCCTCACCCTCACCCTCACCCTCACCCTCACCTTCACCTTCACCTTCACCTTCACCTTCACCCTCACCCTCCATCTCTTCATCACCACCACCCTCATTATCGTCGTCTCCGTCCATTTCACCATCCTCACCATCGGCAGCCTCGTCAGCCTCATCAGCCTCCTCAACCATAGTCTCACCCTCAACTAACTCCGTTTCCCCCTCCACCAACTCATGTCCATCACCCTCCCCATCCCCATCCCCATCCCCATCAACCTCCGACTCCGGATCCATCGAGCCCCGATCATCCAGATTCGGAAACAAGAGTTTCCGCTCCGTCGTAAGCTTCGCTAGCTTCTCATCATCCATCTCACTAAGCTCGCTTTCATCATCCGCGCTATCATGCAAACTATCCGCGCCATCACTCTGCTGGCGTTCATCCTCGGTGCCGCCAGGCGGGACGGCAGCCTCGGGCTGGAAGGGCTCTTTGGGCGCGGAGGTCGGGGCAGCGGCGGTGGCGGGGGCCTCGGTTTCGAGGTTGAGCGTGGCAGGCGCTTTAGCGGTGGTGGGGACACGCGGGGCGACTTTGCGGGTGACGATGGTTTCGGCGCGTTTCTGGACGTCGCGGCGGGCGATGCCCTTGGTGCGGCCGCGGGGGGCGGGGCTTCGGAGGCTGGGGCGGAGGTGGGTGGTGTGGGGGTGTTGTCGGTTGCGACGGCGGCGGTGGCAGCGGCAGCGGCGGCGGTGGGGATGGCGATGGCGCCGTCGCCGGCCATAAGGTGGTCGAGTTTCATTTTTTCCTTGTTTTCTTCGTTGGCTTGTTCGATGACTTGGGGCATGTTGACTTCGTAGAGGCGGGAGTAGAGGTCGGCGATTAGGTCTTCGAGAAGGGAGACTTTCATGAGGTTGTTATTGAGTTTCTTGAGCTCGATGGCGTCGCGGAGGAGTTCGAGGAGGGAGGCGCTTTCGGGGGCCAGGTCGGTGAGGGCTTCCAGGCGGGCGGTGTTAGCGACAAATTCTTCCCAGCCGATCGGCTTGAAGACCCCCTCTTCGTGGCCTTCGCTGATGTGTCCGGCTCGTCGGATGACCCGGGCATAGGTCAGGCATACGTCTTCCCAGAGCTTGGTGTGGTTGATGAAGTCGCCTTGTTTCTTGCGGACGCGACGCAGGAGTTGGTCGAGGTTGGCGCGGTCGTCGAGCTGGTCGAGAAGGGCGACGAAGAAGTACGCGTAGCGCGTGGTGTAGACGAAGTGTCTGCCGGGGCGCTCGTACTCGGGTCTCCAGACCTGGATGGTCATGGTCTTCGTGAAGATTTGCTGGGTAAGCTCGGTCCTTGCGGCGGCGGCTGCAGTAGCAGAGTCCTTGTCGTCATCGTAAACGATGTGCGCAGCCTGGGAGAGTAAGCTAGTGCCTACCTAGCATGATAGGGGAATGGAGATACGTACTCTGACAGCCATGCGATGGTGCCAATTCGACTTGTCCGCACTCTTCAGGTTCCGAAGCACCTCCATTATGTATCGCTTCCATGCGCCCTGATCTTCAGGAGGTTGCACCTTGCGAGCCCAAGGAGTCGCGAGGAGAGTCTTGCTACCCTCTGCGGCCTGGGAGGGTTTAGTGGGAGAGTATAGTTATGAGGAAGAAGGGTGCATACCGTTAATACCCCGCGATGAACGAGCTTGTGCACTATAGTTAACAGCTTATAATGCGGCTCGAAAATAGGTTCGGAGCGGGAATCCTTCCGTTGCGGAAGCGCATCAATGGCATCCAGCAAAGAGTCCAGGACAACATCAACATCAATCTGCTTGAAATTGCCTCTGATAGACTCGTCGCAACTGAACATCTTCCATAGACATTTGCTTAGCATATAATGGGTCCTGGTCGCTGTTAGCTTTGTATTGTATGCTCCACGGGTAAGGGCAGACGCACATCCAATTCTTGGGTTTGTCAACAAGAGCACGCCTCAGTAGGTAGCTCGCAAGGTTCCAGACAGAATACACTTTCATCTCCTTGAAAGGCCTTCCTTCGTACATTTCTTGGTTCTCCTCGTTGCTGAAGTGCCGCGTGAAATCAGCCAAATTGAACGCCCCCATCGAGAGTGGCGCCCGGGAAGAAGAGTAAAGACGGGTTCCAAAGTCCGTGAATAGCTCTGAGAGCATTGCACGGGTCTCGACCGTTGGCTCGGAGTCTCTGATGGCAGTTGCAATGGCCATAGCGTAGCAATGAATCGCGTTTCGCTGCCACGTGACCAACTCCATTCGAGTGTTGTTGATCTTGTCGGCAGACCAGGTGATGTCTTCCTCTAACTTGGAGTCATACGTCTGAGCGAGTCGGTACCACGTTTCCCATCTGGAAGTTCCGTGCTCCAAATCCTGTCTGAACCAAGTGATAGCATCGTCAAGATCGGTCGTTGGTATGGGGTTGATACGCTTTTGGGAGCGGAACTTGGTCAAAGCAGCATGGCCTAGAAGGAAAAACCAGCCAGTTCGAGCGATGATCGCACTTTCGGTAGGCACGGGGATCAGTGAAAGGTCAGCCACTCCTTGAATGGCGCGGAACAGCGCCATCGGATTGATTGGCGATTTCAGGTATGCGTTGATGATGCGCCGGTTGTATGACAGCGGGGGCGAGGTCTTGGTGGTTCCAATGGCTTGCTGCATCTTATCGAAGGTACCTTTCAGCTCCGACTTCGACAAATCCTTGATGTTCATCTTCTTAGCCTGCCTCATGACAAAGTCCACCATAACAATGGCCGTGGCCCGATCTAGCTTCTCAGGTGGACACCCATGATCAGCCAATATACCGTCTATCGGCGATAACTTGATGCCGTAGATGTCGTACAAGATCTGGCAGATATCTAACTCGATGTCCTGTGTCGTCTCTAGGGCGAAGAGTTCGGACCTGACGAGTTTGAGGAATTGCTTCTGAGAGAGTCTGCACATTTTGCGGATACCGAGAGCACCGTGAACGGCTCGTAAGTAATGTATACGGTCCTCCAAGGGGGTGTCGAAGGTCTCGGTATTCTGCGCGATGGCTTCTTTGAAGAGGGTATATTGCAAGATCCAGCAACGGACTTGCATATCGCGCAGCTTATCCTTGAGGCTTTCCAAAGCCTTCGACAACTGTCCGCGAACTTCTGGACCAGAAAGTTTGCCAACACGAACCAGGTCTTCGTACAGGGCAAAACTATGGAGAAGCCTTGTTAGAAAGGCAACCGCGGACATTGAGGACTTGATGTGATCCATGTCAAGGCACTCATACGCCTTTTCCGATTCGTTCAAAACGAGTATCACAGTCTGTTTCAAGATACTGTCAAGGGATTTGAGCCACCTCAGAAGGGCAACTTGACGGTGCTCCTTAGGTTCTTCCAGATGAGCTGGGCCCCCAAGTTCCTTCACAATGGTTTCAACACTGCGCAGATAGCAAGATATGACCTTGGGAGGATATTCGATCTTTTTGTACGCATCTTGTAGTCTCTTCCAGAGGAAAAGCCTCAATGTGGCATCCCCACGATCCAAGAAAGAGCTCATTTCGCGGAGCTGTGAAGCGGGCTGCGCGAGCTCTTCGCCGTTCGGACCTTCCTCGACGAATTGAACAGACGATGGATCGAGGATGGGCTCAATTGTCTCGATGAGATCGACAGGGTCCTCCGAAGTCGGGTTAAATATTCTCATGAAAAAGTCCATAGAACTCAGTTTTGAGATTTCTTGGTCCACTGCCCCCGATGACAACTCAGGCATTGCTGCATTATTCACAAGAGTCACCACTGGATCCTTCAGACATATTAAGAAATGCTTCAGCTCCTGAAGGCAAAGTAGTACGTGCTCCCTCTGGGCATTTGTAGTCATGTTCGAATGGAAAGCCGATGCCCAGATGTGACGAAGAACAATGGTTTCCTGAGAATTGCTAGGAGGGGTGTGGTCCAGGAAATGGGTCAGCGAGGTTCGCGCAAGTAGACACCATCTTGCTAAGCGATCCCGCTGCAAAAGTCTTGTCTGGATGTCAACTTCGCTGTTTGGGTTGTTTATGGATGCGAATATATCGAGATGAAGTTCGAATACTGTCTGAACCATCTCCAAATCTGCGAAGTTTCGAAAGGTATATGAGAACGAACTCTCTGGTCCGCTAGAGAGGAGCTGGTCCTCAAGGCTCTCTGTCTGCTCGCACATTGCTTTGTAGATGTGTTCATCTTCACGTAGTAAGAGTTGCACCACCATTTCTTTTAGAGAATCCGGCCATTGATACAAAGTATACGCCGACTTCAAGGCTGGGAACTCCTGTGACCCACTGACATCTGCAAATTGAGCAAAATTTGGCATCAGAAGCGCTTTAAGCCAGCTCAAGGCGACATCATGCGAATTGAACCATCCGTCGTTGATCGCCCTCAGGAAAGTGTAGAGTTCATCTTTACCAGTAAGGATTTGCTTCGTGCCTAGTTTCCTGGCTGACTTCCTCGAGTGCTCTAGGAATATCGCGAGCCCCGACTTCCCCATGCTGCGAATTTCAAGATTGTCGGGCTGGTACATTGCTTGAGATTTTACTTCGTCCCAATGTTTCAGAATATCCATAAGATCCGTTACCAACAAGTGTTCTGGGTCCTCGGGAGTACAGACCATGGCAGTTGCGGATTCAGTAGTATCATTGCTAGAGCAAACTTGCTTTCTCAGCTCATCGATGCTTCCTAGTTCTTCCACCCCGATTTTGGATAACAAGGATCCCGCAGTGCCGAATAGCCATTCATCGGCCTGAGTAAATGCCTCAAGACGGTCTTCATAGTATTTGTTCAGGTCGATGGTGACTTCGTCTGCTTGAAATGAGACATCTTCGGTCGCTTCGCGGAGGCGGGTTCTCCTCGCTTTTGCCCGTATGCGGTCTGCCTGATCCTCGGTTATAGCAGACGCTGATGAGCGCTTTCGACTACTCGAAGCCAGTTTTACATCGGCCTCATCGGCAACTGGAGTTTCGTGCTGACCACCAGACTTTGGGACAGGCGTAGACTGGATCTCCAACGATTCCATGAGCTGCTTCTCTGCGCGCTGATCGATGGACGAATGGTCGTCAACTTGATCTGTAATGGTATCAGGCCCTTCGGGTTTGATAGTTGGCTGACTGTCCCCTGATTGGGAGACATCTTGGTGCCGACTAGACTTAGCCTCACCTATCTGCGAAATCGACGCTCGACGGTGGACTTCGGTGGACTTCATTTCGGGGCTGAGAGCTGGCAAGGATATGCCAACAGACATCCCAGGTCCAGTTCCAGAGGCACCCAATTCTTCCTCAGTCAGGGTTTGGATTATGGACTTGCCAACTGCGGCCCAGGTAGGGCTAGCAGGTTTAATCTCGCGACGAGAACCCCGCAAGGCAAGAGGGTGTCTTGACGGCTTCGTTTCCTGCAGGCTCAACGGGAGGATTGGAAGATACGGATAGGGATCTGCCTGGCGCTGAAGAAATTTAAGAAGAGCTTTCTTCGGCTTCTTCAAGGGAACCTGAGCCACAGACACGCGATCCAGCAGCGACTGCAGTACCTCACGCAGACGCTCTTCTGCAAAGGTCTCCTCCAATCCCAACTGCTCTGTCCGAACCTCCAGGCGGTTGTCGTCGTCCGCAAGAACACTCTCTAGGCAGTAGCGCGTTAGTCGGGAGCTCTGTAAAGCACTGCAAAGTCTTGCGCTCTGTCTCCAGAGATTCAGATCCGAGTCGTCGCGTTCCAGGGCTTCTGCGAAGGCTATCAAGGCCGTGCTTGTTTGCTCGTTGGTTTTGGCCTGTAGCTCCTCGGTATCCTCAGGCGACATAGGGGCATCTTGGAGGGTTGCGCGTAGCGCATCCAAGATGTACTGTCCGTGGTTCTTATAAGACAGGTAAATGGTCTGCATCAACGTGCTCGACGTAGAGTCATTGATATCGAACTCCGTGAGGGCTGCAGCACCCGCGCCCGGCACATCGTCATACTGAGCATCCGAGGCCTGTAATGCGGCTCGCTTGTAGTCCGAGGCGGACTCCGGGTACTTGAATATTTCGGAGTCCAGGAGAGCATCATACGCCTCTGCGGCCTGGGGATAGAACTCCGGGCCCTGGGAATGCAGTTTCAGGGCATTCTGGTAGAGCTTGAGAGCCTCCTCAATCTGGATCTCCTTCGTGTCATCGACCTCCTCTTCAATCGCCTCATCCGGCTCGATATTCAGGGCCACCCAGCTCGACATGGTGCCGGTTGATTCAGGGCGCAAAGAGCTCGCTGACCGCGGTGATGGATGCGGGTCTGTTCGACGGCATCTCAGGGCGAAAGAGAAGGGAAGACAACGATTAGTCCTGTGCGTGGAGGGGGGTCAAGCAGTTATTCCCCCTTCAGGTCCAGCAGGTGCAGCCTGTCTTGCCGCGGTCTAGAGCGCGACTGAGCTGGCGCCGCCCGCGCCCTGACCGCCCCAGTCACGCGTTGCGCGGAGAAGATGGGTGCCTGAGGAATGAGGACGGCCCAGGCATTCATGGATCGCCCGCCATCCGAGCCGCCGTGACGACGACGGGGAGGCTGCGACCTGCGCCCTCGCCGCTGTTGCTGCTGCTGCGCCGCCTGTCCTTTTGTTCCCCCCATCGTGGACGCGCTTCTTGCTCGCTCCCCCATACCTGCTTTCCCCTCCGTCATCCCCTACCCCCCCCCTCCCCCTTGCCTTGACTTCTCGTCTGCGCTCTTGTCAGCGCCATGGTCGCGCCAGCTGTTCCCGAGTAGGTGTTTCCCCTCAGTTTACGTGTTCTGTGGCCGCCTTGCGATGTAATGGGGGCATTGGGCCCACTATAATCGACCTGCGACTGACCCCTGAGCACCATCAGGATCTACGAGGAGGAGGACATCTACGCCGCCGTCGATGCCCGCTCCGAGTCCCTCCAGAATCTCCGGGAATTAGGCCCGCCGGACTTGGTTTATCTAGTGAAACAACCTAAGACCAGCTCCCATCGCCAGGTACGTCGCTGCGGGAAGAACGCCCCCAGTCAACAACGGAAGGACGCGGACTAACGCAATTGGAATTGGGACGAATACAGACCGGCGTTTACCACCATGTCACTGGTGTCGACGCCTCTTCCTCCGCCAGCCTCGCCGCCTATGTAAATACGCTTACCTTCTCCCCGCTGGACAAAACACACAAGGTGGTTTCCGGAATCTACTGGTCAGAATGCCGACAGGGGTGTCAGAATCGCAGAAGCGCTAACGCGGATCCAGCTGCTATAATGCCTTCTCCCACCTGGACATGCGCGTCGAGGTCAAGATCCCCGGAAGCCTGGAAAGTTACTGCATCGATGAACGCGGAGATAAGCGGGTTGCGACGGAAGCCTTGTGGCTGGAGACCTTCCTATGCGGGATCCTGAGGGCATACTCGTACGCGGACGATGGTAGCGGCGATGCGATCAGAAAAATCGTCGGAGTGCGTCGGTTCAATCCGGTCACGAATACAGAGATGGAGCACAAGTTCCTGGATGCTGCGGAGAGGCTTTTCTTCTTGGGTGCGCTTTATGTCTGGCTATCCATGACCGTTACTGATGAGATTATACAGGGAGACAGCTCAGCTCGGACCCAGAAACACAAGTCCCGAATACCGTCAGCAACCACCTTACGTCGGGCCTTCTGAAATATATCCAAACGACCGGACGCTATACCTCCGGAATCAATCTGTTTGAAAAGCTTCGCACGCGGGATGTGGAGGTATCGTCACTACTGGCCCGAGTCATGATCATGGCGGACGAGGAAGTCCAGGCGGTGCGGTTGATGTTCGACGCCTTGCATGACGTCCCCATGGACTATTCCCTCCTGGACTGCCAGGCCGCGTTCTGTCAAACCAAAGGCGAGGGAGAGATGGCATTAGAGTGCGCGAAGCGGGCAGTGACCGCTGCTCCGAGTGAATTTAGCACTTGGGCACGACTGGCGGACGTATACGTCGGCCTCGAGCAATGGGATCTGGCTCTGCTGACCCTGAACTCCTGCCCCATGTTCACGTACCAAGACAAAGACACGCCCCGCATGCCCCAACCATCCCGCATTATGCTCCCGATCCTTGCCGAGAGCATGCTGGACGAGATCGACGAAGGCCAGCCCAAGCAGGGCGACCCCCACGACTACGTTCATCCGTCCCTGCGGAGGCTCCATGCCGCCGCCTACCAGGGAACGTTCCTCAAGGCGTACAACCTCCTCACCAAGATCGCCGCCGCAATCGGCTGGGACCAGCTCCTTAAGATCCGCAGCGAAGTCTTCGTCATGGAGGAGGAATACCGCGTCGAACGCCAGCACTCCGTCTCGAAACCCAGAACCTCCACGTCGACAGAGCCCAATGGCAACGGCGAAGAGCACGGCACGGACGAAGACAGCGCGAGCCACGAAGCCGCCACGAACGGCGCCAAAGAGGAACCGGAGCACTCCATCGAGCGCCCGGAGCAATCAATGGCATCGGAAGTGGTCAAGTCCGGCAATGAAGACGTACGCACCCACCCCAACTTCTATATATGACCACGCTAACCCGTCTAGCCCGACCCCTCACATTCATCCTACGCGCAGTTCCGCAACAAGCGACTATGTGAAAGGTGGCTCGACAACCTCTTTATGGTTCTCTACGAGGACCTCCGAATCTACACCATCTGGCGCACCGAGATGGCGCAATACCGCCAGCAGGCGATGGAGTACAAGAAGTCGGCGACGGAGTGGGAAATCCTGGGCGAGCTGGCGGGCCGCCTGCACCACTTCGACGAGGGCATTGAGGCCTACCAGAATTGCCTGACGATCCGCTTCTCCCCGAAAGCCATGCGGGGTGTGCTGAGGCTTTACGAGAAGAAGAACGACACGAGAGGAATGCTGGGCGCCTTAATCCGTCTTATCTCGTGGCAGTACCGGTGGTACTCGGAGGTATGTCCTCCCCCTTCCCAAACAACCCTCCTCCCCTCCTCCCCCCCCCCCCCCCTCCCCAACCCAACCCAGAAAGAAAGAAAGGAAAGAAAACTGACGAGCACAGTTCTCCCCGGATCTCCTCTACCTCATCCGCAAACTTATTGAAGACGAAGGCGCCGTCAAAGTCCGGAGCATCGTCCAGGCCACCAACCTCCCGCAGCCCGTCCTCGACCTCACTCACCAATACTGCCAACTGTGTGCCACGTTCCGTAGCAGCGGCAGTGACGGTTAGATACGAACTGCGATCTGAAGCGAACACCCTGCTCGTTTGCGCTAGCTAGCTTTTATTATTATTTCCGTCGGCGCTCCCGGGTACATACATACCATGCCAGACCTAGACACAGATCAGATACAGATCCCTTACGTCGAGATGTCGATGCTAAATAAGCTGCCAAGCAACAATGTTGGGGTAGGGTGGTAGAGTGAAAATGTAGGGATATGGATATGGATATGAATATGGATATGAATGGGATGGGGACATACCGGCCCGATGTCGGTGGACGTCCGTCCGTGTCCGTATTTGATTAATTTCTTTTATGTTTACCCCTTATGGATGTCACTTTTTTTTTTCTTTCTGATGAGATTTTATTATTATATCTTTTACTTTTATTTATATCTCTCTTGTCTTTTTTTTTTTTTTTTTCTATATTATTGAAGGGGGTTTCTGATACCTTTTTACTACCTTAACTTGCCCATCTGCCATTTGCCTAGTTACTCCGTATCTGCTATCTTTCTACATACCTCCTGTGTGATGTGTTTGTATGTTTCTTCCCTCCCCTGGACTTTGGCATCCCTTGTTATCTAATCATGTTTGTTCATTCTTTCTTACTATCTGTCTCTGTTACTTGCCTCGGGCCTGAAGTGGGCGATGTGTCTTATATTTACATACAGTACAGAGTACTATGGATTATCCTTCTGTTATTCCGCTGCCTGGTATTTATACATGATCTTGCGCCAGCTAGAGTAAATGTTAGCTCTACTTAGCCATACAGCAATGAGCTTCCGGGACCAAGATGATAGTAAGAAGTGCTACGCTTCGCTACATCGCATCACATGAATACCTAAATAGAAAAGGTGCCGGCAGCAATAATTCACCTGACTAGCTACCGATAAATAAAGCAGGAGACATCATCTTATATATCTCATCTCCGAGATACAGAATCCACGTGAAATATAACCCATAGGAAAAGGACAAAAAGAAAACACCGAAAGCGCAAGCGTAATCACCGTCATGACAACGCCAGGCTGAGAGATAGAGAGCGGGGGGGAAGAAGATTTACTCGTCCTCGTCAGCCACAGCGTCGACATCGACGTCAGGCTCCTTGGGGACAATGCCGCCCTTGGCCTTCGCAGCGGCAGCGGCAGGCGCGCTGGCCTTGGCTGTCTCCTCCGGGGCTTCGGCGTCTTCCTCCTCTTCTTCTTCTTCCTCTTCCAGCTCCTCCTCTCCCAGCTCCTCTTCCTCTTCTTCTTCGCCTTCGACTCCGTTCTCGGCTTTACCGTTTTCTTTCACCTCCTCCTCTTCCTCTTCGGGCGCAGGGGCGGTCTTGCGCTTCTTGGGAGCGGGGGCGGCTATAGAAGTATTCGTTAGAATTCGGCGTCTAGTAATTGATATTTATTTAGAGCAAAGAGTGAGAGAGCATACCTGGCTCCTTAGGAGCTTCTTCTTCCTCGCCCTCACCCTCTTCCTCCTCTAGGAGCTCCTCCTCCTCCTCCTCGCTGCCTTCATCGTCGACTTCACTCTCAGCTAATTCGGAGTCCTCATATCTGCTCACGACACCAGTCAGCTTTACGCTTCAGACGCGAGAGAAACAAACGCCATCGTATGTAATCGCACCCGAATGGGCAATGGTGACGCAATTGCATGGTGGCATAACGGATCGCTAAACGATGCGCGCACATGCACGTGAGAGACGAGAAGGGAATGAAATGAGAGCCCAGCAGGGGTGAAGCAGGGTTAGGATGAGAGAAAGAATGCGCCGAGGGTGCGCGCATCAGTAGCAGAGGCACCACTTACTCCTCTTCCTCCTCGCTCTCGTCGCTGGGGAGCGCCTGGAGCTCCTCTTCCTCCTCGGCTTCCTGCTTTCTCTTACGGGTCGACATGGCTGCGAGCGCGTTGGGCGCTTAGGGATAGCTTAAGGATGAAGGTGAAGGGGGGAAGAGTAGGCCAGGTCAATGGCGCAAGTATACGCAGATCGAGAGTCCCAGGCCAGTAGGCGCAAGGAAGGGACCGGAGGGTGAGAGGGAGGTGAGATAAGGGAGAATGGGGGAGGAAGGATGGGGGAGAGGAGAGGGAGGGAGGGAGGGAAGAGGAGAAATTAAAGGGCAGAGCAGCAGGGCCGAGCAGCAGGGCAGGGCCGGGACTAGGAGGACGAGCAGCCTCCTCCCAGCAGACGAGGGAAGGGGGGGACGGAATGGGTGAGCATTACTTCAGCGAGGAGGGTCAGCAGTCCCTCCCCCAAACATGGGCTCCGCGAGAAAAAGCGCGCAGTGGCAGTGGCAGTGGCAGCAGTCGAACGACCGTCGCTGGGAGGCTAAACAGAAGAAGAAACGAGAGCTGCGGGCGGTCGTTCCTGTCGCAGGGGGGCCGTCGTCGTAAGCACACCGGCCGTGTCTCTATCACCCGCAACGATGAACGTAGAATGACGAGCAGGATTTCCCCGTTTCCCCCATTTCCCCCTCACCATGGATAGCAGCCCCTCCGGGGGGGGGGGGAAGTCCCTTGGTTCTGGGGCGGAGAGTCGACCCATCTGCGAGGGCATCCACCAGGTTCTGACTTCTGAGGTTGCATGTCAGCCGAACCCACACGGGCAGAGCCCACCAGCCGGGAAACGCGTGAGCGAGGGATGATGGGATGGATGGGGATGGGGGGGAAGAACAGAGAGAAGATAGGTGTGGAGTGTGGGACAAGTCGTATACCCGTACGCCGTACGCCGTACGCTGTACCAGCTGTTACCGCCTGTTACCAGCAACAATACAGTGCCTGGTCCGATGCGGAAGGCGCGCACAGACGGGCACTCCGGGGTTGTACAGGCATCTGGGACGGACAGATTACCGCGATTTACCACCCTGCCTTCTCCGACCGGTGGCCCTAGGTAAGCAGAGTGGTGGCCCAAAGCAGCATGAGCCCCAGCTGGGTACAATCACGTGATATGTGCTATTCCCATATGTTTTACTTTTTCTTTACTCCGTAGGATGATCGGGGTTATTACGGTCTTTTATGGTAGCTTAGGGGTCTTTAGGGGGTTCCCCCCCTCTTTTTATGGTGGGGATTAGAGGGATTTTCTGACCCCAAGTCCCCAGCTGAGCTGTCTACCCTCGGTGCACGACCCTGTTAATACTATCTACACAGTACAGAGACCTTTGCGATACTCTTACTCATATATATACGCCCATATGAAGCTCCTTTAGACTAATAAGGAAATCGGTTAAATCACATAAGGTGTTGTCTTGACGCGACTCTTTTATCTAGGGTAAAAAAAGAGAGCACTTCCACCGAGAGAGAGGGGGGAGGGGGCGGACCAAAAAAAAAAGAGTCGACAAGGACGCGATTTGAACGCGCGACCCCGAAGGGATAAGATGTCTTCCAATAGTTGGATTCACTGGAAAGGAATTAGTATTGATTGGCAGCTGAAGAAAGCCGGTGATACATACAGTCTTACGTCTTAACCACTCGACCACCTTGCCTCGGTTGTAAAACAAGAGAGGGTATTTCCTCACATAGGGGACAGATGAGGCAACGGGGCGAAAAGACAAAAATAGTCGACAAGGACGCGATTTGAACGCGCGACCCCTAAGGGATAAGATGTCTTCCAATTGATGGATTCACTTGGGAGGAATTATTAGCATTAATTTGATGGCTGAAGGACGCCGGTAATACATACAGTCTTACGTCTTAACCACTCGACCACCTTGCCTGGGATGGGTTTACGAGCCGCTGATTGATATTGCCTGGTTGGTATGGCAGATGCTTTCGATAACGTCATGTAAACATGTTGATAATAAAATCATCGTATTTTATACTCGTCCCCTCCATTGCGCTCCGAACTCAATTAGCCAGCTACTTTACTTCCATATAAGAAAGCAATGAGGTCGTTGATAAATATCGTCCAGTTATAAGTATCAGCAGCAGCAGTATCGTTCAGTTTATAGTCACAAGAAATCGCTTCCCTACAGGGTAGAACCAGGGTAGAACCTGAGATAATTAGATATCTTTCCAGTTGGTATATCGAAGTCTTATACAGCCTTCAGACTTAATATGGAGCCTGTATAAAGTCCAATAAGAGACTCTAAGCTCAGTACCAGTCTCATACAGCCCCCAGTCCCATACAGGGTGAGCGGAAGGCAGAAGAGTCAAGGTGATGAGAAGCAACCACTAAGATCATCGGAATAAGCCCTAGTCTCCCAAAACATACTAGATTGGTTGATTGATTGATGTAAAGAAAGGCAGGATGACGAGAAAAGCCATATAATCAGTGCACGAAGCTCTTGGGTGCCGAGGACGGCTCATAACCTAGTACTTTGTAAAGGTCGGAACACCTCTGGTGATGATGAAAGATGATCGAGTACAACTGTCGCCTGCGGTGCGTGGCCGACCAACACCCGCAAGTTGGTCGGCCACGCACCGCAGACAACAAGTAGGAATCATGATGTCAGTCTGTAATTATAATGCGGCCGGTATTACAGATACCGAGTACAGCACGGACCAGCCGCTATTGATTCCCCCCACAGCGGCATCATTGCCGTCCCCAACTTTGATCAGCGATCACACCGGTGCTTTGTGCTTTGTGCTTGTGCGTGACTGCTGGGGATTTTGTGCAAGTCGGCAGCTTACACTTACACAGTACACAGACCAACCGGACTGGACTTGGTTATTGTTACTGTACCAGTGCCCTCAGACTGTGTACAAGGCACAAGGCACAAGGCACAGGGCACACCAGCCGTGCACCACAACAGCGCTTACGCCTGAAACTACCCGAGAGATCTTCATTTCACTGACATACTTTATATGGCATAGGTACATATCCTGGCAGTCCAGACACTGCCTCCCCACCAATCAAGCAGTACTCACTGCGGAGGCCACGGATAATCCCTCCAGGGCCTGCCCCCCGCCTCCTTCGCCAACCCACTCAACCCCTCCCACCTCCACAGCCTTTGCCCCGGATTCACCAGCTCACGATTATCCCCAGCCCCTCAGAAGAATGATCAATCCTCCCCTCCCCCATCAAAAAGCGCAAAAACCTTGCCGGATCCCTCGAGACCACCTTCGTGGTCTCCCTCTTAAACTCCTCCAGCTCAGCCTCTCTCACATCCACCCGCCTCCATAACCACCGCAATCTCCGCCATCGACCTCGTATTCCCCCAACATGCACAACATCCGGTATCATCTCCCTCGCCAGCGTCGCCAACGCCGCAACCACCCTCCCCACATCGCCCAGCGACGTGAACGACACGCGCGCCTCAGCCGACCCCACACTCTCATACACCCCGTTCGTCGTATCAAACCCGAACCACGGCCCGATGCTGTCTTCGAAAAATAGCCCGCAGAACACCCGACACCTCTTGGTGTGGGGGACGAGCTGCGTCGCGAGCGACATGTGTCGCTTTTTGGCGTCCCATTCAGGATGCGCGAAGTCGTGGATGTAGTGGTTTACCCCGAATTCGGAGGGGAAGTACACCTGTACGGAGGTGTGGGGGAGCGCGCGCAGGAGGGTTTCTTTGAAGGCATGACCCGAGGGGCCGATGGCGTTGATCAGGATGTCGATGCCTTGAAGCGCTGTGGGGAGGGTTTCGTAGCTGTAGGTTCGGGTGGTTACTTTGATGGTGGTGTTTGTGGTTGGGTATGGGTCTTTCAGCTGGGTTGGGTTGCTCTGAGTCTGCTGGCTTCGAGAGAGGAGCACAATCTCCGAGAAGTGGCTGCTGAGCGGGGAGGATATGAATGCCGATGCGACATGTCTGCCTAGATGCCCGGTGGCTCCGGCGATGGCTACTACTGGTCGAGATGCAGATGTCATGGTGATATGGTATGGTGCTAGAGGGATGTAGACTGAAGGTTCTGAGCATCGCTGCTCGAACTTTATACCTCTCCTCCTCTCCCGTCATGGCGGAGTGGCTCGAGTAATCGTAACAATGCCCCATTACCCATGGCGCCATAGTCAAGAGTCAGATGTTAGCATCTCATATCTGAACTGAGCCGATGAGAATACAATACTCCGTCGTAGGACAGAGTATATCCATCCATTACATCACAAACAAACCAAACCAAACCAAACCACAACCCAATGCCCTCATTGGCCAAATCAACCGATGTTTGATTTCATAGCAAACAGCAGTTGAGTCTGGAATTATCCAGACTGCAGACTCTGTACTATACGTACTTACGTATGTATACCTCGGCTCACCATCCATCATCCATCATCCATAATATACTCCGTAACTATAGTAGGTCATTAATAACATGTCACACAGCTAGCTACCCGATATCCCTTCCAGCCCATTCCTCGCCGCTTCCACGCCGCGTACAACGAGAAGCAGTTACCCGTGAGTCCTGGCCAGGCCCTATCTAGACCCTAGAAGCGCGCGGGTCGAGGCCCCGATGGACCTGTAATGAGCCGAGCAGCAGTATCGGCAGCGGCAGCATTGCATCCGTCGTCCGCATGGAATCTTCTTCGTTGAGTTACGGAGTAGATGCGGATTACTCAAAGCCTTTTTTTTTTTGTTGAGATTGGATGGGGTACAGACACCCGTTCTTATCATTTTTGGGGTCGAGGGTTGGACTGGACTGCCTTGGTTCTTCTTGGGAAAGTTACGTATTGTATATGTACAGTATCCTGTTCTGAGTTTGGATTTTGAGCAATGAGGAGGTAGGAAAGCAAGTCAGCTTGAAAAAAAAAATGAAAAAATGAAAAAAAAAAAATGAAAAAGAGTGTACAAATTCGAATGAATGGAAGAAGGTTGCTGTCCTACGTTGCTTACAGGAAGGTACTGGTCCACTACTAGATATGTGGCAAAGTATTCTCTGGCGGCCCGCATCTCTGCTGCGTCTCAGGTCGTGCTGGTCTGGCGAGTTACTACTGCTAGTCAGTTACCTAGGAGTACTATATTTATGCATGGAGTCTAGGGGAATCATCCTACGAAACTACACCATCTCTCACGCCAGCAAGCAAGCAACAGAGCAAGCACCCAAGCCACGAGACCGACCTATCATTGAGCCAAGAACTCAAAACTAGCCATACTCGGATCCAGGAAATTCTCATCCAACCCAAACCCATACGTGCCCACCATATCGTAAATCAGATCGGGGGGTGGAAAGCCCTGCGCCATGGCATTCGCGCCACCGGGGACCTCACTCCCGGACCGACTGACCTCGCCGGGCCTTCCATGTCCACCACCATGTCCATTGACAGCGGGCCCACCCGCCTGCCAGGTATCCCATGAATCGAACCGCTCGAGCATCTTGCCCAGCCCGCGGGCAATATGTCTAGTGAGATGTCTCTCGCCGGCGGAGACGCAGTTCAGCAGCTCGATGACGCGCTCGACGAGCCGGCGGACCTGGCGGCCGTCCAGGCTGAGGTAGGCGGAGTTCCAGTTGACGGCGGCTTTGAGGAGGAAGACGGCGGAGAAGGTGACCATGGTGTGTGTGAAGATGGGGACGCCGACGATGGCGTCGCGGATGTCGGGCTCCTCGAGAACCATGTTCAAGCAGGCCATGGCGGAGGAAATGGCGATGTTGGCGGATTCTTTGCGGTCGATGGAGAAGACCGGCGTGTTGGTGGGGGAGAGCGCGCGGAGCGATAGGGAGTTGAGTTGGAATTTGGCGAAGTGGTAGTGTAGGACCACGCCTTTGGAGGGATAGGTGCGGACGTAGGCGCTGTCGGCTGCATTGCATAATGCATTAGATGGTGCGATGGTCTGATTTGGAGAAGGGGGGGCGGGGGGGGTCTTACCTGATCGGGGCTGCCATAGAAGTCGCCATTGGTCTAGGGCTACATTGTAGACGCGTAGCTGGCCAAAGTCCCCTTCTGTGAGGGCTTGTTCGGTGTCACTCCCGAACGTCCGATATGCTTCAGTCAGGATCATGAATAGCGCTACCTGCGCCAGGAGTCGGATGTCGCCGGGCACGACCATGGGCGACCGCAGAAACGCCTCGCAGTTTCGGATCGCTGCGTCTTCGTGGATGACTGGCGGACGACCGTACGCGATGCTGAAATGATGATCGCAAACATAGAGTAGGTACCAGAGCTGAGCACGCTCGTATTGGTCGTTGTGGCCGCGCATCATCTTCTGGTAGCTTTGATGGAGCCCGAGTTCCGTGGCGATGCGAACCGCATGGCCAGACAGTTTCCAACTCAGTTCGGACAGCCAGAAGGCTCCCACGCACAGAGCACGGATGTCATCCAGAGTGTGCGCGCGTGTCAAGGACATGCTCGACACGAGCGACACGTATTCGCCGTAGCACAGGTTCAACGTCGCCGTACGATTGGGTATATGCAGTGCAGCGACCGTCAGAACGGCTGCCGACAACAGTGTTGATGCTCGCCGGACGGACGTGAGATTGCGATGCACCAGGATGATCCCTCCCCAGAGAAGCTGGTTCATCGTCCTGCTGAAGTAGGCGAAGAGATCTTCAGCCTCTTGCAGCGAAATCAACCCCCGAGATATGAAATCCTCCTCCAAAAGCGTTACCTTGGGCTGTTCTATGGCGTTATTACGCAGGTTACGAAGTTTCGTGACCTCATAGAGACTGCGCATCGGCGCTGGCACGAGCTCGCGGTCTTGTAGATCGGGCTCCGGGGACGGTTCTCGCGTTACATCCATGATCAGGCTCGGCGGGTTTGGCTTGATGTTAGGGGGTGATTCGGACGAAAGACGGCGCTCCTGAGACCCGACAGGACTGAGTCCTTCTCCACTGGAATATGTAGAAAGGTCTGGTAGCCCTCCCTGATGCAAGAGCTGCGTGACTGCTGCCTGCAGCTGTTGGATGGTGGTGGATGCCTGTGATTTCCACCTGAAGACGGTCAGCCTCCTTGCCATATTATTTTGCAGGGAAGTCCTACATAACATCATCGTCGACAAACTTTTGCGAGAAGTCATTGATCACGCATTTAATCCCACTCCGGATGCACTTGGTGCAGTTTGTTTCCCCGGCCTTGAACTCGCAGCGTATCTTATGGCGTTTGCATTCCGCACCTAGCTTAGATCAGTCTCCACTTTGCACATCGGCATCGGACTCCAGGGCGGACTCACAGGCGCGGGCTTTGGAGATCTTGGGCGGGGGAGGCCGTCCATCGGGGGCGAAGGAAGGGCGGCGTTCATGGGGCCGAGGGGTGTCCAGGTCGGCGTCACAGGCAGAGCGCTTCATGGTTATCACACTCGGGCAGATCGGGGATACTCCGGCATGCTGCGCCAGGTGAGAGTGGGGATCAACAGTCCGATGCACGCCTCGGTTGCTGTTTCTGGCTGTCTGGGAGCAATCTCGTTGCGGGTCAAACAATAGCCGTGGATAAGTCCAGAGTGAGAGATACAAAATCCGGGGATGAAGTGGGATGGAGTGGGATGGAGTGGGAAGACTGGCGAGGCGGGACTGAGGAACAACCCCGCTCTGCGGAGGTGGGCAGACCGTTGGACAAGGAATTCCAGACTGACTCGGTCGAGTAGCTTGATTTGAGCCCTTCCCCTTTGTTCGCGTGTGTATTTATTCCCGAATTGGCCACGAGGCGAGACTCCGCCGCGTCCTGTTCAGAATAACAATGTTTGTTTCCTCTCCTGATGCGCACGGGACTGGGGAAATGCGGGGCTCTCTTGAGTGTCTCCTCTCGCCCTCTGTGACTCTCCCCCTCTCCACCCCATCGGCGCATTCAAGCTACAGACTCCGGTCGGGATCTCTGTTCCAACATGAGGGACACAGAATGTATCTCAGACATGCATCTCATTCCGCAAAGGAATATAAAACATCGAAACATCTCTCCCCAAAAGTATATATCAAACCTCATACTATGTTGATGCCGCCCCACCATGATGTCAGGTCCCTCGACACCGCATCTGGGTCTCAGGATCCGCTTCGCACTTTGCTAACTCCTGGATCAAGTTCCTGCCAGTACCTGGATGGAACGTCATAGACCAGAACCTGAGTTGACGGGCCAAGTCCGCGGCGGAGACCAGCCTCAAGCTGTCTGACGCTCGGAGTTGGTGCGAGCTTAACATCACTATCAAACAGGACCTTCCTAGCTAGAAGGGCTATCAAGACACCTTCTTAGTCTAGAGTCTATCCTTCGTTTTCTGACAACCACTGACTACTGACTACTAGTACCCATATCCAAAATCATTCAAGCCCCTCCCATGTACACCCACCTCCCAGCCAACATGCAAATCCTCATCACCGGCGCCGCAGGATTCATCGGCCAACTCCTCGCCAAAGAACTCCTCAACGACCCCTCCTACACCGTCACCCTAACGGACATCAACCCACCCCCGATCCCCGACGGCGTCACATACCCGCAGAATGCCCGCAGCGTGACCACCGACCTGCTCCACGGCGGCGCCCTCTCCTCCGTCGTCACCCCATCCCTAGACGCCGTCTACGCCTTCCACGGGATCATGTCCTCCGGCTCCGAAGCCAACTTCGACCTAGGCATGAGCGTCAACGTCGACGCGACACGGAACCTCCTCGAAGCCCTCCGCCACACCTGTCCGGGAGTACGGGTGATCTACTCCTCCAGCCAGGCCGTCTACGGACAGCCCCTACCAGCCATAGTCAACGACACCATCACCCCAACCCCGCAGTCCTCCTACGGCGCCGAGAAGCTCATCTGCGAGACGCTCATCAACGAATACACCCGCCGGGGCTTCATCACCGGCTTTACTCTACGGTTTCCCACCATCTCAGTCCGACCAGGCTTACCCACCGCCGCCGCGTCGTCCTTCCTGTCCGGTATGATCCGCGAGCCGCTGGCCGGGAAAGAGTGCGTTATTCCGGTGGAGGATCGCGAGTTCAGATCGTGGCTGTGTTCGCCCAGGACCCTACTTTGGAATCTGGTCCACACGCTGTCGCTGCCTGGGGATGTCCTGCCGTCGCATATTCGGCAGGTGAATGTTCCGGGGATTTGTGTGAGCGTGCAGGAGATGATGGATGCGTTGGAGAGGGTAGCCGGGAGGGAGAAGTTGGCGCTCTTGAGGGAGGAGGAGGATCCCGCCCTCAGACCGATGCTGGAGTCTTGGCCGACGCGGTTTGATAATCAGCAGGCGGTTTCGTTGGGGTTTAGGAGGGATGAGTCGTTTGAGAGGGCGGTTAGGGATTATTTGGTTGATAGGTGATGGATAGACGGTGTTTGGTTGTAGACTTTTAGAATGCTGGCTGGTACTTGGATACTCTTTATACATGGCGGAAATCAATGTGAATATGACTGTGAAACTGATGCACAGTATCTACTAGTTACCTTATACGTATCATCCTCATATAACTACTTATAGTGCTGAGTAATATATGGAATCGTTATGCGTAGCAGAAACCAATATGAACATGACCATGAACTAATATACAAGCACATTATACAATATCCATATAAACATCCATCCAATCCACCTCCAACCACGCACCTCTCTATCCCTATTCCCTATCCCCATCTACCTCTACCATCACAACCACCATCACCCCCACCCCCATCTCCCTCTCCCTCTCCTCCCCCCTCTCACCAAATCCAGGAACAAAAACCGTAAAAAAAAAAAAAGAGAGAGAAGGAAAATTACCTCCAAACCTGCACCCCTTAGCGGTTAACCACCTTCCACAAAAAAAAAAAAAAAAAAAAGGTATCAAACGGATTCCCAAACCTGTCCATCAACCGCAACCAGACGATTAAACAACTGATTGCGCATTTTCATCGCAGTCAACGGAAAGCTCTGCGTCCCGGTGGTCAAGACCAACCCATCAACAACCTCCTTCCCACCAACCGCCCACCCGGCAACCAATTTACCCTTCCAGCCGAGACCCCCGATCTTTCGCATCTCCGTGATGTCAGAGACAGGCAGACTGAAGAGGACGGAGCCCTTGGGGCGGTGCGAGATGGAGGAGGTGGGTGGGGAGAGGCGGACGGATTGGTCGGTTGTGAAGTATAATATTGGGTGTTGTGAGGTGGTGGTGGTGGGTTGGGATTGGGGTTGGGATTCGGATTCGGATTGGAATTGGTCGATGACCACGACGCCTCGTTTGCCTTTATAGCGGGCGTCGTACTGGATGGGGCCGGAGGGGAGGGTGATGCGGCCCTTTTTGTGGAGGACGCCGACGCGGCCTTGGGCGCGAGAGGAGCCGATGGCGGCGCGGGCGCGGTCCATGGCCAGCTTGCTTTCGAGGCTGGTGGCGGTCGTGTTGCGGAAGAGGTTGATGGTGCGGGTGAGCCAGCTTTTCTTGGGCGGGGAGGAGTGAGAGTGAGAGTGAGATTGGAATTGGGAGGGGGAGGGGGAGGGGGAGGTGGAGGAGGGCGCGATGGCTTGGGAGATCTCCTCGTGCGTGGCGTCGAGGGGCACGTCGGTGGTGGAGATCGGGGCTGGCTGGAGGGGGTTTGGTGCAGGGCGTGAGAGGGGGGTGGCGGGAGGGGCGCGCCATTGGCTTCGCCGATGCGGAGGAGTGTGAGGGTTAGCTGGGCGTTGGTGGGGATTCCTTTGAGGAGCGAGCTGGAGGGCGTTAGTATGAGTATGAGATAGCATATGGGGGAGTTGGGAGGGGGGATACTTTTGCAACTCGAGGAGGCGCTCCCAGCGAGGGTATTCCTTGTTCAGGTATATCACGGCGCGGCGGATGAGCGGGTCGCCGAAGAAGGCAAGCCCCCGCCGAAGGTGGTGAGTTTGACGAGCACGTAGCTGGAGGTGACTAGGGACGCCAGAAAGGCGACGGACAGCACTGCAGTGAGGCGGATATAGGGCGTGAGGATGGAGAACGGGGGCGTCGGGGATAAGGCGCTGTGGTGGTGAGTGAGTAACTCTATGGGCAGTGGAATGCGTCAGGGAGCATGCTTACTTCCCGAATCGCTCGTAGGTGTCGATGATGTCGCTGAGGATCCGCATGGAGATGTTCGCCCCGTTGTAGACGGTGTCCTTCATCGGCTGTCTGGTCTTGTCATGGTGTTCATCTGTGGCCTCCCCGTGCGCAGCCGTCTGCGCATCCGCCGTGCTGGAGACGATATCCATGGCATCCGGAACAGACTCCTCGATGGGCGCATCTTGCGGGGTCCCTTGATCGTGTTTCCCGGCCACGCTGCCCACCGCCACGCTCGCCACGCTGGTGATCAGATTCGAGGCCTCCTGCTCGGCGGCTTCACCCTTCATGTTCTCCGGCGCCCCAGTGACACTGTCATGCGAACCGAGCACTCCAGCCTTGGGCTTCTGTACGCCCCCCGTATCCTTGTCCACGAGGGCGATGGGCGCCGGAGGGAACAGTGATGTCCGAGACTCAGGACTGATAACCAGCACGATGAGGACCGCGAAGACGGTGGGCGCGAGAAGGTCCAATGCCCACGCGGCGAAGTAGACCTGGGACGTCAGCTACTTGAAATGGGACACTGGGCCTCGATTACCTACCGCGCAGAACGCCGAGGTCCGCGGCCGCTCCCTCCAGGATCGCAGCCTGGCAATGTGCTTGACAAAAGCCGTGAGCGACACCACGATGGTGGTGTAGAATCGCTCGAGGGTCGCGCGCAATTTGTCCGGGGAGAATTGCTCATCTTCGGCCCGGTTGAGATCCAGGCGTTGCATGGGCGCATCCGGCACGGCTTTCACGTAGTAGATTTGCTGTCATCGGTCAGTCAACCCTGTATCCACGCAAGATCTATCTGGCTAGCTACCTTGTTGAAGCGGCGGATGAGCATCCACAGGTCGTCGTTCTCGAGACCAGATACCAGCCGCTCGTTGATCTCGGCCGGCGAGTGATCCCATCCCAGGTCGGTGATGGTGTCCGTAGCACCGGCCTTCTGGGCCAGTCCCTTCTCATCCTGGTCGACCTGCGAGAGCACATGGCTGTCTGTAGGGCCGGATATCTCGGTGGTGGTGCGGTCCGCGCCGATGATATCATTGCCGCTGGTTTTCGAGCTATACGAGACCGGCTCGGCATTTTTGGAGGGATCTCTGAGGGACATTTTCAGATTGAGACTAAAGATATAGGTATATGATACAAAAGCTGTCGACTGAAACCGGAGACGAACTGCTTTAAGGGCTGGCTGCTTTGTTGGCGCGCAGGGGTGCGGCCCTACGACGTCATTCTTGTGTCGTGAACCAGATCGTCCGCAGCCTGGAATCGGCGGCAATCGATGCCGCGTCCCACTTGCCTCAAGATGCGATCTTGCCAGGATCAGACTCATCTGGAAATCTCCACTTGCTCATCTTTACATTACGGCACACAACCTGTTCTCCTCATCGCTGTGGTCGTCACCCACCCTCTACGAGAGAGTCGATCAACGGACCAATCATAACCCGCATAGTCTATTACCGCCACCCGAAGAGGAAATACGCGTCGCCGCGTTCCAGACCGCATCCAAACTTCTCACGAATGGCCCTCGGCCCTAGTGGTAGTGGGAACTGGAATCCAACCAACCCATCTGATATAGTGAAGTGCTGAAATGAACACGCGTGGCGCGACACCATGAGCGACACCTGCGCGAATCCCCTGCTGCTGGGGTGGATTCAGGAATGGCTGGACCAGGCTCGCGAGCGCAACAGCAAAGGGGTCATAGTGTATGCCTGCCCTCTCTGGATCATTATCCGCAACTACAGTAGACACTAACTTCCTGCAGATACAAAAAGGCATACGAGTCCATGAAAGCCTGTCCGCTGGTCTTTCACCATCCCTCGGAGGCTCAGCAGCTGAACGGACTGGGTCCGAAACTATGCGACCGGCTGACGGAGAAATTGAAGGCGTACTGTGAGGAAAATGGGCTGCCTATGCCCGAGCATCCTCAGAAATGTAAGTTCCCCTTGCTTTCACAGCCTGGGCAGGTTCTGACTGTCGTAGCAAGCAGCAAACGCGTCTCGGAAGACGGCACGACGGAGGCTCAGCCAGCAAAGAAGCCCCGCAAGGCAAGACCGTACGTGCCGACACTGCGATCCGGCCCGTATGCATTGATCCTCGCCTTGGCGACTCTGGACGAGAACTCGTCGCAGGGCCTGACCAAAGCGCAGCTGGTCGAGAAGGCCCAGCCGAATTGCGACAGCTCGTTCACGGCCCCGAGTGATCCCTCCAAGTTTCATACGGCTTGGAGCTCCATGAAGACCTTGCTGCAGAAGGAGATTGTCTATGATTTCGGCCGCCCGTTAAAGAAGTATGCCCTTACGGAGGAGGGGTGGGAGGTGGCGAAGCGGATGAAAAAGGCTGCCCCGACCTCGGGTCAGGGCACGTTGGCCTTTGCAGAGCAATCGGTAGACACACCACCACCATCACCACCGTCACCATTACCCCGGACGAGACTAACACGCGCAGGTCGCAAACACCTGCGATGAGCCATCAACCAACACAACCGGACCCTCATCCACCATCCCAGACCCTCTCCCCCGCCCCATCCACGACAGCGACCCCGGCCCCGTCGACCCCATCCTCATCCCCCCCGACAGCTTCACCGTGCAGCTCGTCCTCGACATCCGGGAAGTCCGCTCCTCCAAAGACCGGGACTACATCTCCAATGAGCTCAGCAAGAAGGGGGTATCACTGGACGTCCGGGCCCTCGAACTCGGCGACGCGATGTGGGTAGCCAAATTCCACGACCCGAAGTTCCTGTCGCAGTACGGCGAAGAAGGAGACGAGATGATGCTGGACTGGATCGTCGAGCGCAAGCGGCTGGACGATCTGATCGGCTCGATGAAAGACGGGCGCTTCCACGAGCAGAAATTCCGGCTCCGACGCTCGGGCATCAAGCACGTTATCTACCTGATCGAGGAATTCACCGTCACGCAGGACGTCACGAATGGTGCAAAGTACAATGAGATGGTCGCTTCCGCTATCGGCTCGACTCAGGTTGTGAATGGGTATTTCGTCAAACGCACGAAGAATCTAGATGACTCTATCCGGTATCTGGCTAGAATGACCTTCCTCCTCCAGCGCATGTTCTCTCCTCCCTCCTCATCATCATCCTCACAAGGCCCAGATACATCAACCCCACACCCCCTCTACCTCCTCCAAACCCACCACCTCACATCCTCCACTTCCTACCTCAGCACCCTCGACACTCTGCGCTCCACCTCCCCCACCACACCAACCTACGCAGTAACAGTCCCCACCTTCTCAGCACTAACCTCCAAATCCGACGTCCTGACCCTCCGAGACATCTTCCTGAAAATGCTCCTCTGCATCCGCGGCGTCACCGGCGAGAAAGCCCTCGAGATCCAGCGCCGCTGGCCCACCCCGCAGGCATTTCTGCGCGCCTTTGAGGAGGTGTCCCCCGCTGAGAGGGGGGATCTGGTGGCGGACCGCATGCAGAGTCTTGTCGGGAGGAAGAAGATTGCGAAGGTGTTGAGTCGCAAGATTGCGGAGGTTTGGGGGGTGGGGGGGTAAGATTGCTCTATTGGAGTTGGTATTGTGATTGAGATTGGGGGGGGAGGGGGTTTGATGTTTCGGTTTTAGGTTGTTAGATTAGATCACATTAGAGTTATATTTAGATTTAGATTATTCTGCGTGGTTGGGTGATTAGGATGGGAGCGTATCTACTATCCTTGGTTGTTGGTTGCTGGGATTGAGGGTAAGGATTAGAATTGGAATTAGTAGAAGAGTATGAGTATGAGTATGAGTATGTCTACCGTTACTAGGATTATAAATGGGAGTAGAAGTGGGATAACTACGGCTACGTCATCTGGGAGAATTACATATTCTTGTCTGTAGTAGTAGTTTCACTTGATCATTCGGTTTTGTTGGTGTTGGTCGTTACTACTAAAGTATGCTTAGTAGTCTACAGTATTGGCGTTTGAATTTGAACAGACTACACCAGACCTATAGTATGTATTACTAGTTACCTATAGTGTTTACCTGACTACTTACCTACTACCTGATAAGTGATTAAGATTAAGTGCCATGATAATGCTACTAGCTACCTACCTACCTACCTTGGTGTCTGGGCGCCTTTTTAGTCAAGTGGCTTCTGTTCCTGTTTCACAATGAGACTGTAATACGGAGTAGAAGGAAGGAGGACATAAGCAAGCAAGCAAGCAGGTAAGCAGGTAAGCAGGTAAACAGGAACAAAGCCAAAGCCAAAGCCAAAGCCAAAGCCACAAAGAATCAAATCATATGACATAGTATCAATTTGAGTTGAAATATACAAAGAGCTCAAGCTAATTCCTGTTCCATCTTATACCCACAATCGATCGTCCCAGTCATTGTCTCATCTCATCATATCATATTTCATCACACCACATCCCATTCATCCCATCTCATAGTAACCATAACGACCACCTACTCCCCCTTCCCCCTCCCCTTCCCCTTCCAAAACCTAAACCTCACCCCAAGCGCAAGACTACTACAAACCACCGAAACACTACTCAACGCCATCGCCAGCGCGGCCCAAACCGGACTCAATCGCCAGTGCGTATCCACCACGCCCCCATCCATTTCTTTCTGCCCACTAACAATCGGATAAAAAACGCCCGCGGCAACCGGCACCAGGAGACAATTATACACCAACGCCCAGGCAAAATTCAGCTTGACACGGGCGAACACCCTGCGACTAAGCAGCACGAGCTGCAGGATGGTGTGCAGGTCGCTGTTCAGCAGGATGAAGCTGGCGGAGTGGATGGCGACGTCGGAGCCGGAGGCCAGGGCGATACTGACGTCTGCGGCCGAGAGGGCGGGGGAGTCGTTGATGCCGTCGCCGGTGAAGGCTACGATGTTCCTTTTCTGAGTCGGGGGAGGGGTTTGGGATTCGAGGGTCGAGGGGGTTATTTCCCTGCTGTCTCTGATATCTCGAGGGTTGAGGCTTGGGCTGATGGTGGGAAGACCGTCTTGGATTTGGCGCACGAAGGCGGCTTTTCCGGCGGGGGTGACGTTGGCGAGGACATTTGCTCGGGCGATGCCGATCTGATCGGCGACGGCGTGCGCGGTGGTTTGGTTGTCGCCCGTGCACATGAAGACGGCGACTTTGCGGGCTTGCAGTTGCGAGATCACGGCTGCGGCGTTGGGGCGGATGGTGTCGGAGATGGCGAAGATGAGGGCTGGGTGGAAGAGGGATTTCTCGGGGTCGGAAGACAGGGAGCGCAGGGTGAGGATCGCGGTGGATTGGCCGGTGGATTGGTATTGGTTTAGGGTTGGGGAGAGGGAGGTGGTGTCGTGGTCGTAGTCGGGTTGGAGCGTGTGGAGGAGACGCTGGTTGCCGATGGCGGCTTCGTATTGCAGCGTGGTTGGGGGTTGGTTGGTGGCGGGTTGGAGGGAGACGGTGAACGACCCCTTCATGCCTTGGCCGGTCAGTTCTTCGATGTCGGCGCTGAGGACGGTGGCAGACGGCCTGTCTTTGCAGAAGGTGGAAATCGCGCGCGCAATGGGGTGGTTGCTGCTTTCTTCGAGCTTGCGGGCCAGAGCCCAGGCCACCTGCAGTGTGTCCGGATCGGTGATCAGGGCTTCGTGTGCGGATACCTGCAGGCTGCCCCCCTCCGTCAGAGTCCCTGTCTTGTCAAAAACAATCGCGTCGAGACGGCTGGCTTCCTGGAAGGCTTCACCGCCGCCTTTGACGAGGATGCCCTGTCGTGCTGCCAATCCGCCACCGACGAAGAGGGCCGTGGGAGCAGCCAGCGCAAGACCGCAGGGGCAGGCCACGACAAACACGGCGATGGCGAACTCCAGGCTCCAGAAGGTCCAACCGCCGCGTGCAACGTCAAGGTAGTCACCGGGTAGCGTGCCGGACAGTCCCAGCGCCAGCCAGATGACGAATGTCAGGATGGCGATCAGGGTGATTATGGGGACGAAGTGCGAGGTGAGCAGGTCTGCCACTCGCTCGAGGGGCGCCCGTCGGCTCTGGCCCTCGCGCACGACGGAGATGATCTGGTCCAGCATCGATGCGCCGCCAATGGCCGAGATTTGAATCTCCACCGGTTGTCCGACGTTGACGGATCCCGTGTACACCGCGTCGCCCGCCGACTTCTTGACCGGTCGCGATTCTCCCGTCAGCGAGCTTTCGTTGAACTGGTACGAGCCGGAGGATCCGGTGCTAACAACAACTCCATCGGCGGGAGGTGAGGAACCGTGAAGGATATTGACAACATCGCCGATTTCGAGGAGGTCGATGTTGATGCGCCGGTGTTCATCGACACCGGCGTCACTGACTTTCAACAGCGCCTCCGTCGGTCGCAGCTCTCCAAGGGATGCGACCGCGTCTCCGGTCTTCGCCTTGCTGTATGCCTCCATGAACCGCCCCGCGAGGATGAACATGGTCAGGAAGACTACTGTGTCGAAATATGTGGAGCTGTGGGTGCTAGAGCCAGAGCCTGCGACTGCATCCATGATCAGGACCGCCAGGGACGAGAAATAGGCCACCATCGTGCCGGCGGAAATCAGCAGGTTCATGCTGCCAAAGCGATAGAATCGGCGCAGCAACGGGGCCCGACTACCCGGGCGCCAGAGCGAATAGACCTCCTTCATCGCGCGCACATGGAAGATGTCGGCTCCATAGAACATGACCGGGGTGGTCATGATGAAGAGAGCCCATTCCAGGCGCGAGGCATCCCCGACCCACATGGGCTCTTCCAGGAACTGGCGGGTCTGGTTGTTCGACGACACCAGGCTCATGAACACGATGCCGAGCAGGAAGGTGGGAATCGCCACCATCAGCACGAAGATAAAGCGGGTGAGCAGTCGCCGTCTCTCGTGCCGCTGCATCGCTCGCGATCGGTCCTCGATGCTGGGCGGATGATGGACGGTGGCGGTGAAGGCCTCGTGTGCGTCGTCGATGGCCTGAAGGATGGTTCTCACCGTGAGAGAGGGCGGCTTAGGCGTGTATGTGACCGCCAGAATTGGGTTTTTGGGGGACGGGCTGCCCTCCACCGTGACATCCGGAAGCGCCTTCACGGCGTCGAGGATCCGCGCGGGACAATGGTGGCAGAACATGCCATCCACGTGGATGGAGATCGTGCGCGCTTCGACTTTCTCCCGGTCGTTATCTCCATTCTGAGGCAGAACACTGTTGACAGAGGCATCAAACCCCATGTCCTCGATCTTTTCCAGTATATCATCGACGTGGTCTCGCCCCTCAAACTCGACCCTTCCACTGTGCGTCAGTAGGTTGACGGACACTTCGGTGACGAACGGTAGCTCCTCAAGCCCTCGCGTGACAGTCCCGGAGCATGAGCCGCAGGTCATGCCAATGATGGCAATCTCGGCGACGAAGCCCGTCGAGCTTGTCGTGCACGGGGAGACAATCTTGTTGACTTCGTCCAGGGAAGCCTCGAAGCCGATATCCTCGATCTGCTCAACCACCTTGTCGATGTTGGACTGCGGGCCAGTGAAGATCACCGCAGCGCTGTTGGTGAGAAGGTTGACCGTGATATTCTCGACAAAGTCCAGCTGCGTGATCTCATTCGTGATGCTGTTTGCACAAGCGGCGCAACTCATGCCACCAATGCTGACACGGGCGTTGAATTTTTGTTCAGCAGTCGACGGCGTTCCACTCTCCCCCAGTGACTCGACGGCTACGACACCTTTCTTGGAGACGGCAGTAGGCTGGCGAAGGGAAGCGCTCGCCAGGTCCTCGTCGGCAGCCAGCCGGTCCAGCTCCTCCTTCCGGCAGGCATCGCAATTCTCGACGTGTCGGTTCCCCGGGGCTTGGGTGTGCGTCGGTCGGGGGACGAAAAAGCCTGAGTCTCGCGGCAGCCACGGGGTCGTATCCAGCTCGGATATCACCGACCCTCGGGGCTCATAGGTGGTAACATGGTGGACCTCGAAGGCCGCCTCCCCCAGGGCTGTGGCCAGGTCGGAAGGCTGGGTGTCTGCGGTGTGCACGACGCGAACCTCGTGAGTGAGGACCGACACATCGATGGTCTTGATTCCCCCGAAGAAGGAAAGTACTTCGTTGACATACGTCACGCATGAGGAACAGTGAATATTGCTAACGAAGAAGATGCTCTTCCGAATCCTCGAGTCCTGTCCGGCAGGATCTGTTGATTGCGCCATGATTGTCGAAAAGGCGAGACACGGCCGCTGGGAGACGAGCCCTACACCGTATATGAGAGCGGGTCAAGCGATCGTCCAGAAGTTGACGCGGGATCGGACAAGAAATTCAAGGACCACTATTCTGACAGTCAGCCCAGGCGGATGAATCCCCACGCGCACGAAACAGATCCTGCAACACACCTAATGAGCGTGACAGCCAGGGGCGTGTCATCCAGCAATCAATGTGGCAATGTCTGATGTCAGAGAGAGCGCTGTTGCTGCTCCGGTTTGAGATTAAATAATACTCCGTGGCAGCGGCGCCTAGGTATGCAGATCAGGTCGCAAGTACGTACGTCCTAACCGGTTTACAGGCAAGGGATGAGGGAATGGAAGGTCTATATGGGAAGAAGGAAGGAAGAGCAAGAGGTCAGGAGTAGGAGGGATCATCCTTGAAGTAGGCAGTGGGAATTGGGGGGCGGATGAGGCAGCTGCGTGGTTTGTGCGTAAAAAGATCGTTGAAGCTGCGGTTCACGCACAAATGGCGCAAGGCCATCCCGAGCTCGCGGCCAACTCGGGTCACGCGCCATAAGGACATAAGAGGGAAGAGCCAGATAACTTTATATGTACAGGGCAGTCCTGGATGCAATATCTGCGGCTACCTGGATACTAGTAGAGGACTGGGGAATTGGGAGACGGGGACTGGAGGGGATTCACCACAATACTTATTATCTAGCCAACCCATTGCCGCGCGCCGTCGTCGTCACATGGATGTCACGGGTATCAAGGCCGACACGAGCTCAGGGGGGATTGGAACACGCATCACGCAATGAAGGGCATTTCACAGGATTGAAGAAGCGGCAAGGGCATCGACATGGGCACGCGAAGGAGTACACGCGAGGCGAGAAGCAGGAGGCGATAAGAACGGAGGGAGACTCGAGGAGTGACTGTCGGAGTCCGTGAGTAGTTAGTTCTAAGTAGAGCTGCTAATACGGAGTACTCTCGGTCGGGCTAGCCCTCGCCGGCCATATCCATACCCCTTGGAACGGGTTTATTACCGGACACAGCAAGGCTTCGGCGGCCATCTCGGCTCCCAGTACCGTATCATACCTGCCAGACCCTTGAGGTCCTTGGATAGATAGGCAGGAATCAGGCATGGATACAGTCAATTTTCACATCTCATCAGCGCCATCCACATCATCCCCTTTGCTGGGGCCTTGCATAGACAGGCATGTAGCTGCGCGACTCGCGACAGCAGTAGGGCAGTAAGCAGGTGGCCTAGCCAGCATATCTACAGTTCAATCTAAGCTCCAACGTGGCTCCGCAATCTGCCACAGCGTTCAGGGACAACAACTATCTAGTATCTAACTACTAAGCCCGTCATCCGAACGCATCGCCCGGAAGCGTCGCTGCCTTTCGCCCCCCCCCCCTCCCCACCCGTCCCATCCACCCACATGCGCCGCCGCCTTTCTTCCTCCCTCAACTTCCCTCATCAGCCTCGCCCACTCACTTCCTTCAAACCCTCTTCCCTCATCTCCATCCATTCTCCTACGACCTCTTCCATCCATCTCCATTCCCTACGGTTCCTTCCTTCCCCTATCTGACCTCGGTTCTGGCGTGCACGTACGACCAGCAAGCGAGTCCGTGTCGACGCGAGATCGTCCACCAGTCAATGAACGATGCGGGGATCTGAGGCATCGAGGCCCGGTGCTCTCTTCGATGCTCCCTCGACTCTGGCCACGGCCATCCGAGGCAATCCGACCGCCGCTCCCGTCCTTCCATCTACCGACCAGACCCTGATCGCCTCCGATATCGAACATGTTTTGCTGGCAATGTCCCAGGACAATGGCGGTCTGGTTAGCGTCGGTGGCAACTCATCGGGTTCGACCGGCAAGGGTATCCTGATAGGCGTCCTCTCGGCGTTTGGTTCCGCCGCGGTCGCTGTGCTCGTGCTGGCCGTCTTCTTCTTCTTCAAATATACTCAGCGCGGTCGCATCATCCTCGATCGCATCGGCCGACCGGGTGAATTCGACGATGAGCAGGCGTTCGCGCGCGAGGAGGCGGAAGCCTTGGAGGTGATGGATGACTTGTCGCGGTCGGAGTATATGAGAGCTAAGGGTGAGCTTCCCATGTCCAGTCATGATATTACTCTCCCAAAGCGCTATCGAGGTCCGGTGTTAATCAATGCACAGCATTTATCGAAGCCAACCCCCCCGAGTCGATGCAAACCGATATATCCTTATCACAATTCCTCGCGATCCAAGAAAAGGGAGTGTCCGCGTGGGAGTTTCAACCGGAGCTGGAAATCGCCAACTGCTTTGTCGAGGGCCGGACCGAAATCGAATTCTATGACTCGGAATGCAGCGTCCAGACTAATCTGCCCGTTCCGAAACAGAATGACGTCTATTACTGGGAGGCCAAGGTCTATGACAAGCCCGAGAACACCCTTATCAGCATCGGAATGACTACCAAACCGTACCCCCTATTCAAACTACCAGGTGCGTCATCGTCTTGATGAGTGGAAGATGGGCGGTTGCTAATACTAGTTGTCATATCAGGTTTCCACAAATCATCGGTCGCATACCAGTCAACGGGCCACAGGAGGCACAACCAGCCGTTCGCTCCGACGCCATACGGTCCGCAGCTTTTACAGGGTGATGTAATCGGTGTAGGGTACCGTCCTCGGTCAGGCACGATCTTCTTCACCCGCAATGGCAAGAAGCTGGAGGATGTGGCTCACGGGCAAAAAACGCAGAATTACTTCCCCACTGTCGGAGCCAACGGGCCTTGTGCCGTCCACGTGAACTTTGGTCAGATGGGATTCGTGTTCATCGAAGCCAATGTCAAGAAATGGGGTCTGGCCCCGATGACTGGCAGTTTGGCGCCGCCTCCGCCCTACGGAAGCGAGCAAGGCAGCATCCTGCTAGAGTCTGGCCGGGAGAGTGCTGCGCAAATCTCCCACCGGGTCTATCAAGACGCCAATAACGCGCGAACCAGTTCGACGGTCCGCGTTCTGCCGTCTGCCAGCCCTGGTCCGGTGCGGTCCCCGACCGATATCTCGCTGGCTCAGCTTTCCCACATCCCCTCGAACGAAGACGTCGGAGAAGGGTCCAGCCGGGACAATGGCGGCGACGGCGAGGAATCTCCCTTGTTGGATACCGATGAAGACCTGGACCAGATCCCACCCCCCGAGTATTCCAGTCCGGACGGCAGCCGCAGAGGCAGTGAGGACTCGCAATCTCGGGGCCAGCCCCCGATACCCAGCTACGCCGCCGCCGTTGGCAACCGTGAGGGCCACCACCCGCACACGGGCGACCCCCGTTGAGGGCGGGAATCCTTCCTCTTCGTTTCTATTGTTATCATTCCTCATCGGCTATTGGCGAAGCGACTCTTCGATGTGTATACGGCATTGTTAAGCCCCCCGAATACGCGAGTACATTCTTATTACTGTTCCTTGATTTTAGCGGCTACGGTCGGCGTTCCACAGGCGGATTCTACGGATTAGGTTTCACGGTTACGCCGCTAGACGTGGCAATGATGAATTACGTATATAGGGTCTGATCGTTCTGTCTTTATCGTGTTTTGGATCGATCCGCCTCGTACTCGGCTGAGGTGGTGGGAACGGCTTGCCTCCTATAGTATATAGTTCATATATACTATCCCAGCACCTTTGACAACCCAGTCCGGTGCCTATCCCACCACCCTGAGACGTTGGGGGTCTCCTCGCGTTCCTTGATCGAGGGAGCGATCCGATCATTCGACCTCTTGCTTCCCATGATATCCCTTTCCTCTTCCACATTCATGTCCAAAATAACGCGTTGCCTTTGAGCCGGGTGGATTTATCGGGGAGTTTCTCGGGGGAATCTGTCTTTGCTCTCTATCCATCACATACCGTGCTATTTATATCGACTGTCTCATCGCGTATATGTAGCTTTCCGTTAGCACGACGTCTATGACTTGTATCCAGTGGTGCAACATATCACTGCCTTGTGCCCGGTCGCGCTGTATACCGTGCTGAGTACTCGTCTCGCCGCGCGGAGTGCCCGTTCCCCACAGTAGAACCCAAGTGAGACCTGGCGGGGGGAGAAGAGGAACAAAGACGGAGTACGAGTCGTAGAAAAAGTAAGCCAGTAACTAAGCCAAGGAAGTTAAGTAAGACCCGATCAGGCATTCCACGATGGTGCCTGGGCCAGGCTGTTCCTTCCGCATCCAGCGCCTTCCGCTTCGTCCAGATCCAGAGGCTCTCCCGCGTCATCGACCAACCACCAACGTACTTCCATCCCCGGATTCCCCTCTGCTTCTTTGTTCTTTCCTCCCTCTTCCCCCTTCCCCCAATGTAAGGATGCAAGATGCTCGCCAGATCCCCCGTCGCCCTCCGTGCCTTTGTCTGCAGCCCATATGGGCCTCTTAGTCATCCCCCAATAGAGTTTCTGTTCCTTGCACGGCGTCGTCCTGGTCGCGCGACGCTCACTACTACGACATTCTGAACTCCTCCATCCTTCTTCCTCGGCGACACCCCACGTCTCGTCAAGCTACCAACTGTCAGATCAACCATCCGATCATTGCAGTTAATATTCGCCATCCCATCCCCTTCCCCGTGTCCTACGGTGCCTCGCATTCCCGCCCAGCCCAGAAACCTCATCACTATCTCGCTATTGGAGCCATATAAGCCACTGCGCTTTGGTTTTCGCTGCCAACGTCTCTTCTCATCATACCGCCAGCCATTGCATCATCGGTGTTCCCAGACCGGAGATTAGCGCCCTGCAGCTGACCAGTAGCGGACGAGGAACTGCCAACTGCTGGAGCGCCGGTGCGACACAGACCTGCCCCAGATCTATGGGAGGAAACCGCCGCAGCCATTGGTTGTGGGATTGAACCCTAGTCGCCTTGGCCGGATTGCCACTCCGAGCAGTAGGTTAAACCCCATTGTCCGGTTCTCGAACAGCTTTGATCGTTGTCGCTCTTATTTTAGCAGCCTTCATGTTTGTTGGAGTGCCGCGCATGTGGGCCACCCAGAACTCACCCGTTCACAGGCCTCCGCAGAGCGAACCGCGGGAAGAGCAGCCTCCCTCGACTTTGCGCTCCGCCGCTCAGTACTAGCAAGGGCCTGCAGAGCGATCACGCGCTAGGTGGAGCACTTGCTTCTGACGCGAAGATCGTTGATTCGCCTTGGTTATTCTTCGGGCAACACCGAGGACGGCAAGTGTGATAGCCGGCGAGTGCTGGGAGTGCTACGGGAGGGACAAGCTTAAGCATCACCTTGCGCTCCGAGATCCTTTTGGGTGTCCCCAAACGGGGCCCCGGCAGTACCCAAACCTTTTCCCAGGAAGAGAGTTGGGATCCGTTTGAAGGAAAGGGCTAAGAGTTTGAGTGACCAAGAAATTGATTGGTTCCTGCTGCAGTCGACCCTGACGCTCTTTCTCGGTTACGGAATTCATCTGAAGATGCAAAACGCAAAGTCGAAATACGCGGGAACAGCCCATCCAGAAAACGAAAGCGGGCAGTCCAACTCTCCAGGCTTACAAGTTATTGTCTTGGTAAGTTGTCCATGTCTCTACTGCGTTCGTATGTCCCGTGAGCTTTCTGTTCGAGTGGCCCTGTGATCGTCTTAGTCGCATACTTCCGATCATTGGAAGGTTGTCATTTCCAGTCGCCGTGAATCGCTGGCGATCATACGCCATGTCTCACATATTTCCTTGCGCGTCTCTGTCCTAGGTTCATTAGTTTTGCATCATGTCTCACTGCTCTCGGGTTCTTGCATCTATGGTCGGCGACTAACATTGTCTTTAAAGGGCCCGACAGGAGGCCCTCGTGAGGATAGGGTCACCGGGCTTCTGGTCCGATCCACGTCAACCAAATGGTCGTCAAATTCAGTGGTTGCCGTGGATGCAGGTACCCTTCTGTGCGGAATCATCCACACACTGGAGCCATGTGATAATAACCAGGAGGTGTCAACCCAGGGCCCATTTGCTGGTCTTCAGCTACCTCACAACAATGCCCCGGCAAATGCCACGCACGTTTTCCGGAACATCATTGGGGCTGTTCTCATAACTCACCCTCATCTTGACCATCTTTCGGCGTTTGCCATAAACACGCCGGTTCTAGAGGCAGGAAGTGGAGCCAAGGCCCTGGCTGCGTTGCCGTCTGTAGTGGCGGCAATCAAAACTCATGTGTTCAACGATGTGATCTGGCCTAATCTATCTGACGAAGATGGCGGGGCGGGCCTCGTTACTTACCAGCGTCTGGTAGAGGGTGGTAATCCTATGATGGGCCGCGGCGATGAGAAAGGATATACGCGGGTCTGCGAGGGCTTGTTGGCCATGTGTCTCGGCGTCAGTCATGGGCATTGCAAACAGCGGTTCATCGCTGAGAATGACATTCAACGCCGGATGAGCAGCGTTACATATGGGAGTTATCCTCACTCCTTTGAAGAACAAGCGGGAACAGGGTGAGCCACGCATTCTTGGTCTAACAAATGGTAGACTAATTTATCAGGATTGTCTCTCCAGAGCTCTCTCCGGGTCTTCGCGTTCCTGGGAAAGAAGGATGGGCCACGGTCGAGAGTTCTGCCTTCTTCATCCGTGACCCTGCGACGAAGAAGGAGGTCATCATCTTCGGTGATGTCGAGCCCGACTTTGTCTCGTTCGATCCGCGCAACTCACGTGTTTGGGAGGCCGCAGCCCCAAAGATTGTTACCTCCCAACTGCGAGCAATCTTCATCGAATGTTCATATAATGACGATGTTGAAGACGCCTCGCTATACGGCCATCTTTGTCCTCGCCATCTGATCGGGGAACTAGTTCAATTGGCCGAGAAAGTGAACGAGCTTAAATACCCAGAATCATCAATGGCTCACAAGCGCAAGCGTGCCAGTGCCCCTGAGGTGCTCACAGAACCAGCGCTGAGTCCCCGATCGAAGAAAGTCGCCCTAGCCGGTGAAAATGGGGTGCAGCGTCGAGGAACTGCTCGAACGAAACGCCGTCACACCCGTGCACGACTTGCCCTAGAAGACCCAGACGAAGATCCAGAAAGAGCAAGCCCAAGTCCTTTCCGCGCTCCCGATGACGTTGGCATTGATTTGGCACTTGCTGAAAGCTCGGACCCTCTTACGACACTTCAATGGCCGGAGCCACCTTTGGCTGGGCTGTTGGTCTATATCATACACATCAAGGAGAACATGTGTGACGGTCCACCCGCGGGAGAGCGCATATTGCGGGAACTCCAGGCTCAGGGGAAAGCTGCTGGGTTGGGATGTGAATTTCACGTTCCCACGCGTGGTGAAAGTATCTTCGTCTGAAGTGCGAGATCGCCGCTGCTTAAGTTATTCATTGAGCTATCCATGCCCGAGTGCCTGACTATCCCATCGTCAATGTTCTTTTTTTTTTTTTTTTGACTGGGGACAATCTGGGCAAATATCTGAAATGCCTCCATTATTATGGATTGTCACCGGGCTTCTAACGCAGTTATGCCAGCTATGTCAGTTTTCTCTTGTTATTTCTTGAAATATGCGCTTTGTCAGTCTGGTCTTTGGAAACAGGCGCATTGCATCTTTACTGCACTTAATGCAGTGGCGGAGTTTTGCCGGTTAATTGTCCATGCAGCACTCTAGAACGCGTTGCTTTCAGCCCGTGATTTGATATCTGTACATCTTTTGAGGTTTTGAATAGAAATGAACTAGACGGGCTTTAATTTGTATCTGGAAAACTAGCAGGGGAGAGTGGATGTCAAAGTCAAAATTTTCATGTACCTTCAAAAAGCTAGTCAACGATTGATTATTGGATACTAGATATGCCACGGTGTATAGACATGGTTAAGTTAATCAACTCCATCACCACCCCGTCCCTCTACATGACTGACAATCACCACTCCCAACCATTACATTATTGATGGAGTATCCATGAATCATATCAGATACCAACCAACCGACCTAGCACCAAACCTCAAAAGAAACGGACCTAGTTCAGTCCCGTCCAACCCACTATACCAGCCATTCTACAAGCTACAAGCTCCATCCATACTAAGAACGCATATTCTCAACAGCCTGCCGAACAACATCCTCCCAACCAGCGGGAACACTCAACCCGGATCCCGAAGCACCCTCCTCCTCCCCTGCATTCCCATTCCCATTCCCATTCCCACTGCCCATCTCCCTCCTCACCTCCTCCATCCCCAAAATCCCCTCCCCTTCCCTCGCAAAATCAATCAGATCCTCCTCCGTCCCCCACTCGCCCATAGCCATCAAGCCCACCGGAACCGCATCCCCATCCCCATCCTTCCCACAATACCCAACGGGACAGCTCACCGCCGGACACCCGGTAAAATTCGCCAACCAGACGAACTCCATATTCCTGACCGAAGTCTTCCCATCCGACAGCCCATTCACGAGATCCTTCTCCCCGCCTTCGATCTCCCACCCGGGGATCGGGGTTGTAGGTGTGAGGATCACCAGACCGGGGTGTTCCCGAAACAGGAACGCGAGATGAGCCATCAGCAGGTTACGGAGCCGTTGCGAGGCGAGGAAATCCTGGCCGGTGATTTGCCACATGCCCATTGAGACGAGGACTTTGTTGGGGGCCGTGAGCGAGGAGATTTGGGAGGGGGTGAGGCCGGAGGCGATTTCGTTCATGATGGTGAGGACGTGTGCGCGTTGGCCTTCGGGGAGGTAGGGGATATCGAGTTCGAGGATGGGGTGGTTGAGGGAGGTGAAGTGGGCGAGGGCGCGGTTGAAGATGCGGAGGACGGTGGGGTGCGTGTGGGTTAGCCAGGGGGGGATGATGCCGATCGGTCTGGGGGATCTTTTGAGGGAGAGGTGGGCGGCGAGTTCGGACAGGGGGGAGGGGAAGGTCGAGGAGAGGGGGTCTGCGGTTGCGGGGGCGGGGGTCGCCATTATGCGGTAGGCGAGCGCCAGGTCGTCGAGGTTGGATGCCATCGGGCCGTACACCCCTACTGTTGAGGCCAGGGAGACGGTCGGTGACCCGCTGACTCGCCCGTGCGAGGGCTTCAGTCCCCAGATTCCGCAGAATGATGAAGGGATTCGAATCGAGCCGCCCCCGTCGGCGCCGAGGGCGATGGGCACCAGGCCGGAGCTGACGGCGTAGCCGGATCCCCCGATGAGCCGCCGCAATAGTAGTTCGCGTTGTGGGGGTTTCGCGGCGTGCCGTAGTTGGGGTTGTTGTTATTGGTGTCTGGGTTGGGAGGGTGGTTAGATGTGGTGGGATGGGGATTGGGATGGGAATGGCTTACCCAGGCCCAGCTCATGCATGGTAGTCTTTCCAATGACAATAGCACCGGCTTCTTCCCATTTCCTCACGCACCAAGACGTGCCGCGGACGTCGCCGGTGAAATCCATCTTGCTGCCCAGTGTCCGTCGGTATCCCTCCATGTGCACCTCGTCCTTGATGGCAACGGGGATGCCATCCAGCGGACCGAGCGGACATCCATCCTTGTATCTCTGCGTCGATGCCTCCGCAGCCGCGCGGATCCTCTCGACCTGCGAATCCAGAAAGGCGACCGAGTGCTTGCCCGGCGGGCTGGCATCGCGGCGGATCAACGGGAGCAGGGTCTCGACGAGGACGATGGGAGTCAATTCTCCGGACTTGTACAGAGCAACGTAGTCGGCTGTGGTATAGTATCCGACATTTCCTGTCCGTTTCTCGGTGGGCACGGGCAGCGTCGCTGGGGATGTGGTGGATGTGGTATTATTATCGGTGTCGAGGACGGGGATCACGGTGGGATCGTATCGCGGGGAGTACTGGTCGAGAGGCAGATCGCGGATGATGCTGAAGCCGGCATTGCGCCAGAAGTAGTTCTGGACGAGGCCGATGTTCTGGATGCTTGGGTTGGAAGTCAGTTGTGTGTGGTCTGGGGGGGTTGGTAGTAAGGTATGAGGATGAAGTGGAAGAGTGGAGTGGAGCGTACAGGCTGGCGCCGATGGCCAGAGGAGTGCCTCGGAAAACAGGAATCACCTGGTCCTCATTCTTGTACGGCACGGTGGGGCCTTGCCGGACCTCCGGGTAGTAGAAAAACCGAGCTTTCTCGCCCATGATGCGGTAGATTGTGGGAACTCTCTTCCGTATAGGCGCGATGGTGGAGAGCTGGAATTGGAAGATGATGGACGGAAGAGCCAGTCTGAGAGGAAATGGGTTGAGTAGCTAGCTGGTCGGTCAGTCAGCTGGGCGCGTCCCCGCACGAGCTCTTAAGCCGCGGTTCATCCCCGTGATTATACGGAGCTGCCACATGCACAACTACGGCCGGATTCTAAGGGGTTACAAGCTAGCTATCTGTACAAGAAAGTTTTGTGTGAGAATTTGTCATCTAGATACATCTCAGAAGGCCAACTTGATGTCAGCCCGGTCTAGTCCCAGCGCAATGCCGGTGAGAACCGCCGCATATCCGACCAAAATGGCCAGGGCGGGCGCCGTGTTGACATCGAGCGTGGGGACGCTCAGATTCACGGCCCCCGTGAGCAGGTTGGCCACCAGGAAAATGGCCAGCCCGCCCTTGTTGAATGCCTTCATGATCCGGCTCGTGGCCAACGAGACCCGCTCCGCCTCACCATCCTTCCCCGACGTGCGATGCACGGAGGGGAAGAAGACCGTCTCCAGAAGACAGAACAGAAACAGCTGGGCGCTGTTGAAGGCGGACACCCACACCACGTAGGGCATGTTAGCCATGCGCCGCGATACGGGGAAGTTGGCGCCCCAGCCGAGCGCGTAAGTGGAATTGAGGACAAAGATCGCGGTCCATGAGAGGGCCTGGATACCCAGTGTCACAAGCACGCCCTTCCTAGCCTGCTGGGGGGTCTTGGTCGGGGACGTTCCGCGAGGAATGACGCGAATGCCAGTGGCACGGCCGGCAAGGAAAATCGCGAAGTAGCCCAAGAAAGAAAACACCCCTTCCCGGTTCTTGGACAGCAAGTCCGGCCCACGGGGAGAAACCAGGATGTAGCTCTTCAGGTCCGTCGACTCAAGAGCGACCTGATACAAGACCGCGACACCCAGTGAGAGAACCTCATACGAGGGGATAAAAATAGCCAACGCGTCAAAGATCTCCACGAACGGTGGCAACAGACCCAGCGTGAAAAAGAAATTCCAGTGCACACCGTATTCCGTCACATGCTCCGCGTAATCCAGGCCCTTTACGCTGTACAGCCGGATCAATCCCAGCACGAGTAGAGGCACCGAGTGCCGTGTAGACGAAACCAGTCGCTGCCATAGGGGAGCCTTTGGAGCCCCGTTGCTTCGACCCTTGAGCACCGAGCGTGCAGACACCACTCCTCCAGAGAAGACGAATGACCCAACGCCCAGATCCATCAGGGACGTGCCCCAGTTCTCAGCCTTAGCGAACCTGCGCGGGAACACGGGGAAGTCCACCGCCAGGATGGCTACGCAAGTGATGATCATCATGGCGGCACGATAGGTCGTAAGGAACGGGTGGATGGGCAGGGACTCAGCCACGCGCGATGCATCCTTGTCGGCGGGCTTTGCTTTCGGTGGGGGCTTAGCCTTTTGTTGGCTGCGGGGAGGTCTCGAGTTCAGGAGCAGGAGGAGGGCGGGGGCGATCAGGAGAAGGTTGAGTGTCCATGGTGCAGACGAATAGATGGTCGTGGCAAACAGAATGGCCAGCACATTGAGCAGAAAGTCGGTCGCTAGCGCGGCTGGGCTGGAGGGGGTGAAGAAGGAAAGGCGCGACTGGAGCGCGGACCAGAGCAGAACAGCGGCCTGGGAGATTGTGAAACCAGGCAAGGGTTAGCAACACTGACGAGACGGTCCAGTCCAGGCGATTCCATCGGCGTATCTATCTTACTTACCGGAGCGACCAGCGTCACGGCGTTAATCTCCAGGATGCTCCCACCGGACAGATTGGACACGAAGGCCTCTTTGCGGGCCTTGTAGCTCGAATCCATGCTGATGTAGCTGCTGCTTTAAGTCGGGCCCACCAATTTTGGGGGGGGGGGGAATCGGGGAAGGGGAGAGGAGGTAGAGCGTTGGAAATGGGCGAAAGTCAGCCTCGCATCAATGGCTTCGTCGGCATTGAGACGTGGCCGGTGCAGGAGGATGGAGAAATGGAGGCGATGACGATGGTTTGGTGGCCGAAAAGGCAAACTGCCAAGCTGGAGCTTGCGCCTTGATGCCTGACAGCCTTGGTACCTTATGGCCTTAGGTATCGAGGTACCGGGTATGGTAAACTGATTACTCCGGCCATCCCCATCCCCGCCTTTGGGGTTCTTTCCTGCTGGCTGCCCCTCACCAGCTCATCTCCAGCTCTAACTCTTCCTCCTCTTTCTCCTCCCCCTCTCCCCTCTCCCCCCGACCTCCCTCCCCATTCTTATCCTGCCCTTCTTCCCCTCAGCAAATCAAGCTTTGCCATCTTCCTTCTTGGCCCGCAGCAAACCGGACGTCTCCAGCATGTCAATGGTGACACCCCAGTCAGTTGACAGGATTCCCACATCAACTATACTATTATTCACTATTGGCCTGTCGTGTCCTTCGCTATCTATCTTTCTTGCAATGGTTTGTCTCAGGTTTGGCCCGATGGCCTAGTATACAGACAGTCCCGTTCGAAATATGGGCTAGACTCCGCTTCTTTCCTGACTGGGCGGTGGGTTCACCCGGATTCCAACGCCAGCAAGATGACAGGGTTGTGAGAAGAAATGAAGGGGTCACAGACTACAGAGACATACTTTTTTAAGATACATACCCTGCTGGCGTCAACTCAACCGGACTTCCAGACTCTGGGAGCCTCGGTCACGGTTGTTCCAAACGAAATGGAGGTTGGGATTCACCTCATGCCGAGGTCTCCACAGTAACTCCGATCTACGGAGCGCGTCCTTGGGCCGACTAGGTCCCATTAAGAGAAGGCCCCAGATAGTGATACACCAACTGAGATTATTGCGCACCATTACGGGGTACGGACGGGGTACCACTGGAGCAGGGATACGAAGGTGAGGGTCAAGGTTACGGACAAGCTCCGCGTCTTAGTGGTCATACGGCCTGCGCAGTAAGCTGCTTTAGCTCTGCATCATTGTTTCGAGCTCGCGCACACTACTGGCGGAAAGCAATACCGGCATACTATGCCGCTTCGTGCATCGTTCTGCGGCACTTTGGAGCGTCCATGATATTAGGGCGACGGACGATAAAAAAGTTCATGGGATGCATCAACCCAAAAGCCAATCAGTCGGTGGGAAAGATGACCACCGACAGTTTTGAGTAAAGCACACAGCTATTTCCCGTGCTGATGCAGCTAGGGACCATGATATGCAGCTATCAGGCCCACCGTACGGCTTTTAGTAGGTCTTGCCTTACAGTAGGAGATTACTTTTTAGGGCCAACTCGGCCGATGACCGACGCGCTGTTTGTTACTCCGGGGTACATCGGCGCCATGGATCTGCCCATCTGCCCTTGGGCATTCATCACGTTATCTATCTAGGGCCCGATGAGTCGAATCATCGAATGGTGTACCTGGATCCAAGGTTCTACGCCAAACCAACGTCACTGGCGCGCCTCCAACCCTGGAGAATCGGAGGCTGATGGCGAAAAGAAAGAAAGGGGGAGGGGGCGGGGAAAGAAGGAAGGCGAAGCGAAGGAAAGTAAAGGGAAGGTGGGATCCAAACTCCATTTGAACCTTTACGAAAAAACCGACTAACCTGAGATGGCAGGCACTGTGTGCGTCATGCAGCAGCGTTCAGCTAGCCTTTTCTTCCGCGTCCAGGGCCCTCTCGGGTTCTCCAGTAGTGTAGATACTGCAAGTCCTTGCCTGGTCGTCGTGTTTACATTTTACTTTTGTTCCCTTGGCTCGAGGTACCGCCCACGATTATCCTGATTGATTGATTGATTGATTGATTGTGTGCGCGATAGTCTTCTTCCGCCGTGTTCTACGGGGCTTCTTCGACAGAGTTCTCCCGACACGAGAGTCCCATTATTCCTCCCGGCATTCGACTTCGATTGGTTCCGTAACTCAGAAAGGCTTTCTGGTCTGAACCTCCGCTTGGTTCAGCAAATCGTAATTAGCCCTGGCGGAGGGCCAGGCGGTGGACCCGATCTACTTTTACCTCGTGGCGAGCACCACTCAAACTCTACCATGGTTCTACTCTCCTCTCAAACCGCTTACTCAGTTTTGACTCACTTTCCGAATCTTAACTCCTAAGCCCTTGTCCCTCAGATCCGAATTAACTCACTGTCACGGAGATTCCGAAGGTCGGGGTTCGGATATGGTCGGCCAAACTGGGAAATTACGGGAGATCTTTGGATTCGTTAGTACCAAGGCAGAGATGTGATGTGTGCAAACCGAGGCTCTTGTGGGCTCAGTAGCGGACGCCAGTCTTTGGGAAAGCCTGGTTAGGTCCTTGTATCTGATCAGATCTTCGAATTCCTCGGATCGCGCATTCCATGCAAGAACCGCAGATCACAGGTCGGTGGTCGGTGGTTAGGTACTTTGTCCCGTATGCACGCTACACGGTGTACCACCCCCAAGCCCGCCCACTCCTCATGGTCAGATCCGCTTGGCCCTGCTAAGAGCTAACCCTTAGGGACTAAGTACGTCGCCCTCGGCATTCCCCCGTCCCGTCTGCATTGCAGCGGTCACGACTGCCAGTTTTCGATTTTCGGTCAGTTTGTTCTTTGCAGTCTGAACTCTGAACCAGCCCTGACCTGACGCCAAGGCTTTCCTCCAGCGGTCGAAACGCCATGAGGCTTCAAAATCCGAACCTATCCAGGGAACCCCCCAGCTTTTATTATCTTACTCGCTTAAACAATGTATCCGCTGCTGAATCGGGCCTGCCATGTGGCCCGGAAGGGCTAAGATCCACCGAATGGTTCCTAAGTTGTCCATCTGCCGTACGAGGGACCTGCTCGCCAGATAGGCAGACACGAAAATCTGTGGTGTGGGCAGCACCCCCATGGCCGGGGGGGAGGGAAGGGTGACTGTGACAACCTGCCAGGATCCCCCATAGATGCATGCTTTTGAATCCGAGAATCCGACACAGCAGCGCCGGCACTTGACTGGGGACAACCAGCACTTCCGCCACTCACGCAACCAGGCCAGCCCGTCCAAGGTGTTGAGGGCCGCCCCAAATTGCGAATTAGAGCGTGCCTGTAGGTCGGGAGGGTCGGAAGGTGCTCATAGCGCTACGCCGCCGACCCATAGTAATAGCCTTCTTGAAGAAAAGCACTTCACCACAACCGCGGCCGTCCCCCCTTCCTCCAGGGGGTATTCTGTCCTGGGCTCGCTCATTGGCGCGTCTCAGACCCAAAAGCGGCCGTTGGTAACGGGGTGTAATAATGTTGAGGAGCTGGGACTCGAAGCTTGCCCGGGAGACGATACATGCGCGTGCGGGCAGCGGCGATCTGGAGACCGAGCCAGTGCTAGATCCTCCCAGACCATACGTGCCTAATTCTGCGCGAGTCTGACTCTACTGGAATGGGTCCTCGCAGCCATGCCCAAAATGGGCAGTTCCCTGATTCCTTTCCTAACGCTCAACAAAGATTATTCCTACTACTATCTCTACCTACACGACCACTTACCACCTACGTATCTACCCGCCCACCTCGTTCCTATCAGGCGGTCTCTCTCCGTCCCCTTGGGTATATATACCTAGTTTAGCGCGACCCACGCACTTGGAACGGCTATAGTCGCATCTTGAGAGGCGGCCTTGACTTCTCTGGTGGCCCACGCAAGCCTGGGATGCATCACGTTTCCCTCGACATTCTTATCCATCGCCAACGACGGACCTCTTCTGTCCTTCTTCACACACCGTCGATCCGGGTACGAGTTGGTGCACAGGATGAGCCCTACCCCGGAACCGCCGCCGATAAAAAAACGCGAGTCTCGTGCTGGGGCGCGTAAAGTGACGTCGCTCTCTGCCGAGCAGCTGGAAAGGAAGCGCGCCAACGATCGGGAGGCTCAGAGAACCATTCGCCAGCGGACAAAGGAACATATTGAACGTCTGGAGCACCAGGTAGCCGAGTTGAAGGCCAAGGGGGATCGATTCGACGATGTCGTCCGACAGAATGCTGCATTGGAACATGAGATCCGGGCGTTGAGGCACCAGCTTGCCATGACCGGCAGGCAGGGATATCCAGGCTTAGGTTGGTGTCAGGCTCTTTTTCGCTCGCAAGGGCTGCGGTTAAATGCTGATGTTTTGTTTGTTACGGTTGAGCAGAAGGATCCTATAGCAATCCCTCCGGGCCTATGCTCCCCTCTGCACAGTTTGCGGAGCCCTTAGGAGTGAACTCAGCCTCGAGAACGCCATCAGCACTCTCGACGTCCAGTCGAGTCTCTATGGGGACCGATTGGCCGCCCTATAGCTCAACACGGTCTCCGTCACTTTGCGATTCCACCGAGACGAGTTACGGGAACCGAGTAGAGCCATACGTTTTTGAAAATCAACTTCAAACACCCAACGCTATCCCCGTCGCACCGCCGCCGGTTGCTTACAATGCATCTGTGGTCGCTCAACATCAGCCACATGATCCGGCGTTTCAATCATATCCGCAGGGGTACCACGCTGGTGCCAGCAGTCGTGGACCGGGGGAAGAACTTTCCCAGAATCCCCAGCAACCAGTCCCATGTATGTCCAACCAGCGGTCTATGTCAGTACCACCGGTACCACCGGAGAGGGGCCCTGGTGGGTATCCTGTTGTTCACGCGCCACAACAGTATCACCAACACCCACTTCCACCCCAGGCGAGGAACGACTACAGTTATGGCTGGGCCCCGCATCAGTCTTGATTCTGCGGACTGGCAGATGCGACTCTAGAAGAAATTTCTCTCGTATGATTCGAGGCAGCAACCGTTTGCCGAAAAAGCTGGCGAACGTTCAGGATAATCATCAGGCGCAATACTCCCTAATCAGGGTCATGGTGGAGGCATATACTATCTTGGACCGGGGGAATTAAGGCACCGGCTGGGGTGTTGTCCACTCGTTATGTGGATTTTCGACTGCGGGGTGACCACATCCTATCATAGTACCGGGTTTTCACGCACAGTACTTTGGTGGACGGCCTACTGCAACCGCCCTTACACGGCCATCATCAACATCAGCGACAGTGATAGGCTTTCTCACTGGCTCTGACGATTGATGCACCGCGGCAGGAGCTGGGCCGGGCAGATCGGATCGGCTCTCGGCTCGATTGGCACCGCAACACTAACAGAGAAATTGCGTGACCCGCTGGGCGCTGGGGGTCGGTTGCCTACGAAAGAACGCCCATTGGGGCTAGGCTTGCCAATGGAATTACGTTCATGATTCAGGAAGCCCTGTGGGGGAAGAAGTTCAAAATGGAGACGGGGAGTCAAAGTGTGTTACTACTTGCATGATAGAGATCGATAATCGATATATCCCAAATCCACTTGGTGGGTTTCAAAATAAAGAAGACCATCTAGATACATCATCGTGACGAGACCCAATAGCAATTTTTTTCCACCACCATCTACCCTTCTCAGGGAATCCAGCTGCTAGATACCCCTCGACGCCCCGAGACCCGGCCCAGCTTACCGGCGCCCCAGCTATACTGAACGTAACCACGATTTGCCGCGCCCTCCCATTCATGCTCGGCACACGAGTGCCGTGACTGGAAGACCAAGATCGGAACTTTATTATCTACCGAACTGGGCATCATGATTATCGTAATGATTGGCAGCATCGGGCAACTCTGAACTCAGATCCCAACCCCAACTCCCAGGGGCCCCCGCCCCCCAGCCAGCCAACCTTCTAGTTCTGGATTCTGGAAGCTAAATACGGAGTAATGGATGGATCGATACGGAGCCATGCATACCCATTCATTTCCTCCAGTCCCAGCTAGAAAACTCAAAGCCCTGTGGTTCTGGTGCTGGCTCGGTTCGGTTAGTTCGCGGCCCAGTGATCATCACTCGGGCGAGATCTTTTTTAACTAGTATCTAGGACGGAGTAGTACGGAGTACTTTGGATCGGATCCAAACAATAAACACGAGAGCAACAATGGGCCGGATTTGCCGACTCCTTTTCGTCCAATAAGGTTTGGTCGGTTGAGTTTTCCCCCTTTATTATTGTTGTTTTCTCGTTTCTCCTTCCTTGCTGTGTAGTTCATTGTGGTGTACGATGGTCTCGTCGACAGAGTAGACGCTAGACGCTAGGCGCTAGGAAGATATTTTCGGAGATCCGATTCCCGTCGGTTGACGACAGACATTATTTATGAAAGACTGGGTTTGACCCGCTGAGTCCACATTTACTTAGTATTTACTACGTGCGACTGTGGTTCAATGTCTATGGTGATTTGGAATTATTCTTGGAAACCACAAATTAAAGCAATCGTGATGATGATAGTGCAAACAAGATAAGAAGATAAGAGAAGCAGCAAAAAAAAATCAAAAGAATAAAGAATAAAGAAGCATGTCAGAGGTATACCTTATAAATATCATTTCTTATTCGGTACGTCAATAAAAGAGCTGGATAGTAATATTAAGCGGCCTTGGCTCGGCAGTCAACCAAACCCGCTGCGGGATCAATCACACCGAGGGAGGTGGAAGGAGGAGGATTATCAGAGAAGATACGGGGTAGAGAGGGCTCCTTTCAATCTGGACTGAATCCTCCGCGTTGCTTTTTGATGATGTGTGCTCGCTGCTGTGCTGTTTGCCTCTATTCCTGACGGGGAGTGTGTCTCGACCACTCATATGCTGCCGTTGTCGATCGGTGGCGGTGCGAAGTGTGATGTGATGAAATGTGGCGCAGCCCCCCGCCAAGAACGCCACGGCGGTTATGTCACCGGCCGCCATCCATTCATCATCCATCCCTCATGGTCTGTCCCCCAGGCACGGCCGACCTGGTATTTATGGGCCTGTCTGCCTGTCGCCTGGGCGCTGGTCCCTCTTCTCTTCCCTCTTTCTTCTCCCTCTGCTCAGATGATTTACATCGCTGTCCTTGTCTCTACCACTTCTTATACTTCCAGTTTGCGGCTGCGCAGTGTTATCTATCGGCTTCCCCGCAATAACCTCCCCCCACTTGGCTGACAGCAGGGTCCTGTTTAGCCCTTACCTGATTGTTCGTGCTAGAAACAGTGATGGCATCCACCGTTCACGATCCGCGTCTTCTCTACAGTATCAACAACATCCGTGCATTCCATCTGCAAAATGGCGAAGAGTCAGAGCTCACCCCGTCCGGTCCTCAGACCCTTTCGCTCCTGATGGTCCCCACTCGGACCACCATGGCTGAGAATCTCTCTATACCTCCCCCTGAGACCTCTTCAGAAGAGGACTTCTACCTCCACCTGCACCTACCGCCGGAGCTGGACATTGCACTCCCTGCAACCACCCAAATCTTTCACCAGCCTCCCCATAGCTACTTGATCCCCCGGTGGGATCTGGGCCCTGACGCGGGCGCGTTCATTCGCATCCAGTTTCCGGGAATTGGCACCGGTCCTAACCAGGTGACGCAGGATGATGTGGATACCTTTGAGACGATTCTGGCTCAGTGCACGGCGTTCCTGGAACGCGCACCCCCGCCAGATAACCATGCTCCGTATAACCCTGCAACGTATGCGCCGGGGCAGGGGTATGTTTCCTCCTCCAGTCCTGACCGAGAGGATCCACATGGGCGGATTGTTCTGGTGGACGAGGAGGATGGCAGCGTGGTCGGGGAGATGGAAGGATACGATGTGATCGAGAAACCTGGTGTCCGACCCGGTTCGAAAAGTATGTTTGTCCCCGGTGTCTACTAAATTGTGGGCCGTATTAACGATTCTCGTGATTAGGACCCGTTGAAGTCCAGCTTCCCTCAGAGGGTGAGGGCAACCAGGTCCAGATCAGCAACGTGTCCGAAGAATATCTGCGAATGTCCCGTCATCCAGCTTACAGGAACTCAACCCTTGTCCAGACGTCAGCGTCAGCCTCTCGCTTGATCGTAACCGGGTCCTCGTACATCGCCAACGCCATCGCCAGTGGAGCGGATAGTTTCATGAGAAACACCAAGCCCAATCCCAAACCCATGACATTCTCCGAGACCACACACTCGCGCATCAGACGGGTCGGTACATTCTCGCAGGGCGCCGCCGACCTATCCGCCAAGACGGTCGGTTCGGTAGGCAAGTACGCGCAGAACATCGGCGCCTCGCTGTCCCGGCGCAAGGAGAACGGACAAAGAGGCGTGGACAGAAACGGAAACCAGTACCAGCCCGGCATCCTGAACCGATCTATGATCGCCTTCTCGACCCTGACCGACGGTATCGAGCAGGGTGCTCGCAACGTGCTCATCTCCGGCACCAACGCCGCCAGCTCCATGATCGGACATCGCTATGGCGACCAGGCGGGCTCCGTGGCCTCCGATCTGACTGGCGGGGTCAAGAACGTCGGACTGGTGTACATCGATGCTGCGGGTGTCAGTCGCAAAGCGATGCTGAAGTCCGTGGCTAGGGGCATGGTCGTTGGCCGCATGCGGAATGGAAGACAGGTCCTCGTCGGCACCGGCGACGGCGGCGATGTCCCCTCAGGAGCAGCGGCAGGCCCGAGTCGGACGCAGACATTTCCGGGAGATCGTGAGCCCGTCGTGAGACATCAGTCGCCAACTCACACGCCTCCTCCCGCGTATGGTGCTCCGGGCACGACCTCGCTTGGCGGTATATCGGGGGTATCTATGTCGGGGGGGAGACGTTGATTTACTCTGCGGGGTTCATCTGTTGTCTGCTATCTACTGCCGCGGTTAATGACTTTTTGTCTTGGTTTATGATGGATTTGATTTAATGATCTTATGACTTGATGCTCTCTGGGAATATATGGGTTACGCCGCAGTGTTGCTATGTATTCTGCTCCTCGAACTGACTTTGATATGTGTTGTAACAATTTCACTTCCAACTCGATTCCATATTACAATCTTCGTTGTTTTCTTGCTCTCCTTTTACGCAATTGCATACACACATTCTCCTGACAGCCTTCCATCCTCTTTCCTTCCATCTCCTTTTCCCTCCGTCTTTCCTCCAACGCCCACTCGCATCCGTCGATTAGGGAGTACCCACCTGCCCACTCCACCCGTCCCAAAAACTCATCCCGCACAAAAACAAAAAGTTATCGACAACAGTCGGATTTGAACCGACGCCTCCGAAGAGAATAGATTTCTAGTCTATCGCCTTAGACCACTCGGCCATATTGTCTTGTAGATGTTAGTCAGCTGGGTTTGTGGCTATGTAAGGCGGAGCTTAGTTTTGCAGGGATGTTCATCATGTAGTCTGAGGTTTGGGGGGTGAAGATGGTAAGTAAGGCAGGGGGGGGGGTGGTTGTGCTATGTTTTGATTGGGATTGAACTTATAGGTATGAAGGGTGTTCTTTGGAGGTTGGATGAGAAGCGAAGGTTCAAGGTATCAATTGAAGGTGGTGGTGGGGGATTGTGTGGTGGTTTATCAAGATGAGGATGAGGTTATATATCCGGTTGTGCGTGGTGAGGGGTTGGGGTGTAGAGAAGACACATCATGCAAAAGTACACACACACGCATACACACATTAATTCGGAACATATAACTGTTACATAAGTAATATCCCAGGATGAACTGGTATAGTATATGTACCATAGTAACTTTATCTATTATTTTCTGTCTTGATTACTTATTCACTAGATAGGCCTGCTCGCTATAATATTGTTCTATCAGTTAATACAGTCTCTTCTATATAATTAGCTATTTCAATTCACTTGACTATTCATCTCTATCTGTTTCTGGTTATTTTTCTTTCTAGATTTCTAGATGACATTCACCTATCTATTTCTCATCCTGATAATCAACAATCAACTATCCAAGTTAACACTACACTAAATCAAGTAACAGTACTAGCTCCTACTATCATCCCTATACTCCCAGCAAACACCACATCAGACAAACATCCACCAACGCAGCAAAAAAGCAAGTGACGTTATATGATATACACCCCCACCTCCGAGGAGATATGCACAAACAAACAAACAAACAAACCTCTCAACCCCAGGATCGACAGCTTGATGACGATCAACAGATCAACAGATCAGCCGTCGTACAATCGTGCACACATACATAAATATACGCCTATACAATATCCAGACACACAACATAACTGCACCATCCAATGACGAAGCAACAAGTAAAATTGGATATTTAAGCTGCAGGGATGGCTGAATTTGCTGCACCGGGTTGGTGCGCCTAGTATGTACTTTTCGTCTGGGATAATTGGGATGATGGTCGTGGTGTGGAGTGCATACTATGTATGTAGTACACAGGAAAATGAGATGAGGTGATATGAGTGCGGGTGGGGTGAGTTATTTGATGGCATGGGTACGGAGTACGGTGGAATGGGATGGGATGGGATGCAGGTGAGCTGCAGGTGGCTGGTTAAGTACATCTAGAAGTAACTAAGTACTACTGGATACCTTACCCATTGGGTCTCCCCGCTGTTTCTATGTGTGAATGGATGGATGGATGGATGGATGGATGCGCGCCTTGGTTGCCCTCTCTCGAAGCTGGACGGGACGCTGTAGTATATGCATTGGATAACGTTAGTAGTAGTCTCTACGAAGTACATAAATACATACATCGGCATATCCCCGATATCCACATATGAACACCAAGTCAGAGCCTCATATTAATAATAACAACAATAACATCAACAACAACACAAACAAGAATAAGAAGAAAAAAAAATGAATATCAAGTACACACCCCCACAACAAGACAAGAAAGGGGCAGTCACCCCAAGTCTCCAACAAGCTAATGGCTAGGACATAAGTAGTATAATACAGGGGGTCACGCAGATTGGGGCCGGGTTGTAGATATCGATCGACAGTTGATCTGTTGCCAGATCACACCTGCATGCTAGCTTCCCCCTCTCTTAGTCACCTATCTAGCTCGATATAAGCCGAGTACATGTGTGTAAACTGTAAAAGGCCATTCATCCATGTCAATCACCAACAATCCGCGCTGAAGCTGCGCTGCCGAGATGGAAAGCACCATGCTCAGGCTCTATCTATTTACGCGCTGAAGATAGGATGCCAGATTCGGGATCCCGACCAGGGTCTGTCGCACTCGAGAATCATAAGTTGGGTAGTGATTAGTCCACGCCAAGTCGACCGGTCAGTCGATCGTCTATACTTATCTAATGTATATTGCACTGGCAAGGTGTTGCATTGGCAGGAACTCACTCAGCCAGGCAGTCTTCCATGCGCATACGTCTGCACCCGTCCGTTTCCATGGATACTTCCTGTGACCCCTGTCGCAGGGACAATGTGGATTGTGATGGCGAGCAGGAAGGTTGCAGAAGCCATACGCTAGCCAGGATAGGGAAGGGAAGTAAGTAGGTGGCGTGCGAGTCGAGTCCGCGATAGCCTGTCCGTCAAGTCAGGACCGATCGGGGCCGAGGGGGTGGTGGTGACCCGTCGTAGTGCAAGTATCTGTACCTAACTACCGGTAGGAGGTAGGTAAGTAAAGTATCCAGTACCTATGGTGCTCAGGCCCGAGAAAGGCTGTCACTGAACGATAATGTTGGTGAAGATCTCCCCGACAACGGTAAAGAGACAAGGGACCCAAAGGATACAATGATTGAATATAGTGCTAGCTGGATAGTCGAGGACAATCACCACAGTCCTCCGTACATACAGTAGTGACTGACGGCGCAAACTTACATGCACCTACAGTGCAAATCTCCGAGTATCGCGATGCCGGGGTAACGAACCGGTCCTCATGCGGAGCGGACGGCGACCAAACTAACTAACAGCCATTGCAGTCGCACACAGATACGGAGAGTTACACCAATAAATAAGTCTCCTTGATTGAGCATGGACCTTGCCGGGGGGGGGTATCCCTGTCGGCGGTTCTATTTTTGAGGGTTGGCCCCCAGGCCCCCAGGCCCCCTCGGGTAAGACGACTAGACTAGGCTTGTCAGCTTTTAAATTAGCTAAATGAGCTGCCCCGTAGTATCTAAGCTGTAAGCAGGAAGCAGCTGCTATCTAGTCTAGTAGTTTCATCTGGTGAGACGGAGTATCGACGATGTTAATATCGGAATCCGTCCAGGCGCCATCCGCTTGGGTTCGGGCTGGTTGAGATGGGCGCTAACTGGGATGGGATGGGATGGAATCGTTGCGGTTGGACAGGTCGTATCGACTGGCCCGTCGGATGCATTGAACACCGTCACTGAGAAAAAGGCGAGACGATAAGATATCCGCCAGATATGACCCATAAGTCAAGGGATAACTATCGCACGGAAATAAGCTCGACCTGGAGAGACAATAATTGGACCCTTTGAATGGCGGACACTCATCCCTACCATGGATGAGCCACGGCTTGTAGGGAAGTGGCAGGGAGTGAGTAGAGATTCATGGAGAAGAGAGTTTGTGCCCCTCCCTCGACGGACGTGTGGCTTCCTAGCAGCTACTCCGTAGCTAGTCAGAAAGCTACAGAAAGCTACCTCGATGGAGTTAAGCTAGCTGGTACCTAAGGCAGGTACCGTCACCGGCGTGACCGGAGGGACAGGATACCTGAGGTGTCCAGGCCCGTAATCCTCCGGCGGCCAATCAGCGGGCGCGCACAGGCGATGACTGCCCGGTTAGTCGCTGTAATGACGATCGGCTGCCCCAGCGGCTCTAGCGACCTTTCCGTCCCGGGTTGAAACAGTGGTTCGATGCCCCTGATGACTTGGCGCTCTCTCATTAATCGTGTGAATCGTGATTGTTCCTGCCCAGCTGCGTGCGGCTTCTGTCGGTCTGTCGGTCTGTCTGTCGGTCTGTCGGCTGCTGGCTGCTGGCTGATACCGGGTCTGGTGATCAGGGATCATGGGCTCCCATCGCATGACGGTCGGTTCTGATCAGGATCTGATATCACCCAGGTAGCCCGTAGTAGTTAGTATACGGGCAGAATGACAGGGAGCTCGATTCAATCCTGCCGAGGCAATGTCTTCTTGAGAGAGAGGAAACCCCGACTCGACTCCTCTCCTCCAAACACCAACGGCCGCCGATGACTTACCCGCCTAGGCAAGGGACAGCACCACCCACGTTCACGTTCAGGCCCTTGTTTTAGTCGTCGTCCTATTGGGATCGGGCCTCTATCGCCGGTCGCCTGCCCTTCCAGGCCTCCTCCCGAAACCTCATAACCGCGACAAAAAACAAATTCCAGCCAGGCAGCATGTCGTCACCTCGTGAGCTCTGCATATCCACCACCCTACCCACTCCTACCCAGACAGGTACAGACCTCATCTCCACTAACGTTCTAGAGTCCGTTGCCCATCCCGCTTCGTATAACCCTACCCAGTCGCCGTCCCTCACTCCCAGAATATTTCCGAGATCCAATGCATCGGACGCGCCTACTTACGAGTTACGTAGTCCTCGTCCTCGTCCTCCCAGCTCTCCAGCGAGGCCGGACTTGATAATTCCTTCTGCTCGGCAGATTGGGCTGCTTTTCTTTTCTCCCTTCCTTTTATTTTCCTTTTTCTTTTTTTTTCTCTCATTTGACTTTGACTTTAGTTTAGCCTTCAGGCGTGGTCGTCTGGGGTTGCTGCGGCTGCTGCTGCTGTTACTGCTACTGCTGGCGCGCTGCTGCTGGGCTTTGAAATTAGGGCGATGATGATTATTCCTGGCGAAGAGATCCGACCCGTTTGACCCGCTTTTTGGCTTTCCCCGGCCAGCACAGCAGGGCGAGCTGGTGACGGAGATGTTGCCCGTTCGTCTCCTCATGATTCCATAGTGGTATGCGATAGTGTTAATTCGGGATCCCGTGTTATTATTATTGGGAAGAGCAACGGTTGGAATCATTGCCCAGTTCCCATTCCACTTTCACTCCAGTTTTCCGGTTCCAAGTTACTGGAGCTGTGGTGCCCCGGGAGAGGCCGACTCACTAAGGCAAGGTAAGGTAGTAATCCGATCCTGTAGGTAGTAAGGCAGGCACGTAGCCTGGAGGGCAGTTAGTGGTTCGTTAGCAGGGCATTCTGATTATTATTGTTATTTTATTATTATTTTATTATTCTGGTTCTTATAATTATTATTATGCTCAGATTGCTTCGACTTGCTCCTCCGGTCTGCTTCCTCTTCTAGTCTTACCTACCTACTTCTCCTCTCTCCTCACCATCACCATCACCATCACCATCACCATCACCATCTCCTCCCAGTTCTATCTTGCTTGCTCCCTTTCCTCGTTCTCCGTTTCCCTCTGTCGCCTTCCCCTTCTGGTCGGATTCCCTTTGTACCAGTCGGATCCGAGGCTGGCAGTGGCAGGAGTAGTTCCCCTGGGTCGGTGAACTGCTTCGTTCCCGTCCATCTGTTCCCCTCGCGCCGCCCCCCCTGTCTGTCCGCTCCCCGATCTAGCAAAGGCCGGCCTCCACTCACCACCCCTCTCTCTCTCTCTCGCTCACTTGCTCTCTCTCCCTCCTCTTGTTTCTTGTCGCTGCCGCTACCGCTACCGCTGCGCTTGCTGCTGGCTGCTGCATCTTCAATCCCATCCCCCCCTCCCCTCCCCTCCCCCATCTCCCTCCTCGTCGATCATGCTCCTCAACGCAGCCTACACTCTGCCTTGTCAATTCCCCCAGAAGTGTTGAGTCGGTGCAGCATCTGGGCCCTTCACCAGCGTGAGACACCTCTCGTTGCCCCCGTCCTGCTTAACACCCCGTGGCTCGTGGTTCCAATTCGCGTCTTCCGAGGCTGCTGCTCTTCCCTTCCCGCCCTGATCTCCAACTCCTCACTCTTGCGAGCCGCAGACTCACCAACGCAACCCATACCTCATCCGGGTCGCGATTCTTGGTGGGCAGACTGGAAGGACAATTTTCAATTCTGCAGCGCAGATACTCCCATCCTTCTGGCTGCGACCCGAAAAAAAATTATTCACCAAAAAAAAAAGGAAAGAAAACCGACGTTCAGAGCAACAATAAGCGGGTCCGTTTTCTTTGACAAACGCGATCTTCGACTATTGCCTTTGCTTTTTTTTGTTCTTTGAGTTGCTGACGTTTCGCGGCCCTAATCTGGCTGGTTTGTGACCTGGTGTCTTCTTATACCAGCAGCCACTGCTTTCGTCGGTGATCCGTACTTGTCAGTTGTGACCCTCGCCCACGCCCATCCCTTATCGGCGGTTCGAATGGAACCCCCGATCACTGAGACTAACTCGACTACAGCTCAGCTGCCCGACCGGACGGACCCTCTCGCCCCGGAACACTCGGTCACCATCCCCTAAAAAGAAACAGAAAAATCCCTTCGTCTCAGATACCCTCTGGAGGGCTTTGACGCGTCGGACTTTCCACCCGCCGATCGCAATTGCTTGAATCAAGCGAAGCGAGGTGATCGCTCATCTTCCGTCCCACGTCTGCCTGAAGAGGCTGTCTTGGACCGTGAACGCAGCAGTTCTCCCTCCCAGGCTCTGCTGCGTCCTCCGTAAACGAAGGTACGTTGCTTGTCGCTGCCCTCATCTTAGTCTACATCTGTCCGCCCCTTCACTGTCGCTGTGACTTCCAATGCCCCCCCGCACCAACTCCGCCGTTCAACAATGCGCCGCATCGCACGCACGACTCCGCCCGAGGCGGCGCAACGTTCAGCATTCCCGAGCGGGCCACACCGCGCCAGTCTCGACATCGCGCTAATCTCCAGCAGCTAGCCTCCCTTTCGGTCCCGACAGCTTCTTCGGCTATGAACGACCCCCAAACGCAGTCCCTGCCATACACCACCCATGCATCCTCCGCCGTGACCCCCGCAGCGACTTCCTCCGAGCAGGACCATCATCGCTCCCCCGTCTACCCCGATCTCCTGGGCGGCCCGCCCATCCCCCCGCCGAGGACCTCGTCAACCCACCGGAGTCACCACGGTTCGAGTGCACGACCCGCGGCGTCCGGAGAAAAGAGCTCGAGCTCGCGGCATGGCAAGAACAGGGCGGATGATCGGAGCACAAACCACCGGGAGACAAGGGACGACGATACCCATTATCCACACATGGAGGAGCAGGAGATCAGCGCTCTCCATTCGGATGAAGCCATGGAGGGCCCCGGCACGTTACCCAAGGAGTCCAGTTCGGTGATCAACCAGGTCCTGGTGAGCGATCCGTCGGTGGATATCGAGCGGGAGCAGGTGCGGCAAGTTGGAACATCGGCGTCCCCGTCGACGGAGAGTGCTCCGGCATCCGGGCTGGGTTTGGTCGGGAGTGACGGTGTGGATGATGGAGGTCGCGGAGGACTGCGAAGTCGGCACGACTACTCGGAGCAAGACGCCAAGCGCAAGGAAACGACGTTCGGGCAATATATTCTCGGGCAGACGCTAGGAGAGGGCGAGTTCGGAAAGGTGAAACTCGGTTGGAAAAGAGATGGCACCATCCAGGTGGCTATCAAGCTGATTCGCCGGGAGTCGCTTGGATCGAACCCCAGCAGGTTACCCAAGATCTATCGCGAGATCTCGATTTTGCGGGAGCTGGCTCACCCGAACATCGTCCGGCTGCATGAGATGGTCGAAACGGACCGGCACATTGGAATCATCATGGAGTATGCCTCTGGAGGCGAGCTTTTCGACCATATCTTGAACAACCGCTATCTCAAGGACAATGCCGCCCGGCGCCTGTTCGCGCAACTCGTGTCCGGCGTTGGCTATCTCCACAAGAAAGGAATCGTCCACCGAGACTTGAAGCTGGAAAACTTGCTCCTGGACCGGAATCGCAACATCATCATCACCGACTTCGGGTTTGCCAACACCTTCGACCCGATTGACGAGCTGGGCGACGAGATTGAATACAATCTGACTAACAAAGACTTTGTGAAGAGAATGCGCCTCGACAAGCCGAACTCCAAGGGCCTACGACGGGGTGATCTGATGCAGACCAGCTGTGGGAGCCCCTGCTACGCCGCGCCGGAGCTCGTGGTAAGCGATTCGCTCTATACCGGGCGCAAGGTCGATGTGTGGAGCTGCGGTGTCATTCTGGTGGGTAGCCTACAATTCCTATAATTTCCCCCACAATGTCCGTTATGTGAGCCGAGTGTTGACCGAAACAGTATGCCATGCTGGCGGGCTATCTGCCGTTCGATGACGATCCAGCTAACCCGGATGGTGACAATATCAACTTATTGTACAAGTATATTGTGACTACACCGCTGACATTCCCCGAATATGTGACCCCCCACGCTCGCGATCTCTTGAGACGCATTTTGGTGCCAGATCCGCGAAAGCGGGCGGACCTTTTCGAGGTTGCCCGGCACAGCTGGCTGAGCGAGTACTCGCACATCGTATCGCACATCACAAGCAGCACAACCAAGGTTTCTGACATCGCTACAGCCACGGTCGCCCAGGGTATGGTCCCCTCTGGAAATCCTGCTGGCCCGGTCGCTGATTCGGCTCGCACAGAACCGCACAAAGAGGCACCGTCGCTGGCCCGGAGCGCATCCGTCAGGGAACCTCCCAAGGCGTACCAGGGTAATGTCTCTTCTGTTGGAGGACTCATCCACCATGCAGGGGACATCTCGCAAGAACAAGCGAGCGAACGGTCCAAGACCCCCCGAGACACGAAACGACGCACCGTCCAGGTCGAATACGTTGCTCCCCAGTCGCAGACGACCCGGGGCGAAGTTCCTGCTGGCGCGGAGTCTGCGGACATGCCTGGGCCGTCCGAGCCTCGGGCAACGAGAACAAGATCGAACAGCCGCGGCATGGTGCCCAATGTGCAGCCAAGCATTCTACCCCACGATGTGCACGGCGGGTCAAGCGTGCGGACAGAAAAGGCAGCCGCTGGCTCGGCGCCGGCGCCTGTGACAGTGCCTCACTTGCCTCGCTCGACTTCGGACACCACTGCCCCCCACGCAACCCGCCCAACCACCGGTGGCTCCATGGCCTCGTTCAACGCCGGTCGTTTGCCATCACGAGGATCCTATGGACAGCCGGTGGCCCCGACTGTGGCTGCGACCAACGCACAGGGTCGGCTGGCACAGCCTAAAAGCAAGCAATATGTCATCTCCGCTCCGATCCCGCAAGACCCGTCGCAACAGTCGATTGGCCAGCCGAGTACTCAGCAACTTCCGGCCAAGTTCAACACAACCCCCAGGCAAGAATCCCCCAAGGGTCACAAGCGATCCAACACGGTATCTAGCATTGGCGAGAAGTTGTTTGGACGGTCTGGTTCTATATTTGGCGGACGAGGACAGGCGGGTGGCCCTCGGCAGAAGAATGGCAAGCGTTACCCCCCCACGAGCATGAAGGAGCCATACGGCGGAGACGACACCCGGATGTCTGTGGACTCGCGGCGGTCAATTCAATATGGGTTCGGCCGCAAGACCAGCGAGACTGGTGCGGAAAACCGACCCCGGAGGTTCTCACTTCTGCCGCCGTCGTTCTCGCTGAAGGGCTTCTCTTCCAGCAGATCACAAACGCCTGAGGAAGAGTCGCAAACAGATCGCTCCACCGAGAACCGAGTCGAACCAAGCCCGTCAACCAGCGCCGTGCGCCCGCGCCCGCGCGCTACTAGCTACGGAACGCAGGATACCTTTGGCATGGCGCCCGAAGGAGTCCCAGGAGACGAGGCCGTATCCCAGGATGAGCCTGTCAACTACCAGGCACGAATCGACCAGCAATTTGCCGTGCTGCACTCGAATCAGTCCGGTATCTACCAACCGACCTCGTACAGTGCAACTTCGGCGGAACAAGTGTACCAAACCGACAACGACCACTACTACCGGAACCAGTACGCCAACCACTCGACACCTAACTACTCGGACGATTACGCTGGCCCACACGACAAAGGGCCACGGCCGTCGATGCAAGCCGGCCGACCTGGGAGAGGCACCGGTGTCTTGCCCAAAAACCATCGCAAATTCGCGGACGCCTACGAGTATGAGCAGAACCTGGCACACCGTCCCGGCAGCTCCGGCGCCGCTCGGAAGGTGATGGACTTCTTCCGTCGACGAGCCAAGTCGAGAGCCGGAGACGACCGGTAGCTTGGCCGAATAAACATTGTTCTTAATCTACTTAATCATATTGTCAAATTCGACCGACCATACTTGACCAGCCACGATGGCGGGTTAGTGTCTAGTTGGTGACTGCGGTGGAAGCGCCAAGAACGACAAGCAAACCTAGTCTAATAATACCTTGCTTGTGGACCGGGAATCGACCGCATGGAGACGTTCCAGGAGGTAGCGAAGCGCTCTGGCATTCAGCGCAGACCCGGGATCCTCCCGCGTCGCCTGAGACCGCCTCGATTGGAGCTCCAAATTGGAGATAGCTTTCGGGTCGACTCGGCTCTTGGATTCCAGCATTGAAGAGCAGAACGGTTATTTGGATACCCCGTGATACCCACGCAGAATTCGTCTCGTCCCCCCTCTGTTTGCTTGCAGCCATCGGTTTGTCTCTTGCATTGTACCACAGCAACCGTGTTGTTCCTGCATACATATCCATCGATATTCTAGCACGTTTCCGATTCCTTTTGTTCCCACCCCCCCCCCATAAAGCCTTATTTCCTTTGTCCAAATTTTCTTCCCTTTTTTTGTTTTCTTTTCCCTTGTCACTATAGTACTGATTGTAAATTGATTTTTCTCCCCCCTTCCCACTTCCCAATTTCCACTTCTACCTTTTTTCACCTTTGATCCCATTCTCAGCTGTGACGCGGTGTCCTTGGTGTGCTATGCTGCGACTCAGGCTCAGGCTCAGGCTCATTTTACATTCTCCCTGTTCAGGATTATTTGAGGGTAATTTAATACGTTATTGTCTTTCAACCGACGTTTACTAGGCTAAGTTAGGCTTTTTTTTTTTCTGTGACTGTTGCAGTGCAGTGGCTTTTTCTTCACCTTGTTGGGTTAAGTTGTGGGGCAAGATGAATGACTTGGTTGGCATTGTCGGGTTCGAGCGGATTCCTCTTGTCTTCTCTTCTCTTCTCTTCACTTGTACTGTGGTGTGGCTTTGGCTTTGGCTTTAGTGGAATGCCATCCGTACGGAGTACTTTGTATACTCTGTATACTGTGTATACTGGACCTGGAAAGTCTTGCTTGATTGTAGTGGGTGGTTGTGTTGAAGAAAGAGGCGAAGTAGGAGTAGCATTAGCATTGGAGTATACTATCCACAGTTATGCAATCACGCATTCTTACACATTCAGAAGCTATATTATCAACCTAACTCATAGTCTCAATAACACAATCCATTAATCTCGAGGTTGACACAACAGCCTTTTAACATTTGAGTGTTGGTTAGATAGCCAGACAGACTAAATGAGGCTATGAAGTAGCATGCATGCATATACATACATACACACACGAAGGCGACAGACTACTTAGACATAATATAATATAAAACAGACAGCTATCAGCTGTACAGTGCTAGCTAGATAGGCTAGATTTATCTGTTTATGACATCTGTTATGTTAAGTATCTTATGTTGGGGGGAGTGAAGTGGGGTAGCTAGCTAGGATCATCATAGACAGGATAGTATAGTAGTATATACTATAGTATGGTCACACGGTGGTGTTGGTGTTGTACAGTTGTAATGCGGTGATACTCTGTATCATGATGATGGACTGGTCTGATTGCCTATCTAGGTACTTGCCTGCCTAGTTAGTTAGTGCCTGCATTTGCCATGCTTGGTCTGGTTTCTAATCTAAGGTACGCGAGATTGATTGATGGCCTGGTTTCACTTCCCGGTTGTTGGGTTTAAGTGTCTGGGGGGTTGATTGCGCCGCACTACTAGTTATGGAGTACTGCTTACACTATAACTAGTGTATATGGCTATACGCGTGCGGCTTGTTGGTTGGTGGTTTGGGGGCCGGGCTGTGATGGCTGGCTGGCTGTGGAGCTTCAGGTTGGGTTGGGGGGTAGGATGCTATGGATTAGGTTGGTTGGCTGGGGGGATGATTGCATGGTATAGATATATATAGAATGATCGATGTATGAGGTGATGGTGATGGTGATGGCGATGATATTTGTTTGTTGGGTGGTTTGGTTGGATATTGGTTAAGTGGTTTAGTTCAATGGAGGATACTTTGGTTAATCTAGTGTAGTTAGATGGCGGAGGAGGAGGAGAGTACCAGTTAGTATTACTAGTATTAGAGACTTCAATTTATCTACTACATACATAATCCGGTAGTGTTGTTGTTGTTACCCATCGTTTGTCTCTATCAGTCAGACAGTCAGTGAGTCAGCCTTGCGCTGCCTGCCATCATGCACCCATCATCCCTGACCCGAGCAAACCATGGAACGCAAGCCTGAGAAAACAAACACAAAAGGCCAAATACCAATAACCAACATAAAAAAAAAAAAAAACTCCAAAGAAATATATATTATTATTATGTGTGCACAGAGAAGGAGCAAAAAGATATGACAAGAGTGGGATTCGAACCCACGCCATGAAACCATGATCAGGAAGCTAGAAGCTGTTTATTAAGGTGGACCTTAACCTGACGCCTTAGACCAACTCGGCCATCTTGCCTTGATTGATGATTGCGGGTCGTTTTTGTGCGATATGAGCAAAGGCAAACGAACGGGATCTCGCTCTCACTGCGAGTGGTGATAAGAGGTAGGTGCTGCATCGTCGTGTGAAGAGGGTGTGGTAATTTGGCAAGCGAATTTATACTTGTCGATAGATAAAGGGGCCGAGGGAAATTAAGTTTGAAATATATCATGCGTCAATGGTAACTTTCTGGGCTCGATAGCAGTTTGTCTTGTCAATTTTATACTCTTTCTACCGCGGTGGCTTTATACTTATATTCCTTGGCATATGATGCAGCTCTAACAATCTTATCCACGGTGTAAAGACTTAATACAAACCGCAAGTCTAGCCTCTGAAAAGCCCCCTGACATAGCAAGTCCATGTTAGATATACCCCATTGTACCCACCCATGCCAGAGCAACAACGAACATGGTTTCTGTAGCGGATTGGTATATTCCAATTGGTCACTCGATGCCCGTGAAATCACGGGGTTGAGTTGCGGCGGAATAATCTCCCCAGTCCTACTGCCCAGCCATGATGTCGGGCCGACATAGGTGCCGTCCAATTACTACCCGGGCATTGAACGGGTGCTTGGGGAGCAGGGTGGGTAATGTACTTTGCAATCAGAATATACTCGTTCAGATGCCAAAAGTGCTCACCTGTACCGCTGAACTTGGAGAGGTATAGCGGGGTTTATATGCTCGTGGTTGATATTGACTTAGACTCCTCTCGACGTATGTCCGATCTGAGTGGGATGATATGGTGCAGTTCCGGGGGGACGGTGAGGAGGAGACACCCGCTTTCGCATGCGCTCGCCATCCGAGTTTGCGTTTCTGTTCAAGCTTCCCTCTGCTCTTGATTATGGGTCCGGAGTCAAGGAAATGTGTCTGTTTTGTGTTTTTGTGCGCAGAAGCAGCGGCGTTTGGGGCCGTTGTATCGCAGGGTTCGAGGAGGTTGATTCACTGGGCTTTTTTTGATGGGTTGTGCGGGGGTGGGGATCTCGTACGGAAGCGCGAGCGGAGCGGGAAAGAGGAGAGAGAGAAGGACACGGGAAGAAGATAAGAGAGGAGAGGGGGGGGGGTTTATACCGGCCACGTGCTTCCAGCACCGCTAGCAACATTGCATCATCCAGAGAGTGACTGAGAGACCCATGGCCACGAGAGGATGCTGTCAGTGGGACAGAGCAGCCACCATATGAAGGATCTGAGGCGAGCAAGATTCATCTTTCTGCGGAGGAGCATGGACAAGGATGGATGAACGGTAGCTTGACTTGCAGTCCCCACAATGGTTTCTCTGCGGACGATTTTGAGTGGTATAGGTATTTTGTATTGTGGGCAGCTAGGTTCGAGGGACGTCCAAGTGTCAGAGGGTCAATTGAGTGGCCAAGGTGAATGACACGCACTTCGCCCACATCTTGCCGTTTGATTGAACTGTTCTCCTTCCATCCTCAGTCCACAGCGCTTCAATTTCCATCACTTATCTTTTTCATTTTGAAAAGGGACTATCTTCCATAGCCAGGTATCTTATTTTGTCTTCTTGCTTTGAATTCCCTATTGAGTGTACTTTCCATGAACAACCACCCCCGTCTCCCAAAATCCCCAAGAGACGTGCGCAGACCACATATTTCTAACATATTCGTTGCGGATTTACCAATCCACCCGGTTTGAATTTCTACCAAACATACTCTTCGCACACAGCCCAATACGAGACACGCGGACACAATAACCCATTATTTCCAGAGGAGAGATGAGCATTCTACTCTTAGTCACAACTTGCCTGGGATAATCCAGGCCCCTACACACCAAAGAGAGTTCTATTATTTGTTGTCCAAGGGATATAGTCATTCAATAGACAGGACCCTTCATTCAATCTATAATAAGCCCACACCATAAGTACTCCGTTCTTCCGATCAAACTTTTCTTCACTACCTTCTGACACATCCTTATCTAATGTCCAGTCTCTTTATCCCCACAGTCCTACGCTACAAAAAGCCTTCAAATCTTTCTCATATTCTAAGCACGTCAATTTGCACCACTATGAAAGTCAATGAGCCGGTGCGAGTCCGAAGCCTGCATCTTTACCCAGGAACTACACAATTTAGTGACGAAGGGGATCATACCAGCCAAGGAAGCAACAGGGAAATGCACCTTAAAACCACAACACTTGGCTATTATACACAGGGGGGGACCTCGAAAGCTAGCGCCACGAAGCCAATTAACACTTACAAAGTGTCCCACTTTATCCTATTCCACAGAAACTTTACCGTTTAGCCTTGGAATGACAGAAATTCTACTTCAAGCAACGACGGTGAGATTCCTACGCTATTATCCAAACTCTTACAGAAGTGGGAGGAAAAATTGAAACCGCCAGAGATTCAACAACCCCGTCTGTTCTGCTTAAAGGATATAGCTGCGCGGTCTTAGGGCTGAACTTGCATGGGGTCTGCTCACGTGCAGTCATGCTAGAGTCACCACGAATGCTAGTATTTACAGACTGGTCGAGTACACCATGCAGTGCAAACTTAGCCTACCTGCCTGGAATTTAGGGGCTTCACTCTGTTGGGTATGGGATCAAAAGAGAACATGAGGTCTGAGAGAAGCCTAACCAGCAGCTGAAAGTGATACACGTGCCCATATCTCTGGCATTTTTGATTGCCAGATTCAACAGGTTCCATAAGAAGTTACATATGAAGGACAGAACTTCTTGGGGTTGACCTTTGTTACTAATATCAAACTATATTTCTACGAGGTTGAAGAAATTAAAAGAAGCTGTGTGACATTGCTTCATAATCTCTTCGATTGCCTGCCTATAAATTCCTGCCACGATGACAAGGTATACGGGGTCGACATCTCAACGATTACTCGGAGTTCTGGTAGATATCCTTTCGAAATAAGCATAAACAGCACAAGATGAAACGCATTGATCTACACCTAACAGCAGATTGGTATTCAATCCTATCATGTCTCACCACTTTCAGCTCACACTATCCTGTATCTAGTAGTAACTTGCCATTTCAACCCAAAGTATATCCCGCCGCTAACCGGCCATTGATATGTTTTAATCAATCACAATTTACATCCGTCTTACGTATGATTTTAGACGGGTATAAATAAACTACCCTGCAGTAATGAGGATAATAGCCCGAGCACTAAAGAAGCCATGGATTGACTACTATACGCTATACCCAGTTCAGTGCTAGTAAGTTAATCCTGGATGTTGTTCCTGGCATATGGAGTAGTACATCGTCAATCAGCAGTAGAGTCTGCTTTTTTTTTTGTTTTGCTTTGTTTTTTGTTTTTTGTTTTTTTTCTTTTTCACTGCAGAGTTAAAATCGTGAACATTAATTCTCTCCTAATGGAAACCGAATATCCGAGCTATACCACAGTCAATAAGCTACTATGTATCGAGATTGCACTGCAATCTTCATCTCATCCCCCATCCTCACCAAAACACAAGTGGGGGTCAGACTGGACTAGAATTTAGCCGAGGAACAATATTCCCGAGGCAGCCCTTTCTTCCTCATTTTTTTCTCTGATATTGCACTAAATCTTGCCCATTCAACATCTCAAGGCAAGATGGCCGAGTTGGTCTAAGGCGTCAGGTTAAGGTCCACCTTAATAAACAGCTTCTAGCTTCCTGATCATGGTTTCATGGCGTGGGTTCGAATCCCACTCTTGTCATTTCTTTTTGTTTTTGCCACTTCTGCCTGCACAACAGGCCCTCCCATCCATGATGGCCATACCCACTACCCGCTTATCCCCCACCACCTACTTACCCCGTACACAGTATGTATATCACGACAACAAGAGTAGTAGTGATGGCCATCGCACGCAAGTATTACGCACTTATACTTGCATTTTTTTTTTCTAACCGAAGGTGTGCGAAATACCAAGGTCCTCACCTCATCCACCCCCAGACAGACTGACAGAGTAATGCCCCACCATGATAAGACCCATCATCCAGCCCAGTATCAATCCAGCCAGTTCATGAACCTCCGGGCAATTCCCCCAAAAGGAAGGAATTGGGTTCATCCATCCATCTCACTCTCCATCTTTATCTTTATCTAACCGGTACTTATGTATGTATTTGACCGAGCGAGTACCCTCACCCACCTCACCCAGCGACAATCAGCACGCAATCTCGGCCCCTCGGCCCTTGTCCTCCTGCACGCACCTCCTCACCGAACCCTCAAAGGTTCAACCTCGAAGCGCCGAACAAATAGCATCTAGTACTGTGTATCTAGTGAGTAGTATTCCGTCCGACCGAACAGCTATCCTGCACGCGCAACATTTTCTTCCGATACCACTCATCTTGGACCCCACTTGTGTAGGTAGGGGTGGGTACCTATCATATTCGTGGTAAGGGAGGGAGAAGCTGTATCTATGTACCATGTATGCGGACAGAGGAAGTCCGGTGTGTCAATTGGGTTCATATGCATCGCATGGTTTGTGTGTATGCATGTACAGAGTACTCCGTACTATATGAGTGAGTTAATGGTGGGCGGTATCTATGTAAGTAGATAGTGGTGATGATAAGCTGGATTATAGGTAGGTAGCTATGACACCCACCCAATTAAAATAAACCGTCACTGTTACACCTACCTACCTACCACCCACCTGCAGAGACAACCATAACCGTGGGTATACAACATGAATGCATGTACGTACTCCGTACACATGTACGTACGTAGACGCCTCGTATTCAGCCAGCCATGGCGACACGCCATGCCATAGAAACTACTTAACTACGGGGTACATACCTACCCTAGGTAAGTGCATTTACCAGAAACCTGCATCTGCTTTACGGCAAACCGCATGCTGTGTACGGAGTACCGTATGCTGTGTGTGTGTGTGTGTGTGTGTGTGTGTGTGTGTGTCTGTATCTGTGTGCGTGCTCGCGGCGACCCCGTGACCATGTGGGATGGTAACAATCACAATTTCGGCTTATGCGTATGCGTACACCCTATCCATGCTTACCCTGGCTGGAGCCGGTCGACCGGTCGACCGGTCGGTCGGTCGGATTTGGGACTGGACTGGATCTGAGATCCGCGGGGCTAATCACAAAGTAGGTAGATAGCTTACCCTAGTCCCATCCCATTCCATGCGTTGCCATCGTTGGTTTAGTGTGGGTGGTGTTTATGAGATGAGCTCGTGCTCACGCCATGGACGCTTATCAATTTCGGTACGTGATGCGGTGCTTTCCGTCCGGACCACCGGGTAGATTACAGCTGAGTTAAATTATTCGAGATATTCGGCATGGGGGGGGTGCGTGGCTGGGCTAGGCTAGGTGGGCTAGGCTGCAGCTTCCTTATCGCCCACCGTAAAGCGTAAACAGGGCAATATGTAGACTACGGTTAATCAAGGGGCAGATGGTCGATCGTCAGAATCTATCATTGCTTGGCTGTGGAACATCGACTGCAGTTTATCAGATGGCACAAGGCTTGGCACATATCAACAGGTCCCTTGGCAAACATTCATAAGCCCCCCCTTTTGGGCTGGGCAGCTCGGCCCGGCAAGGAGGATGGTAGATGGTATCATCAATTCGATATGGACAAGAAGATGATTGCCTTGGCACATGGGAGATGGGAAAGGCAAAGACAGAGAAAAAGTAATCAAGCGACAGGAAAAAAAAGAAAACACCGCGCCCCGCACTTCGTTTCCCCCCGAATATTCGCTCCGCCAATAACGTCACAGAAATTCATAGCATGAACGGTAGCTGATCGGCCTCTGGCCTGCCGGGTCAGACTTTAGTCCCGTCAGACGATGAGGTCAGAGCTGATATCGTGTCCAGCGCGATCCGTCGAATGGTAGGCTATGCTGCAGCTTAGATGCTGGGCGCAGTGGTGTTGCGGGTGTCGACTCCCAGGTACAGGAAGCCGCTGGGCAGACGGCTGAGGCCCGGGCGCTGCTGGGATGTGCTGGTCGTGGAGGACTGGCTGCTGGAGCGCTCACGGGTTTGGGAGGAGGTGGAGAGAGGGCCAGACTCGGTAGGGGCCAGGACGAGGAACTTTGCGGTGGGAGTGTAGGTGTACATGTTGATTGAGTTTGAGTGGACAAAAGGTCTTCACTTGAGGATAGAGGATAGAGGATAGATGATGGAGTATGGAGGATAGATAAAACGGTAGAGTCTCAGGTAGTCTCGGGGCGCTTCAGTTCAGAGGGGAGATTTTTCACAGCAGAAAGCTTGGGAAGAGAAAGATGGATTCGCATCTTGTCGGCTGAGCTCGGTCACCTTTATATAGGATGGGCGCGAGCAGCCAAGCCATTATCTGAGACGGAGAGAAGAGGGGTTGACCGGGAGCATGGATTAACCCGGAGCGATGTCGATCAAGAGAACTACCGCTTCTAGCCCACCTGCAGAAGCAGATAAGTGGAGGGACACGCCGAGAGTGCTCTGAGTGGCTTTCCCATTATTCCTCCTGCCCGACGGTGGACCGGGCTCGCTGTAATTCACATGCCGCGAAACGAGCTATCACAAAGGGAGGGGCTGAGAACGTCATCCATGCAAATCCCCCTTCCTTTGCATCTCTTGGCCGGGGCAATAGTCATACCCGAGCAGACTCTCGTCGAGGGCTCTGGTTGGGCGAGCCGGGGCTGGGGTCCCAGACACAAGCATCTGGACCGACACGATTCCGAACCCAGCCTCGGATGATCAGCAACCAAGAGCCGGCCAAGGCACTATTGAATGAGGGCGACGTCCCGTGACGCACTCTGGGGAACGTGGGCGGAGGCGAAGGGGTGAGAGGCGTACAGTCACCGAGTCACCCACGTCAGGAACAGATTAACCTTCCCAGCAATCGCATCATTGTTTGGGGTTGCCGCATTCTTCGGGCTGCCCACCTGACCCCAGTCGCTCCTATTCGCCGCTTGGCATTGGTAGTGGTATCATCTGGTATGTCGTGCCGAAGGTGATCTCCTTCTAGAACCGACCCCAGAACCGAACCCCAGGACCCTTGAAGGTAAGTCCAGAGTAGCCGACTAGATGCTGTCCCCAGGAATTGGCTTCCCCTTGCGTGGAAGAAGCCCAAGAACCCGCTAGAAACCGAAACCAGAGCATTGGCCTATCTGACCCGTGGGTGAATCGGCCATGGCCCGGACTTCACTTCTTCACGGACGGCATTCTGGGAAACCGCGACGGGCGGAGATTGTGGTTTTGGGGAGTCATTGGGTGCAGTCGGATAGGGGGACCGGAAGGGTGGTGGGACGGATCATTGATGGCTTCCAGTCTCACTCGCGAAATCGGCGAGGAGAGGGAGGAGAGGAGAAAAGCAGCAGACAGAAGACGACGAGGCCGAAGAGACCAAAACCGGCGAGGCGGCTCAACCAGCGCCCCGGTCACGTGGCCGGGCTGACCTGCAAGTAAGTAAAAACTAAAAAAAAAAACAACCTCCTTCAAAACTCCTGGGATCCAAGCCCATCCAGGCACCGGACCAGGCACAGGCACCACCGGCACCGCCAGAACTCATCACGTCTGCCCCGTCTGCCCCATCACTGGCCCGTTCATGTCCGGGAGCCAACGGCGGCTACCAGAAGGCCGTGCCCGCTGGGGGAAACCGGTCGAACGTCGCCGTTTTAGCGCCCCGGGGCCCTGCGCCGTATCGCCTGGAAGTAGCGCGGACACTCGGCGGCTGAATGAACAATGAAGTGGACGGCACTGAAACATGCAGAGGCCCGGGATCGCAGGCCACTGTCTCCCTCCACCGCGTGGGCAGCGCCGCAGTTGCTCGCCATGGTGGTCTCTGTCTCACGCTCAGCCTGACCTGACACTTTCCATTCAGCCTAGCTGACGGTTTGTGATCTTGAAAGAAATCGATAGGCGGGCGCTGTCTGGCACTGCCGAACCACTAAAATTAGCCTTGACTATAGCGAAACTGCCTCGATATCACACCAACACCGCAGCGGTTGCCGTCGCTTGGGAGTCGCATATCGCCTGCCCACCCCACTCTAGCGATATACCCAACAGTTAAACCACACCCCGCGGGCTTAGATCAATCAGGAAAGTGCTAAACTCCGTCCAGGCTTTGCGGGTGTCTGATATCACCAACTGCGTCTAGCTCGTGGGTTTCAAACATTGGCCGCTGGGGAGCCATGACCCAAGGTTCCTGTGACGGCACTGCAGTTCTTGCAGGTTCATCTCTTTAGCTTCCGCAGCTCGGGTCCGGCCTCCTCTGACACACCTTGTTGATCCCAGTGACCCGCCATCTGTTGATGTTGATGTGGGACAGGAAGTATGCCCAGTCACTGCGGCAACCCCTGACAGGAGCAGGTGGCTCATCGATCCACTAATCCTGCGCCGCCTTCTAGCCAAACAGCGCCAGGTGCCGGACGGTCAGACCAGCTGGGTTGGGGGGGGGGGGGGGGGGGGTCCCGGAACTCTGATATCGGAGCGACGATATTGGACTGGTTGGTGATGCCAACCCTGCCCCCCACCCTTCAAGGCGGGCTCGCGGACACATGATGGCGAGGACATAGTCGCCGGTCTGTGTCTCTTGATGCGAGGAGATGGCCTCTGCGGCGTGACGTTCGTCAGATGGACGGTACCGAACGCTGTCGGGGGCTGCGGCATGACCCTCAGTACTTGAACCAGTTGTTGGTCGTACGCGGGAACTGATTTGATAATCGGATTGTTGGGACTTCGCGTGCATATGTGACCGGCCTTGCCCCCCCGCAGGAAAGGCGTAGATGTGAAGATGATGTCAACCTTTCCATGATGCAGGCTGCGGAAGTTTAATGGATCCCAGGACCAGGGTTCATATCGACTTCGGCCGATGTATGCATGCATGACCGTGCGAGTCACATCCCGTCCATTTGCTTCACTGGGAAATATGCCTCTCCAGGCTCACTTCCACGCGAATGGGCGGTTGGTTATACCCATCGACTGGAGGGAGCAGGGCCATTGGGAAGCCGTGAGCGCCGCGATGCATACTGAGTCATTTGTTGGATATTTATTTAGTTTTTTTTTTTTTTTTGCTACACGTCGATTCGAGTGTGATGTATATCGAATCACCAACGCTGGCCCGGACGCAACGGCTCATATTGGTCCGTGTCGAGGGAGGGCTGCACCACCCCAATGCGGAACCGCGAGAAAGAAGGGGGAAAACAAGGGAAGGGGAGCGAAAAAGACATGCATGCGTAGTTAGTTACAACTTACCCGTTCCTTGGACTAACCTTCTTCCTACTCTTCTTTTACCTCATTCCAAGGAAGGGGTTTGTCTGATTGGATCCTTTTTCTTGTCTCTCTTCTTTAAATTTTAATTTCGAATATCTTTTTTATTGTTGCATTTTTTTTAATTGTTGCCCGGGTTGAGTCACAGCTGCTTTTCCATTTGTTGCTGCTGCGTAGAAGGCGTTGTTGCGGCACAGTCAACCGCAGTCATTCTTTATCACTTGGGATGGGAGGGTTGGAGGACCACCAGACCGTGGAAAGATTTCTTATTTAAGGCCCTTCACAACCCGTCGAACAAGTCTCAATCCATCAGCAGCAACAACAACGACAACAACAATTCCCTTCTCAGCATCCTACTCCAAACAAAGTTTCTCTTCCGCGCCCTGCTCTACTCTCAAGTCTAGATCGTCTGCAATTTCTTGACTACTCTCGACGTTCTTCCTACAAGTCTCGAATCCAAATTCCACGCTCAAATCCACCTACATTCTACCCGTCCAGCAATTCAATCCCCCCACCATGTGCTCCCAGTACTACCTCAGGTTCGACTGCAAATGCGTGGTCCTCCACAACGGCGTCGTCGCCTGCTCCAAGAAAGGGACCCCCGACTGCCATGGAGTGAAGGACGAGGTCCGCGACCAGAAGGGCTACAACTGCCCTAAGCACGGTGGCTAGATGGGACTCCTCCGAAGAGGGAAGGGGCCACAGCCCAGTGCCCACAAGGTGTGAGTGCCAGTGCCGAAGATCCACTTGCGCAGCCCCAGATCATCCGCGAAGGAACTCGAACTAACTACATATGTCCAGGTGCGAGGCGCAACGGGGTTGAGATCTGGTCTATCGGTCCTGGGCCCTTGTCTCGAAGCGCGCGTATCCCAGCCGCCGAAACGAGGGATGCAAGTCATACATCCGGAGACTGAAGTTTAGATCTGCACTTACCTTTCGGTTGCTTTGTGGCTCCTTTGCTAGGGATCAAGAGGGGGATGGAGATGAAGAGGAAGATGAAGATGAAGAGGAAGAGGAAGAGAGGAAGAGGGGAAGAGAAAGAAGAGGCGAAGTTCTGTCCCAACACAGATCTCGCAAAGAAAAGCAAAAAAAAAAAAAAAAAAAAAAGCCTCCACGGATAAAATACGAAAAAAAAAGACGACCGAACGATTGTATGAACGAGGAAGAAGAGACGGACAACGACGATGTGAGAGGATTTTTAGCTGGCCAGCGACCTGTCACACCATCATCCATCCATCTTTATATCACCAGACTTTCTTATTTTTAGGTTTTTTTCTTATTTATTTTTGTTATAAAGTTTTGTTTTCCATTCCCTCTGTGTTTATCTGTTTCCAGAACATCTGTTATGTTACCCCATCTGCATATGCATTGTTCTGCGCTCTTTGAGTTGACTACTACTACTACCCTACTATTTCGCTGTTTTTCGTTCATGCTTCCCGTTTCCTTTTCCTTCCCACCACCACCGCCCACCTCGTGTCCTGTCCAAGTCGGAGGAGGGGCCTCGGGGAGTGGGGAGATGGAGGAACGCGGGCACTTGCAAAACCAGTCTTCTTAAACTTCTCGGTGGCATCTGTCTTCTCTATTTGTTACAACGCCTTTTGGAATTACTTACTTTGACATTGTGGGGATCTGTACACCCCCACACGTGATCGATTGCCTTCTTTTGCTGGCTTGTTGTACAAGTGGTTGATTCATCGTCTTTCTTATTACTATTTGATCTTAATTTGTTAGCATATCAATGCGACGCTCATTCTATCTGCTCATTTTGCCAAGTAGTCTTGGGAGGGGGAGGGGGTGTTTTCCCGTGCTATGATGTAGTTGTTGTGTTGAGCAAGCACATGTAGATCTTAAGATTTGTCAGATGACAAGATGACAGATGACAGATACTGGCTAGTTAGTTACTACATTACTACACTGAGTGAATAGACGGTCACCTCATCTATCTAATTCTATCCCATTGTACTCGATTACGGTGGAGGGGCCAATCCGGAGAATCCAAAATCATATGGTTCCCACTTCCTCATCCCAATTCATACCTCAGAAGCGACCTCCCCCAAAATAAACAAACACTGCCATCCCCTCTAGACTCTACAGATTCCTTCTCGGAAATATAAACGGTGAGCCCCAAGCCCCACCACTATCTAGTGTTAGTGTCTTGGTCTACCTCTTGGGAGGGGGCAAAAGTAACAAGTAACAAGTAACAAGCGACAAGCGACAAAGTGACAAGTGACAAGTGGTCAACCAGCCAACTAGCTCAATCAAGGACCCATCGGGGAGGGGGGAGGGGAGGGGCATCGAACCATGGTTCACTGGGCTTAGGGTGTGACAAATGTTCTTCCTAAGGGCCTCCTTCCCTGGTGCCCTCTGACTTGCTTTTGCCGCGCATGATAGTACTACTACTACTACTACTACTACTACTACTACTACTACTACTACGGGCGAAACCGTGTTCGGGTCCGAGATGCTTGCTTTGTCATGTGAAGTTGGGGCACCGTGATGATGATGATGATGAGGTGGATATAGGTAGGTGGCAAGCTACCTATAGACAGGTGTTTCGTCACACGGGGATACGTAACTACTAGAGAGGTAGGTAGGTAGGTAGGTAGGTAGGTAGGTAGTTTTGGGGATTGCATGAGAGTAAGTACTACTAGCTAGGTTAGTAGTATGTAGGCACGTAGGCAGGAAGACAGACAGGGAACGAACATTTTCCGGACCTCGAAGGAGATGGTGTTAACAAGCTTGCTGTGCCGCAATGTTGTCCTCCCCTCCCCTCTCCCTCCCCCCCTCCCCTCGCATCTCCCTCCCTCGCCGCCGCCGCCGCCGCAGCGTGAAAAAAAAAAAAAAAAGAAAAATAAAATTCCCCATTGGAGGAAACACAGAACATCTACTTTGCCATCATCCATTCTCTCCCAATCGATCCCGCCAAATCTCTACAAGAAAAGCCTAAACCAATCGAACCATAGAAAAATAATAATAATAATAATAATAATATTATAATACTATCCCCGAAAAACACCCTAGCATGATCTAGCAACGGTGCATCAGACGGGGCTGCATTAGCACCGCATACGGCTCTCATCACCTGATGTGGAACGGGCAAATCAGATCCAGAAACCGGGGCACAGACGCGACTTGGTGCCGGTGGCAATGGATGCTGACTGGTGCCAGCGAGACGAGACGAGACTGACGGAGCCGACGGATGGGGGAGCTCCGCGCGTATATCGGGGAGGTGAGAGCAGCGGGGAGGGTAGGTGGTAATGGGTAATGGTTAGTTAGGTAGTTGGAAAGCGCTAGGTTAGGACAGAGTTGAATTACTGGGAGGGGGAAGAGGGTCCGTAGTGGCCCGATGATCGTGGGTGGCTGTCTCTCTCTTTCTCCTTCTCTCTCTCTCTCTGTGTGTGTGCGCGATTGTTTCTCTTTGCCGAAGCTGGAGAAAGAAAAGTGTTGAGCGAAATGTACTGAACACGAGTCTGTAGAGAGAGAGATGTGCACAATTCGAAGAAGCAGCATAACGGAACGCAACGTGGCGTGGCGTGCTCCTCAGCGCCCAAAGGTTGTTATCGGCCACTCAATCTTAGCCAGAGGACGCGGAGATCCGGCGCTCAGGTCGGGAAATAAACAGGTTGTTGGAGCTGAGCTGAGCAGGTTAGGCTTCAACCCAGGCAGATAACCGGGGGTAAAAGTTTAAAAAAGTTACGGGGACGGGGCGATTGGAAAGGAAAACCGAGTTTCATCTGGATCTTTGCTCGTCCCTTGTGTGAAAAGGCGAATGTATGGCTCAGTGAGTAGACCAATTGCAGTTGCTGCTGGAGGTGCCAGTGTTGGGTCCCAGACAGTGCGTTGTGCTCTGAATGGATGGCTGGCTGGCCACGGTATTGTACGGCGTGGAGGCGCCGCAGCAGGTCTGAGCAGCGCAGCCAGCCCCTCCCCTAGTAGTATACACCACACCGGCTTGGGTAGGGTGCTCAGGCAGCGCCGCAGAGCTGGACGGTGCCATCGCCCTTAGACTGATAATAGGCGGGAGGGACCTGACCTGGGGAACCAGAATGCTGGGACAGTAAACCTAAAGCAGTATAAGTACCGTATGCACAGACAGCACGAACCAGGAGAGATTATCAGGGGGCGAATACAGGGCCCTGGGGAAATCTGAATCCATCTTCGGTCCCTGTGCTGCTCCATAGGGAACCCTTCGACGGCGAACGATGCCATTACTGCTGCGTCGCATTGTTGTTGGAGGGTAGTCTGGGCCCACGTGACCGGCGTTCGTTGCGAGAACCGCCGAAGCGCGACTGAAACAAGCGCGACGCCGGCGTTCCTCCGCTGTGTGGGTCGGTGGTCAGTAGTGGTCGTCGGTGTATGATTGACGAGTATTGTATGGGCTGTTGCGACTTGCGACTTGGCATCTCGCAGGAGATCCAGGTGAACAGCGAACCCAGTGAGAAAAAGAAGGGGGGGAAAAGATGAGGACGCAGGTCCCCCCAAATATCAGCAAGGCGGAATGAGTGTCCAGCAAGGAGGCAGGCACCTTATCTATCAACCCCAGTTTCAGAAAACACCCCTATCTGGTCTCAAAACTGGCCGAACCGAACAATTTGTCAGGAGAGAGGGATATTGCAGGCTTGCAGCTGGCTACCTAAACTAGCGGTGGTGGGGGCTGTTGGCTGACTGGTCCTGATGAGTTTAGGCGTTCTGATGGTGAAGAGATGCCAATTTCTCAGGTGATCTACTTTCCGAGAGTAAGCGGCGATGAAGATTTGGTGATTAGGTTCGTCATTGTCAGATGTTCTATTTTTGCTGAAGAATGGCTTGATCCAGCGGGGTGGGGGATGTGCTGTCGCAGAAGGGACGGTGGTTGCTTTGGGTGGTTGTGTTGTTTGTCGCTCTTCCCCTGGTTAAGGACATGAGTCGACGAAAGAAGGATGTGGTAAGAGAAGGCACTGCGCGAGTATGCTTTTTGTCTAGGATCTTTTTACGAGTAGACATCATGGCCCAGATAGCGGTTGCCGACATGCCGCTGTGTGAGTATGACCAGCAGAGATATGTGGCTGATCTATGACAGGCCTTACTGCACGCCCATGGCTGGCTTGACAAGTAAACAATAGTGTATCTTAGCTGCATTGTAATGATAACCCACACAATCCTCAGTTTTGGAGATAACTCCTCGCCCAGGAATACACCACCACACATCACACCTTCATGCATACAGAAACAGGCAAAATCCAGGCTTTCCGACCACCAAATGATGATGTCCGCAACTTAATCCCCGGCCTGACGAAGACCATGATCCTGAAATGACAGGGAGAAGCACAGCTCCGCTAAGTCGTCCTAAATAATTGAACCCCGAAAGCAAGTCCAATTTTAACTCTCCGTTGTCCGAGCCGATCACAGGTTGTACCTCTCGCGGCAGCGACAGTCGCGACGTAAGGCTGTTTACATATCCTTCTTGGGGGTATCGCTCTTCGTGCCGGAGACCTCGTCGCCCAGTCTGTGGTATTCCCGGGTAAGGCCCTCGCACTGCTTCTTCAGGTTCTCGATGTCGCGGTCCTTGGCTTCCAGCTCCTGCTTCAGACGGCCAATCTCACCGGCATCACCGGCCTGCGCGAGACGAACAGAGTCCTTGCCGCCAGCCTTCTTGTCACCCTCGATGAGCTTAACCTTCTCCTCAAGACGGAGGACCTCGAGGATCATGGAGTAGGTGCGGTTGAGGATGAGAGATAGGAAGAGGGTGAATCCACACAGGTACATGTTGCGCTGCGAGTAGAACTTCCGGGCTTGGACCTCCATGCGATCAGCACCGAGGGCGGCCGCACTGTTGAGTGCAAGAAGTGTGAGTACCAAGACTGTAGTATCGAAAAGCAAATGGGTTAACATCACGAAATCACATACCCAATGGGTCCTCCCTCCTTGCCAAAGGCAGCCAGCTCCAGCTGCACACGGTACACGCGGTTGACGCTATCAATGAAAAGGATAAGGATAAAGATAAAAGTGATCTAAAGCCTTGTGAGTGACGCAAATACGATGGGTATTGCTTGACCGCGTACCTTCAGCCCATATTGCAGTTTAGCGACTATCGGGCTCTCCGAGATGAAGGTGAAGAGCTTCCTCTTCACGACGAAGGGAAGAGGAACGATGAGGCCCATGAAGACCGCCATCTCGAACACCAAGAGGCAAAAGACCTAGGACCATCCTTGTAAGCACATCTGACATGTCACTGTGCCTGGTTGCGGGGGCTGCGAGGGTCGGGTCAGGGGTTGCAGGCGGCAACATATCCCTAACCTCAAATCAACACGGAGCGATGGCACTCACAAGGCTGTAGTAGAGAGTCATTGTGCTGGATCTGAGGTCTCAGTTCGACTTTCTAGCGAGTTGTTCTGGATTGTAAGTTGTGGCTTGCAGCCCAACTGTGGTTGAGGGGGTGTTTTGGAAGATAAACAAGAGTAAACAGTGTCACGCAGCGCGGACTGAAGTCGTGGAAATCCAGACGTTGGGTGAAGCGAGCTGAATTGAATGAGAAGAGCACTCCTGTTGATGCCCTGGATAGAACAGTATCAGGGACGAGCAGGATGTGTACGGCAGGTTCAGGAGATGAGGTGGTCTTTTTGCAGTTTCTGGTGAGAGGAAGACGTCATCACCGCCCGGAGCTGGTTTCTGCACGTGACCATCTCGGCCGCGGCAGAGCGGCCATCTACGTCATTGCCCGAGGATCTACGGACGGAGAATAGGGAGTATAGGATTGAAGAATTGTGATTCTAACTGTCGTTTGTACATCATGTCTATGCATTATACTCGATCTACACTGTCCACATTTAACCCTCCGCCTCGTCATAAGAGTTCGACTTGTGTTTCGGCTCGAACTTGAAGTCCTTGTGGGCCGGTCCGAGGAACATCTCCCTGTGAGTTGCGTTAGAAATCATGCAAAATTATCTCCTGGCAAATAAGTACTTACGTGATCTTGAGCCAATCTCTGTAGTTGTCACTGGCCAGCAATGTCTCGAGCTCATTCCGACCTCGGAAAGCCGGAGGTCTGTCGTTGATGTGTGGTGGAAGATACTCGAGCAGACCAAGGGGAACGTAGCGTCGAGCGAAACTCAGCCATTCCATCACGAAACGTCTGGTCGTACCGATACCGTGTTCGTCCGATCCCCATGTCTCCAAGCCATACTTGGTGAACTTCTCAACCAGCGCCAAGCGCTCCGTGGCAGACTTGTCCAGGTACTGTCCGGCCTGGATCTCCTCGAAGAGCCAAGGCTTGATCAGAGCTCCTCGTCCCAGCATAACAGTATCAACCCCGGAGTTGTTGATATGCTCATCATAGTCGACGTGAGAGTAGCAATCGCCGTTTCCAAGGAAGTACACCTTTCCGCCATTGGGCTGCGTCCGAGCGTCCGGCTCCCGGATCGTATCAGTCACCTCATCGGTCTTCTCAGTCAGTCGCTTGATGAGAGCAGCACACTCGGAGATATACTCCCAGTTCGCTGACTTGGTGTACCGCTGCTGTCTACTGCGGCCGTGGAGGGTGATAGCGGCGGCACCAGCGGCACCATCATGATGAACCAGACTGGTTTCATAGCCGCCAAGGAGCAAACGTTCGGTCAGCTTGAAAGCATTCGGGTTGTTGTCCCTGGTTCCCATACGGATCTTGACAGTAATAGGGATAAGCTCGGAGACCGTGTTCATGCCGCGAATGATTTTCTCAAGCTTGGACGGGTGATCAAGGAGGGCAGAGCCAGCGCCTTCCCGATAGACGAGATCAATCGGGCAACCACAGTTCAGGTCGATCACGCGCAAGTTCGGAGTCATTGACGCCAATGCCTCGGTGGCCTTGAACGCCTGCCAGGGCTTGTTTGCCGCGATCTGAGCGCCAAACTTGAAGTCCTTAGAGTTATCGTAGCCCTGCACAACGTTCGCTCCCGGCATGAGCGAGGGAGGAAGCATTTCCGACTCGTGCGCCCTCATCAAGGCCCACTCGGACTTGTTTCCTTGGATCAACGGCATACTCATGGCCATCTCCGAGTAGGTGAACTGTGCGCCGAGCTCCACGCAGAGTCTCCGGAAGGGCATGTTTCCTTGTGTTGTGAGAGGCGCCAGCGCGGGCGTCTCAGGCCCAAAGTACAGGCGTCGCTTCTCCGACGCCATGAACGGCGGTTCGACATAGCTAGCCCGGTTATCTTCCTTGTCCTCCTTGCTCTCGCCATCTTTGTTCTCAGCACCTTCATTTCCACCCCGGTTCCGCTTGTGGAGATCCTTCTCCATGATCCGAGATGTATCCTCCAGCCATGCACTATACGGGCCAGCTCTGACGAAGTCCTTCTTCCTCCGCGCCAAGGCATACTTGTCTTCCTGGGAGGCAACGTTCACGCAACCTTCCTCCGTAGCGAAGGGAACGAGTCGCTGGACCTTCTTCTTGCGCTCTTCATCCTCAAGCAGAACCAACTCCTTCCTCCCATCCTCCGTCTCCCGCTCCTCCATGTGTGAGCCGACGAATCGACATTTCCAGCCCGCAAAACATTTGCCGTTTGCATCCCAGACGGGGCACACTCCATCGAAAGTCTTGAGATCCTCTCGCTTGTGTTCCTTCAAGTAGGTCCGCAGGTCGTGCTCGAACCGACACTTCTCAGCAAAGTCGCACGTGCCGGGGGAGAACTCGGGCCTGAAGTTGACGCTCGAGCACAGTCCCTTCGCATCCTCGGATCGTCCAAACGTGCGGTTCTTATTTTGCCCGGTCTTCTTTTTCTTGTTGTTGAACTTGCCTTTCTGATCATCGGCGCGGCCATCGTGATGCGCAGCCTCAGCGGCATCATCCAGATTCTCTCTTGGGGCGGGTTGGGCATTCGAGGGTTGGTAGAGGAGGAACCTGGAGCACCAGTCAGTCAGAAAGAGCCGGCGCAAGTAGTCCTCCCCGGACAGGTACATACTCAGGCTTGATGGGAGCGACGCCCTTCAGGCGCGGATCAGTAGTCTGCGCATTTGCGCCCGCAGCATCATCGAGTCTGGCCCTCTTGGAGGGTGGCCCCTGGTCAGCAGCCGAATCGCGGTCATTCTGCGTCGGCGCATTGGCGTCTAGATTCGGCACATGTTCCTGGGCGGGAGTCGGCTCCATTGTCAACGATCGGATTTTCAATTCGTCGAGAAAAACCGCTCTCTATTCACAAGAAGAGCTGACAGAAGTGAGGGATGGATTAAAAAACGCGAGTCTGATCCAGGCCCTGTCCGATTCAAGGTTCTGCGAAATCTCCGCATCGACTAATGCGGGCAAAAATTTCGACCCTCACAGCCCAGCGGGGGAGGGCCGTTTGCATGGTTTGCATTACATTACAGTATGACTGGTGGCGCTGTTTCCGGTGTGGCGGGAAGAAGGCGGTCAGCAGCCGAAGTGGCGGTGCAGCCTGGGGCAATTAGTAGTTACCTGTAGTCTTCCGACTTCCGAGCCCCCGACCTTCCGGGCTCTTGAGTTGCTGGAGCATTATTACGCCGGCGGCGGCATACGCGGTAAAACGGAAGCGGTGTCTGCCGGTCGACGCCTTACCGGGGTTTTCACATTACTATCTTACTAGCGTAATATTACACGAGCCCCACCGCAGATTTGAACCTAAGGCTCGCATTTGCTGGGTTTCTAGAAGAACTTAAACGACGGTTGATGGGGTAGTTTAATAAGGCAAAGCCATCTGTCGTTGACTCGTTACCGAAGGCTGTCTCGCCTCGGTCTCCATCGGGCTTTTCGATCAACGTCTGCTTCCCGTCCTCTCCACCCAGCGCGCGCGTAATCTATCCTGTGATTGCAGCTGGTTCTGACGACAACTGTGGGAGGTACATACGTATACCTGACAACATTCCGAGTCGACGTCAAATCTACCACCACTACGTACTTATGTGCGAATGATCGACTGGCTATGAGAAGATCCAGCATCTACCTAGGTAAGTTGAAAACCACCACGTTTGCTGCGCTTCAACTCAGCAAGAAAGTCAATTGCATCTTGGCAGACTGGTCACAAGATATCAGTCAGAGTACGCGTTTGCGTCGGCTGTTTCAAGCGATGTGAAGATCTCCTAGTTCTGCAATGTAGCCACCCTTATTTGGTACCTTTGCTTACTCCCCTAGTACCTGCTGATCTGATATGTCCACATGAGGATTACCCCCCATGCATGTTACATGTACATCGACGTCGATTGTAGCGCAAAGTATGTATGCATCAAGTACGGAGAACTCCGGAATGCACCTGGTATAGGATGGATGTATGTATGTCCCACGGTAGATCATCCGATAGATGGGTTCCATGGCCGTCGAGGACGATCCTAGACACGGAGTATCTACTCCGTATCTAGTGTCTGTTTCGATGGGATGTGCCTACGGTAGGATGATGCAGCAGGATGGAGTGCATGAGGCAGGTACACAATACAGATAGTATACAGTAGACTAGGTACCACAGCGGCTCACGATAGGGCAGAGGGATCCACCTGGAGGAGCAAAAAGCACATGTGGCATCCCAAGAACCGCGGACGTGGGAAAACGTAAGGGTGGCGATTCGGTTCTATAATTATCCTGTTGTATTTGAGCCATCATCGTACGCAGCTTCAAGCACTACCGGTTTGCACGGTGCGTAAATACGAACGCTGCCTTGATGCTGCCATTCGATAGCCTTCATATGCTGTACCTATGTACCCTATGGGCAAGCTGTGCGAATACATGCAGGATAGATCATGTACGGGATTCATCACTTGTGATGTAGATATCTGCACTCCAGGATACCGGGTACCTGTCTTTGTACTTTCCACTGTAAGTATGAACATGGAGTACCGTAGTTTTGCGTATGTAACGTACGTTTATTGGGGACAATGCAGCTGGGTGTGCATGAGATACCATTTCCGTGTAGATGCCAACATGGCCTTTCATAGATAGATAGTTTATGGAGTAGTATCTATCTAGTTGATAATCATTCTTCAGGATTATTGTACGGAGTCCGGGTGTGGATACGGACGCCTCACGAATTCGGCAAAAAGCAGCCGAGGCCTCGAGACATGGATGAAACGAAATACTACTGTATACGGAGTCGTGGACCAACAAAACCAAAACATCACTCCCGCTTCGAGGCAGTATACACAGATGAGACCCTATGCCTTCCAGACTAGGACAGATACTCACTTATAGTATCTACCCCAGCAGAGGGAGCAATAATTGGGTGCCGAGTCCTCCGTAACAGTACATGGCGGTGATAAGCGCTATCTCCAAAAGGAAGGTCACTCGACCGAGTTACTATTAGATACAATGCGGTGAAAGACTCAAGGTTACCGCTAACCATTAGAAATGCTTCTGCGATGCTTCTAGTGTTGAAGCCAAGACCGAGCATATCCCCTAGACTGATCGCATGATTGAGGATGCCTGAGAGTTCATCTCCCCCAACTTTCGCGACGATCGGCGCCCGGAGAAAAGGGGGCTGATTCCAATCCCAAGATCCCCCAGCCAATACCAGGCGATCCGGCTCATCACCGGATCATGTTAAATGGGATACGGTGTGTACTCGGTCGTCTTCATACTGCTAGACCAGCTTAGCGCTTGAGTTGGTGTTTGCGCGCCGACACACCGTCCTCCGTACTTTGTCCGACAAGTATGCTGTACAGACCGCCCATTTGTGCTGGCTGGGCTGCAAGTGAGGCCGTCCCCGTACTGTTGATGTCATTGATATATGGCCAATGCTGAACCAGGACGATAAGAGGCCGTGCTTCATGCTTATCGTCCCATCGGCGTTAGGTCCGGGCATCCTAGATATACTAGATAGATCGAGGCTTACGGGGGTGAGAAAAGCATGGACGGCCGGGTTTGGCAAGTCCGATGCGAACGATAAGAGGATGGCCACTAAAACAGACCGCTCAAGTAGATAGCGCCCATAGGATGCTGTAACCTTGTAGCCCCTGATTCCCAACAGGCGCGGCACCTGCAAGCATCGCACATGCCCCGGGGTATGTTGCTGACTCCCAGGAGTTCCCGAGACCTGAAGATGGAGGTTCAACTGCTGGACGCTGAATTTCGGGATCTGTGGGGTTGTTTTGGATGCCTTTTCCAGAATCTCTGATGTGGCATGACAAGTATGGAATGGAGACCCTTTTGACACCGCCGGAGCCACTACTGCCAGCCTCCAGCAGACTTACCGGCTAGCAACAGCCCATGGGTGGTGCTAGCACACGCCGAACCCCAACCAGGACGGGGTGCGCATGTGAACCATGGGTGGCCTGCTCCTGGGGGGTTGGACGAGACCTGCTGTTAAGCCTCCGAAGGACATCCAGACGTCGTACAGGGGGGCTATTTCTGGAGAGAGATAGAGTCATCCCAGACTTGGGACGCGAAGGGACCCGAATTTGGGAAGAGACGGGCGCATACATACATAGTAGTGTATCTATCTAGTTCATACATCAACATGACCTAAAACGTGGGATGGACGTTGCAAGGACAACATTATTATTCTGGACCAGAGCCGTAAGGAAGGTAAATCTTACATACGACCGGGTTCTGCGCGGGGACCCTCTCTTGGTAATACAAAAACCATACGGTATATATATTATGTACGTACGATACGGACAGGAGAAAGGGACGCCCCTCTGGATCTCCTCCTACTGCAGCAGCTCCCCTAAACCATCATCATCGACTTTTCGAAGAAGCGCTAGTGGGCTGACTAGACTGCAAGCGGTGTCAAGTTCATTGCTAGCCACCTAACTAATGGTCCCACCGGCTAAATATCGCAGGGAACCAGAAGCTGAGCTGACCACTGGGACCAGAGGGACCAGCGGGCGAAACGCCCATGGATCTCCTGGGACGGAGTACCCTCATACGTAATGAGAAGGCGAGATGGGATTCGTTCGTTGGGCAGATGCTGGGCAGCTCGTCCGGGCTTTTGACTGGCGGCCCCAGCCACTCCATCCTGACTAATGGGTCTTCCCTCCATCCATCCTTGCCTGTTTCAGACAAGTACAGTACGGACTTAGTCCGGGACGTACCGTTTCTACTAATCATGTAGCGGCGGAGCGGAGGAGGAGTCATAGGTAGTGTGAAGTATGAATGATGAATCATTCGAATGTCGTAATATTACGGTCATGTTATGACCCATCCGGTTGCCCCCCCGTATTACCACTGCTGCTCCTGCTTGAAACCCTTCCCTGCCGCCGCCAGTTGCTACTCGGCTTCTCTGGACATCGTTGCTGTCGGTGAACTGCACCGACGTCCCTCGTGTCCTTCCCCTCCCCCATCCACGTACAACATCTCCATCTTCCATCTCCCATCTTTCATCTCCATTCTATCTCCATCTCCTCTTCTTTCCATCCTCACCATCCCTCATTGTGTTTACGTGGGGCCTGCCCGCTCTAGGTAGCCTGATTTAATCGGCAGTATCGTTAATTAATTACGTCCCGCCACTTTTCCCGAATCCGTCGCTGTTCCGCAGCCAAAGCGGGACAACATCCGAGGGTGGTGGACACTCCTTGTGTGATTCCGCCCAAAACCGCCATCGTCGAATTGCTCCTTCATGCTCCGGTCGTCAGAAGCGACGCATAGTCCTCCTCCTCCCTCTCTTCACTACTCGCCCTCCGTTGGGGACCTCGATTGCGCCTCTACTAGGGACTCGACCCCCGTTACCACTCCCCTCGGGTTTGGCGTACCTTCGCGCAGACCGGATAGGGAAAAGCTCTCGGATTTGTCGTGGACTCGAAATCCATTCGACATCGGCGACACGCCTTCACCGTACTTTGACAGTCGGCATCTACACCCTCATTTCGACCCGGACCACGACTTCCCTCTCTTTCCCCCCTCACCTCTCCCGACCAGCAAGATGGCCGGAGCCGCTCCCATTGACATTGCCACCCGCCAGAGTTCCGTCTCCCCGCCCGGCCAGCAGGCGTCAAATTTGACGTCTGCTCTGCAGAGAGCTGGAAATGGAGACAGGACTGGCAGCATATCTCACGCGAACGGGATCGGGCTCAATGTATTCAAGGCCCCCCCTCCTCGCAAGGACTCCATCGGTGCAGCCTCTGCACAATGGGGAAACGGGACGAAACCCATCTCAGTCTCTGGATCTAACCGGGATAACACCCGCCGCGAATCTTTGGCGGGAAGCTTGGTTGGTGGAATGAGCTGGGGTGGTGTGTCTGTTGGCAGTTGGATCCGTGATGAGTAGGTGCACCCCACCCCTGCATGCGCGAGATGCAAAGTTGGGGCTCTGAGAAACTGACGCTGAGCGATCTAGTATCATTATGACCGGCACCTCTCCCTTTACTTCTTTGCAATCACCCTCCTTCCACTCTTCCTCATATCTGCCCAAGCTAGAAGCGAACTTCATGCGCGACTTCTCTTGCTGCGGGGTGACCCTCCCTACGCTCCACGACCTGCTACAGCACTACGAAGAAGCTCACGCTACCAAGTCCCCTCAACAAGGGCACCGTCCCAGTCAAGGCGACGCGAGGGCAGCTATGGCGGCTGTGGCGATGGCGCAGCAACAGGGCCAGCAGAATCACAACCAGGGCCGCGGGTTGCAGCCGGATAGGACTATAGACATGCAGCGCAAATTGAACCACAACCAGCACACCCGCACCACTCAGATATGGATACTATCGATGATATGGAGCTCGATGATACAATCGGTGATCACGATGCCGCCACCTCCCAGCTGTTTGCCCCCCCGTCACGGGATGGAAGCCAAGGAGGGTTTGGCAACGCTAACCCGAGGGTTCCACACCTGAACCTGTCAATGCTCCCAGCACATCAGGGGTTCAATACTTCTCAGCCCGGAACTCCGGTTGCCTCTGGGCGCCCTCTCTCTCTGCAGAACAACCCTACCGTTTCATCCGTCAACACACCCACTCTGATGGCGAACCCTCTGCAGACCTCACAATTCAGAACTACGCCCGATTCCTCTGCGCCGGGAACTCCGGCGGAGATGGATGAAAGCATGGTAGGTGGCTTTGGCGATCTATCTATGCAGAACCCAATGATGCAGGGCCAGTCGCAGTTTGGCAGGTTCACCGGAAACAACGACATGGTAGATCTGTGTATCGACGAGCCAGCCAAGCGATTGTTCAGTCCCACTGGCGGGATCCATACCCCCAATGCCCACTTCAAGCTCAGCGGAGCACAGTATGGTCCTAACAGTGAGATTGCTCGACGGATCCGAGAGCAACAGCTGTTGGCAGGTGTCCCTGACACCACTGCACTCCTTCCCAACGAAGAGCCAAAGCCTTTCCGGTGCCCCGTCATTGGCTGCGAGAAGGCGTACAAGAACCAGAACGGTCTGAAATACCACAAAGCTGTAAGTTTCAATCTGGATAAACACAATCAACGGTTTCTGACTCCTTTTGTAGCATGGACACAACAACCAGCAGCTTCACGATAACGCAGATGGCACCTTTTCAATTGTTAACCCCGAGACCTCGACGCCATACCCCGGAACGCTTGGCATGGAGAAAGAGAAGCCGTACCGCTGTGAGGTTTGTGGCAAGCGTTACAAGAACTTGAACGGTCTCAAGTATCACAAGTCGCACTCGCCGCCGTGCAACCCCGACTTCCAGCTCGCTACAGGTCGGAACATGGCCTTTGGTGGCGGAGTCATGCAGGGACAGAATATCAACGTTGCTGGGGCTGGCCTACCTGGCATCGGCGAAGAGGGTCTTCTATAGGGAGCCTTCCCTCCCGAAAGAATTGCTACTCATTCTCATGCATCATCTTACCCCCCAATAATTCGACGCGATGATTTTTGACGGCCTTGTCGCGCGAAATACGATTTAATGATAGGTTAGGTGGCTTGGAGTTAATGGTATGAACGTCATGTCAATCGCAGTTTGGGACGACTGTGCTTTGGTCTGGTAATAGATCAGTCCTTTTTAAGACTTTGAAGATCTCCAACGACTCATTAGCCGGTTAAGATGTCGGTACGAATTTTCCGGGTTTCGCTGCTTGCTCTCGGCCTCTTATTTTGCTTGACGGTCTTGCGATGTTCTGTTTGGGTCAGAACAGAGCTTTCCATCGTTTCCGAGTCTTTTTCTTGGTACATTCCCCAGGCCGATCAGTTACGGACCAGACAACAACATGGGATCTGGAGACAAGATCATGACTGGGTGGTTTTGGATTGAAACTGCAACATGGACACTTTGGTTCTTACTGGATATGCGATGATGGAGCACCTCATCCTATCTCGATGATTCTCTTTTTTTTTTTTTTTTTTTGATACACGAGCTTTCACTTTCGATCCGGGCGTTACCTAGGAGAAAAGGGAAGACAAGAAAAAAAAAGGAAAACTGGTGGCGCTCCGGCGTCTGTTCTGTAGATAGTGTTTTCAGACCGGCTTCTGGCCTTTTATTTTTACAATGCCTTGCTTTTTTTTCTCCTTCCGTTCTTGCGTTTCTTTTCTTTTTTTGCTTGGGGTGTTGTTGGAGAACATGGGACTGTCTGACTTTCTTTTTGAATGTTAAATTTGCTGGCCTTCTTCTTTTCTTTTCCTTACTTTTCTTGCTGATAGAGTTTTGTTACTCTTGAGATTCCCGTTTGCTTTCTTTTTCTGATCCTAAAGGTTTTTTGCGTTAAGAGAAAAGGAAGGGGGTTTAAAAAAGTCTGAACATGATCTCTACTATCTTATTTCATCTAGCTGAATATTTCCCTATCTATTTATCTATCTTTCTTGCTCTATCTCGCTTGTGCTGCTGCTGCTTGCGGCTTGCTGCTTGCTACTTTGGTTGAGAAAGTGTTTTTGTATAGCTTATGTTGTTTATGTAGTAGTAAGATTTCGCTGATAGGTTTGCTAGTAGATATATCGAGTAACTAAGTATGATGTATGATGCTACTATCTATTCCTTTTGGGACTTTCTAGAAAATTTTTATCTCTGGTCTTAGTAGTTTCATTTGCCAGAGTAGGCTCTAAACCAGCAAGCAAGCCTATTGATTAATTGCATTTTCTATCTGAGGTAATTTTCTCGATGCGTGTTGAACTTGATAGAATGTCCGTAGAATGAGTCACTTCGATTGGTCTACAAACTCCTGAGTTTCTGGGTAGTAGCTGACCTCGACTCCGTCTGAGTGGCCTTACTTATAAAATCAAGAAAGCCTGCAGTACTCCGTAACCACCATTTGTATCTATCTCAACTCCAAATTAACGGAAGTAATCAAAACAACCAATGGAGAGAGGAACTTTATAGAATACACAACAGACACATTTCTTTCCTAGCTCGCTTACCTTAAGCCCTTCTTGTTTAATTATTATTATGGATACTACTTTTGGTTTGTAAAAAAAAAAAGAAACTGTTTCATTGGAATATGTCACCTTATTCTAGTACAGCTGTTAACTGAAAAAAGAAATTGAACCGCCCCGTCCATTCCACCAGCATAAGCGCCACATACATCCAATGTGTGAAAGGCGAAAGAGTAGTATGAGAAATTTGATCAAGCATGTGAAAATGGAGAAAAATAAAAAAAAGAAAGAAAAGGGAAAAGACAAACAACAATCCCGGTGGGGGGGGTTACTTCGTGAAAGGGAAAAAGGGAAAAAGGGAGAAAAAAAAATCAAATATCGTCATTGAGGCAAATTTCCGCTTGCACCGACCGACCATCCAGACGTATGTTGTGTGTGTAAAGAAATCAGATATTGTGGGGTTTCTTTTCTTCTTCTTCGTTGCTCGTAGAATTCTGAGGCAGATCTGGGAGGTTTTACAGGTTGGAAGTAGATAAAGACCAGATAAGAAACATGTGGTAGATTGGAGAATGAAATGGGAAGAAATGGGAAGAGGGGGATTCAAAGCTCGAGTTTGAGTTGAGCGGTTCTTTGACGTTCCGTCTACCACTCAAATTCTCCTTGACCTTTGTGAAAGACGTATCTAATATCATGGTTAGCGGGACTGAAGTCGGCCCAGGAGGATATATGTACTCACTCTTTGCCTCCAGTAGTCAGAATGCCGTCCTTGAGTGTGCACTTCCACTTGTTTTTGACGCGCTGCACCTTGTCATAGGTACAAAGCATGACTTGGCCTACGGCGTCCTCGGCGTCATGGTCCTCGGCGACAAGGTCATCCGGGTCGTCAAGGTCAGAGTTAATAGCGTCCTCGTCATCCTCGTCATTTTCATCATCGCCTCCCGGGCCATCGAATTGAGCACCAGGGATTTTGGGAGGCTGTGCCGGATTTGGTTCTTCCTGGGTGGCCAGGAGCCCACGTGTCGAAGCCTTGGGTGGGTTCTGCTCGCTCAGGGGCAGCATAAGACCACCTCCCTCGAGCTGGCGCATACGTTGCTGCAGGTGTTCGCGAAGAATGCGGTCGCCTTCTCCACCCTGGCGTTCAGCAGCCTCCCGTCTTCGTGCAACCTCTGCCTTCCATGCAGACAGTGCGTCATCGCCGGCACCATCAGTTTGAGCGTTCCCTACAGGGGGCTGGGACACAGGCGGGTAGCCGGGTTCTTGCTTGATCTGGGGAGCCTGGCCATTTGGAACATTCTGCATATTTGGGGGACGTTGCTGGCCCGGCACTCCCATACCTTGTGACTGCGCCTGCAGCTGGCTGACCGAGCTGGCGGCAGCAGCGCCGTATCGCTGACGAAGCATATGGGCAGCACGTTCCTGGGCCGACTGGCTGTTCGGGGCATTGGGCATCATCATATTGTTCATGGGGATCATTCCAGGCTGGCCAGGTTCAACCTTAATGTGCTGCGGCGGCTGACCCATGGCACCGGGAGCGGCTCCGATAGGAGCAGGAGTTTGCAGCGGGGGTCCTGGACCAGGGACGGACTGCGGGAGGGGTTGTTGTTGGGGAGGGGGAGGAGGGACATGTTGATGTTGAATCTGAGGGGGAGGACCAGGCCGAGGAGCATTGGAAGGTACGGTTGCTGTAGGAGGGAGGATGCTTTGAGTCTGGGGAGGAGCGGGCTGCGGTGGGGGAGGGTCCCAAGGGAAGTGAGCGACGCCCACGGAGGAGAGCTTTTTCTGCCAACTCTGCAGGTGAAAAGATTAGCATAGTGTCATCGGCCCAACGTGCAAATAAAATAACAAAAGTGAGTTAATTCATGGGTTCCAAAGGGAGCATGTCGAAGGGAGGGGGAAAGGTGAAACGGGCAGCGAATGACGATGTTGGGACGGCTTGGCGGGCCGACTAGGGCGGGTAAAAGCGGCGCGGTATAAAAAGAGACTCAAAAGCCAGCGACTCCCCCAGAGGCCGCCGCCTCCCGCACCTCTCGGACCCCGCTTGGGGCATCCTCCCCTGGGGGTTCCCCCAACTCCCACCCTTTCGGCCCACGAACGATCTCTCACGATGAAGAAAAAAAGTGTTGCTTACGTTCCGCAGGTCTATCAGTGTCTGCTGGTCCACTCCACTCTCTTCAAAGTCCACCTGGGAGCCATCACAAACCTCCTGGATGACTCGATCGAACACCGTGCCCTAGATGACCTGGTATGAGCAACGTTCTCACGGATAGTCTGACAGGACTGGGATCAGGGGAGCTTTGGAGGTCGTATAAAGTCACAGTCCTGGCTCACATGCCCCCAATTTCGGGACGGCAGGGAGGGTTGTTGATTAAATAACACTTACCACCTGCTGGTTTGACATGATCGCCGAGTCGAGACCTCAGAGAAGGCCCTCGTCGAATCAGGTAAAGGAGAATTGGAACCGAAGGAGGGCGGGATAGATTTTCTGTTCTCTAAAAGAAAGAAAATGAAAAGAAAGCACGGGGGCCTATCAAGAGTCGCGATCACAACGTGGGCAAGGAACCTGGCTTATCACGGGTGAAGCTTCGCCGTCGCCGCGGTCGCTTGCCACGGGCGAATGCGACAGTCGGGTCTCCGCAGCCACTACTTCCGACCGCCCCTAGACCGGTGCGGCTTCTGTAGATGGACTTCCTTATTGAAAGGATCAAATATGAGAGATTTCCGAGCGTACCGAGCTGTAGAACGCGTGAAGAATCCGAGAGGGTGGGATAAGACAAGGCAGGCGTGCCGGAGGGATGTGGTTGAGGTGAAAGTCGCAGTCCCCGGGCGAAATCCGCCTTCCTCCCGCCTGCTGAGTCACGCCCCGCTAGTCCCGTCTGGGATTTCCGGGGGATCTGCTCTCTTGCTCTCGCCACTCCACATCGCCCTGGCCTAGATCCTCTCGGGGGATCAGAGCCATCTGAAATCTAGTGGCATCTTGCCCACATATATGTCGTGTGGCACTGGTGCTATCCCAAGTCGACTGCCTACCATTTGCTTCTGCCCTTCTGCATGTCTCATAGCAACCACTCTATTTTACTAGAGAGAGACAGCTAAGCACACCAATGACCTGTTTCTTTTGAGTGTCCTTAGAGCGGCTCTTACTTTGGTCTCAGACATAATGTTTTCTCCTAGTCAGGTGATTTGATATTCTAACATGGTCTCTACCAGGGCGTCAATTGGGAAGTCTCCCCGAGGCATAACACGCAGGCTCGATAGGCGTCGCAACCCTGCCAGGAGCTTTTAAATAAGACGCAGATGTCAGATAAGGGGGAATGTTTGCATCTTTATTAGAAAAAGAATGAGATTGCAGATATAACCAAATTCAGGCGAGTTCGGGTGGTATAGTAACTCTGTTGCCCTCTACCGCGGGTTTTTGGCACCACTAACCAACTAACCAGTAGAGGATACGACGCTAACGTTTGACTCGCAGCAATCTAGGCCTCGATGTGCCCACAACGAGATACTGACCATGAAGTACATTCAGTCGATCGACACCACAAAGTTGACAAATTACAAAGGACACTGCAGTCCTCGGAAATGAGAAGAGGATCCTGCCCAAAATCCAGCTTGTAATGTATGCCTTGGATATATGGTGATTGGAGCAGAGCGTTCACTCTAAGACGAAGTCTGCGAAGACAACCGATACACGCGAAATATCCAGTGAGATGGACTCTTATGTGATTTGGAATTTATTTCAAGTCTGGTCCGTGGGCCAATGCTGCTATGGAAATTAGAAGCGAACCTCTCTAATCTCATAGAAAGCAAGATAGTTTCATTGACCAGCGAAGGACTTTTGAAGATTCGATGGTGTTCACATCTGTTGCAAGAATGCGTTCTAGATGCTAGCCCGAGGCCCATGGAGAATCAAAGTAATTGAATTACAGTGACAATGAACAGACTATGTAGTATTTAGCTTAGGCCTATGTAGTATGTGCACGAGAACGGTCCTGATTTAGGGCCGGGGTAGGTTTAAAGTGCGATCCACTTCATCGAGCCAACTGACAGAACTCTAAGTTAGTCAAAGTGAAAAAAAAAAGTCTGAGCTTTCTACTCCGTATTATTGCCAGCAATATTCCAAGTTTCCAGCAGGAAAGAATTTAGGGCTCCCACATCCGCGGAGACCCTTACCGATCTCGGCAAGGCCGCGGCATCCGCCCCAGAACCGGGAGGTGGCCCCATGGACGGCCAACTTTCTTCTATCCACTCCCCTGTGTTATTCTCCATCGAAGTCCCCATCGCACCGGGTGGTATTGGATAGAAAGAAGAAGTATGAAGCGGAAAAACGACGCCGTTCCGGGTGACATGGTGCAGCGGTGGGCCCGGCCACCTTTATCTTGCCGCCTATGTCGGGCGAAGAAGCTCCGCTGTGATCGCGCCCAGCCCTGCTCGAACTGCGTGTTGAGGAAGGTTTCCTGCCAATACGGCGGTCAGGGTCTATCGGACGAGTCCGAGGAGATGAGGGGTGAGATACAGAGGAGGGACCAGCCTGCAGCTGGTACTTCATCGGCATCGCAATCTGGACCCCGGCCGGCAACTGCTGTATCTCCCGCGTATGGCCAATTTATGGGCTCACTGTGAGGATATCTGGGAATCATGAATTGACTTCGCTGATATAGTTTCACAGAGATCCGACCGATGTCCTCAATAGGATTCGCAGGCTGGAAGAGGCTGTCTTCGACAAAGCTCAAGCAGTACGAGGTAGGCTAGACAAGAACATTGTCACTAGTCCAAGGCCGCCTTATTGGGTTGTATGAAGCAATTAAACTATCTAGGATGCAGGCTAACAGGCTAGAGACCCACCTGATAGTTTTTTGGGTACCGGAGGGAGCAATCCCACAGCCTCGAGCTTGAACACAAGCACAGTAAGTAAATACATTTCTCATTCTTCTCATCGTCCTATTCTGATGCATCAACAGACACAAGCATCGAGCCATGACAGCGGCACTCCATCTGCAGATATATCCCTCTCCTCATCGCAAAAAAATATAGATAGTCTAGATGACTGGATACGAGACATGAAGCGTATGTCCGGATGTCTTCCCCCGTGGCCACAGGCCCGACAGCTCTTCAACCAATTTGCCATGGTCATCCAGCCAAATTTTGGAGTCCTTCACATTCCAACCGTTAAAGCTCTAGTCGACAAGAGCTATCAGACTATGCTCGAAGGTGGAGACCCAAGCTCCGATGTTGTGATGCTACTGCTCAGCATATTTGCGGGCGCTGCTTTGGTTGCAACGCCCGAGCTCCTACAGACGCTGAATGCCACGCAAGTCGAGGTCAACTCAGCCTTCAGGACGTACACACGCCTCGCGATGGCCATCCTTGACAACAACCTTCACCCAGTTTCCCCATCAACTGTCGCGCTTGAAGCCATCAGCACGCTAGCTCATGTCCTCAGCCATGCGGACGGCTATTCTGATAGAGTTCAATCACTCCGAGTGCGCGCGATGCTCATGGCACGAACGATGCAGATTCACCGTCTCGACACAGCCAAAAGCCAAGACGAAAGAAACCGGTCTGGATACAACAACATTGAGATTGAAGTCCAGCGCCGAATATGGTGGCATCTAGTTTCCTCCGACTGGTATCCCCCTCCCCCCTCCCCCTACCCCCAACCTTCCCTTCCCCTTCCCTTTCCCCACATACTAACAACCACAACCACACAGGATCATATCCTTCTCCCAAGGCCCCCAAGAAGGCACCTACTTCATGCACCCAGCACACATGAAAGTTAACCGCCCCGCCAACATCAACGACGAGCAGCTAACCGCCAACGGCCCCGAGCAAAGCCTCCCCCTAACCACACATACCTCCATGTCTGTCTTCCTGCTGCGAATCCAACACGCCGAACTCTGCCGCGAAGTCGTCGACACCCTCTCCTCAACCTACACCACCTCCGAGCCGCCAGACTACTCCCTCATTCTGGCTCTGGACCAGAAATTCCGCAACTTCATCAACTGCGTGCCCCCCTTCTTCCAAATGCCCCTAATCCCCACCACAACAACCACATCCAGTGCCAACCCCCAATCCAACCCCCAATCCCATCCCCACGAATCCCCCTCCATCGCTCGCCACCGCACAATCGGCCACCTAGGCTTCCACATCCGCCTCTGTCGTCTGCACCGCCCCTTCCACCGCCTCGGCTCCGCAAACTCCCAATACGCCTACTCGCGTACCGTATGCATCCGCTCCGCGCAAACCGTGCTCGACCTGCACCGCACCCTCGACCAGCTTGACGACGCCAACAAACGCTCGAAATACTGGCCCATCATGCACCACGTCTTCTTCGCCGCGATGGTGCTAGCCACAGACGTGTCGATGAACCCAACAGATCCCGGCGCGGAGGCCCGCAAGCAGGAGGTCTTGCATGTGGTGGCGTTGCTGGAGAGGGAGAGATTTTTGTCGAGTACCCTGGGGGAGGCTATCCAGAAGAATGAGCAGACTTTGTTGGCGATTTTGAGGGGAGAGAGAGAGGTAGGGGGGCAGAATCAGCAGCAGGGGGTTGGTGGGAATGAAATGGGGGAGAACGAGGCGGAGGATGGGCAAGTACAGCGGCGGGTCTCTGGGGCGGGCGGGATGATGCCAAGTGGGCAGGTTTCGTCAACGGGGGAGGCAGCAGCAGCAGCTCCTACTCCTGGTGATGGGACGGGATGGGGTGTATTGAACGAAGGTGGAGAAGAAAGTTGGGGCCAGCTGTGGTCTGATCTATTCAACGTGGCACCGGAGGGAATAGATGGGCTGCAGTGGGATTCGTTGCTAAATGATTGGGATCTTTCCCTTGAAGCCGGCTTCTAGGAGAGAAAGAACAGAAGACGAGAGTTGCTCATAATATGCAAATTTCTATACAAGAACCTGACTGCTAATATACGGTCGAGCCTAGATACAAACGCCGATTACCGATGAACTCCCCTTTCCACCTGTGAATTCCAAAACCCCCATGTACTAATGAACCGATATTCCCAATGGTATCAAGACAAACCCGGTCCGCGATACCGAAATCCAAAGAAAAGACATGGTCATGAGGTATGACCAGAAAAAAAAGTAACCGAAATAAAACAGAAAACGAGACACTCTACCGAATGGTCATAGACTTGGTCAACTGGGCCTTGCTTCCAACGCCGCCTTCGCGAGAGGCAGAGGCATTCGTGCCGGCCTTACGCTCGAAGATCTTCCAGAACTTCAAGCTCTCGTCGGCAGCTGCGGTGGCCAGGAGCTGGCCGTCTGGGCTGAGGCAGCTGTGCAGGACACGAGTCTCATGGGCCGGGATCTCGACGTTTCGGACCAGAGTGGGGTAGCTCCAGATGCTCAGAGAGTTATCGGGGAATCCACTCGAGCTGACGATCTCGCGGTAGTGGTTGCTCCACCTCAAGCTGGTGACCTGGGAGCCGGTGTCGATGCTGTTGGTACGAGCACCGGTGGTGGTGTTCCAAAAGTGGATATGGCGATCGTAGGAACCTCCACCGGTGGCGAGCAGGTTCAGCTGCCAGGGGCACCAGCTCAGAGCCTTGACAGCGGCGCGGTGGTTGGTCTTGGTAAACTTGGGCGCGCTGAGAGACCGGGCATCCCAGATGTTCACCAGGTTGTCGTTACCGCCGGTGGCAATCTGAGCCCCATCGGGCCTCCACTCCAGGCCACAGACTTCCGAGGTGTGCGAGACCAGCTCTGCAACCTTGTGCTGTGCAATGCGAACGTCGTGGTTGTAAACCAGACCACTCCGGGCACCGGTAGACAAGGTGTGCTTGGACCAGCCCATGACACCCACGCGCGAGTCGTGACCAAACATGCTCCGAAGCTTGGAGCCCTCCTCAACGTCCCAGATCTGAACCTCGCCAGTTCCCAGGCCAACACCGACGTAGGCACCGTCGCCACTCCACTTGACACTGCTCACGTACGTATCAGGAGAAGTCTCCAGCAAGCAGCTGACCGATCCCGAATCAGCCGACCACACGTACACATTGCGCTCCAGACCGATCGCGACCTGGTTTCCAGAGCTCCAATCCAGAAGGTTCAGATAGTAGTCGTCCAGAAGTCCGGGAGCATCCAGAACACGCTCGGGAGCCGTTTGGACTCTTCGACGGAACTGAGCAGCCTGTGACTTGGCAGGCTTGAGGGGACGGTTGTACTGGGCGCGCAAGTCAATCGGCTTCGAGGACTCGGGAGGCGGGGGCTTGAAGGCAAGGATGCGAGTGTTCAGGTTGACTCCACACGCGTCAGCCAGCGACGATTCATAAGCAACAGCGTCTGGCGCCGGTTTGGTGTATGATGTTGTCGGCTCGCTGTCCTCAAGTCCCAAGCTTTCGAGAGCCGCAGTGATGTCTTCGTCGCTCCCGCGACCACCAATGTCAAAAGCACTCGCAGCGCTCGCCAGCACAGAGGATCCGTCGTTGCTGCTGGACTTCGGCCGCTGGCTCTCCTCCGGCTTGGCTGCGCCTGCTGTGACCAGGCCCTCGCTGGCGGTGCGGTTGGGAATGAATCTGTCACCGGCAGTGTGCGGAATACGAACGGTCGTCTTTCCGGGCCTCGTCCGAGTGGTAACCTCCTTCCTGGGTGCCTCTTTTCTCGACACTTCCTTCCTGGGAGCTTCCTTTCTGGTAACTTCCTTCCGAGTCACCTCTTTCCGCAGCCGCTCCTTAGATGGCGTCTGGGAAGGACCGGTACCAGTCAGAGACCATTCGGAAACCGCGAGCTCCAGATGCCTGGGCGATTTGCGAGTGCGAGCGCGAGCGATGTTGGACTTGGGAGATTCGCGGTAGCTGCGAGTTGTCCTTGAGACGGACTTGGCGAAGTATGAGGAGAGATTGCCGCTGTAGACGGACTTGCTGTGATCCTTGCTGGAGTCTTGCGCTCCGCAGGGAGGTGTGAATGGAGAGGAAGGGTTTGATGTCACACTTCCAGCCCGTGTGCGTGGTGAAGGAGTCAGGGGCATGCGGCCTCCGGCAGTCTTGGTGGAGAAGATCCCATGGTGAGTCTTCACCGGGGTTGCCACTGTGGGGGTAGCCATGTTGATATATAATTATCTGTGAGCAATAGAAGGGGTATCGAGAAGAAAGTGACTTCGAGGTCCAGTCGTAAGACCAATCCAGTCGTGCACTGGGTTGGACTAAGGACGAAGAAACCTAAATGCAACAACTGGGTACTGAATGCAAGCAGGGAATTCAATCCCAGACAATATGGTATGCAGAGAATAGCAGATAAACAACAAACTCGCGACAGATGAGGAGAGGAAAGGGAGGAGGGCGAGGAGAGGAGCGAGGAGAGGCGAATAAATAAAGCGTATAGTTCTGCTTTCCCATGGCAACGCCGGTTACTGGAGGTACGGCTGCCCTAGGCCGCATCGGGTTAGGCTGCACCTGACGTGCGGCTCTTCCCCTTTTGGTGACGATCGGCTTGGCGGTTGCCTCTTTCTTTCTTTTCCCTTTGACACTCATCGGCTGAGGCGGAGGCGCCTGTGGATTAGAATCACTATGTGAGGGGTGAATGTGTTACTCCCATCGACGATTCCCTCCTTCTGATACCAGCGTTGATCCACTACTCTTACCAACCCCCTTTTTCGGCGCTCAGCAGGCAGGAGAGACCCAGCGACCGGAGACCCTGATGGCGCGGCAACCGTCCTCCACTACCGCCCGGAATAGTAACGCTTCGTCGTTCCACGCCGACCCACCGCTTTGGACCGGGTCGTCCAGAGCTTCCAACCCGATGACTCCCCTTTCCTCCACCCCTCAGAGACCGCTGTCTGCATTCCTCATGCCCCCTAGTCCGAACGATGGTCGCCGTGGCAGCGCGGAGTACCGCCCGAGCATCCGCAAGGCGCAGGGCCATGTGCCAGCGTGCCTAGTCAACGCCTCAGTGACGTATTGCAATAACGACCAGCTGTACGCTTTCGGCGGGTTCGACCAATATACCGATGAAGGTTTATATCCTCCGCCGCTGCATGATGCCCTTTTGCGGGTCACACTTCTGGTCACTACTAATTCAATTCCTTTTGATTAGTGTACAACCACGTCCTGCGATTGAATTTAAATACTCTTCGGTGGGAGCTAATCGACAACTATGGAGATATCCCCGGTGTTCGCATGGGTTCGTCATACCCGCGTCGCTGGATGTTTCGCTGCTACGGACCACGCTAACTGATTTAATTCCTCTGTAGGTCACACGGCTACTCTGTACCAGGGTGATAAATTGATTGTGTTCGGTGGAGAAAATGAGCACCGCGAGTATCTCTCCGACGTTGTTATCCTGGACATCTCTAGCTCTACCTGGACCCAACCGGAAATCCGCGGATCTATCCCACGTGGAAGGGCTCGCCATGCGGCCGTTATCTATGACGAAAAGCTCTTCATCATAGGCGGTGTTACTGGAGAAAACAATGTTATTCTGGACGACCTGACGTACCTGGACCTGAAAACTTGGACCTGGTCGCGAACTTGGAGATTCACGGCCCGGTTTGACCATATCGCCTGGGTTTGGGGTGGTCGCCTCTGGATCTTTGGGGGGCTTGATCCCGATATGGAGCGCACGACCGATATCTGGTGGCTGGATCTCAAAGGCATACCGGCTCTTGGAATGACAACTTCGCAAGGTACCGTGGATTCCCCGACTACAATCGGCAGAATGACTTATAGTCCAGATGCGATGCTTAGCAGTCCACCACAACCGCTGTCCGGCCGGTCCGGTAACTATGCAGCAAATTCCGGGAGCGTACAGGTGCGCAATAACAACCGACGGAGACCGATCGCTCCGGGCGCCATTTCTTGTCTTCGGTTCAAATCTGGTCCCCATGTTCCTGCGCTGTTTTCTGGCACCCACTTCCAGGCCTACGCATCCGGTGTGCTCCTGGATCTCATAACTCCATCTGAGACGGTGCGCACGTATGAGTGCAACCTGTCGTCCCTGGACCTGGATGCGTTACGCTGGCAACGGCTGGCGGACGGACAAGAGATCTTCAAGCCGGGATTTCGATGGCATTACTGTACCGTAAATGCGAGCGGAACCAAAGCGTGGCTGCTAGGCTGCAGTCTCGACGTTGGCGCCACTCCCGGAACCAGTGATGAAAACCACATGAGCGAGGTGCTTTGCATCGACCTGGAGAGATACGGTCTACTGGGCAATGAAATGGCCGCTTTCTCACCCAACCAAAGCAGGATGACTCTTTCGGATCAGACCGGGATGCCGCCTCTCTCCGGCCTTGGGGCTGACCTCTCCGCGGTTTTCGATCAGCCACCCGAGTCCGGTAGCGATGCCGACTTCATCATCACTGCCAATCCGGATGACCATTATGAGGACAATGATGATTCTGAGGATGATCCTGCCCCGCAGCCCGAGCCAGCATTTCTGTCCCCCAACGCGGCTACGTCCCCTCCGATCCACGTACACCGGATTATTCTGCAGCTGCGGTGGCCGCATTTCAAGAGACTGTACTCCGCCCAGATGGCCGAATACCATTCGAAGAGAATGCATATTCCTGAGCCGTACTCTGTTGTCCGTGCGTTCATATACTATCTGTACACGGACAGCATTGCAGGCCATCCGGAGTACTGCTCTGACATCATTGACGTTGCGGGGATGCTTGTCATGGCGAATCTGTACGACATGCCCAAACTGCGTCTGCTGTGTGTCAACCGCTTGAGCCGCGAACTGGATGTGGAGAACGCCGCGATCATCTGGGAGCGCGCCGGCCGTACAAACGAGGAATGGCTGATGCGTCGTGCAGCGCAATTCTGCCTGGGTAACTGGGGCCGTGTTGTACGAACGGAAGGCTTCAAGTCTCTCAGCCGGCAGAGCCTGATCGAACTCTGCGAGGTGGTCGACACGGAGGGTCGGATCATTGCCGGGCCCGAACTGGAGATGGTCGGAGCGCTGGGCGAGGGGCTTGGGGCCAACAAGGAGTCGAAGCCGTCGCAGATGACGCTGAACGGCGCTACAGCTGACAACGCAGACGATTTTGACGGCGATGAAATGGACGGGATGGAGATTCTGTGATTTGGTTCTGAAAAGTTGTTTTGTTGAGCCAGACTGAGACATTTCTTACACATTTCTTACACATTGCTTCAGATTTTGTGCTTTCATACAGCATTGATTACATGGCGGCGTGATTCTGGATGGGGGGCGTATGGATCAGGATGAGCATTACGGGACAGGAGTTACGAAGGACATGGCTGGGGCGTGTTACTAGTATGAGATTGATCAATGCGATGATTTATTTGCAGCCTTGCACAGATCCCCCCAGTGTATAGATAGCTTTCAGCGCTAATCCGCATCGACTTCGGAGGGCGGCCCGTCCAGCCGGCGTGAGCCCCGCCTGGCATCCAACCGGTTCTCTCATCGTACTCGTTTCCATCTCATGTCGTTGACCGGTGGTACTCTGCTGCGGGGTGATGGCTATATCTATATATGTCTCCCCCGCCGCTTGAACTCGTCAATCCACAATCACCTCGCATCTAGTACTTCCCAACTATACATCGCCCACCTTCAATTATATACAATAACCCGGCCTATCCAAAACCAAACACGATGGGATCGATAACGACCACTTCCACTCTCCCCCCAGACTTCCTCTGGGGGTTTGCGACCGCCAGGTATCTCTCACCACCTTCACCACCAATCTTCCCACCTGCTAACAAACCCCCTCGTCAAACACAGCTACCAGATCGAAGGCGCCGTCACCGAAGACGGCCGCGGCCCCTCCATCTGGGACACCTTCTGCAAGATCCCAGGCAAGATCGCCGGTGGAGCCACCGGTGACGTCGCTTGCGACTCATACCACCGCACCGCCGAGGACATCGCCCTGCTGAAGGAATGCGGTGCCCAGGCGTATCGCTTTTCTATCTCATGGTACTCCCCCTCTCCCCCATCTTTCCCCCCGACACCCACACCCACGCCCACGCCCAGACAACCCACTAACCAAATCGAAACAGGTCCCGCATCATCCCCCTCGGCGGCCGCAACGACCCCATCAACGCAGATGGTCTCCAGCACTACATCCGCTTTGTGAATGACCTCCTCGCGGCGGGCATCACACCCTTGGTCACGCTCTTCCATTGGGACCTTCCCGATGAGCTAGACAAGCGGTACGGCGGACTGCTGAACAAGGAGGAGTTCGTAAAGGACTTTGTCCACTACGCGCAGGTCGTCTTTGAAGCCCTGGCGGGCAAGGTCAAGCATTGGATCACCTTTAATGAGCCCTGGTGTAGCAGTGTGCTGGGGTATAATGTGGGGCAGTTCGCGCCGGGGCGGACGAGTGATCGGACGAAGAGTCCGGTGGGCGATGGGTCCCGCGAGTGTTGGGTTGTCGGACATAATTTGCTTGTGGCGCATGGCGCCGCGGTGAGGGTTTATAGGGAGGAGTTTAGGGGGGTTGATGGGGAAATTGGGATTACACTTAATGGTGAGTTGGGTTCTTTCTTTCTTTCTTTACATGGTGTTTGGGACATGACCCCTTCGGGGATATATGTATGGATTGTTGGCTTACTCTTGTTGTGCTTGTCATGGGGATCATTAGGCGACTGGGCTGAACCCTGGGACCCCTCTAACCCAGCGGACGTGGAGGCCAGTGAGCGAAAGCTCGAGTTCACGATTGGCTGGTTCGCGGACCCTATCTACAAAGGGAAATACCCGGACAGCATGATCCAGCAGCTCGGGGACCGGCTCCCGCAATGGACGGAAGAGGATATCTCCCTCGTGCGTGGCAGCAATGACTTCTACGGCATGAACCACTACTGCGCCAACTACATAAAAGCAAAGACGGGTGCGCCTGACCCCGACGACACGGCTGGTAATCTGGAGATCCTGCAGCAGAACAAGAACGGCGAGTTCGTCGGCCCCGAGACCCAGTCAACTTGGCTTAGGCCGTCGCCAATCGGGTTCCGCAAGCTGCTGAAGTGGTTGAGTGAGCGGTATGAGCATCCCAAGATCTATGTTACTGAGAACGGGACCAGTTTGAAAGGCGAGAATGATCTCCCGCTGGAGGAGCTACTGCAGGATGATTTCCGCACGGAGTATTTTAGGGGTTATGTGGCTGCCATGGCGGATGCTTCTGCTTTGGATGGTGTGAATGTGAGGGCTTATATGGCGTGGAGTTTGATGGAGTGAGTTTCCCCTTCCTTTTTATTTATTTTTTTTTTTGTTTTTCCTTCTTATTTCTTTCTGTTCATCCCTTTTTTTTTTATGCCCTTTGTATTTTTGGGGGAGAGATTGATCGGTTCCTAACTTTGATACAAGCAACTTTGAATGGGCAGACGGATACGAGACCCGGTTCGGGTGCACCTACGTCGACTACGAGAATGGCCAGAAGAGGATCCCCAAGGACAGTGCCAAGCAGCTGCGTCAGATCTTCGACCAGTATATCCAGAAGTAAGGTGGATTCTGTCAGTCTGTGTAGCTATCGATTTATTCTATCGTATTGTTTATTTATTCCATAGTCTTGAAATGATGCCACAGCTTAAGCATAGACCTCGTAGACGGCTACCCGGTATACAGTCTTGATGTACTACTCCGTAGGAGGTAGGCAGTCTCATCAGTCTCACTTTTCCAATCCAGTCCTTAGATTTAGTACATGCATTTCTGGCTCACTGGCCACTGTACCCTTGAACAAATCATTTTGTTAAAAGGTGCCGGACAGTAATATCTGATAGTACCATAATCATAGACAGCGCAGACACAGCACTGGCCATAATAACTCTTACATGAGTGTGTCGCGTGAACACAAATTGTTCATCAGCAGATGAGTAAGGTAGGTACGTTATACATACAGTTTAAAGAAACGACAACAGAAATGAATAGCAAAGCCATCTTCAGATAATAGCCTGACTCATTCTCCATCCATACCCATAATTCACCTCAGACACCAGCGTAACTACCATATCCATACATCTACCCTACCCACATCTTCTAAGCCACCATACCCATACCCATAGCCCATATTCCATAGCCCATACATAACATCATATTGACAGATATAAGACAAGTCAATAAAAGACGTCAACCCACCCATCCACCCCCCTCCCACCCAATAACCTTCAAATCAATATTCATCATCTTCAACATCATATCCATAGTAAATTCCTACCCCCAAAGAGCATTAGCTTAGTTTAGCTACCAGTCAACCCTCAACACTACCCCCCTCCTCTCCCTTATCCTCAGAAAAATCGAGAAAAAAAAAAAAAAAAAAAAAAAAAGGCACAAGAAGGAAAGAACTTACCTCATCCTCATCCTCATCCTTATCTTTCACCCCTTTCCCCTTCTTCGCATCATGATCCCCATCCCCACCTCCCTCACAATCCCTCCCATAATCAAAGTCAGAGCCATACCCCCCCGTCTCTCTCTCTCGTTCTCTCACCCTCTCCCTTTCCTTTTCCTTCAACCCCTTCACCCCCCACCCCTCTCCACCCTCTCCCGCGCACCCACAAATACCTCCTCCGCCGCCCGCTGACTCACCCCCCTCCACTTGGCAATCAGGGCCTCGAGGTCCGCGTCCGTGGAGGAGCTCTCCAGGCGATGCGCCTGCGTGATGGTTTCGAGGGTGCGGCGCAGTTGGATGAGGTTTCTCTGGAGGGTTTGGTGGGTTATTCTTAGCGGGTCCGGGGTGAGAGGGGAGTCAGGTTTGGGGTGGGGTGTATGTTTCAGTGTCGGTTTGGGGGTGAAGGGGGTGGATGGTTGAGGGTCTGGGTTTGTATTTGTATTTGTATTTGTATTGGTGTCTGAGTTTGCGGTTGCGGTTGCGGTTGCGGTTGCGGCTGTGGTTGTGGTTGGATTGGTTGGTGTTGCTGCAGTTGAGGATTTATTTGGGACTGTGGCTGTAGCTGCCTCTGTGTCTGTGGCTGGTGTTGTCGTAGCTGCTGCTGCTGGTGCTGGTGCTGGTGCTGCTGGTCTGCGCAGCGGGGACTTGAACGGCTTGGAGAGGGTAGATGCCGCGTCGTTGAGACGGCGGCGTTTGTTGGTGCTGGCGCTGCTAGCAGGATTGGGGGTTGGAGGCGCCATTGCTTCGATATGGGTATATATTTTTACAGTCACATTGATGGCTCAGATGAGGCAATTGGAATGGACTGGATGAAGGGGGAAAAGAAAAGAAAAGAAAAGAAAAGAGGAAGAGAAGAAGAGAAGAAGAGAAGAAAGACGTATACAAACGAAGTGTGGAGAAGCCTTATCGATAAGGCCTCAGTCCAGTCAGCTGATAAGATACACCGAATGCACCAATGAATGACATCATCAAATTTTACTGGTACGGAGTAGAGAAAACACAATATACAGTCAGTCCATTAAGATAGCGCCTCTACGAAAGTACCACTACCACTAGATCAATGAAATGTATCAATGCCCCACGCCCCCAGCCGCCCACTGCGCGAATTCCGGCTCGCCCGGCCGAGGAAAGAACCCCCGATCATTGACATTCGCATTGCCATTGGCATTCGCATTCCCCGCAGCCGCAACCCCCCCGTCGTTCTGGCGCTGTCGGTTGCGTTGCTGGCGCAGATAGACCAGGATCAGCAGGGTGGCGGCCAGACTGACGATGATCAGGCCCTCGAGGACGCTCTCATCGATATCCAGCTCCAGGTCGTCGTAGTAGCCGTCGTCGTGCCGTTCATCGAGCCGGTTACTCGACATCATGTCCTCATCTTCCTCTTCGGCCCGTTTGTACATCTGCGCGCGGTAGTTTGCTTCTTCCTCCTCGTCGTTTTCGATGAAGGCGGCAATCCATTCCTTTAGGGTTCTGTGGGGGCGTACGTCTGGTGATTGTAGAGTTAGTCTCGTCTGGTTGGGAATGAGCACGTCCGGTCAGTCATCATACCTTCTTCCTCCCGGATCGGGTTCACGTCTCCGTTCGTCAGCCAGTTCCAGTACCCCCGCATCCGCAGCTTCAGCAGACTGAGCTTCACGGGCAAGTACGCCTCCGAGCTGGTGCTCAGCGCCAGGTCGTAGTACCGCTTGGCCATGTGGAAGTCCTGGTCCACGGCCACGCCATTCTCGTGCATCCAGCCCAGGTTCCAGTACGCCTGGGCGCTGTAGTGGACTTCCGCCGCGGTGTGGTAGCAGGTCGACGCCTTCTCGGCATCCTCCGCGATGCCCATGCCCGCCAGGTAGTAGTCGCCCATCTTGATCAGCGAGTCGATGTTCGCCTGTTTGGCCGACCGCGTCCAGTAGATCAGAGCCAGGGCCGCGTTGCGGAGCAGGGCCGGCCGGCTCTTCTGCGTACCGGGGATGATCGAGTCCAGCGGGAGCAGAGATCGCTGCTCATCGAGCAGGAATGCCACGTTGGACTGCGCGTGCTCGTACCCCTGTTCGGCAGCCATCATGGCCGGCACGAGAGCCCGCTCCTTGTCGCCGTTCTCGTACGCCGTGTTCGCTTCCTCCCAGGACGAGTGGATGGCTTCTGCCCGCTCCGCAACCATCTTGTAGTACGATGCCGCCATCCCACAGTGTCGTTCCCGGCCGATTCCGTTGTTGGACAGCTCCGCCAGGTAGTAGAACGCCTCCATCCACCCCCAGCGCGCAGCCAGCTCGAAATACCGCGTGGCCGTCTGCACATCGCCCTGGTCCAGAAACAGGGCGCCCAGTCTCGTTTCCGACGCCGGGAAGTCCTGCTCGGCCGCGGCTTTGAAGTACGATGCGGCGCGGAAGGCATCCTGCACCACGCCGTATCCATGCAGGTGCATCAATCCGATCTCGTGCTGGCAGAGCGCATCCCCGTTGGCGATTCCACGCCGGAACCAAGTCATGGCCGTCGCGAAGTTCTGCTCCACACCCTCGCCCCGCAGATACATCATGCCAATATGACCCGCTGCTTTGGCAGCCAGCTTCTCGATCCCCATCGGATGGTTCGGATTCACCGATCCGTCCTTGTTCCAGTACCGTTTGGTCACCTGCTTGAAATACCTCATCGAGGTGCGGAAACTCCTCGGCATCCCGCGCCCCCCCTCATAGTACATCTTGCCCAGATTAAACGTAGCCCTCAGCTCGCCCTTCCGCGACATCAGATCCAGATACTCCAACACATCCTCTAGACTCGCTTCGGTGGCATGCGAATCGCGCACCGTATTCGTCGACACGCTAGCCCCTTCGCCATAAACTCCCCCTTCCTCGTCGGGCCACCGATAAGACTCACGAGCCATGCCGTGGCCCCCGGGTGGTCCCGATCGGAGGTACTCAATCGCCTTATCCGCCACCCGCTTATAGTAATACGTAGCCTGGTCGCAATCCCTTGGAGTCCCGATTCCAGCATGGTGGCGATACGCCAGGGTCATCTCAGATTTGGTATTCCCAGCCTCCGCAGCAAAGGTATGGTACAGGAGAGCTTTCGCTTGGTCGCGTTCCACGGAGCCCCCAACGCCCGTGGCATACATGAACCCGAGCATATACTGTGCGGTGCTGTTTCCTGTCGACGATGCCAGAGTCTGATACCAGTGGAACGCCCGGACAAAGTCCCGGGGGTGGGTGAAGTTGCCGTGGAAATTCATCTCAGCCAGGAGGAAGATCGCGTCCGGGTTGTTGTCCTTCTCTGCCGCGATTGTGAGCTCCTCCACAGATTTGGCGACATGGGGGTGAATCTTCTGTTTCTCGGATCCATCTGATGGCGGGCCGTTCATGAATAGCACGCGGAAGGCTTCCTGAGCATAGTGGAGGGCGTAGCCGACGAGGCCGGACGGTTTCTCAGGGGCGACGATGGCGATTTTCGAGTCTCGGAGGATTCGAAGGGCGGTTTCAACGTGTTCTGCATCCGAGACATGGAGTCAGTGGGCGTCAGCCAGGACGATGCGCCGGGATCGGAGGTGGGATCGGAGGGGTCTCACCATGTCCGGGTAGGACTTCAGGGGCCTCGGGCCCGCTTGAGGACTGGGGGTTTGCGTTTGCTTCGGAGGCGACATCGCTTGTTGAGAATTGTGTATCAGGTTGCCCCGTGGATTCGACCAGAAGCGCCTGCAATAGCACTGGACATCGGGGTTAGTTGCTATCGCGTGACGCGGCTAGCTCCGGGGAACTCACGAAGCGCCAAGGGCAGGAAACGCCATAACCACCGGTTCTTCATGTTGCGTGGGAGACGTTGATAGAGGTGAACAGTGAGAGGCGCATGGCGACTCCGTGCTGGGCTTCTATCGGAGGGAGAGCTTGAGACGGCGGGCAACCATAAGCCGATGGCTGCTTGGCTCCGAGGCGGAACGGGCCACCTGGCGTTGCGGAGCTTCATTTCCCCGATCAACTGACTAATCGAGATCTAAGCCCTCTTCCTGTATCGAAAGAAGACAAAAATTAACCACTATTAATCTACGATTTACAAAGAAGCTCGTCACAGTTTAATTATCATTGGCCGCCCATCCCATCCATGACGCAATAACTAGTCTTCGACGCAAAGTCAGGAAAAAGCAGCAGTAATCAGCAATATCTGAATCCGAGGACCAACGCATTTCTCATAACCGAGTCATGGTCCATGGAACATCTCCTCAAGTCTAAAACGCTTGGTATTTCAATGTGCACAGGGAAAAAAAAAAAGAAAAAGAAAAAGTTTCACCAACCCACAAAAACCGTTCGCAATTTCAGAAGGCTGGCTTGGAGCACAAAAACAGAGGGAAAAAAAGACTTTAAGATCTGAATAATGGGGTTAAGCCTGCAGGCTGGTTTGCAAAGAAGAGAAAAAAAACATACAGTGAAAAAGTAGAAAAACGGATGGGTGAATAGGAAAGGCTTCAGGCGCGCCCCCAAATTCTGCATGAAATAACCAACCAATTCCGCAACATACAATGCAAGATGTTTTTCTGTTCTTTTGTGCTTGTCCTCGGAGAGGCGCGGTCTGAAAGGGTAGGTGATAGTACAATGATACAGCGAAAGTCGTAATGAAGCAGAGCATTCACGTTGCACTTCACTTGCGTGGCGACCTGCATGATTGTGTGAGCTAAGAGCGTCCGATTGAAGAGCCTCCAGATAGGAAACTTACGTAGGGCTGAAGGCCGGCGACGTCGGGCTGTAACCAGGAGACGTAGGTCCGCCAGGAGAAGTCGGCGAGCCGGCAAAGTTGGGAGATGTAGGAGAGTATGTCTGTGGGCTCGTCGGAGACCATCCAGGCGAGGTGGGTGTGTACTTGGGAGAAGTGGGGGACGTGGGGGACAGGTGCCGACCGGCGCCACCGACAGCAGGGCTAGTCGGGCTGTAGCTAGGCGACGTCGGGCTGAACGCCGGCGATGCCGGGCTGAAGCTGGGCGACGTAGGACTGTAGTTGGGCGACGTCGGCGAGAACCCGGGCGATGTGGGCGAGTACGAGGGTGAGGTGGGAGACGCCTGCCCATAGGCCGGGGATGTAGGAGAGTAAGCCGGCGACGTCGGGGCAAACGACGGGCTGGCGGGCGAGAAGCCAGGAGACGTCATGAAACGAGGACTGGTGATACCCATACCAGGTGACGTGGGGGAGTAGCTTGATGTTGGGGAATAGCCAGGCGACGTCGGGTTCGCGCTGAACGGACTGCTGGGAGAATAGCCGGCCGGGCTTGTCGCCGCAGGACTGAAGCCGCCTCCAAAGCCGCCAGTGGGCTGGTACTCCGTGAATCCACCGGGGGTTTCGGCACCGCCCTGGCGGATAGGAGAGAAGTTCGACTCGGGATCAGGCGAACCGATGTAGGCGTTCTCCTGCATGGGCGAGCCAGTGTCATACTGGGTCGAGGCGCCATCCGAGATGATCGCATCCTTGGCGCCAATGGCTCCCATAACACCGAAGCGGGCATTGTTCGAGACGACGGTGTTCATGAGGTTCTGGTCGAGGTAGATGTCGAACTCTCCCGTACCAGCAGGTGCCATCTGGCCCAGGATCAGGTTCTCAGAGACACCACGGCAGTCGTCCAGCTCTCCGAAAGCGGCCGCCTCCAACAGAATCTCCACGGTCTCTTCGAACGAACAACGCATGAGCGCACCGTTGTCCGCACGGTTGATACCATGACGAGTGACAGGAGTCAGGTAACCACGCACGGTCATCACATCAACCAGGAGTGCCAAATGGCGGTGGTTGACGTAAGAACCGTCGAAGGCAAGCACCTGCGTCAACTCGCGAAGCACGGCCGACCGAGCAGCTTCGATACCGAACACCTCGAAGACCTCGATAAACTGGTTGGAGTACGTCCGTGTAGCGTTAACACCAGGAATCGCCAAAACCTCACCCAGGGAAGAACCGCTGGTTTCAAGCACCCACTCCTTGCAAAGCGGGTCGGTCTTGCTCCCGAACAATGAGCCGTCTTCCAGGACTCGGACCTTGCTCTTCTCGTTAATGAACGCACGCTCAACTCCAGGAACACCACGAAGGGTGAGGGTATCCAAGAGATGCTGCTCCAGTTTCTTGAGCGTAACGTCGTACTCCACATCCTCATCCTCCTCGTCGTCCTTGTAGTCCTGGACTTGACGGATTCGGATGACCTGCTCATCAGCGTTGTTGTCACTGAAGATAACAGCGATGTCCTTAGGGTAAGCGGCCTTGATCCGAGCAGCGACATCCTGCACGGTAAGACCCTTATCGAGGAGCTTGGGTCGACTGAGAATAATACGAAGCAGCCACTTCGACTGGCGAGACGAGTCATCCGTAACATCCTCGGGGATGATGAAGTACGACTCAACCATATCGCGATCGTTTTCAATGACCGTAGTCTGGATGTCCGGGTCGTAGTAAATCTCAGTAGCCTCCGTGACCGAACGCAAGCTAGTGTGCTCGACAGCACTACGCAATTGCTTGGCACCCTCCTTGTCATGAGACCGAGAAGCTTCTTGGTAAACAGTCATGGACGGGGTCTTGATGTTGGTGGCAACGTTCAGAATTTCCTTAAGACGGGGGACACCAAGGGTAACGTTCTTGGAAGAGACACCAGCAAAGTGGAAAGTGTTCAGCGTCATCTGAGTCGCAGGCTCTCCAATCGACTGGGCAGCAAGCACACCAACCATTTCTCCCGGAGGAGCCCCGGCCTTGGCGAATCGCATCTCAATGGCGCCGATAACGTGCTGGAATGCGAGTTTGTTCATGGAGTACTCGGTAACCAGGCGCCGGAACGCCAGACGACTGCGCAGCTGGGCCTTGAACAGCAGAGTCGCATTATCTTGGGCCTCGCACGAAATCACGTCGGTACCGCGCACAACCAGCAACCGATCCAGCAGATCACGCACCTGCGGAATAACCTCTGCGGGGTGCAGGTCACTGATAGTGCCCTCACGAATCCTGAAAGTGGTCCTAGCGGTCTCAAGGATACGCTGCACGTTAATCGGGAGCTGCATCATCTCCTCGTCTTCCTTGGCCACGCTACGCAAGAACTCGCGATCCCGGAGAAGTTGCTCCCACTCATCATCCAGGTGTCTTTGGACCTCAACATCACCCGCAATTTCGTTGGACTGCTCCAAAACCTCCGGTCCCAAGGACCGTTCCGGGTCCATGAGATCGACACGGAAGCGATCCCGGAACTTAGCATCCGAACACTTGATGATATCGACACGCTGGTTCTCGATGTGAGCACCGTCGAGACCATCCTCTCCATAGAGAAACTGGATGACATCGCCCAGAGAGTTCCGAACAGTACCATCGTATTTGACCATAACCTCTTCAAGCGCCTTAACCAGCTTACGCTGGATGTAACCAGTTTCGGCAGTCTTGACAGCGGTATCGATGAGACCCTCACGACCAGCCATGGCGTGGAAGAAGAATTCCGTTGGCGTCAATCCACGCAGGTAGGAGTTCTCAACGAAACCACGCGACTCGGGGGAGTAATCGTCCTTGGTGAAGTGAGGCAAGGTACGATACTTGAATCCGAAAGGAATACGCTTTCCCTCGACGGACTGCTGTCCCACCACCGCAGTCATCTGGGAGATGTTAATAGTGGAACCCTTGGATCCAGACCGTGCCATTTGAATGGCGTTGTTCAGATCCTTCAGACTCTTTTCGGTCTCGCTACCAGCCTCATCACGAGCGTTGTTCAGAGCGCGAGACACCTTACTCTCGAAGGTCTCACGAACGTTCATACCGGGCAGAGCCTCAAGGGTGTTGTCAGTGGCACTGGCAGTGATGTCCTCGACCTCCTTCTTCCTCATCCGCACGCAGTTCTCGATCCGTTGGATTGTGAGCTCGTCAGGAATAGTATCACCAATACCAATACTAAAACCGTTATGAAGCAGCCAGTAGTTGACAATTGTCTGGCAACCATTGAAGAAAGCCACCGCCGTATTCATTCCGTACTCATTAAAGATGGTGTGAATGACACCTCCGCCACTGGCACCAACAGTCTTCTTGGAGAACATTCCATACAATAACTGTCCGCCGTGGACGAGGCAACCACCATCAGCCAGAGGAGAGAACTTCTCATGGAGCGGGGAGCTGTCTTTGTCGACACGCAACAAGTTAAGACCAGGAGGAAGGGCCATGCTGATCATCTGCTTTCCGGTCCACCGAGGTCTAGGCTTCAAGATTGCCGGGGGAGGAATCACCCCATCCCAGTCAGGAACCCACATCATGATGTTCATGACTTGATCCTTAGTCAGGAAAACATCACGCCGGCAAAGCTTGTAAACACCACAAAGAGTATCTTGCACGATACCCATCAGTGGACCGTTTCGCTGGGGCGACACGATGTTGCATGGGACCAAAGCGAGTTGGCTGAGTTCCGCGCGAGATTCCTCGCTCTGAGGAACGTGCAAGTTCATTTCATCACCATCGAAATCGGCGTTGTACGGGGAGGTGACAGACAAGTTCAATCTGAATGTCGAATAGGGCATGACACGGACGCGATGACCCATCATGGATTCTTTGTGAAGCGACGGTTGACGGTTAAACAGAATCACATCGCCGTCCATGATATGACGTTCAACCTTCCATCCATACAACAGCTGTTGCCCACCGGCTCGCTTGGCATGACGAAGGTCAATGCGCTCGCCATTGTCTCTGACAATATACCTAGCTCCCGGGTGCTCGTTCGGACCGTTCATGACGAGCTGCTGCAACTTCTCGATGTTATAAGGAGTAACAACCTCGGGATAGGTTAAGGTCCTCGCGATACTCTTCGGGACACCGACCTCGTCCAGAGACAAGTTGGGGTCACCAGTGATGACAGTACGCGCGGAAAAGTCCACACGTTTTCCCATCAAGTTCTGTCGCAGACGACCTTCCTTACCCTTTAGACGACTTCGGATAGCCTTGACGGGTCGGTTAGATTTCTGCATAGCCTTCGGCTGGCCAGCGATATCGTTATCCATGTAGGTGGCGACGTGGTATTGCAGAAGGGACTCGAACTCGCGCACGACGTGCTCGGGGGCACCCTCCTGTTCGCAACGCTGGACATTCTGGTTTGCTCGGACAATTTCAGCCAACTTGTACGTGAGATCGTCCTCACCACGCTGGCCACTAGTGCTGCCTCCGACAAGCACGCTAGGGCGGACCGGAGGGGGGGGGACCGGCAGAACAGTGACGACCATCCACTCGGGACGGGCATAATCATTGCTCAGACCCATGATACGAACATCCTCGTAAGAGATGCTGCGGAAGACATTCAGGGCAACCTGAGGAGTGATGACCTTCTTCTCGGGCTGCTGCATCTCCATCTCATCCATCATCTTATTGGGCTTCCAGGTTCCGACAAGAGTGATACCCTCTTTGCGAATCGTAGGCTGGGAGTTACCGCACCCGCCATGCATCCTCGACGGCTTGGAGCTCTCTTTCGAGAAAGGCTCATCCTCGTCCGGGGGCGCGTCGGCTTCGCAGATCAGGACATCCTTAGATAGTCGCCAGATGTGGTCGAATCGTCTTTTCGGGTCTCTCATGCGGAGGGCTTCTAGGAACTTAGAATCGGACTGGTTTCTATGTCAGCAAATTATGCCGTGATAGATTTGCCATCCCATAAGGGATGACTAACCGTATTGGCTTTGATCTTGCCACAGTTGTGGCAGACCGTCTCAAGAAGCTTCTTGATTTTAGTCAAGAAACCTAGCAGCAAATGTTAGCATGAGCGGTGAACAAGAGGGCGGACGGACTCTTCGGTTGGGGGGAGACAACATACCGATATGGAAGACAGGCGTGGCGAGCTCGATATGACCGAAATGTCCGGGACACTCCTTCTGGCCTTCTTCGCAAGTCTCGCAATTCCATTGCCGGTCGATCGTTCCTAGTCGTGGGTCGTTCAGCCCCTTCGTCCGCGGGCGCTGCCTTTGTTCGTCCTATTTGTTGTGTTGCCGCGTTAGCGCCTTTTCACCATCCGTCGGTCTGGGCAAAACCACGGGGACGGGGGAAGAAACGCACCATTGTCTCCGGGTATTCCACATGCACCACACTCATCCGCTTGATCTCTTCAGGGGAAAAGAGACCAAACTGAATCTCCTTCACGGTGCGCAAAGGCGCCTTGGAGTAGGGAAAGTAAACGTTCGCCATGGTGCAAGCTGTCGTCGTCGACGCGGTAGTCCGGGGTAGGTATGTGGCGATCAACGAGTCGAAACGAGGTCCAAGTGACGAAAGGTGATGGCGTCGGCAAGTACTGATCTATTAACTCTCAAAACAGGCTGAAGCGACGATAAAAGATTTGCGAGCAATCTGGCCGGCCGAGGCCTCTGGCAGCCCTTGCCACGAGGGCGCCTGCGACCTTATCCACCGACTTCGCGAAGCTCGAAAGGGCGAAAAAAAGAGGGGCACGATCGATCTGGGCGATATCTCCGGCTCGAAAAGGGATATCGCGATGCGAAGCGCGATGGTCGGGGGTGTTGGGCGATGGACAGGAGGCGTGTCGGGGTGATGAAAGGGAGATGGTTGGACGTGAGGTCAGTCGGCGATGGGGCAACGAGTTTTCTGAGCCGCAAGCTCGCGCTAGCGGAGGCCCCCTAAAAGTCCGTCGCGCTAAACCCGGAATGGGGCCGTTCTGAAGTGGCAGTAAACCTACAGCCAATCACGCTGCAGTGATTGAGCTCGCAGTGGGGCGGCAACAAAGGAATTCATTTGGCTCCTTCACCGCCCGCCAGCCGCTTTCTTTGACCTTCGGCTTCACTGCCCAGCTGAATTCCCCCCGCCAGCGGTGAATTCGCAGTGACCATCCTCGACGCTGGATGTTCGCTCCCCGAAATCTCTCCCGGCCTTGTTTGCAGGCTGGGAAACGACTTATCCATCCCCCCCCCTGATTCCCGCGATTTCCCTTGCCGGTGCGAGCGAAAAGATCGAACAACATGAATTTGTCGCTCATCGATCCTTTCGTCCTGGCCCAGGACTATCCAGACACATTGTCCGAGAAGCTCAGTATGCCGCCCACGTCCACGTCCACAAATCGCCCCACGTTGATCACTGACCGACTTAGGAAGCGGGCATGCGACATGTCTACGGTTCAACCGCAAAGGAGATTACCTAGCATCCGGACGGGTTGGTTTCCGACAATAACCAGCATCCACTCTCCGGGCAAAATGAATAACCAAGCTCTAGGCCGATGGGACAGTGGTGATATTTGACGTGGAGACAAACGGAGTGGCGCGAAAGCTGCGAGGTCATACCAGGCAGATTCAGTCACTAAGGTACAACAACGTCCCCGAACTACGAGTCCCGGAGCAAAGTGCTAAAGTGGTCGCGGTGCAGTTGGTCCAGAGACGGTCGGTATCTCCTCAGCTCCTCACAGGATTGGAAATGTATCCTGTGGGATTTGAAAGACGGCTCCCGAGTGCGCACTGTCCGCTTCGAGGCACCTGTATACATCGCCGAACTACATCCTTACAACCAGTAGGAACCCCTCTATGTGTTCAGCAGCGCATTTCTAAATTCTTCTCCGTGCAGTTTGCTATTTGTAGCGTCCCTCTTCGAAGACCAGCCCGTCCTCGTGGACGTCACATTCCCCAAGCCAGTCAAACGAATTCTCCCTTCCGCTCCGTTTCGTCCTCCCCCGCTAAAGAACGAAGAAATCGACCCCGCCGTTGCCGCCAAACAAGCAGCTCAAGATGCGAAGCATTCCACGTGTGTTACAGTCTTCACCGCTCTGGGAAACCATATCATAGCAGGTACATCTAAGGGCTGGATCAATATCATTGAAACACAAACCTGCACCACAATACATTCCACTCGTCTCTGCAATGGTGTGGTGATCCTACTTCGCCTAGCGAGTAACGGCCGGGACCTACTAGTCAACAGCTCAGATCGCGTGATACGCACGATTCTCATGCCGGACCTCTCGCAATTAGGCATCGACCTGGAGCCTACCAACATCAAACTCCAAGTGGAACATAAATTCCAGGACGTGGTTAACCGCTTGAGCTGGAATCATGTCGCATTTTCTTCCACCGGCGAGTTTGTCACCGCATCCACGTTCATGAACCCCGACATCTACGTGTGGGAGCGGAGCCACGGCTCCTTGGTTAAGATCCTGGAGGGCCCCCGCGAGGAGCTGGGAGTGGTGGAATGGCACCCTGGCCGTCCGATGGTGGTAGCATGTGGCCTGGAATCCGGATGCATCTATACATGGTCGATTGTGACTCCACAAAAATGGTCGGCGCTGGCTCCTGATTTTGGCGAGGTCGAAGAGAACGTCGAATATGTGGAACGAGAAGACGAGTTTGACATTCATCCGGCAGAGGAAATCCATCAGCGTCGGTTGGATCAGGAGGACGAAGTCCCGGACGTGCTCACGATCGAACCAAACAAAAGCGGTACCGATGAGGATATTACATCATTCCGCATGCCGGTCCTCCTCGATATTTCGGACAGTGAAAGCGAAGACGATATCATTGCAGTCGGGCCAGGCACAATGAGGCGGCGAAGTCCGGGAGCCGGTCGGGACAGGGCGAATGCCAACGGAGATGGAGAGAAAGACAATGCCACCGGTGGCAGGAATGGTACCGCGCGAGGGCAGAAGGGTCGGCGGCGTTGAAGAGCTGCATGGCTATGGTGGCCCCAGACCGTTCCTCCCTAGGCACCCTTCTTTTCTTCTTTTTCCTTGGGACCTTTTATTGAGGCATCTGTTAGTCAGGCCGATCGGGTGTCATTAGGCGTTCGGTGGTTTTTTTCCCAAAGGGACACAGGGTTTTTTCTGGTATACATACTGTACACGGTTGGTGGGAGTCTTGGTGGAGACGACCAAGGACTGCAAATTTTCCTGTTTTGCGCCCCCTTTTTTTCTTGTCTTGTAAATATATATGCACCGTAAGTCGTTCAATAATATCAATGATACCGCCCTAAATAGTCGAGGAGAATTGAGAAACCGGGATATACGAATTTGCCAGAGGCGTAGCCAGGCTGCCAGGAAGACTCAGTTGATACTCTGTCAAAAATGGCGTGGCTCTTTTCCATCATCCGAGGATGTGGCATTGCGGGTTCCGAAAGAGGTCCAATGCCGCATATTATGTTTTGTAGCCTAGTCAGATGTCTCCTCCAATAAGCGCCATCTCCGGGTGCAAGACGGAACACATGTCGCTTACTCGGGGTTCCCAATTCTAGACCCTCTTGAGAATGACAGGAAATAGAACAAGCGAATTGCATGGCGACAGTCGACCATGCCCATATTCCTTTTGCGAGGAGATCGACTGCAGTGATAAACTTGCTAGGCCTGCAAGTGTGCGCGTCTGGAAGTGAGCCCTGTGAATTTGGCATGTCATGGCAGTCAAGATCACAACAAGATCTTGTCGGAAACTGGATGGAAATGCAAGAAGAAATGTGTAGTCTTGCGTGGCAAGCGAACCATACACAAGCACCGCATTGGACCATAGTACGATCAATGAACCATCGGCTTCCGGGCTTGGTATATGTGTAGTATGTTGTAGGCATGGATTTCCTTGTTAAAAGCTTCTGACTTGACCTCCGCAGCAATTTTCCTGATTTTCTCCAAGGGCCAATGATAGACGCGACTGAATGGCGCCAAGCTGAGGGTTTCGATGCTCTCGGAGATTGCCAGGTTGTACCAACGAGCGACAGTGCTCTCGTGATTATCCTGATGCCAGGGGTTGAGTGGCAATCCCACCATTTGATGATCAATTTCGGTGAAGCCCGCTTCCTCCAGTTCTTGGATAGTTAGGCGCGAGCTGTGAGCTATGGGTCGCATGCAGTCACGTGTCGCCTGTTTTAGGTATGAATACCAATTCCGAAGGGCCAATCCATCCAAAGAACGATCATCGCAGCGCGGTTCAAAGTCGATCTCAACCTGCTCAAACCAGGCACCGGGCCGAAGATGCGCCAAAACCTTTTTGTAAAGCGTGGGCCAGCGCACAACACTGCCACTGCCCATCTGCAGGTGAATAAGATCCCAGGAATCCTCCCCCAGGGCCCAGTTGCTCTCATAATCGAACGGCGCATAGAATTGGCAGTTCGGTGGGTGGTTGGAGGGTTGAATGGGAGCTAGATCCACCCCAGCAACAAAGGCATTGGGGTACTTGTGGGCGACATCGATGGACCAAATTCCTGTTCCGCACCCCAGGTCTAAAAATCTGCCATTGTGGGGGTGAGGGGCGTACATTAAGCTTTCTTCGACCCGTGCTACCGTAAATAGCTTGTGGAAGATGTCGAGGCGGTCCTGTTCCTGTTCGTCACACGGCAACATATACATTCCCTTGCGATATCCATGGTATGTTCGTCCGTTTTCTTCACAGAAAGGATCATGCGGTTCGGGGATCCTAAACGGGGCGAGTCAAGTATCCCAACATTAGTCGCCCAGTGGTTGATAGCAGGGAATCCGGTGGCAAAGAAGACCGTGAGGGGTATAGAGGCCACAAAAGAAAAACGAGAGACATACTTGCTACTAACAGTGCTCATTAGGCTTGGAGACCCATTGTGATTCCCACGCTCGTTGTTGGCCTGGTGTGTTTCTGGGGGCGTATTGGCCTGGTGTGACTCTGGGGGTGTCTGGTCTGTGATGACGTAGATGTCCATCGCATCCGAGCCGTGCCTCGAGCGGGCTGTGTCTGTCTCAGGGGTCCTTGCGGCTCGAGAGGCGTAAAAGTTGTGAGACGGAGACGAAGCCATGGTGATTGGGGGGAGGACGGCCTGCCGATTCTCTAGCATGAAGGCGAAAGGTATGAGATCTGTCCAACAACTAAGAAGCGAGTAATTTCCTGGAGACAGGGCAAGATATGCAGGATTTCCCACGGAGATTTATTGTCAACGGGGGTGGGTAACAACGGATGTTAGCCAACGAAATGTATGCAGGCTGCAGACGGGATAGACAGGTCGAACGGCAGGAGGCACATAGAGAGTAAGACGAGGTTGGATCGCGAAGGCGTCAAAGAGTGTATGGAATTGAAGCGCAATGAGGGGCTCCGCTTTTGCGGAAAGAATCAGTGGCAGAGAGGGAGGGGCGTGAGATTGCAAAAAAAAAAAAAAAAAAAAATGGGAAGGAGACAGCTAAGGATAGGAATGACAGCAGTCCACGGTTGTGTATAATTTTTTTCCCTCAAATCCACTTCGATCCGGACAGATGCATGTGCACACACGCGCGCACCGACAGGGTATGGGAGGTCCGTCAGAGACGCCCGGACACGAGAGGATCCGTAATGCGAAAGCAAAAGCGATACCCCCTCCCCGCGAGAATGGAACGCCGTCGGGGTAAACAACAAAGGTGAAGTAGCGGTCACGGCAACGGCATAGAACAACTCGATAACAGTAGTGGTGGTAATTGTATCGTCGCCGTCGTCGCCGTCGTCGTCGTCGTCGTCGTCGTCGTAGTAGCTGTCGTAGTAGTAGCAATAGTAGATAGTCGTTGGTGCTAGGCGTTAAGACGAACTAGCCATGGATCGGAGAGTGGACGATCGAGGGTCAAATCAATTGGAACAAGGCATCGGAGTAGACGACGGGGAAAACCCGAGGCCCGGGGGGAAGAGCAGAAGGAGGAAACGGGGGGAGGGGAGGGAGGGTCTAAGAGACTAAGACAGAGCGGGCGGAAAACGAAAATTGATGGATGGATGGAGAATAGTGAGCAGCAGACGCAGGAGCGGCGAGGCAAGCAATTCTGCCTTTAAGGTTGTTGCAGCCGCTGTCTTCTCCCCGTTGGGCCCACGGGCGCGAAGGCGGGGCGGATGGAGGGCCTCAGAATAGAATAAGGGGAGTCGGGGAAAGATCAGGGGGAAGCTGGCGGCTAGACTGAGGGAGCCTGAGTCGATGTTGTCGGCGTCGCGAGGCTGGATGTACCCAAGAAGTAGATGGTCCGAGTGAGTAGTGTGTAGAGGGCAGGCAGGTACCGTGGTACAGTGTACACACTATGAAGTACCTTACTCTACTACTACTATGTTAAGGCAGAGTAGGTACCTAAGCAGATACTGCTACCTACACAAACGGGGGGGTTCAAGGCCGACGGTGGGAAATACTGCCGCTATCGATCTGTTCCGTCCGGCGTCATTGGTTCTCTGCGCAAGTAAAGCCCCTCTCTCAACCATGGTACACGGCCTCCCTAGTGCTTCTGGGCAGCTACGCGGATCAGTAAAGTCCAAAAGGGCCCTGACGTTTGGATCAAAATCTGGTACCGATACCAGACGGCGGCCATCGTAGTCCTATCAATCTTCCATCGGCCAAGGCGAACGTCAAAGTTGGCCGGAGTTCCCTAAGGCAATATAATCCACGTCTGTGTGTCCCGTTCTGATCCTTAGGCGGATGCACGATGGCTCCCTGCCTAGGGGTGTCTGTATGGTACTACTACATACATACATACTAGAACTCATACAGAACACACTAAGGGGCTTAGTACCTGTCTAGGTACAGAATATCTGCTCCTCTGGTTGTCTGTACCGATGCATGTATGTAACCAGGGCGTGTCCCCGGGCCTGCATTTGTACTTGGACCTCTCTAGCCGTACCTAATCCACACTTACGTGCTGGATACATCCTCCGTACATATTATCATACACCAGGAAGAGCAGGGCTAAATATCTACTAATCCAAAAAAGCTGTATCCACCACGAGTCTGGTAGTTTAGCGCCTCCGATTTCCTTTATTAGATGGTATCTATCTGCTTTTTTTTATTTTCTTATTTCTTTTTTATTTCATTTCCCTTTTTCACTTTTTTGATTTTTCTCACTTCTCTACTGACACAATACGGAATACGGCACCCGTCCTACCGGGCACCCTTGTTCATTAACCATTCTCATCCTCTTCTGCACTCCAGATAGAGCAGAACGACGCCACTACCCAACTTGAGGCTGTCAAGCCGATGTCAACTCGGATACTCGGGCTCAAGCAGGGAGGCGACTGGCGGTTAATGATTGGAGTCCCGCGACGTCTCGGAATTCCCCTCTCGATTGACGTCCATCTTGCACCTGAGCGACCCGTTGTCCCAACTGACATTGGACTAGCTACCCGGTTTGAGTCAGTCAGCCATGTACGTAGTACGTAGCTGTGTGCGGGCGGGCTAGGCAGATTGGACGATGGGAAGGGGGAAGGGCGGGGATCATACTACTGCAGTTACTACTTAAGAGTCCGTATGTCGAAGGAAGAAACTAGAAAGCCAGTGGGAAGGGGCCGGGTCGACAGAGCGAAAAGGGAAAGAGCAAGAAAATCTTAAAGCGAGACGAACCAGGATCGAGCCATGGTCAACCACGGATGTGATGGGTCCTCAATCAACCTCCGGGCGGGATGCGGACCGTCTCCCACACTTAGTTGAATAAAGGAAAGTTTCCTCGGGGGCCACTAACGCACAATATCTCCGTGGGCCTAGTGGTTGCTGCCCGCGTTCTCAGGCACGCGGCACGACCAGCGTCAGGCAGCGTTACCAACACTCTGGTTGAAGGATTTGAAGCTTCGGGCGTGGCTCCCTTCCCAACCCTCGCCCGTAGCGCCCGAGGCAGGCAAACCAGAGCTGGTCCCAACCCTCCATCGCTCAGGGTCGCTAACCACGGCATTGCGTGCAGCCGCTCCGGTGTGGATCATTTGCTGAGGGGGCTCCATCCCTCCCTCCAACTCCAGCGGTCCAGCACACCACCAGGGTGGTTACTGGTTAGCTCCCCCCGTTGCCCGGCGTCGCTGGCAGAGCGTGGACTGTGGGAAGGATCGTGGTCGGAGATTTGTCGTGGGACCGTTGCCCGGCTGGTTGGACTGGAGAAGATGAGCATCAGCGGCATCAACATCATCAGCATCATCAGCATCATCATCATCATCATCCTCCTCCTCCTCCTCCTCTTCCTCCTCTCTTCCACATCGTGCCAGATGCTTTATCCCCCCGACGGATGTATATAAGCCGTGTCGGGAATTAACCCAGGTACTAAGATGGGTTCTCTCTCATATAGATAGAACGTGGTTTCCCTCTTCTTTTTTTCTTTCGAGGTACGGAGTATTGTGACACGAACCACCGACCTCTAGCTACGGTACGGAGGCCAGAGACCAGCGGCCAGCCAGCCCTCCCATCTCCTAAGGGAAAGGCTGGCTCGGGCTAGGTTACATTGCTGTACTCCGTAGGGAGTAAGTAGTACGGCCACCGCGGCCACTACCACCTCTTCCTGGCCCGGGCTGTCTGGACCATAAAACTTAATAATCCACCGGTTCTATCTGGATCAGCGTGAGAGCTGAGCCTGATCTGTGACTTCGAAGGCCGAACTGTTGGATGGTGAGGCGATATTTGAGGCCAGTTATCAGCAGAAGGGAGGTGGGGGGGGGACAATCTACTAGGGGACGAGGAAAAAGCAAAGAAGCGATTCGAAGGGGGAGGGATGACCAGGAAACGCCATGCCGGGCACACACTAGGGCGACGCATGTAGCATGTTCTCCGTATGCGCGTCGTCCCCTCCTGACGCCGGGCATACATATTGTGTACATGTGTCCCCCATCGAAGGCCATGGTCATCCGCTCGCTTGGCGCCGTAGCAGGCCGGCGTCTGGGCTAACGCTGGCAGTTGCCTTGTGACTTATCTGACCATGTTGATCGTTTCACCGCTTCCCAGACTCTCGGGTCGATGGTGGGTGGTGGTGATGCATGCAGTCTGTATTGTGCTAGTGTAGTACTTTGTGCCTGGGCAGCGTGCATCCGCCCAGGACGTGGGAACATCCCCGTCCAGCTTTAAATGCACGCACAAACCACTCCGACTAACCACCTTTGTAGACTATCTAGCTAAACCACTGGCCGTCCGGGCCCCGGGCCATGAACTCCCCCCCATCCTGCCATCCTTTCTCCTCTCTCCTGGCGTCACTAAAAACATTTACTACTTTACTAGGTGTCAAACCTAAGCAGATGTTGCCCTCGCGACGCTAGTCCGGAAACCAACTGCCATGCCATGCCCTCCCTTTCTCTCTATTGGACCTCGACTGACCAGATATTAACCCTGTTCCCGCCGGGCAACTAGATCAACTCCCACCGTGGGTGAAAGATCCCTCGTCATCGGTCTGCTGTGGTGGTGATCGCCCACCGGTACTACCTACTTACCATCTAGTGTGGTGATTCATTCACGGTCTCTTCTGCCTCCAAATGAGAATCCCCCTTCTTTCCCTTCAGGATGTACAATATCGCGGTTTTTGCGGTTTTAATTGCACTGTGCCTTGGTTCGGTCCTGGTAAATTATACGACTGGATCCGACTGGATCCCCTTCCCCCCTCTCCTCTCTCCCAACCCCCGTAGAGCGGGGCCGTTTTTTTCCCTCAGGACCAAAAACCCTCACTGCTCGTCCTTTCCCTAACCTGCACTGCACCTCCACCACCGCCAGTAGTTGTATCCACCGTCCGACGCCGACCCGGATTTCAACGCCCCCATCGGAAATATCAACCGCACGACTTGTTGCCCTGTTATTTGTCCACCCCTCGACCATGTGAGTCAGTCGTCGTCGCCCTTCCCCTACCGGAGATTGGGCCTAGTTGCGGTCGACCGTGGTAATGCCGACGCGAAGTCGAATCGACTGGCACATAACCCATCCAGGCTCTCGCAGCCACTTCTCCAGAGTTTGGTACCATATCACGCTTCTCGTATAAGCGCCCTTTCTACCCAAGGCAGCCCGTCCTGCTAAGTACTCCGGTCTGCCTTGGGAGGGGAGGAGAGAGGATTGCTTGTCCAGCACGGAGCCTTTGAGGGCCTCGCCGGCGTTACCATCGCCGACCCTCACGTCGCAGAGTGCGTCTAGCCTGGATGCCTCTCGCCCAGTCCGGGCGAGTCCACCACGTTCGACGGGCAAACATCTCCCCCGTTTTGAGGTTAGCATGGGAGCCGCAGAGAACAGATCAACGTCATGAGCCAAGTCCGCATCCATCCAGCCAGCAGCCACTTGTTTCCGCCTGGATTCGAATCGACCTTCCTGCAGCGTCCAGGGTTTGCTCTGGACGCAACTAACCGGTCAGTTTCAGTTTCACCTGCCACGCCTCCGACCATTTTCCAGCGTTACTTGGCGACAACCATCGTGCCGGAGAAAACAAGACAGCCCCGAATGCAGGCCAATGGCCTGCGACGAGGGTCCCCCGACCTTTATACCCTCGTCACCCTTGCGACCCTCGTGTTCCTACTCCTGGCATTCTACACACATACATACACGAGAGCAGGTACGAGATGCTGCTGCGCTAGTCGCACGAGGGCGAACCAATCCGTCGGCTTTCGCTCTGGATGGGTCGGGGCGTAACTACGCACATAATTGGACTGATGATCAACGATGGGGGTGGTCCTGCTGCCGCTTGACCAGGAGACTAACTCTGAATGGACTTTGTCTGGCCATCACCACTCCTCCCGGACGGTGATGCAGCCGTGTGTGTTTGCGCAGCGCCCATTCCTCGGCCACACCTCCATCCAGTGGTGCCAGACTGTCATCCCTGACCAACTTATTCTGGGAATTGAAACGACATTTGCAAGTCCGCTTCCAAGACACTTAGCAGTGCGGCAGTGCATAGTTACTAACTATCTATCTATCTGGCTAAGAATTATTATTAAGTGTCTTTCGGTCTTGAGGGGGGCGATGGTCACCCGAAAGGATTGGACTTCAATTCGTCTCCTCTGCCCACCAGGGATCCACAGGGCTATAGTGCTGCGAGCGACCTTTCCCGACCATTGACCAATCCCATGTCCAAAGCAGCTGGTGACTTAGATTATTGTGGCTACGGGTTGCAACTGCACAAGGACCATAGCTATAATGGTCCCTCCCCTCCTCCTAACTACTACATTCTTGCTCTTGTAATCCAATAGTTCAGATTATAATTGACCATCCAGATCCATCTAACCCCAACCCCCCCCCCTTTCTTCTTCTCATCACCGCCCGCGTTATGCGCCTTCTCGTGATTTCCAGGGATCTAGCGTCCCCTCAACCCCGGCGACGCATATCGGCTTCCTCGGTGAGTCAGGGGGCTACTTGGCTGGTCTGCGCACCTGGTACCTACATGATACGTGCAAAATGCAAAGTGTGCGGGCTCACTTCCGCGGCCTCCTAGCGCATGTTCAAACACGCCGGACACTCAGATCAATGGAGTCGCTTGAAGCATTTTCCCGTCACAAAGCCCGCTAGGTGCACTGGCCTCATGAGACACATCCACTTTCTCGGGGATGGCAGGCTTGCGCCGTTGGAGACGTGTATCTAGCCGTCTTGCCCCATCCGCCCATCTATCTAGCTATCCATCTATCCATCCCTTGGAAGGCGTATACTTACATACCAGTATACCTGAGTATGGAGTGGGTGGAGTCTATGGATAGCATGTTTGCATCCGCATACCAGAGCCAAGAAAAGCGACAGGTCTAGACACTCCATTCTAGCAGTTCTTGGTAAGCAGGATCCTCTCTGACAGTTCATTTTGATCGCCAACTATTTACATCGACCCATCCTCTACGGGGAAGAGGTATCGTATCGGCCGAGTGACTGTGGCTACCTATTATTGAGATACCCCATCGCTCAACTCTTCTCCCATCTCCAAACATATTTCCCTGCCAGATCGATCATTCTTAAAATTTCATGATATCGGAGACTTGAAAACCGCCAAGAAGTCAACAGACTATAATCAATAGAACTATGCAAACACAACCAAACAACCCAACAATAAACCCCGATCGACCATAAAGACCAATCGAGCCTTAGAACACCAGCCAGATAAATCAGCAACCCATAGGGCCCGATGTGAGTCTTCAGTTCCCAATACAAATGGTCAACAATAATCGCATTGTTCTTGGCTTGCTTGCGGCATTATGCTACCGCCGGCGCTGACAGTAGTACTGGCAGAGCCCTCCTATATTAACTAACTGGTAGTATAGTATCACGCCGGCGGTCTTTAGGCTAATGCTGCCTAGTATAGTAGTACCATGTGTGCCGCAGTCCGCACATGGTAGGCACCTGGCACACATGGTAAAAACAGGGTTGGTTTTGTTTAGTACTGGTGTCTAGTTGATAAGGTGCAGGTGTAGCGTTGGGACTTGGCACGGCGTCCAGGCTAGAGGAGAGGGGTATATGATGCTGCTATGAAGAGATGGGTAGGGATATACATAGTTATTGTGCGGTGCATGGTTGGTAGTGGACTCGTTGTGATTTCCTGTTTGGTCTATTCTGCTGGGGAGGTTTGAGGCATTGGATTTATAAAGTAGTAGTACTAGGAAGAAAATATATTTTTCTTTCAGTTGGAAGGCCCTAAGCTCTATGTAAGGAAACGGCTAACTACTACTTTAACCCTTCAACAGGAAAGCACCACCACCCATAGTATTTTTAGGATGTATTTAAACCAACCCCTCTTTCCGCCCCGCGACTACTACTCTCTGGGTTACTACGCTGCGAGTCCGAGGTCCTCTATTTATATATACCTCGGTATTCTGTATGATTTCATGGAGATAGGATTGTTTACGTTATTGATCAATCGGTTCCGGAAACCAGATTAAATAAATGAATGATCTTGCCATGTGCGCACTTTAAACTAGATTACTAGTAATATATATTGACATTTATCTGCACCCGTGAACAAACATGGTATGGTCTGGGGTTGAATTAATTAATTAATAACTAGTATCTTAGTAAGATCCAAGCCTGTAGATCCAGAAACACAAAATGAAAGAAAGTCCGAAAAAAAAAAAAACATTGCCACTACTATTCAAACGAATACAGTAAGCACTATGTACATGTATTCAAATGTTGAATGCAACAGCATCAGTATAAGAGATATGAAAAGAAAAACAAAAATAGTCGCGCCCGGTATCGAACCGGGAACCTTCTCGGCGCTCGAGACGAATCTCACATGCTGTGAACGAGAAATCATAACCATTAGACCACGCGACTTGGGTAAAATTAAAGTTTCAATTTTGCCATCATGAGCCTGGCTGCTTTGATCCAGTAATTCTTATCGTTGGTTAGTTATCAGCCGGTCGGTCTGTTGCTTGCGGAGTTTGATTTTTTTTTTTTTCCCTTGCGCGGTTACTCCGCTCCTTCTTTCATCCTCGTTGTTATTCTACTATTGCTTTCGCTTGGGTGTGAAGTGTCTCTCTCTTCTTATTTATACCCATCAGGAGACTATCTTTAACCACTGCTGTCTGTGGTATCTATCTCGTTGTCACATCACCCACCCACCCTCCGACGAGTCGCGCGACGGCTGAGCGATGATTTGATCCATCCGCTTATTTACCACCACCACCACCACCATCACCATCACCAACTACCGCAACAACTACAACCACCCACACCACCTCAACCACTCAAAATTCGAAATAAACGGAATGGACGCCCAAGCCTACCTCCTTCGCCTCGGCTGGTCCGGCCCCGGCAACCCCCTCAACCCAAACCGCCGCCCGGACACGCACAGCGGGCTGGGCCTCACACGACCGATCCTAGTCGCACGCCGCCAAGGCAACCTCGGTGTGGGCAAGACGACGACGAAAGACCCGACGAATCAGTGGTGGCTGCGCGGATTCGAGGATGCGCTCAAGGGCGTCGGCACCGAGAGCAGTGCGACGGGGAAGAGCAGTCGCGCGCCGAATGCGTTGACCAGTGAGCTCTATCGCCATTTTGTGCGCGGGGAGGTTGTGCCAGGGACGTTGGGGGGGTTGAAGGAACGGGAGGAGAAGGAGAAGGGGAGTGAGGAGAAGGCGAGGAAGGAGACGAAGGAGGAGAGGAAAGCGAGGAAGGAGGAGAGGAGGGTCAGGAAGGAGGGGAGACGGGTTAGGAGAGAGGAGAGGAAGAAGAAGAGGGAGGAGAGGGAGGCCAGGAGGGTGGAGAGGAGGGAGAAGAAGGAGTTGAAATTGAAGGCGAAGGCAGAGAAGGAGCAGAGCAAGAGCAAGAAGGTGGAGGAGCATCGTCCCGAGGAGGATTATCCCACGCCGCCGGCGACAGAGCTGGAGCAGACGGAGTCGAGCGGGCGGGACGAGGCAGAGGTGAAGGAGAAGAAGAAGAAAGAAAAGAAGGACAGCAGCAAGAAGAGGAAGACGCGGGAGTCGTCGTCGGACGACGGGTCGAAGAAAAAGTCCAAAAAGTCCAAGGACGAGAAGAAATGAGCTGGGCTGATTATCACGCTGGATCGGGGACTTTCATGTATGTAATTGATAGATTTAGACTTGTAGATACCCATGGCTTTGCCGCTTGGCTGTTCTTATTCATGAATAACACGCGCATTACTCGTTATGGTCTTCCTAGCTGGTATGAAGAGTGGTGCCTAGTATCTGTATCTACCTACTTCGACTCCGCAGGCAGCCTCCCAGGCTTCCCCGAGAGGATCCAAGGCCGTCTATCCCAGAACTCATCCCTGATGATATCGACATGGTCGACGACCACCTGCGCTTTCCGACGCAGTTTGCGGATCTTCTCCTGCTGTGACTTCGAAGGGATGCCTGCCTGCAGCGGCGTTGTTTCTTCCTCTTCTTGTTCCTTGCTAGAGCCCGCCTTCACGTCCTCCAATTGATACTAGGTCGGGTCAGCACAACACCACACCAAGATAAAGCGCACACATACCTGGCGATAAATCACACTGCCCTTCTTGTATATATCCTCCTCATTGTTGTAGTTGATCCCGAACCTCTTGAAAAGGATCTCATTCTTGTCGGACGAGATAGTGCCCTGTCACTCACACTTTAGTCCCATACCACCACCACCACCAACCTCAACCTCATATGCAAAATAAACTAGAAAAATAACACACCTTCAACTCCTGCTCCGCATCGGTATTACTCATCCCACCCTTCAACACCATCATCCAGAACGTCGTGTTATAAAGATTATTAATATGGCCTGCTGCGCATGAGCACTTGTCCACAGACCGAAGGAGAAAAAGCAAAGTACTCACAATCCACCTGCCTCCAACTCATATAATCTCTCAGAATCCTCGAGTTCGGATACATGACTGCTCTCCCGTCAAACGAGGGAAGACCGCCCGGCTGCAGCGGCGTATCTGGAAAATACGTCCCCCAGAGGTAGATATAGTACCCCGTGAAGGTGGATACGATAGTTGTTACGAGCTTGCTGTATACCCGACATGGTCAGTCTGCGCTGACAGGAATTGTCCAAAGGGGAGAGTAGAGAGGGAGAGGAGGAGGAGGAGGAGGAGGAGGAGGAGGAGGAGGAGGAGGAGGAGGAGGAGGAGGAGGAGGGGATATACTCACGCACTGCGCCGCTCGAAGAGCTGGCAGCTGGGGTGGAAGGCGAAACTAGGCTGGGTCAGTACTATCACATCACGCACACAAGGGCATTGTGTCAGTGGTTAACAGACCTGAACTCATCGCTGACGCCGTACGCGATGCACAGATCGGGGAGCTCCTTCATGACTTCGGCGGCGGCGGCGTTCATGAGGTCCAGGGCCCGGCGGTCGTTGGGCTTGATGAAGCCGTAGCGATCGGAAAGTCTATTCGGGTCGTCAGTTCCGAATGTACATGAACTTGGGGGGTTTTGGATAAGGGTTGCAGGTAGCTACCCCAAAGCGGGTGCCCAGAGACTACTAGCAGTGTAGGGAACTGACTTGTGGAAGCCTCTGCCATCGATGCGGACCACAATCCATGTGTTGGGGAGTAAGAGGTCCGGTTGCTCGAAGGACTTGACGTATTCGTACCTGGAGGGGGTGTTAGCTATTTATTCCGTGGATGTTTGAAATTAGATGGGATGTATACTTGGAGTTTGCCATTCTGATTAATTTCCTGGTAGGAAGAGGTCCTGTCCGTGGCTGGTGTTGCGCAGGAGGCGGGTCAGGCTGGAGATGCAAGAATGAATATTCTGGTGGGGATGAGGGACGAACCGAACCGCTTTCCTCGCCCAACTCTGGCTCTGCTGCCACGTCTTATACGATGGAAATTTTGAAGGCCTTTGAGAGACCAACGACGTCTTTGTATGATTTTTACTACCCCTTTACAGCCACATAATGGAAAATTCAATGAACGACTTGGATCACAAAAGAGCCAGACACGGAGTGCCAAAATGACTTCTATCGAACTAACTAGGAAATTATAGAGAATGCTAGAGCCACACTGGTGATGAAAAGCCCCACAGCTGGAAGCTATCAGAAACGCCAAGATGTACTACCCTAAGTACGGATGCTGGAAACTAAAGAAATGTGAAAGAATGTAGCTGTATGTTCAAGATGCATGCATCTCTTCGGCTATGTCCTCATCCTCTGCCTCGCTGGCCCGCTCACTAGGCCGCTCGCTCGTCTCGCTAGGTGCTCTGTCAGATTTCCTGGACATGCGGCTGAAGAACCCCAGGCTGCTGCGGGTCGACCGATCTGCCGAGGGGGCGCTGGATACAGTGCTGTCGATGCTCTTCGCTAGCTGCGCTTCGTGATGCCCGTCTTCGTCAATGTCTCCTTGCAGGGGGTCACCCTTCTTAGAGAAGAGACCGGATCGGTCCTTCCAGGAACTGAACTTGCCGGAGCTACCCTTCCGGGTGATTTTGCGAATAAAGGACTCTTTCGAGCTGCCGTTATCCAACGAGCCACCAGAGGGCAAGCGCTCCAAGGACTCATACGAGTCGCCAGTGAGGATCGAGAAAGACCGTGAGTCCCTAGAGGCACGCGATTCCGAAGGGGAGCCCTCATCCATGAGGAAGTCAAACTGGACATCCATATCCTTCTCCCCCGAGTGTTCCTTTTCCTTGCTCTTGTCCGAGCGTTTCCCGAAGATCTTGAAGGAGGGTGCGGCAGGGTTCAGCTTTGGAGTGACCGGCCGGTGGGAGGAGGATGGCCGTGTGCCGATCGGCGCTTGTAATGGCCGCCCCTGCCGCTCAAAAGAATCCTGGAGGAAGTCAGGCTCTCCAGTGAGGCTCAGAGGCAAATGACCAGAAGAGCCGTACTGGGTCGATGGCCGGCGGGACTGGACTCTCGACCAGGTTGACGGTGACGCCCAATCGAATCCCAGAGGACTCCGGTGGCCGTGCTTTTCTGCCGACGGCCAGCCAAAGTGGCGGTTGTCCGTAGAGGGATGAGGAAGCTGGTTCTCAAAGGAAAAGGTTGACGAGGGACGCGGAGACAAAGAATCCCGACGGACCTTACCCAGGATAGATGAAGGATCGATAGGATCGTGCCTAGGGCTGAACTGGTTGTATCCGGTGCCGAGATCGGAGTTCTCGCCGGTCTTGAGCAAGCTGCTACTTCCGCTGCCAAAACCAAACCGACTGGGCGAGAAGATGCTAGAAATGGCAGTCCGACGAGACGGAAGATGGTCAGAGGAGCTATCAGTGGTGGCGCCTGTTGTATTGCTCCGAGGGAATAATGACATCGGGTTCGCCCAGTTGCCTGTATAGCTCAGCCGACGGCGCCTTGCCCCAATGGGATCCATCTCATCCACATTACGGGGGAACGACTGACTTTGTCCTGGTTTCAGACTGCCCAGCAGTGGCGGTTCGTCAGCAAGCGTCTTACCGCGAGGGCGATGAAAGCCAAAGAGCCCAGACAGTCTCCGCGACGCACTCTTGGGTGCCTCGGCCACATCTAGGTTCACAGGCTGAGAGTCAGCCTCTTGAGGGCGAGGTTGACTCTCGTGCGGACTGGCGAAAAGGCTAGCGGGACGGCTTCCGGGGGAATCGGGCGAGGGTGGGGCGTGGGGGAAGTCGAGCTGTGCGCCAGACTGCTCAAGGTTGGAAAATCGAGAACGAACGACTGGTCGGGGAAGCTCGGGCGATTCCTCGTCTCCAAGAAGGTCGGATGGGAGTAGTGCGTCTGCGCGAGGGCTCATCTGAGGGTTTCCGAGAGATAGATCGGCATAATTCCTGGTGGTATCTGACTGACTCGGCAAACTGGGAAGTGTCATCCCATTGGTAATGTTGAAGAAGGCAGAAGTAGGCCCAAAGGTGGGTGAGTTGGTAACGGGAGGATTGTAGCTGATACCGCCGGAAAAGGATGGCTCCATAGCCGTATAGTTCATGGGCGAGGAGACATTGCTGGTGAGCGAACTGCGGTGCCGGCGAGGGGCTCGGATAGTCGCAGTGTTGGAGAGATCCAGATCGAGAGCTGGCAGAGCGAACGGCCCCGTGCTGCTGGTTCGTTGGGTACTCAGCCACTTCAGACGCTCCTGAGCCTCTTGGTACTGCTGCTGGGCCTGGGCATGGAGGCTCACGAGAGTAGCGTAGCGGGCCTGGAGACTGCCCAGCTTGATTTCCCACTGCCGGGCTCGCTCGTTGTCAATCTGGTCCAGCTCTCTCCCGTCCTCGGTATCCGCTCCCTGATGAGTCTTTCTTTCCTCCTCGAGCTTCTTGATGCGTCCGCCCTTGTCCTGAATCTCGTCATCAATGACCTTCATATCCGCATGCTCCTTCGCGATCTTCTCCCGAACCTCATCCCCACGTGTCTTTCCCTCCTCTTCAACCCGAGCCTTTTCCTCCCTCGAGTCGGCTGCCTCACTAGTGAAGTTTTCAATCCGCTCCCGCCACCGGACAATGTCGGACTTCCGCTTCTTGCGCTCGGACTCTTTTTGCTGCAAGAGTCGTTCACGCTTCGCCTTCTCACTCTGCACGGTACGATTGACACTTTCCAGCTTGTAGACGTGCTTCTTCAGATCACCACTGGCTTCATCCTTCTCCTTGACTCGCTTTTTCAGGTCGTCCCGCTGTTTCTCCAGTTCCTTCAGAGTGGTCGCGTGCTCTTCGTCCTCATCGGTGGCCTGCTTTTCCACGGTCTCATTTTCGTGCTGCAGCGATTTCAATCGGTCGGCGAGTTGTTCGAGGGTTTCGTCGTGATCGTCGGTTGTCGCACTCTTCTGCAGCTCCTCCGCATGGCCATGTGATACATCCGCCGCGCTTGCTGCAGGAGACGGTTTCCGCCCAGCTGAAGAACGCTTCGCTTGGAGTTGTCCGCCACTATGTTCTCGAGACATGACCGGGGCCGATGGAGCCGCAAGACCGGCGGTGGACCGGGGAATGGATGCTCGGATGGTAGGGGTGCCGACCGGGGCATTTTGCTGAGTCTGGGACAAGGGAAGCGATTTTGTGCGCACATGGATAATCGCACTCGGGGTTTGGAAGTTGGCGGCGCTAACGGAGAGAACGCAGATATGGTAGATGCTGCCGGGGACCAAGTTCAAGATTTCGACCGCGGTTTCGGCTCGTTTCGATTCGCCCACTAACAAGCATTAGTATCACACAGAGAGTCGAAGGAGCGATTGCCGGAGGTACCCTTGATGCCGTTCAGCTGGATGATATGTTTGTGGATGGAGTTGTGGAACTCGGGCTGTTTCCAGGCGATGCGAATCTCACGGGCGGTGATCTCTTCGAGGGTGACTTCTGGAGGCGGAGGAATGTCCAGCCCGAGCTTTTCCACCAGCTGGTCGTTGGGAGTCTGACAGACCTGCCACGCACGATACAGCAGCCTTGATGTCAATCGATTAGCTAATGGCGGTCTCCACGTGAAGTGGAAGAGATGGGGGTATACCAGATCAGAGCCCAGAGGATGGTGACTGCCAGGAAGAGAGCCATGACGCCTCGTACCCTCACTCGGGGGACCACGCTGGGGTAGGCGTCGAAGGAGAGAAACAACGGCTCATACATCCCAGCGTCCGCGACCCATGGAGGGGAGAAATGAGGGGAGAGGACAAGCGACCTGGTGGAAGGCAGTGAAGGAGGGACACGACCAGTTCAGACCCTTGGGAATGGGAATTAATCCGATGCGCCGCGGAGGCTGCCGAGAGTGGGACAGATCACCTGACAAAAAAACTCCGCTGAGTCAGAAGTGAGTCAGCCAAGGTTCTGCTTTCCCAAAAACCGGACGGGGACTAGCGTAGCGCCCGCCTCCAGAGCCGAGGAAGGCAGAAACCCAGGCAGCCAGACGATGGCAGCCAGGTGGCCCAGGCAGAACGGCAGGACGGCAGCAGCCGGGACCGGTTGGGCTGTTGAGGCCCGCGGCCTGGAGAACGCCTCTCCCAACAACTACCAAACGGCCAACAGCTTCAAATTCGGCCCCGTTTCCTTCTCTTGGCCTCACCTGCATGTCTGTCTGATCCGCCTGCCTCACAGGTTTCCACTCGCTTCCTTGTGTGGTCAGATGCGTGCGTGTCAGCTCCCTTGTCTTGCAAGTGACCGTCTCAGTCTCTCTTTATTGATCCCACTCCGGGGCATGTCTGTCGGGCATTGTCACATGGGCCGTATGTAGGCGGCAATTCCTGCTCCTCCCACGTCTAACCTCCAACCCCCCTCCCCTATCCTCGGTGCCTTTGTGTGTGCGTTGTGCACCCCCCTTGATCTCTTGCGATCGTTCAATCTTTGCTAGAGAATCCAGGGAAATTCCCTGCCATTCTTACAGGATGCAATACGTCCGAAGCATCAGTGGTTCTGTCTCCAAGACATGGAACTCCATCAATCCAGCCACCTTGAGTGGGGCTATCGATGTGATCGTGATCGAACAAGAGGATGGTTCGTCGCCTTTCCTTTGCCCTGTCGAAGGGGAAGTTGTTAACCCACTGGCTGTAGGAACCCTCGCGTGTTCACCATTCCATGTTCGCTTCGGCAAATTCTCCCTGCTCCGTCCGTACGAGAAGAAGGTACCGTCCGCCCGTGTCAACCCAGTCGCTCAGCATAACTAAGGTCTTATCAAGGTGGAATTCTCGGTAAATGGTGTCAAACAAGGTTATTCGATGAAACTGGGTGAGGGCGGGGAAGCATTCTTTGTCTTCGAGACAACAGATGAGATCCCCGCCGCGCTGCAGACGTCGCCATTGGTATCGCCAACTAGTAGCCCAAAAATGCGCAGCGAAGAGAACCTTCCATCGGCTTTTCAAGAACCGGAATATCTTGATCTCGATCGATCATCTCATGGCAGTTTGCCCGATGGCAAAATGTCCGCCGATCTTCCCCTGCTATCGAGGGGAATGCGGGCAACTAGTGATTTGGGTAAGACTTCGCGGTGTTGTGTGTTGTGATCAATGCTGATAGTTGCAGGTACCATTACACCTCTTTCACGGTCGCCGGACGACCCCACTTTGGGCAGGTCCCGTTACGGCTCGTTTGGCGATGAACCCGGAAGAATAGATCGGATGGCCACAGATAGTGTTCTGTTGACCAAGAGCCGCTCCAACAGTGTTAGCGTCGTGGATCAAGTATACGGAGTGCAGCCCTCTGCGGCGAGCGTGTCGAGCGATGATGCCGGACCGAGCGACCGGTCGAGAAGCCCTCCGCCGATTTCGCCGGAGGACGCGATGTCTCGCGCTGTGTCGCTATCGAAGAAGCTGACTGGATCGAATATCCCATCTCGCATCACTGACGCAGGTGATCTCGTGCTCGACATGACTGGCTACAAGAGTAACGAGGACGATGCCCTCCGCGCGGAAGTTCTCGCACGAAAGATTCTCTCCGAGGAACTAGAGGGAAATTATGATATTGGGGCTCTTATCGGGGCAGACGAGCATGGAAACCTGTGGATATACAGCAGTGAGGAAGCGAAAGAGGCTGCCAATCGCCGCGCCACGTTCAACGCGATGAGACCGGGCTCCGCCATGAGCGAGAATGCCATGTCCGATCCGGGTTATCACAGCGATAGCGACAAGTCCCTGCAGGACAAACCGCTGACCGCTCGACACTATCGCACGCAGTCCGACGTTCAACCCGGCTTTCCCACCCCTCCGCAGTCGCCCGCACAGGACTCTTTGACCAAAGAGCCTGCCCGGAACTACGCGAAGACCTTGCGTCTTACAAGCAACCAGCTCAAGGCCATGAACCTGAAGCCGGGTGCCAATGATATGTCGTTTAGCGTCAACAGAGCCACTTGCACGGCGAATATGTACCTATGGAACGGAAACACGCCCATCGTTATCTCCGACATCGATGGGACGATCACCAAGTGAGTTGCCTTAATGGTCTGTCGTGCATGTGACTAATAACCTGCAGGTCTGACGCCTTGGGCCATGTGTTGAACATGATTGGTCGGGATTGGACGCATGCTGGCGTGGCCAAGCTGTACACGGATATCGCCAACAACGGCTATAATATTATGTACCTGACGAGTAGATCGGTAGGCCAGGCAGACCTCACCCGAACCTACGTTTACGGGGTTCGTCAAGAGGGATTCCGGCTACCTAAGGGGCCAGTGATCATGAGCCCGGACCGGACGATGGCGGCGCTCAGACGGGAGATCTACCTGAGAAAGCCGGAGGTATTCAAAATGGCCTGCCTGCGGGATATCCTGGGTCTTTTCAATGGCAAGGAGAATCCGTTCTACGCCGGGTTCGGCAACCGGCTTACGGACGCGTTAAGCTACCGGTCTGTGAACATCCCTTCGACGCGGATATTCACGATCAACTCGAATGCAGAGGTGTCCCTGGACCTTCTCAGTTTGAACAAGTACAAGAGCAGCTATGTTTCGATGAGCGAGCTGCTGGATCACTTCTTTCCGTCGGTCAGTTTGCTGGTACAGGCTGGAGGCGAAGAGTACACCGACTTCACCTACTGGAGGGAGCCCCCGCCAGATCTGGAGGACTTTTCGTGTACGGACAGTGAAGCGGAAGATGACGACCAGGGCGAGGAAGATGAAGAGGAAGAGGAAGATGAAGACTATGATGGGGAGCTGAGCGATGACGAGGGGAGTGACGTTGATGAGGAAGCCGGGGAAGATCTCGGCGCCAGCTATATCTCCCAGGACTCTGTCGACGGATCCGAACTGGCCGATGGCAGCAGTCTCCGGCCGGATGAGGTCGCAGAGGACAAAGACGAGATCGAGACCGACGTGGAGCCGGAGGCGCCGCGGTTGAAGTCCAACCCTGGGTCTCCGAAGCGTTGATGGGTGGCCATGACATCCACTCAGCACCGGCGACAACCGCGTGACTCCGCGCCGATACCCCGTCATGAGACGAGTCGCAGTGCGTATGGATTGAACATTTTGCATGGAGGGTGTTAGTGTTGATAGAATAGCATCTGGCGTTGCACAGGTCGCATAGCCATATTGTTGCTTGTTCGGTTGCGCATAATGTACGATAGCAGTGAGAGAATGGTCCGCATAATACTACATACTGGACCTGAATAGAAGTGGATCCGAGCACAATCATAAGACCTGAGTGTTACTGTTTCTGATCTCTTCACTTGCGGAGCGGACTCGATAGAATACCTAATATGGACTAGCGCGGAGCCTCGAGCGGAAGAACGAACGTTCGCCTTTCAACTCATCCATCATCCATCCATCCATCTTCCCAGCTGCACCGACCTGAGTAACACCTGGTCGCGTTCACTTACAACCAACCACCTTTGAACCCCGCAGCCTGGAGACCATGTCAGCGCGCATCAATTGACATTGCCACATCCACCTCACCTCCATCAACTCACCTCCACCTACCTACTACCTACCACACACCACATTACTACAACGTACAATACCTACGTACCAACCTCACACTCGCAACGACCACCAAAATGGCCTCACCAAATCACACACAACCCTCCACCCACCCGATCACGCCCCCCGCCGAGCCTTCCACTGCCACCACCAACGCGAACACCACCAGCCAACCCACCGCACCCAACTCGAACCCGAACCCCAACCCGAACACCACCACAACCACAACCGCTAACACAAACACCACCTTACCCGCTGCTGCGCCGACACAAATCCCCTCGACTTCCCTCAAAGACAGCGGCAAGACGCGACGGCCGCGCGATGTCCGCCTCATCCACATGCTCCTTTCCTCCCTCGGCGTAACAGCCTACCAAGAGCGCATTCCGCTACAACTCCTCGATTTCGCCTACCGCTACACGTCCTCGGTGCTGCAAGACGCCGTGCACCTGGCCACAGAAGGCTATGCGGGCTCGACGGACGGCGGTCCCAGCTCCTCTCGCGCGCCCGCCGAAATCAATAGCGTCTCGCTGCCCGCGCTGCGGCTGAGTATCGCGTCCCGCCTGCATTATCAGTTCCAGCCGGGGTTGCCCAAGGAGTTTCTTATGGATGTTGCTGCGGAGAGAAATCGTGTGGCGTTGCCGGGGGCGAGTCGTGGGTTTGACACGCAGGGTGCGGCGAAGGCGCCCGCTGCTAATCAGAGTGTTGTGATGGGGGGCATGAGGTTGCCGCCGGAGAGGTTCTGTTTGACGGGCACTGGGTGGGGGTTGAAGGATGAGTGGGAGAGCGAGGGTGAGGAGGAAGAGGTGGTTGAGGGAGAGGGCGCTGGGATTGGCAATGGGGACGGCCAGGGGGAGAATGGCGTGCTTGGGAAGAAGGAGGAGGGGGATGGGGAGGAAGAAGAAGAGGATGAGGATGGGAAGATGGAGGATGTGTTTGGGGAGGATACTACCATGGGTGAAGGGGATAGGGGTGGGGATGGCGATGGGGATCGGGATATGGAGGATGTTTAATCGGTGCTTCTATCTCTTCTCTTGTCATGTCTTGTTTCGCATGAGAGGCGTTGGGCGCTGTTTTTACTTAGGTCGGGTTAGACTGGACTGGACTGGACTGGACTGGATGGTCCGGTGGACGGGAGATTTAATCTATTCATTGCTCAGTCGTCTTTCTTCTGTCTGTCTGTCTGTGTGTCTGTTCATCACCCTTGTCAATATTGTCAACATCGACCCAACAGCCAGACCACCCATTCATCAACCACACCCCACCACTACTACTGTACAAGAACATATGCATACATGCGCACGGAGTAACACAACGCCATAAAAAACAACAACAATAGCAGCAGCAGCAGCAGCAGCAACAAGAAAACACAAAAACCCTATATACGCCTCACCTTTTACCCAAACAGGAATCTCGGAGAGAAGAAAAGATACCCCAAGAAAGAGTAGGCAGCGATAGTCTTATTTCCCCTCCCTCCTCCTCCTCTCCTCATCCGCCCTCATCATGCGAATCACCTCCTCGCGCCTCTGCTCCACCTTGGCCAGCTCCTCCTCCTTCACCCGTCTGCGCTCGCTATGCGTCGCAAACCACTCCTCCCGCGCCCGGTCCTCCTCCTCCGGCCGCGCCTTCGCAACCATACACGAGTTCATCGCGAGTCGTTGCTCCCGACATACCCATGTTGCTGTCACCGTGCGGTTGACGGCGCATTCGGCGAATGCTGCATTTTTTGGTATTATTCACGTTAGCTTGGGGTCTCGCTTGCCTGCCTGAGCCTTCGCTTCTGCATGAGGAAACGGGGACGGGGATGAGGGCGAGGGGAGAGAGAGGGGGGAGGGGGGGTTTACTCACCCTTGATTTCCGGGGCGCAGAGTCCGCGAACCCGCTTGTAGTATATTTGCTTCACTTCGGATTCTTGCGCGGCGGAGAGGGGGAGGGGGTTGCGGAGGTTGTAGGGTTTGGGTTGTTGCTGTTGCTGGGTGGTTGGGTCTGGGGTTGTTGGTGGGGTGGGCATTTTGGCGGTCGTAAAGGGTTGGTATGGATCAGACGGAGGTGAATGTAGATTGTAGGTGGTGATGTTGGTGTAGCTCGAGGGTGGTGTATCAATCGAGCACCGAGGGACCGAAAATCGAGAACAGAATCGAGGCGTGGTCTCGGTGAGAAAGAAGGAAGCTGTGTTCAATCCGGCACCGAGGCAGCGTGCGTGCGTGGTATTGTTAGGTTGTAGGTAGGCAGGCAGGCAGGCAGGCAGGCAAGCAGTCCAAGCCAGCAGGTGATCAGATGGAGTAATTGAAAATACGACGAGTGCACCCTCCCTCAAGAAAACAATCCAACCCAGTCAAAGCCGCGAACAGACGCAATTGGGGAACGCAGGGCCGAGAAGTTCGAGGTGCTCAAATCGCCGTGAGTGACTGAAGGTTGGTCGCCGACTTACCCCATCCGGTTTAGTGTCTCCGACTCCGACTTTTCAGTTTTTTGACAGCTGCTGCTGTTGCTGCAACATACATCACAACCTGTCTACCGGACCATATTCCGTGACGAGCACGGATTTTTACAAAAAGAAGAAGAAGAAGAAGACCAAGGAAGGACTGGAGAAATAATCACACACCATGTCCTCCATGCGCAACGCCGTTCAACGGCGGAATCACCGCGAGCGTGGCCAGCTAGCCGGCCGTGAGAAATGGGGTATTCTTGAGAAGCACAAGGTACATCACCACCCTCTCCTCCCCATTTACATACCTCAGCGGAATCGCAATCTAAGATGACATCTGTGATAACAGGACTACTCCCTCCGTGCGAAAGACTACAACAACAAGAAAGCGAAGATCAAGCGTTTGGAAGAAAAAGTGCGGGAGCGCAACCCCGATGAATTCGCCTTCGGAATGTTGTCGGAGGGCTCAGGTCGCAAGGGGAAGCACGGGGCCGGAGCGACGCGAGACTCAGCTGCGGCGCGCGGACTCAGCCACGACGCGATTAAGCTGTACAAGACACAGGATGCGGGGTATCTGCGGACGGTGGGCGAGCGGGTGCGCCGGCAGCTGGAGAAGGCGGAGGAGGAATTAAGGCTGCAGGATAGCATGAAGGCGATTCTGGGTGGGGGGAAGGGGGTTGACAGTGAGGATGACGACGATATGGACTTCGATGATGAGGATGATTTCGACCTGGGAGGTGATGATGAGGGGGCGAAGAAGGGGCGGAAGGTTGTCTTTGCGGATGACCGTACGGAACAGAGATCGCTGAAGAAGAAGAGGTTGCAGGGGGAAGAGAAGGAGGAGTCATCGGATGAGGAGGAGTCGTTTGGCGATAAACAGAAGAAGAAGACGTCGCTTAAGCAGGCTGCAGCAGATCGGTTGGCTCTAGTTGAGGCTCGTCGCGCACGCAAGATGAAGAAGCGTGCCGCCGAGGTCCGCGAGAACAAGGTCAAGTCGCTGCAGAAGCAGTATAAGGATATCACGGCCGCGGAGCGCGAGCTGGACTGGCAGCGTGGACGCATGGATAATGTGGTTGGTGGCACGAATAAGAACGGGGTCAAATGGAAGATCCGCGAGCGGAAGAGGTGATTTGATTTGATTCGATTCTATCTGGTCTCCTTTGCTCCCTTGTCTTTGATGGTTCTGGGTTTCTTCATGCTGCATCAATCACTGGCTATGATTGATGATTTGGCTTTGCATGGGTTGGGTTGCGGGTAGGAAAAGTTCCAGTGTATTCTACTACAGGATAGATTCGCCGGCGTTCGAGATACCATTTTTTTATTGTACAGTGATCAAGGCACTTTTATGGCAATTACTCCACGCGTCCTACGCTTGCCTACTGGGATTCTACAGCAGGTCTCACCGCCCGGCAGTATTTCACCATAGGAAGGCTCCAGTCATGTGATTGCTCTAGTGAAAATTATCAGTAATTTTTGGGAGCCGCTACAGCCACACCGGCTAGTCTCCTGCCACACCTTCCGCCTTCCTATCTAGGGATAGCCAACCGATTAAATAGTACTACACATACACCCTTGATAAATACACTAGGCCTGATTAGGAAGGTAATCAAATTTAATACTTTAATTCTCTACAGCACGGTTAATTATATATAGGTTAACTACACGCAAGCAGGTAGATAGAATATCATAATTGTGTGATATTTTTTTGCCAGCTATAATTCTAAGGTGTTTTTTTTTTCTCGAAGATATTGGGTGAATAGGTGTGGTAGGAGCCTAACCGGTGTGGCTGTAGCGGCTCCCTCATTTTTTTGTCAGGCCGCCTTGTTTGGCCGCCGCCCGCGTAGCCCTCACAGCCAGCACCTTGCAGTCAACCTTCGCAACCACACCTCTACAGGTATTTATCGCAGGCGTCGCAGGCATCGCAGATATTGTAGGTATTAAAGATATTACCTACCTACAGTATAGGTATTATAAGTATTGCAAGTATTTTTCAGACATCAGGTATCATGGGTATCATATTCCGTACGGAGTGTGACGATATCAAAAACAAGGTGATCGTAATAAGAAAACATGCTGCAGGCGATGCAATTGCCTGACCAGCAAAACTACGATATCTGTATAGACGGGAAATAGCTTAATCGAGAAGGCGATGAAGACCGCTGTAGGGTCCCTGGAGTAATTGCCACTTTTATTGCTATGCTCATATTACATACCGCGTCGATTCGTAAAGTACAAGCTGGGGCTACCTTAAGAAGCCTGCTGAGCCTGCTTCATGTGCGCCACACGAATGCTTACGGCCCGCTTGTGCGCGTCCAGTCCCTCCACTGCAGCCAGCTGCTCCACCGTGCGAGACAAGCCCAGCAAACCGTTAGCCGTCAGGTTCGAGCTGGTGATATGCTTGAGGAACGAGCCCAGGTTCACACCGGAGTACTGCTTTGCGTATCCGTAGGTAGCTGTGGCTGTTAGCGTCATCCAAAGAGGGTCTTCGCCGCCAATGTTCGTTCAACAGAGGGAGGGCAACGGGTGAGTCGGGAGGGAGGCACGGAGAGGGAGAGGAGGGAAGGAATTTGGGAGGAAGAGGATGGAGGTGTGGAGGGGAGTGGCTAGGGGCCAACGAAAAGAACGACATGGGAAGAAGACTTACGCAAAGAGTGGTTGACACCTGCCGAGTAGTCGCCCACGCTCTCCGGGGTCCACTGGCCGATGAACACGCTGCCGGCATTCTGCACATGCTTGACAGCCGCCTCCGCATTCTGAATTTGCAGGATCAAGTGCTCCGGGGCGTAGTCGTTGCTGAGCGCCATCGCCTCCTCGAGGTCGCGCACGACGAAGGTGACCGAGTGCGCCAGAGAGCCCCGGACAATGTCCACGCGGGGAAGAGCCTTGGCCTGAACATCAACTTCCTTCTCGATGGCCTGGAGTTGCTCTTCGTTCAAGTCGATGGCGATGAGAATGACCTGCGAGTCGACACCGTGCTCGGCCTGACTGAGAAGGTCGGAAGCCACGAACGCAGGGTTGGCCTCCTTGTCCGCGATAACCAGCACCTCACTGGGTCCGGCCGGCATGTCGATGCTGACTCCGGCGGAGGTGTCGTTGGCAACAAACATCTTGGCGGCCGTGACGAACTGGTTGCCCGGACCAAGGATCTTGTCCACCTTGCTGATGCTCTGGGTGCCATAGGCCATGGCCGCAACCGCCTGCGCACCTCCGGCAAGCACGATGCTCTCCGCACCCACCTTGTGCGCGACGTAGACGATCTCGGGCGAGATGCTGCCGTCGGAGCGGGGAGGCGACGCGAGAACAAGCTTCTTGCAGCCGGCCACCATGGCGGGAACACCCAGCATCATCGCCGTGGAGGGAAGAACGGCAGTACCACCGGGGATGTACAGACCGACGCGCTCAATGGGACGCGAGAAGCGGGAGCAGACAACACCGGGCATGGTCTCGACATTCAGGACTTCGTTTGCATCCTTCTGGGCGCTGTGGAACTTGGCAATGTTGGAGATACTGATATCAATGGCCTCCTGGGTCTCAGGGGACAGCTTCATCAGCTCAGGCGGGAATGGGGCGTGGATGACGGGGGAGGTCAAGGAGGTCGCCTTCTCGAACTGGTGGGTGTACTTGAGAACAGCAGCATCACCGTTGTCGTGGACATCCTGGATAATGGGGCGGACGAGAGCGACAATCGCATCGTTGGACTTCTGAGCGGGACGCTTGAGATAATCCTGGACCACCGAGGCGGGCGTCGAAGCAGTGAAGACGCGGGTCATCTGCATCTGCTCATCCACCTTAGGAGCGGGCTGAGCGGGCTGAGCGGGCGCGGGCTTCGATTCGGGGGCGGCCAGGCCAGCTTTCTCCGCCCATGGGCCCTTGGCGTCACCCTTTCTTCTCTTCACCTTCAGGCTCTTGAGGTCCAGATTTCTCTCCACATCCTCGAGGCTGACACCGGCAGCGACACAGCGAGTCAGAGCGAAGTAAAGAAGATCAGCAGCCTCGAAGGCGATCTCTTCTTTGGTGTTGGCACGGCACAGTTCGTCGGCTTCCTCCATAATCTTAGCCTGGGTGAGCTTGGGTTCATTAAACAGGCGGGCGGTGTAGGATCCGGCAGGGGCATCGGCCTTGCGTTCCTGCAGGGTCTTCTGAAGACGGGAGAGGCCGTTGTAGGGTCCGAAGCAGCTGGCAGTTCCGAGGTGACAGAAACCTGTCGGGTCAGTAGGGAAGCAAAATGGAAAAGGTAAGCGGACTCACCTCTGCCAATCTGGTTGACAACAAAGACCAGGCAATCGCTGTCGCAGTCAAAGCCCACGCGGATCAGCTCCTGCACGTCTCCGCTCGACTGACCCTTGTACCACAGACCGCGCTTGCGGCTCTGGTAGACACCGGTGCCAGTGCGGAGAGCCTCAGCGATGCTCTCATCGTTGCTCCACACGAGTCCCAGACATGTTCCACGCTCATCGGTCACTGTGGTGGCGTAAAGACCGTTGCTCTGGTCGGCGACGGCGCGAGCTGCGATGAGGGAAGCGGCGGCGATCTTGCCGTTGGGCTCCTTGTGCTCAAAGGTCAACACGTCGGAAGACACAACACTAACGCCACCCTCGATCAATGTGTCCTTCAGAGCTTCCTCCGTGGGTGTGCTGGTGTATGTGCGGTATAGGTTCTGAGCCTCGAGGTTCATGCCAAGCTTCTCAGCCAGGGCCTTGACGGCGGACGAGTCGGTCGCCAGGCCCGCATCCTTGCGCTCAGCCGATTGGGCAACCCAGGTCTGAAAGGCATTCACCTGGCTCTCGGGGGCATAGACGACCAGGCGTGATGACGGCACGGACTGTTCTTCGGACAGGGCCGTCAATTGGTCGAGGGAGATGAAGATCTTGGCGGCGCCGGCATTGAGGATATCGACGAGGTCTCCGGTGGCGGACACGGCAGTGGCGTCGACGTAGACATCAAGCAGACGGAAGTTGTGCTTGAGAAATTCCTCTGCCTGGGCAAGGCTGGAGGCTTTGATGAGGACGCGCCCGAAGTACGCGATCTGCTTGAGGCCGAGGCCGGAGGAGGGGGAGGCGGGGTCGTAGGAGACGAGGAGAGGGGTGGCCATGGTGGAGGGAGGGGGGGTGAGTCGTCGGGGAAAGGCCAGGAGAGAATTGAAATCAAGGAAGGATCCCCAGGACGGGGAGAAGACAGCGGATGAACCGGAGGAGGGAGAGAGGGAGTGAGAGAGAGATGGAGAGGGAGTGAGTCAGTCCGGGGTGGAGCGGCGGTGATGTCCGTTAAAGAAGATTCCGCCAACAATTTCTTCCAGCCCCGCCATCGGAGCGCTGACCGCCCGCCGGCAATGGGGCGGCCCTGATTGGCACTGCCGGGCGTGGCGGTTGCACAGAGTTCCATCGCGTTTAGGTCTGGATCGGTCCCTGGAGTTTGCTTCAGCCATTCGGTCATCAATTAGCTGTTGGTCGGGTCCTTTTTGCGGGGGATCACCAGTATCACTAATCCGGACTGGATAAGTAAGTATCGCGTCACTGCTCATGCGATGGATTTCATATCTACGACATAGCTCGGCAGTACTCCATACAACTGTGTACTAGCTGTTGGCACTAGTCTAGTGTGCTTTTAGTATTCCCCCACACAATTATCACAAGGTCATCATGTTCCCTAAGCAATTCCACTGGTCCGATTATCCTCCGATGATTACTGTCACACTGACAGCAGTTCTATGTAACCCAAACTAATAGCATCTCTTTAGCTCAGTGGTAGAATGACAGTCAGAATGTTAGCCTAGCTTCCTGTGACACTCTTATCCAAACTTTTATTCCTCCTTTGTGAAAGAAGATCATTTTCTGATCGTTCACACCATCTGTGTGGATTTGGATTGGAGTCCGAACAGACTTGGTGTCTCTCTAGCTTAGTGTGTTTGGCTTTTCTCTTTTATCTCGGAAGGTGACCTGCCTCTGTATTTATCAGAAATGGGAATGTCACTCAGGAAGAGACATGGAGGGTGGCATCTTTTCTCAGGAATTGATCCAATGCTGGTCGTCATCCCATAAGCCATAGGAATATGCTATTCGCTCCAATCTGTAGTAGCGTTCCTTTATTAGGCATGTGCTTACGGTTGCTCATGGGCACTGTCTTGAACTTTCCTAGAAAATTGAAACTGAGTCTGTTGGGTATTTGTTGAGAGGGTGCCTGCAAGACCTCTTGATTGAAAGGAGACCGAATATCTGCCTGGGAAATTATCCCAGAACATGGCCCTGACAAAGGCTGCTGAAAACCTTAACCCCCTTTTTCTGATGTCGCCCATCTTCTTTTATTCTAAAGACCCTGACACGGATCACATGATCGCAGGAGACAATATTGGGACGATCACGGCGGATGATCCTCCGAAGCCTCGCAGATTTGTCATTTTCCCGACGGAGGAATCGTTTGTTATTCTGCTGGGATGAGGCACATCCCCACATGTCTGTCGACTTTGCTAATTCAGGTCCGATGAGAGCATCTGATCAGCTTCAGGTTTGATCGAATTGCATAGTAGACCCGAGCTTGCGTTGGCCTAACCGCATGTGGCATCCCCAGAAACCTCCAGCTTTGACTTTCCTCACTTTCAGTTCCGATCTTCTTCCGCTCTTCTGACTTCTGAGGCATCTGGTGCGCGAGATCGTGTGAGAATATGAAAGATCCAAAAACGCGATCATCTGCCCGTCCTCATCATCTGCCCTGCGGTCTGACCTGCCCGAATGATGGGGGACCTCCGCTCCGACGTTACTGTCGCACAGACAGGCCGCGAGAAATTAAGCGACCACCCCGGGACGGACCAGGTATGATGTAGGTTGCGAATACCTCTGGCCAGCAGCCAGGTACCGGCAGGGTCAAGTCACCGCGACCGCCGGGGAACCCAGGCAGGAGCGCACCCTTGCAGCGGCGTGCATAGCCTGGCTGCCAATGGGTCCTCCGATCGGCGGGGGATTCGGGCTTGGCTCCCCACCAGGAACCAGGGACTGCCTGTGCCTTACTGGATCGGGAAACCCCTCGGAGCTTCAGTCCAGTCCCTGTCGGAGGGCGCTTCCCCTCGCTGCCGTCACGGTCAATCCTTCGCGACCTGGAGGCCTGGAGACCTGAACTGCTAGCTTCTGTAGGAGGCCGGCTAATCGAGGTATGAGCCCGGGATGCATAACTCCTCCTGAATCACCTTTCTCCGCATTCTTCAGGCCGTAGATCTCCTTATTTATACCCAATCCGTCCGCCTGCTCAGGCCGTCATTGTTTTGTCTGTTTCTATCACCCGGTGCAAGCCCGGTTTCTATTCTTTTTTTTTTTTTTGTTGTGCCTGGTTACTCTCCTGTGTCACTTTTTCGCCCTACCATGCATGTATCTTCACTTTCCCTGTCCCTGACGGCCTTGGCCCTCGTCAGTCCGTGTACAGCCCATCCTCAGTCTAGATTGGCTCAGCCAATTCTGCAGAAGGCCTCCGACACACAGGCTCGCGCCGACGCTGTCAAGGAGGCCTTCTCCCACGCCTGGGATGGTTACTATCAATACGCCTTTCCCCACGACGAGCTGCATCCAGTGTCCGATGGCTACGGCGACTCTCGTAACGGATGGGGCGCGTCCGCCGTGGATGCACTCTCCACTGCTGTGATCATGCGTAACGCGACTATTGTCAACCAGATTCTGGACCATGTGGCTAAAATTGACTACTCCAAGACCGACTCCACTGTGAGCCTGTTCGAGACCACCATTCGATATCTGGGAGGCATGCTGTCCGGCTATGATCTGCTGAATGGTCCCGCGTCCGATCTGGTGGAGGAATCCTCCAAGGTCGACGTCCTTCTGACCCAGTCGAAGAGCCTCGGAGATGTTCTCAAGTTTGCTTTCGATACGCCCTCTGGCGTTCCGTACAACAACCTCAACATCACCTCCGGAGGGAATGACGGGGCCAAAACCAATGGTCTAGCAGTCACCGGTTCGCTGGCGTTGGAATGGACGCGTCTGTCTGATCTGACGGGCGACACCACGTATGCGAAACTCAGCCAGAAGGCTGAGTCCTATCTCCTGAATCCCCAGCCCAAGTCATCGGAACCTTTCCCGGGCTTGGTGGGAAGCAACATCGACATCGCAACCGGGAAGTTCACAGATGCGCAAGTGAGCTGGAACGGCGGCGACGACTCATACTATGAGTACCTGATCAAGATGTACGTATATGACCCCGAGCGGTTCGGTCTGTACAAGGACCGCTGGGTGGCCGCGGCGCAGTCGACCATACAGCATCTGGCGTCACACCCGTCGACACGCCCGGATCTGACCTTCTTGGCTTCGTACAACAACGGTAACCTTCAGCTGAGCTCTCAGCACCTGACTTGCTTTGACGGGGGGAGCTTCCTTCTGGGAGGAACTGTGCTGAACCGGACTGACTTTATCAACTTCGGCCTTGATCTGGTCAATGGGTGTCACGATACGTACAACTCAACATTGACGGGCATTGGACCTGAGACGTTCAGCTGGGACCCGAACTCCATCCCATCCAGCCAGCAGGCGCTTTTCGATAGTGCCGGATTCTACATCACCAGTGGAGCGTATATCCTGCGCCCGGAGGTCATTGAGAGCTTCTATTATGCTTGGCGGGTTACCGGGGACGAAACGGTAAGACACCATCCTCGCATTGACTGCATCGGCGACTGACAAATATGATAGTACCGCGAATGGATCTGGAGCGCGTTCAGCTCAGTTAACAAGTATTGCCGCACTGGCTCGGGCTTTGCGGGACTGACAAATGTCAACGCAGCCGACGGAGGCAGCCGGTATGACAACCAGGAGAGCTTCCTGTTTGCAGAGGTGTTGAAGTACTCGTATATGGCCTTCGCAGGGGACGCAGAATGGCAGGTGCAGAAGGGAAGCGGGAATAAATTCGTGTTTAACACGGAGGCGCACCCGATGCGGGTGAGTACATAGTATTGTTATGCATACTATAGAGCATGTATTAGTGATATTATTAGGAGCACATGGATACACTTTTCCTGCAGCTTACTTTAGATACCCATAAATGGTAGCTACCTTGAACCTTCTGAGGGTGCTTGTAACTTTAACTACAATTGAAACAAGAGGAGTGTCACCGGCCAGAGCCACACATAACATTGAAAAAAAACACTGCCACCAGCTTATCACATGTGAGTGAGTACATTTCTATCCAGTTAGCAGTAATAGTGGTACTATCCAGCTTGACCCATACACCGATCCATCCAATACCCATCCTCATATCCCCATCCGATCGCCCCACAAACTCCCTCACGCTAACCCCGTCCGCCCTAGTATCCCGCCCCACCGTATACCTGACGGCCCCACATGCTATCATTTGCGCGGATTTGAGCATCTTTCTTGACCCTGTCCTAGTACGTACCTTGGGGGTATGATGCATTCTAGGCACCTTGCGGACCGTAAGTACATAGAGAGGGATGGGTAGATGGCGTGGTAAGTACTTGCGAAGTCAATTACCCGGTTGTTCTTTCTCTTTGTTATTGATTTGCCTCTCTTTCTTCTGTGAATTAGATCAGCACCGAGTAAAAAATTCTTTATATACTGAATTTCCTGCTCAAAAAGACAGGCCACCTATTTATCTACCTACCCCCCCAAAAAAATCCTCGAAGAAATAAGAACTAAGAAGAGGGAAAAAAAGAGAGTGAGAGAAGATGTGCGGCCCCTCTCGATCCAGCACCGGTAACCTCATCGCCATCATCTTCCCTTCACCACCCTCCTCTTCATTGTCCTCCTCATCTCCGAATACATCCTACGCCCTCTCCTTCGAAGATACAGAGCATCCCAACAGCAAAACAAAAGCAACTTTCCGCATCCCCGACATGAAAACCCTGGCCGCTTTCCAAGCAAGTATGGCCGTGGAAGTGCGGATTGAGTATGTACCCACCATCCTCTGCCTCCCCACTGTACTATCCAGAACATGCTAATTATGATATGATGGGTAGGAGACATGGAGATCTCACATCTCAAAGTACACTGCCACCGCTATATCATTTCCGGATCCCGGCGCCAGGAACAACAGGGAAGCAGAAGCAGACAGGTTCGGGCTGCGAGGGCGGAGAATTCGAGGTGTTTTTGCCGGAGAGATTGGAGCTGGGGATCTCTGAGAGGGGGATTGTGGGGAGACAGGTTGGTGTGGTGCTTGAGGGGGTGGATGTGGATGTTGATATGGGGAGGGGGTCGTGGGGTTTGATTAGTTTCTTCCTTTCCTTCTGTTTTTCTCCTTGTATTTTGGTGGCTCTGTGGGATTGTTCATAGGGTTTCATTGGGTCTTTTTTAACTTTTTGTCTTTTTTATATGTTTTTAAGCCGAGGTGCGTTTGGAACTTATGAATTGGGTTGGAATGGATGCATGGTGCTTGGGATGATGGTTAAATCGCTTTTAGTGAATCGTGGGATGGAGGGTTGAATGAATATTAGTTCGGATAAAGACATGATTAGTGTTAAGACTGATATGGAATAACAGAAGACACTTGGTTCAATTTATACACAGCCTGAAAATACTTAGGCAATAGAAATATTACAGCTTCATTGTAGCCAGTCCTTCCACCCCATTCAGATACCGATGCTCCGCCTCTTCCCAGTTGATTACCTTCCAGATATTCTCCACGTAGGAAGCTTTGTTGTTCAGATACTACGCACTATAATCAGCCACTTCATCAACACTTCCCAGGAAAGAAGGCGAGAGAGAGGTATAAAGACAAAGCGAAGGAAGGGGAAAATACCTGCAAATAATAAGCATGCTCCCACATATCCACCCCCAGCACCGGAATCATCTCAGTAACTGGATCCTGATCCTTCGTCGTCACAATCTCCAACAGCCCCTTCTTTCCACTACTCACCAACCATCCCCACCCGCTCCCCTGTAAACCCAACAACACCGCCCCAAAGGCCTGTGTAAACTTCTCGAACGAACCATCCCACTGCTCCTCAATCGCGGCCTTCAGGGTCGGCGCGGCCCCGTCGACCTTGGTGGCCGGTGAGTCGTACGGCGCCAGGTTCCGCCAGAACAGCGAGTGGTTGATGTGCCCGCCGCCGTTGAACTTGAGTTTCTGTTGGATGCTGATGAGTTGCGTGATGTTGTTGTGGTCGAGCGCGGAGGCTTGGGCGTCAAGCGCGGCGTTCAGGTTCGTCACGTAGGCTTGGTGGTGCTTTTGGTGGTGCAGCTCCATGATTTGGCGGGAGATTACGGGTTCGAGGGCCTGATTTTCGATTAGAATTGGGCCTTGAAGGAGTGGATGGATGGGGGAGGGTGCTGACATTGTAGTCGTAGGGGAGGGGAGGGAGGGAGTATTTGGGGGGCATTTTGGCGGTTCTTTGGCGAAGTTCCGGTTGTAGTTGTGGTAAGAATCAGGAGAGAAGGTGAAGGTGATGAAGGTGAGGATTGTGAGCTCACGATCGAGAGAATGAGAGGAGAAGGAAGAGGAGAGAAATCAGATGTAGGTTACGGGGGGAAAGAGGGGAACTCGTATTTCCTACATCATCCGAGTCACTGTCGTCCTACAAGGTCCTCTGCCCGCCAATCCCCATGGCGTGAAGTGTCTCGAATGGGGACCCTGCGCACAATTGAGCAGGTTTCAAGCCGGTCGCTAGCGGAGTCGGACCAACAGGTATCGTAAGTGTGCATGATGTGCGAGATCGATGATCTCACAAAGACTTCTAGACCCGTATACCCCGCTATATGAAGTCTCCTACCGTAACTGGCAGAGCAGCCCCGTCAATGGAAGGAAGCGACTTCCATCGGGCAAGCCTTGGATGTTGTCTTGCGGACCAATCAGCATGTGGGATATCTCATAGTTACCTCAGGACAGGCTAACCGAGACAGTTTAGTTTGTCTCCAGCGATGGCGTGCGGGGTCTGCCTCGGCCATCGGCATCAGACCTATCTTCCAGAGCCTACCGTACCTTCTCCCCATGACCGCGTAATTGCTCATCCCACGATTCACCACCATGTCGGCATCCGAAGAAGCCCAGCTGGATAATTTCTCCTCCATCTTCTCCCTCGAGGGTAAAGTGGCCGTAGTCACTGGCGGATCCCGCGGTCTCGGACTGCACACTGCAAGCGGGTAAAGCAACCTCCACCTCCATCTCCGTATTCTCCGGCGCCATCAGGATGAGTATTAAGTCAAACCCTATAGTTTTCTCGAGTCCGGCTGCTCAAAAGTCTACATCACCTCCCGCAAACCCTCCTCCTGCGAGGCTGCCGTCGCGGCCCTGAACGCGCTCCCGAACAAACCCCCTCACGCCACCGCCATCGCCGTTCCCGCCGACAACTCCAACCTCGACGAGCTCGACCGTCTCGTCGCCGCCGTCTCCCAGACCACCGACCATGTCGATATCCTCTTCGCCAATGCCGGTGCCTCCTGGGGCGAGAGATTTGATACTTACCCGGCCGACAAATTCAGCAAGGTCATGGATCTGAACGTGAAGAGTGTCTTTTACACCGTCCAGAAATTCACCCCGCTGCTCACAGCGCGGCCCACGCGCGATGACCCCTCACGAGTCATAGTGACTGGCTCCATCGCGGGATTAATACTTGGACCTTTGGGCGCTAATGCAGGATTCAGTTACTCGGCCTCCAAGGCCGCCGTGATGCATCTGGTGCGCAATTTGGCAGTCGAGTTGGGGCCTAGACATGTCTTGTGTAATGCGGTGGCGCCGGGGTTCTTCCCGTCAAAATTGGCAAATGGGTTAATTAAGGTACAGGGGGGTTTGAAACACCTGGAGGAAAAGTCGCCTAATCGGAGGCTGGGGAGGAAGGAGGATATTGCGGGATTAGTGGTGTTTTTGGCGAGTCGGGCGGGCGGACATATGAATGGGGCTGTCATTCCCATTGATGGGGGGAGCCATTTGATGGGAAGGCTGTGAGGGTCTGTTTGGGTCGGTTGTTGGACGAATGGTCTAGATTGATGCAAGAGAGTGAAACCGGTATCACCCGGCCTGGGCACAGACAAACAAACAAACGCTGGTCTCATGTGTGACGGACGGGTGAGAGCTGGCCCAGACGTCGGCATCCCACTTTCAAGCAACCGACCTCGTCACACCCTTCCAACAAGAGATTTCATCACTTTGACTGCTGCCTTGATGCGTCACTCTTCAGCTATCAGCTATATATTCGACGAACACACCCTCGGAGTCTTCTTCAACTCATACACTCCTTTAAGCATTTGCCGAAAGTCTACCGTGCGACACTCAGCATGACAGTCGTTTCATTCTGAAACAAACATTCTTTGTCCCAATGCAAGACACAAAATTCCTCAAACATTTCCATCTTGACCTATACAATTCCCTGGTTGGGCCTGCACCATCAAGAATTATCTACCGTCGAGATTTCCGCAACTCGAGGAAACGAGCTAGCCCACTACTACGACCATACTGTGGTGGATCTTTCCTTCATCGTTATATAGATCATCACATATACACTTTGCCAACGAACACAAACAGGACTAGACGGTATTTGTGTCATGTTCTCTGCTGCAATGGTCATTGTAGTCTGTCACCCTGAATCTTGTCGTCAAGACCACAAGCACGCCAGCTCCATCGCACATTCACATAACAGAGCGATCTTTCCGCCTGGAGAGATGTCTCTGACCTTGACACTAAATCCTCAAGGTCATTCAATGGAGCGACTACGTTCTGTACCGAGGATGGCCCCGATTGGACTCGCGTTCGACTGATTACATCTACATCTCCTTGGCATCGTGGACAGTACTCGAGCCGGACACAACAGTGGAACCTATCCTGTACTATCCCTGGCTATGAGCTAGCAACGCTCACATCCGACGACAATGCCAGCCATGTTATGAATGAGCCACCGTCGATTTATCCTCCCACCGACCTAGCATTATACGAGAGTCGAAATGCGTCTGGTCGGGGTGAAAACCGTCGAGATCTCCTCACTGCACCAAGCGCCAACAGGGCGTCGAGAAGTTGATGTTGTCTCGATATCCTTTGGCTTTCTAATGAGCAAATAGATTTCCTCTTAGACGAAAGAAGACATCAAATTACCTGCAGCCGCTGCAAAAAAATATATAGGAAGTGAATTTACTGCAAAACACTTCCACCATGTCATCGAGATCTGTTGATTACCATCAATTCCCTTCGATCTGGAAGTACTGTCGTGAATCTTGGGACTTTTCTTATTGCATTCTGAATGTACCACTTTGCTGACCTGTGGTGGTCTCCCCCCTCCTCCTTCTACTCAATCTGGGCATAGTGAAGCTCGCGGAAAGGAAATCTCTTTGCTGGGCCAAAGGAGGTAGTGGCCCAGTCCAGCCGTACAGATGAAAAGGCTATCGTATCCTGACATGGACGCATTGCTACTGAAGGTCGTGCGCGGGCAGTGCCTGTTTTACTTTGCGGGTCTCCCACTTGAGGAACCCGACTTTGGATTTTTTCACAGTCTGATTCTGGTTTTTGTTCGAGACTTCGTGGCAGAGGCTATCTTGAATACCCAGCATGAGACACCCACATTGTCGTTCAACATTGCGGCGAGTCTTGACCCAGTGGAGAAATATGTTGGGGGGTATATGATAAACACTGTGATGTGACAAATTGTTCTTTAGTTTGGTACATGAGAAGCACATTATATCCCAAACACCAAAAGGCTATACCGAAACGATCATCAAGAGAGATTCCTGGCAATTGCGAAAGAAATGAAGGGAGAATGTGCTAGAGGAGTGATATTCGGATATACAACGAGCAAAGTCAGAACTTGGTATGATAACCACAACTTGTCCCCACAAGAGAAACCCTTTTCAACTGACATAATTGACCGTGGGCGGCAGAAGCTGCGCTCAGCCCGAGTGTATCGTTCTCTATCATGGCTATGTCATCAATCGATGGACAAATGATGACCAAGTTCTGCAACATGACATCTCTGCCGAAGTTTGGTTTGGTTTCGTTGAACAGCCTCAAGTCACATTTCCAGCCGGTTATTTCCGCGGTGGACATAAAAAATGACGGTGATGGCAATAAGGACGATAGAGAGCCGTGATTACGACCTACAAGATGAATATTCAGCGACTGGTAAGGCCATGAAACAGGTAATGAACACCCCTTACTCTCGCCTTGTATTGTCCCTCCCTTAGGTTTTAATATCATTGAACTGATAGAAGATTTATCTCTACGGACAGGGATCGTTTACCACATTCCACGAAACGGAAAATCAACCGCACCACACAAATCGAGCCCCACGCGCACGTCAAGATTTAGCTCAGAAGCCACAAAGCTGGATCAGTGATGGCTCGAGCCCAAACAGATCCCAAAACTAAAAAGACCAGAGAGCCCTTGAATGCCAGGGCTCGAGTCTCCGATTCGCTGATTCATGGTGCCTGATGAAGGCCAGGTCCGGGGATTGAAAAGGGCAACGGATCGATGAAGGGCACCATCTCACACCTCACCATTGCTCCCAGACATTACACACTTGGCCGCAACAGCCCTTACTAGCAGGATGCCTGGCATCTCCCATGGTCTGAGAACCAAGACTGGGCAGACTTCCAATTGGTTTTGGGCCTCGTGCCTGAAGGTCCCATTAGCGCACGCAGCATAACAGTCTACCTCTATTTGCCGCCAACCATGCCTCCCACATTCTCCTACACGTCCCGCATTTCCAATCAGATTGTTGCTTCTTGAGAAAAGCAGATTGTAACATCTGGAACCATTGAGCAGAAACCAGGGACATTGAGATGAAACTATGCAAAGAGTCCAGAAACAACAGCCTTTTCTCTCTGGGTCTCACCGTCTGGGGTAACCGGCATATTTGTCGTCACAACCAGCCTGTCCGAGGTCCCCCAGCACTGGGTGGCTACGGAGACATACCTCCTCCTTAGTACTTCACTAAAAGTGGAGAATGTTTAGAAAGAGCAGAAGAAATTGAAGTCGAATGTATGGCTAAGCCCTTCACCACTTGCCCTAGGAGACAGTGGCATGTCCAGGAAGCTCTCTGAATACGATCCAGTTAGCCGCTTACACTACGGTCTTCAAAAACCTCAACTAGCCCCCCAGGTCTATTAGCATACCGCGGAAGCCACGGCTCTCAAGTTGAACTGTAACAATCAAGGTCCTTACTCGATTGAAACATCGAATGATACTCAACTGCTCAAACTCTCGTGGCATAGTTCTTTTGGGATCGATTCTGCGGGCAAATTCTCGCCGCCAGGGTTTGAGTTGTCGGTAGAAGCTGGCCATCGCGCGGTCTTGGGTATGGAAAAGGAGGTTCCTCATGCCACTGAACAGTGTCGCGCGATGATAACTCTCCTCCCTGTTATTCGCGACGTTGAATGGACAGTGGCGCCTAAAGGTCACCCTCGCTCCAGCGATATTTCTAACCCCAATCGAAAGAATGCGACAGTTTTACATCATCGCAGAATCATTGTCGACAATCCCTGCCCGTTGTCAAAATCGCCAATCTTTCGCAGGACGGTGACTGCTTCCGCTTTCCACGGCCATGCGCTTTTCAAGGGGTCATGTGCAGACTGCATTTGGAACCATCAGGGCGTGAAATATCCTTTCCACTTTGACTCCAAGGATGATGATGGTTCGGACTGATGCGACACCAACACGGCGTAAGTTCCCCTCTCCTACTTGGACCGTTCGTGGCCAACTATTATCGTTTCCAGTCTTGTCTCTGCCTCCAGAAGCCTTCTTGCAGACCTTGACCTATCGAAAACCGGTCGCCATGTGACGGTTAAACCTCTCGAAAATACCAAGCTCTTCGTTACAAGAGCAGGCCCCAATCGATCCAAACAGCGCCGATGAAGTCTTTCATGAAACTCTCGTTATCCTTGTCTATCATGCCGTGACCCGGGAGCTCATGATTGCTCGACTCATTTCCATTCCCATGACCAGTGAATGGTACTTCGAAGGCCATATGGCCTTTCGAGATCTGGGTCCTCAAGCTCCTCGCCACCACCTAGAATCGCACACATGACCGAGCAGAAAACCCATGAAGCTGGACTATGAAGGTCAAGAACACCAAGTAAATCAAAGTCTTTTGCACGTTCTTTTTGCTCTCACTCCTCACGAGATGCACAATTTCAATACAATGTTGCAGGCACGCCGTGACCTGGCCTTATTCCTATCGATCGTCGAAAACTTGCGTGTCCCGTACCAAGATGAGACTGACGGCGATGATTTTGTCGGCACAGACTTTTACGATGTCTACGCAGCCATCATAAGTCTCGTCTATATGGGAGATTTGGTTGCGGAGTTTGTTGGGTTTCATGGAAGGAAACACTGTACTCATGATGGGGAGTAGCGTGAAGAAACTCCACCTTTCGACCAGACATTCATACGAGAAGATTATTGACCGGTGGCTTCATGAAATAAGGCATGGTGATGGGACTAATATTGTTGAGGGCGTTGACCAGGATGCAGACTGGATGGATAAACTCAGACCAGAGGGATGAATACTTACAAATATTGACATCATCTGCAAGCACACACCTTGGGTTCCTGTCATTCAAAGCCCCCGTGACACTCTGCTTTTGGTCACGGATGATCCGCGACGAGCGTCACGAAGAGCCTAGAATTGAATCAACTCGGTTTCTAAACATGATGACTGTCCCGTGGGAAACGCGCACAGCAGACTCAAAGATCACCTCCTGATTTGCCTAAGGGCAGGGTTCCCATCAACTTTTTTATCCTCAAGCGCATCGTCCCTGGCCCATCATATTGACAGGGAGCATATAACGCGCTGCGAGCGAGTTCAATTTAAGAAAACAAGATGCTGTCGGTTCTTCAAGAGAGCAAACGCTTTGAGGATCGACTATCAGGCATCTAATCCGGCGGCGAGGGATACATCCGGCACTCCCTTCGGATCCAGCCTGGCGGACTACGGGGCAGGGGGTTTCATGACAGGCCTTGGACTAGAATTTTATCTCTTCCATTCAGAAGCAAAGATATTGACTCTTGGGAAACATGCACCGGAGTTCTCAAGTTATACACAGACGAGAAACGTGGATGAGAAAGAGCAAACTTCTCTCTTTTATGCGGCCTGTGGCGGCCGTCTCGACTATCTCGCCACGCCTGGGAGCACACAGACAACGGAAAAGTGGTACACGGTCCTCACCGACTACTGATTGATTGCGGCGCTGTTCAAGCAGCTTTAACTAGAACATTTCACCTCCTCACCCTTCAAGAGAGAGGTCTTTCGTGTTTTCGTCGTCGAACCTGAGGCCTGTTCCATGACCAAAGCGCATTCTTAAACAGACCGTGGCTGCTCCTGCCTATCGAAAGCAAGCCTCTATTCACTGTGCATGTGCCGACTGTGTATGGAACCATCGCGGGGCTCGTTGCCTTCTTCGAAAAGCCTTCGAGCGAACCGGTCGCTAGGATTGGCGAATGACCAATACGATGTAAGTCTTCCTCACCTGGTTTAGGATTGTTTTGCCGCTGACTGTTGTTGTTCTCAGGCTTGTTTCGGCATCTGATGACCTCAATGCCATCCTTGGACTCAATTCGACCTTTTCCGATCCGGTGAAAAGCCAACCTCCGTCGATTTAAGAGTGACGGCATGACGGCATTATATCATGCGGCCAGCGATTCGATTGTCGGGCTTGTAAATCCACATCCATTCAGTCCCTTATCGAGGCATTGGCCGCAAAAGCTTGGGATTGAAATATGGCATATACCAAGGCACGCCATTGCACCAGATTGCGTGGTGTACGACTATTTTTTTTTTCACTCTAGTCAAATGGGTTGTGGCAAGATCCCCTCAAACATCCGATTCTCCAGCAGCGGAAAGCACACAATTGTCAAAGCAACAAGACAAATGGCGGAAATGCGTGGATACGCTGGAGAATCAGAGTCAAACATTATTTCCCGTACCACTCGGGTCTTCGGATCAGAATGTGGCGTGACCAGGATCCTGGTCCAAGATTCCAGGATAAGCGTGGGTTTGACAGGGTGTGAGTACGCCCCTAATTGAAGCAATGAATAGAATAACCAGAAGATCTGTAGTGTCCCGGTAGATGCAGGGACAGATCCCAAGGCCATGGACTTCAATTTTCGCTGCATCATTTTGTCCATACCGAGCGAGAAGTTGAAGAGCGAGCAGGGCTCTCGCGGAAACAGCGCAGATATACCCATGCTGCCTACAGAATATCCTCAATTCTGTCATTGCCATTGCCATTGCCACTGTCATGACAGAGATGACGGACACAACAGACACAACGCGCACGACGGGCACAACGGGCATCAGAAGAAGCTAACATCACACGGAGGAGATAGCTCGGGTCCTAAACGAGACGGAGACTCCGTATGCGTGAAAAGGTGCTGAAAGTATTGATGTTGAGGTTGCTGGATGAGGTTGCCGGCGAGGATGATCATGCTATTTGGAGCTGAGGAACTTCCTACTCGAAACTATTCTCCTCAGGTCAGTGCCACACATGCATTAATTCCCAATGCTGCCCTTTGCTTTCTCAAGGGCTGTTCCTAAACCGGGATGGAATCTTTATTGAGTGTAGCTGACCGACAATTGCACTCCACAGTTCTGGAGAGCTCCAGCAACCACGAAATATAGACCACCTTGCTCTCCACCACTGGTGACAGTATCAGCAAGCCTCCGGACTTGAACGATGATTTACTTCCGGCGTAGATCCAGCCCACGCTGCTAGAGTTGGACCGACAGTCTACCCGGAGAACTGCATTCCCGCCTGGAGTTGGGAACCGTCAAATCTTATCTCCCTTGACCTCCCTTGAACTTGGAAAAAAGCCTTGCGATAATGAACTGGGCCAAACATTGTTGGAAGATCCTCTTCAAATCCATGCATGACATACTCCTGGAGCGTTGGTTGCGGGATCCGGCGGCCCTGACCTTGGTCGCAGGTTTTCTCTCCACCTTCCTACCATCCTGTTGCTGTTTCTCACCTTGCTTTCGTGGGAGGTTGGGGTTAATACTCAAGACAGCGGTACTAGCATTTAGCAAATGCTATTTCTGGCTTTCGGTCTGACAAACTCGGAGACGACAATCGAAGATAACATCCCGGATGCTACAATTCGGACATGTCATGTGCGACTTTTCCCGGCTCTTCAGAAATATCACGGCCCCGATTACTCTGCCCTGGTACCCAACCTGAAGCGTGGCACTGGAGGCAACGGAACGTGGCAAGCTGGTCATGGACATTCTGCGAACATTCGTCCTTTTGGCGTTTAGCCCGAAGATACATGTGCTCGTCGAACGACTGGCACACCCTCGTAATTGACGTGGCGGAGTGCGTATCCCGGACAGACAAGGGACTTACTCTTCTCCATCAGTCTTATCATGAGCTTTTCTCCTCGGGCGATTTCCCCCCCGTCTCACGTGTCCCGCAGGTATGGCATTGGTCCAAATCAACTTACGGGAGCCTGCGATCTTTCCAAGAATATATCATCATATCACATACTGGTGGCTTTTGATCTAATCTTCGGTCGATTACTTGACACTCGATGAAAATGGGCATGTATCTTGATCCTCTTGTGCCCATCCAATGTTACCCTTCAGCCTCGCATTGCGAACACAGTTTCAGAATCAGGCAGAATTATGCCTCGCAAAGTTCAATCGCGCTAAAGTATCGGTGGAGAGCTTGATAGAGTCAGGGGAAGATTCGTGACACGATTAACGCCAACTCTCAATGCAACCCTCATAATCATGTTTTGATATTTACTCCGCCTGCAGGCTTGTCTTATTGAACCTTATCTCCCTGAGGATCAGCAGGCAATAGAAGTCACCCGGCTTATCCTCCTGACCCTTCTGTGCATCGGTATACTGATGATGGAGATATAGCCAGAGCAGTTATGATATCACCATAAGAAGCAAGTCATGACCAACTAGTGATAACAGCGGCAGACCATCAGTTCGGTCGTCTCTGGAATGGCTGAAGGATCCTCAACCGGAAAATATTAAGGCATGACCTTCTCACAGAGGGCCTATTTCTGCCGCAGCCATCGAGTGACACATAATTTTTGAAGCCATTTGATGAGAAGAGGCCAGCTCCTCTGTGCCATAGTCGGCTCGGCAGTGGTACTATATAACCACAAAATCGGTCGTTGACGCCTACAGAAACAGCTTACTTCGAAGACATCTGATTTCGGGTCGTATTCAGCTACTCTTCCACCGCAACAGCAGTTGACTTCGGTCCAACCGCAGCATTCTTCCTTGGAGCAGTAGCAGCCAGATTGGCCTGTAGCCATGGGCTGTTTAGTTGGCTGTTCTACCTGAGACGCTTCAGAGGTAATCCACTACTAGTTGTGTTCACTGGTATCCAACCTCGAAACCCTTGATAACAGGTCTCGAGAGGAGATAACTCTTTGCACGGAGCCGGAGACTGAAGCCGGGTCGGTATCTCTTATTTTACCGAGACTTCCAGACTCGCGACTCGCCTATGCGAAGCCTTTTCCTAGCTAAAGGCCTGACCCTCATTATTGAGCACATTGCGCAAGACCTGCTTACCTCTCACTCGCCTCTATCTTGGACTGTACAATATTGTCCTCGTCATCACCCTTACTGGGTCTAGGCAGCGTTAGATTTGCAGTTAACCTTCGCGAGCACTGACCCTTTTGCAAAAGCTCTCTTACAGTAATGCTGGATATTAACAGCTATATCTGAATCGTGGATTTTGCACTATGCAAGACGGATCCAATCGACTGCAGAGTCATCTCTCTTTATCGCAGCGGCCTTTCGATATTGACCGCAACATATCGGCGTTCCGAGCGTCGCACAACTTCTGGGTGCCAAGTTTCTTTATTAGGACTCTCGATCCATCACCTACTTGGAAAGAGTCTCCGAACGAGCTACGATCAGACGCCCCTCGGGCAATGGATATGTCTCCGGCCCATGATCCAGCAACCCTGACCATCTTGGCCACGAAGGCGCCGCGGCCAACGGTCATTGGATGTTTGAAAATGGGATTAATCTTGTTCAGTCAGGCCTGGATGCATCGATGCTTACCTGTACCTATTACAAAAAGACCGCAGGTTCCGGATCACCTACGCGAATTAATGCTGCCAAACGCACATCTTTGTGCTACTCGTGCACCGAAGAAGGCACCGAAGTGTGTCGTGCGAGGGCAGCCGACAAAGCGGCTGTTCGAAGGGCTTTATGGTTGTAAATACCACCTAACTAATGCCTACAAATGGCCGTTCCTCCTCCATGCTGCTTCTGGAACTTTATTATTATTGGGGAGTTTCCTTAACTCGAGAAATATGGGAGTGGGACTGCGCGAATGAGAATGCATCGAAGACAGTGTTTTCTATGCCATCCTACGGAATCGCGACGGAATGATGAGAGCTCTGGCACAGAATCGCAGGACGATTTCGGGCCAGAGGGGGCCTAAAAATGGGCAGAAAGGAACATCCCGACCACCAATATGGTCTCCACAGGCTGCTCGACAGGCTCCTCTGGCGGCGTGTCGGGTGAAGGTTAACCACCAAGTGGAAACACCATGTTTCCGGAACCATGTCCAGGAAAGCTGCAGCGATATCTCCGTTCGGCTTCGCAGCCAAACTCCTTGCTGTTTGGGAAGTGAAGGTATGAGCACCTGGTTAATAGAACGGAAACCGTACTCGGCCTATATGATCGGTCTCCTGTGCGTCTTACCTGGTTATTGGCACTAAGGTTACTGGATGATCCAGAATTCTGTGTTTCTGAACGGTAAACATATCTGCTGCAATCAATATATGCGACGTCAAATACGGAATGGCGGTTTCTATGTTCACTGCAGGTCACGTACTTCTTACCCTGACCAGATGCATTACATGTCTGAGGCCGAGGCTGCAGCTAGCTGCTTCGCCATCTGTCGGATATTCCCCACGAGTAATAAATCAAATTATGTTTGGTTCTGCTCTGATGTTCCCGGCAAGCACCTTTTCATTTGAGACTCAGTCGTTTCGACCGCCAGAAGTACCAGGATGACTACGGATGGTCACTTCTTTTTGGTTCTTATGCCTTGTCACCCTTTGCAACCTGTCCGTTGGACAATCCGCGACTAGAAATATATTTTATCAGCGACGAGGACCAGAATGGATGTGGCTTCGCTTCACTCTGACGTGGGAAGGTTTCTGGGCCGAATCCAGATGCGGTGGAGAATCCCTAAAGAGATGATTCAGATTCAGGATCTCGCAATGAGGAGACTTCTACTACTGTCACTGGATACTCTAGTAACACAACGAATCATCTTTCGTGGACTAAATGGCAATGTCCGCAAAAATAAAACGGCCACGGGGAAATCTCAAAGGTCGTCCTCCCCGGGAGAAATATGTCTCAATGGCACGAAAGTTGGTATTGTGTCGAATACAGAGGAATCTTTCACAGCTGGCTGGTGCCCACAGGGCCCTAGGTGCTCTGTCCTGCGAGCCATGACATATCAGAGATTGCCATACGCTTGGTGTAGATCTCCAACACATGACAATAAAGGAGATATATATAACCGTGACTTTTTGCGGAAATCGCCTTCTTCTGGCCCACATTCTAAGCAAGTTCTTGCAATAATTCAACTTCTTCCATACCCTCCTTGTCAAATGAGTATTACACGTCAAATGGGTCAAAAAAGTTGGAGCCGCGATTGTGGGGGTCAAAGCAAGGACCGTGGTTGTCGATCTCTTCCTCACGCCAATTTGTTGCTAGCTGGGGCTGTTATGCTCTGCGGTTCTACACAACGATCTTATAGACAATCTCTCCTCATCACTCTTCACCAACGCAAGGACCCTGTCCTGAGAATATTTTTGAAGGAGAGAGCAGATAAAATAGAAGCAAAAGTTGGATGTCAGTGTGTGATACTTGCCTTCAACTCCACCGGATTGTCCCTGTCGCCCTCATCGCCATCGCTCGCCTAAATGTCAACCGAGTATCAAAACTGGTAGAGTTTCTAAGAGATTAACCTCGCTATCAACATCCCACCAGCTCTCTACTGTTTCTTCCAGTCCCGATCATTTCCCCCTCTAATATGACATAGCCAATAGCGAATTCTCAAGTGTCCAGAAAACCATGCCAGGCGATGCTAATATAGGGGTCAGAATTCACCCAGTGCTTTTCACTCATTCAATACCCTCAAAAGACCGCGGCCTCGAGACTTCCAAAAGGCGGGTGCAAGTGTCCTAACGATGCTTGCATCTTGCACCTCAACTCTGCTTTTTCTTTTCGTGGGGTAAAGAGTTGACCCGGATGAATAGTGGTGGATGATGAACAATACTGGATGGTACGACCAGCACCAGCAAGTGACTGTGGTCCTATGCTCGTCAGTGCTTCCACTTTTCAGATCTGGAGTTGCCCATCTGTTGCCATTTGAAATCGTCTACTACTTTCACTTTGTCTTGGAAAATGAACTACCGAACAGAAAATGACCGCAATGGGCACCAACAGTGACAAAATACCTTGAGCCAGTCTAGCGATAATTATTACGGCTTTTCATCGGTTGATGGCCAGACCAGAATCCAGACTAAGGTTCCGTGTTCTGGCCACGGTCTTTGCTCGACTAGAGAATCGCCATGGGCCCTAAAGGAACAGCGGCTCTGATGCAAAGTTCTTTTGACGAAAGAGGATCCAGGAATATATTATCGGAGTGGAGGATGTGGATATCGATGCCGTATATCACCATAGTACCACTGTGTATCACTGTGTATCACTGTGACATATGCTGTATTGGGTGAAGGACGAGAATATTGACTTATTTTGTCTTTGCATCCACTGATGTAGATAAATCAAAATAAATAGGAGTAAGATTACGCTAGAAGCAAGAATGAAAGAGATCATGAGAAAGGATAGCGTGATATCGTGTCTGGAGGAGAGGAAGAAAAAAGAGAGGCATTGACTTGTGTATTTATAGTACATACCTTACCGGTTGCTTCAACCTCGGCTCATCCGGGGAATTGAATTTCCCCGCACGCGCTGCCCCCCGCCTTCTCCAACTCCTTTCATCGGACCTCCACCGCCTCAATTTCATCTCATTTCATTCTAGACTTTAGACATAGAATCAATATGTCAGACTACCAATCCATCGCTGCTCGCAAGCAACAGCATCTCGACTCCCTGATTCCCTCCGAATGGCGCCTCAACGCCTCGCAGATCCCCCCGGGAATGCTCTCCCCCGCTGAGTCCGTCACCAACACCGCCTCCTACGAGAGTGTCAATGTCACCGGCATTCCGCGGACCTGCGGCCTTCTCAGCCCCGATGAGCTGCACATCACGGAGGACTACGATGTCCGTGCTCTTCTCACGGAGATTCACTCGAAACGACTCACTTCGGAGGAAGTCGTCCGCGCATTCTGCAAAGTACCGCCCCCTCCCTTTTCCCTTTCTCCCCCTTGTCGACAACATCAAGACCTAAAGCTAATCAACAGAAGAGAGCCGCTATAGCCCACCAACTAACCCGCTGCCTCACCGAGCCCCTCTTTACGCAAGCCCTCGACCGCGCACGAACTCTCGACGCCCACCTCAAGCGCACGAGCAAGCCCCTCGGACCCCTTCACGGTCTCCCCGTTTCCCTCAAAGACACCTTCCAGGTGACCTCCACAGACGCCACCACGGGGCTTGCATCCTTAGCCTTCCACCCCTCCACACAAGACTCCGCCCTCATTACCCTCCTCCACTCCCTCGGCGCCATCGTCATTGCCAAGACCAATGTCCCGCAAACCGTTGCTGCCCTAGACACCGTCAATAACCTCTTCGGTCGCACCCTCAACCCACTCAACCGTCAACTCACCGTCGGCGGCAGTACGGGCGGGGAGGCGGCTCTCCTCGCCCTGCGGGGATCCATGGTCGGCTTCGGCACGGATATCGGGGGCAGTGTGCGCATTCCACCAATGTGTGTCGGGATCTATGGGTTCAAACCGAGTGTGGGTCGGGTGCCGTTTGGGGGTCAGCAGGAAGTTGGACATGTGGGTGGGATAGGACGCGTGAGCATGCAAGCCGTGGCGGGGCCCATGGCCAGGTCGGTGCATGATATTGGGGTTGTGATGAAGGAGATAGTGCCTCAGGCGGAGCTGTTTGGGGAGGATTGTATCCCGGGGCTCTGGGGGGAAGTGGGAAGTTTCACTGGGGAGAAGTTGAGGGTTGGTTTGCTTCGGAAAGATGGATTGGTTGAACCGCTTCCGCCGATTGTGAGAGTGTTGGAGGAGGTCGCGCAGGTTTTGCGGCAAACGCCTGGGGTGGAGGTCGTGGAACTGCCGGTGCCAAAGGCGTTGGCGAAGTGTCAGGGCTTGGCGAATCGCCTCCTGGGTGTCGATGGGGGAGGGGCGATGATGGATTTGATGGAACAAATGGGCGAGCCATTGATCCCTTGGTTACAGGGACGAATGAAGCGTGGGAAGGGGCTTACGGCCACTGAGGTGGCGGCGTTGCAGAGGCAACGGGCTGAGGTAGAGAGAGATATGTTGCGGATGTGGCTGCCCGAGGAAGTTGAGGGCCAGAGGACCCGGCGCATTGATGCCATCATCCATCCTGTTGCGCCGCATCCTGTCCCTGAGCCGGATCGGTACAATGGCGTCGGGTATACCTCGTCCTGGGTGCTGTTGGATTACCCAGCGGGTGTGGTTCCCGTGCGTAAGTTCCGAGAAGACGATCTGGAGCTGGGGAAGGAGATGGCAGTTCCTGTAGGGGGAAGCTGGGATAAGGCCAATCGGAAGTTGTGTATGTATACACCTTTGTTTTGTGATATTGATAATGAGCTGACCGTAAAAGGGACCGAGAACACGGTTGATAGACGGGTTTACCTCGACTCGCCGCTGAGCGTGCAGGTCATTACCCCAAAGCAGCATGATTACGAGCTTTACCGGGCGATGCAGATAGTTGACGAGGCGATTCGATCGGGGCCAAGGGAGACAGCTAAGCTGTAATATCTCTCATACACAACAGAGAGAGAGAGAGAATAGATTATGGATATATAATTCAATACCTGGACACATCCCTTCCGAACAAATTGTTCATCAGCCATCGAAACGCAACCCGCAACTTATTCCTCCAACTGATACTCATCGTCAGATATGCCGAATTCCATACAAACCACGCCATCCGACCCGTCAACCCCTCGGGGAGATATTTGTTGCCTCCGTCGTGCGGGATCTGCATCAACGCCTTCGCATCTCCGATATACGCCAGCGTCCCCATGTTCCGGAATGAAAACCCTGGCGCTGTCTCGAAATCCTCCTTATTCAACCGTGCTGCAAGCCACTTGGCCTCCTGGGACGTCGCCTGCGCCGTTGCTGGTGGTGCCCCGGTCTCGAGCACGGCGTTGTCCCCCAGGGCAAACACATCGCGCAGCACGACCATCTTCCCATCTTTATCCTCCAACTGCACGCGCATTTGTCCATCGACAAGGAGCGCACCACCCTGGGGTGCTTTCTTGACATGCCATTCAGACTTTCCCAGATCTAGATCCACACCCTCACCATCTTTCAGTATCGCCGACTCACCCGGGAAGACATTTACGTCCGTTAGCGCCTCCCGAACAAACCGATTCATCTCATTCCCCGTCGCCCACACGCACATTCCCACGCCCACATCCCCCTCCTCTTCCGTGGTCAACGTCAAACACGTCTTCGGGTCCATCTCATACGGCGGATCCGCCTGCGGTTCCCCCCACCTCAGCCCCTTCACATGATGACTCGTTTTGATATCGATCCCCTCCTTCCGCATCGTGTCCATCGCATACCGGGACAGTTTTTCATCAAACATCGACAACACCTTCGGCGCAATATCATACAACGAAACACGCGGAATTCCCTTCAGTGCAGGATACAGCGCGATGAGATCCTTGGTGATAAAATCCCTCAACGCCGCCGCAAGTTCCGACCCCGTCGGCCCCGCCCCAACAATAGCAAAATGCAACAAATGCCTCCGCAATTCCGGGGACGTCGTCGGCAACACCGCGAGCTCGAAACATTCTCGCATCCGCCGCCTCACCTTCCTCGCATCTCCGATATCCTTGAAGAACAGCGCGTTCTCCCGCACCCCGGGCGTCCCAAAAGTCTTCGTCACCGTCCCCACAGATATCACCAACTTGCTATACGGGACAGTGAACATCTGCCCCGTCTCCCACGCCCGCGTCCTCTGATGTGTTTCATTTCGAGGCGTCTCCGTAACTCCACTCTTCACCACCGTCGCCTCACACGTAATAGTCTTCTTGGCAAAATCGATCGACCGTGCCGCGGCCTGGATGAAATCGACCCTCGACCTCGGATCGCGAACCGGTTCCACGATATGCGAGAAATCAAGCGACCCCCCCGCAGCATCCGTAAGGAGCGGAGTGAAGACGAAATACGACCGCGGGGAGATGACGATCGCTTCGTATTTCTTCGAGGAGAGCTGGCGTGAGAGTGTGTAGCCGCCCCAGCCGGAACCGAGTATCACGATGTGTTCTTTGTTGGGGTCGGTGGGGAAGGCGGCTGTGTGGTGGATTTGTGTTGCGAGGTGTCTTCTAGATGTAGACATTACTTTTGAGGTGTTGGAAATGGAAGAGAGAAGGGATTGAAGGTGAGAGGAACGGGAAAGCCGTTTGGTCGGGTTTGGGATCGTGCAGGGGAGTTTGATTCCCATTGCGCATTGTGCCATTGGTGTTGCGACAATACTATTGTACAATAATAGGAGATTCTTTTCTCTATTCCGTATACATCCAATCCCGGGGTGAGTCAAGAAACACAAACACCCAATTATACAGATAGGTCAGTCAGATAGATATAGTAGATACCTGTGGTCCTGAAGAAATGATGATATCATAAGCCCAATATAGTAAGTAAGCTCGGGACAAAAAGTCAAAGTCAATCAATCCCTCACGAACAATCAAGATCCCGATGCCTCCCTTCCACTTCCCTCCCTTCCTCCCTCCCTCCCTCCCTATCTTACTTCCACCAAAGCCCCCCCCCTGAAAACACCACCTTCATCCCCATAATCAAAAAGAGTACCTACCTGCCCTATTCAAAAAAAAAAAAAAAAAAAAAAAAAACCATCTTCTCCACTCCTCAGCCCAAATAAAAGTAAAGAGAATGTTGGAGTCACGCGCCCCCCGCCCCGGTTCCATCCGATCCTGATCCCATCCACGGGACAACGTGCAAGCGGCTTCAGTCGGAACGACACGGAGTCTTGACTTTCTATTTCTGTTTAGTGAGATGAATTCTTCTACAGTGTACTGGGCAATGACTCACACCGTCCGGGTCCCCATATCTAACGAATGCGTGTTTCGGTCTGGTCTGGCGTTCGGGATGGGATCTGCGGCCGGGATTATCCGGTACGTATGTACTTATGGGTCTCAGATGTGTTCTTCCCCGGGTGTTCGGGGCACGGGTGCTTTTTTTTTTTATGGGTGAGAGTAAAGAGGTGGGATTTTGGGTGGATAGCCAGGGGGCTTAGGTGAGAGATAGGTGGGTGATTCGTGTGAGATTGGTTGGATAGATTGGATGAAGGGGAAGGAAGGAAGGAAGGAAGGAAGGAAGGGGGTTGGAGGTGAGAGGATTTCATGTCACGGTGATTGTGACATGCCGGGAAGAGAGAGGGTGCCGGGTGATATCTTGCAATTTGGCTGATTGAAGCAGGACTGATGGATAGTAGTTTAGGGAAGCTGTCCGTGGTAAGTTGTCTAAAAGCCCGGCACTGGTCGTCGGTTTGCCGTGTCGGCGATATATATACTACTTACTACCTATACTAATACTATGACTATTGCCCAGGCAGTCTATAATTATCATACAGTCAGGTATCATTTTTCATTACCTCAAAAATCAGTCATCAGTCATCATCATCATCATCAAAATCATAACAATCAATAAAAATCATCTCGTCGCGACATCGCCGTCCGAGCCGTCCCTCGGGTCGATACGGGCAGCAAGCTCCCGGCAAACAACTCCGTCTCCAGGCTCTTCCGAGAACGATTGACACTGAGGACCTTCTCAATTTCAAATGCGGTCGGCCTCGGAGACTCCGGGACACGTGCCGTCCTCTTCTGTGTCACCCACCGAAGCATGCGCCGGATTCCCTCCTGACACACATCCCCGATGTCGTCGACCGCCAAGGCGACCAGGATCAGCGGGATGGAGATGGAAAATCCAATGCCGAATGTGTATTTGGCGACATACGGCAGACGGAGCTTCTCCGAGCCGCTCGCCGTCTGGAACTCAGCGAGGTTGATCGCAAACACGGATGTGATAAACGATAGTGGCAGGAAGATGATCGTTACGATGGTGAACACCATCATGACCTTTCCCTGGCGGATAGTTCCCGCGGCTTGATCGCGGGCGAATCGCGCCTCGAATGCGTTGGCGTGCTTCTGCTTGAGGTCTAGCAAATCAGTGATGGATGAGTAGATCCGCTCAGCCTGCTTATCCATCCGTTCAATGTCCTTAAGGTGCATGTCAATCGTGCGTTGCTGCTCCTTGAAGCGCTTCTTGGCATCGTGCTGCGAGCGCTGCTGCCCGTAGTAGATCTCGCAGATGGCATCCTGGAGATCAGAGAGGACGTGCTGTTGATGTTGTAGCACGGTGCGAATCATGTTCAGCTCGTCGCGGATATCCTTTGCTTCCGAGAGAAGATCGGTTTCCTGTCCAATATCGAGTAGGTTGTCCACGAAGAGCGGCTCTTCGTCTTCTTCCTCGTCTTCTAGAATTCGCTCGATGCCGCTTTTTGTCGTCTCTTTGCTGGGCGCTTCCCTTGCAAATCGACTGAGTTTACGGTGGTTCTTGAGCCAATCCGATGCCTGCGCAGAGGCTCGGTTGAACCGATTGAAGAGGAGGGTCTCACGATCTGTGGCCACACCGATGGAGGCTTCAAACATATCCAGGAACTGATATTCCTCGTCTCCCATACGGTGGCGATCGAAGACGCCGGAACAACGGGTGGTGATAATGATGGCCAGGTCGTAGACCGACCGCACCGGCTCTCGGGTCTTGGAGTTGATATCTTCGATAATACCGTCCAGAACATTGAGCGGGTCATTTTTTGGTTGCTCCCACCGCTGCGGAAAGCTGGTAACAATCAAGTTCGTGCCGATTATCCACATCCAGAGTTGATCAACCATGAAAATCTTGGGCTCAGCCCAGAATCGCTCTCGACCTTGTCCCTTGGTCTGGTAGCGGAACACAACCTGATCCTGGTCTCGAGTCTGCGTATCAATGTTCGGGTAGAAAAACTGATCTAAAGTTCGTCTTATATGCAACGACGACGTAGAAGATGCCAGGTGAGCGCTGATAAGAAGCTCATCTCTCGTGGGTGTCCGCGTGAGCGTCAGGGCGGGACGACCGAAATTGCGAGTCTCTGCCCGTTTAATGGCATCTTGCATCTTTTTCCTCCTTTCGTCGGTCTCGAAATGCAAATATGGCATGAACATACAAACGTTGCAAGTAGGGTACGCCTCCTTGCACATGGTTGAGAGCAGTGGATGCTGCTTCTCATGAACGGTTACTGATGGAGGTTTCGACTCGGGCTTGGATCCGGTCTTTCCGCGTTTCGTGGTGCTCTTTGTCTTCTTCCCGTTTACGCCATCATCATACGAATTCAAGTCAGGCTTGCTCCCCGGGGCTCTCTGTTTCTTGTTGCGCGGAGTACTGACGTCCCCTGACTTGGCAGATTCGAGAGTCTGCCCATTGATCAGAATCGTGGGAGACAGCACTCGCTCTTCAGCACTTTCCTCATCGCGAGGTCGTAGCGCACGAGGTGTGCTCTGACACAAGGGTCGCATGAAGTGCGAGTGGATTCTTTGCCCGCGGTGCTGATACTGGAACGATCTCTCAAGCCCCTTGAAACTCTCCACGTCGTGAGCTCCTTCCTCAATAAATGATTTGGTGAGCAAGGCCTCGACCCAGGTCAGGTTATTCGCAGGCAGATGAATCCATCGAAAGTCGGTGGCCCGATTGTTCTCAGGCAGGGTGTTGAAGGCTTGTTTGCGTGGATTTTCGGCATCGCGGCCGTAAAGAAGATTGTAGACAGAGGTCTTCTTCACTCGGTTCTCGTTGTGGAAGTTCCCGAAGTCTACAACGGTCGCCTCAAAGCCCTCGCATGCCCCTTTCGCCTCGGGTGTCAGCGCATTGATGTTGTTGAACGGGGCGAGGAGTGATACGATGTCCTTGCGCTTGAATTGCGCTGCGCGCAGGAACGGCGTGCTGCCAAAATTATCGCGGATCCTAGTCTTCAGATCCTTGTGTTGTAGGAGACATTCAACCACCTCACGATGACCTGCCTGCGCAGCCAGATGAAGCGGCGTGACACCAGTCAACAGCTGGCTGTTGATCTGGGCCCCAGCCCGTAAGAGGATGCGTACGATCAACTCAGCACCCTTGTCACACGCATTATGGAGAGGCGTCCAGCCACCGTCACTCCTCGAGTTGACGTCTGCGTTATGTCGGAGCAAGAATTGGACGATATCATCGCGACCGTGGGCCACGGCAATGTGAAGCGACGTTTTATTCCGAAAGTCGACCGCGTTGACATCGGCGATGGGGCCTTGCGGTCGGGTCAGGAGCAGCTCTGCGAAGCGCAGTTTCCCCGTCGCGCAAGCCCAGTGTAACGGGGTCCGACCCAGTTCATCCTGTCCAGAGATCCCATCGACTTTGCAGGCCGTACTGAGCAGAAGCTCAATCACACTCTCACCCCAGTCACACTGCTTATCCGCCGCCAGGTTATGCATCACATTTCTCCCCTTCTGGTCCTTCGCGTTGACGTCCGCGCCGCGCGCAATGAGCAGGTGGAGAACATGCCAGTGGTTCTTCCATGCCGCCGTCATCAAGGCCGTCCGTCCTTTTTTGTCGCATATTTCCGGCGATGCACCGTGATCCAGCAAGAGCTGCACGATGCGGACGTGGTTGCGCTCCACGGCGCGTAAGAGCGGTGAGGGCCGGTTGGTCGCGACGTCGGTTTTCGCGCCCATCGTCAGGAGAAAATGCGTCGCTCCGACAGATCCACGCTCGCAGCTGCGCATAAGTCCAATACGCAGGAAGGTATCGCTGAATTGGCCATTCTCGCGGGCGAGTTCGACAGTATGTTGCAGACCCTCGACATGGTCGCTTTCTGCGGCTCGAAGGAGTCGCGGCTCCAGACGGTCGTGCCCGTCGCTCGCGACACTAGATAGTGATCTAGACATGTCTGGCCGTGTTGTGAAAGAGACAGCCGGCCTCGCACGGTTCCTGCTGTGACATTCCTGGAGTCCCCGGGTTTTTGGCTGCGGTCGTGAAGTGGGTGGAGTCTGGGGCTCTGAGCGGATTTTTTTTTTTTTTTTTTTCTGTGCAACAGTCGCCGACGGTGTCAGGGTCGGACGGATGCAATGCTGACAGACCTCACTGGTCGAATAATACGAGGCTGGTCAGATTGGCTGGGCTGTCTGATGGCGTCGAGGATGATCAGCGCGAGACCCCACCGCGGGACTTAGCGTGTAGTGTCGCTTCTGAGTGCACAGCCTTGTCCCTGGGATGCAAACGAAATGATAAGATGAAAAAAAAGTAGGCTGTCCATTT